ATCGGTGCGAGATCTAGCAAGTAGGCGCTCGCACGAACGCGAGCCCCCGCCAAAAGATGTCCTGAGCAGTGGACGAGGGCGAGGAAGCGAGGAGGGGCCGGGGCAGGAGCTTCTTGGCGGGCTGGGTGTGGGGCTGGAGAGACGTCGCAGACAGGCAGAGAGCAGAGCTGCCACTGGACTGCCGAGGACGCGCCTGTGGCGGCCACAATAGACGCCCGCGGCGGTAGTGTGTACGGCAACTGCACGGAGATCTGAGAACTTCCCTTTCGCTCCCAAACACCCCGGGTCCACAACACAGATCTATCATCTCAGCGCCCTTAACGTACACACCCGTATATAAACCACCACGCTGCTGTGGCCCCTCTCAGGCGGAGCCATCTACAAGACGCAGGGGAAGATACGGAACTCCTCCACGGACAGGACCCAGCGACCCCGAGCTAGAACACATTCAGGCGAGCAAGCGAGGGTCGAACCATTGAGGCTGGATTCAAAGCCACACCACCGAGCCCGACGGGCCCCGACCATGCTTGCCGACACGCTTCCTAGCGACATCTGGATCGTTGTCCTGTACCATCTGTCCGTGGAGGACCTCGCCCATCTTGCCCAGACCTCGCGATATTTTCATGCATTGGTACGTCCCCCAAGTACTTCCGAATCTCCCAAGACTAACGGCACCCTGTAGGTTGGCGAATATGGCTGGACAGCGTACAGTAAGGCGAATCCCCGCCATACTTGGAGCCTATCCAAGTCATTGCCCCATTGGAGTGCCTACGACCAAGTTCGGTGAGTTCGCCCTCCATGATAGCTTATCCGGATAACGTCTTGTCTTCCGAATGAGTTGTTCTGCGGAACATGCCAGGGTAGCATATTTCGCAGAACGACAGAACCATAATATCACGCGTCAAAGCAGTCTGGACACCCTTCAGTTCATCCGGTCGAACTCTATCACCTATGCACGGCTATGCAGCGCGTACAGATCGTGGTCGCAGCTCAGGTAGTCAAAGACGTTACTGCTCCGCACGAACACTCCGCGACTCTTCTCCATCGCATCAGAAGAGACATATCTAACATTACATTGCGCATTCGACACAGCTTTAACACGATAACGGACCACAACTGGTCGCTTCCCGGCTTCGTAGCCCGCCCCCTGGCGTCCAAGTGGTCCGGGAAGCTCCAACCCATACTATCGGTCAACAGCTCCCGCCTCTTCGTGGCCGCCGCCAACCACATCTACTCCTACACCTTCGGGCGCTCAGCAGCCCCAGGCACGAACCCGAGCATCCAGTTCGAGTGCGCGTACACGAGTAACAAGGTCCTGCAAGCCTCCCGCGACATCACGAGTATACGGTGCGTTCCCGACGGGGGGTACGACCGCACTGTATACGTCGGATACGCGGATGGCTCGCTCGAGCGTGTTGTTCTGCCCGCGTGCAAGCCTGGACACGAAGGCCCGATCCACCTAGAGCCGAGCTTCCGGGAGAAGAGGCCGTACCACGGAAACGACTCCATCGAGAGCATCTCGGCGTGCGGCGACCAGCTGCTGTCCTTGTCGGCGAACGGAGGCGCCGTCTTCTTCACCAACTCTGCCAACCCGTCGCCTCAGTTCCTAGATTTGAGAGTCCGTAGCTGGGCCACGCACCTCTCGCATCGACATGCCGTCCTCGGCGCGTCCTCTCTTACACCGCTCCTGGTCCACACCATCCACGAGTCACATATATCCGACACCCCGTCGCATATCCTCACCAACTCCACGCACGACGACCACCCGCGCGCATCTGCCGTTTACGGCATCTGCGGGACGCCTCCGGACGCGCCCTGGGGCGGCTCCGAGCAGGTGATCATCTCCGGCTGGTACGACGGCGTCGTGAACGTGCACGACCTGCGCTCTTCACGACGCGCCCATCGCATCCCGGGGGTGAGCTCATACCCCGCGGGCGGCGCGCTCTACCCGGTGATGAGCATGTGCGACCCGTGGCTGTTCGAGCCGGTGTACGACGTGTCCTCCGGCGGGGGCGGGGGCTGTCATATCGCCGCGGGTACCGCGCGGCATAGCGTGGTGGCCTTTTGGGACGTGCGCGCGGCGAACAAGGGCTGGAGCGTGCACGCGCCGGGCAACGATTCGTCCCCAGTGTATTCGGTCATCCTGGAGAGCTCGCGGCTGTTCGGGGCGACACAGTCGCGGCCGTTTGTGATGGATTTCGGGCCTGGCGCTCGAGAGGAGACGTATCCGAAGCTCACAAGACCGCCGAAGGAGGACGGGTTGAAGAGGAGGGATAGCAGCGGCGTTGGGTTCTATGTTACTCGGTATGGACATTCGCGCGCCCAATAGAAACTTATCGCGGACGGAGGTTTTGGTGTATGTACAGTAAATGTTAGAGTACTTTTGCGGTTCTTGTATTGCAACATACGATGTGGGTGCGTGTTGTGAGTTGCGTCCCTGCCGTGAATAAGCTAGACGACACTAGTCGCTTTAAACTTCTGCTACTGAAGGCCCCAGCTATCACCAGGACGGTAATCTCCTCAGAAAGATCATATCTGCAGAGAGCATTGCGTGACCATTGATACATAGCAGAACCTGTACAAAATATACGTCGGCTACACCAGATTGTCTCCAAGTCATAGACTCAGAACTCTATCTGCAGCTCGGCCAGGCGATACCTCGACGCCCTGAAATAGAATTCAACATTTCCCTGAAAGATTGGCACTGAAAGTCAGCACATCATTCTCCGAGCAAGTGTCCAGAAGGACAGTCCCACAGGGCTTACCATGAGATAGCCGTGGCAAATATCTGTTAGCTCGCGGTCAGAGGCGGTGAGGTCCTCGATCCTGCGTATGGCGTCCAGAGTCTCTTCGCACAGGTTGCGTAGCACCACCAACGCGTCCACATTCTCCGCTTTGGTGCGATGATGAATGTATGTGTTCGTTTCTCCGTCCAACGTCTCCTTGTAGAACGAGAGACTGTAAAAAAAAGCCTCAGCGAGGTGCATCCGCTGATGTGTGAAGGGTACCCACATATCGCTACAACGTGGGACGGCCGCACAGATCTATCGTAAGATGAGAAGATGAAAGCGAAGAAAATAACGTACTTGAAGCGGTCGGTGCATAGCACATGCTCTCTATGTTTGAGAGTTAGAGTCCGCGCACTGATCAAGGACTAAGGACTGGCACTTACGGTATAATCTGAAGGTAGAAGCTGTCTGCAGGGTCTCTCCAGTCCTTCACGAAGTTGAAGAATGCATACGCCGTAGAGTACCCCGTCATTCCCCGGAGGAACTGGGGGTACCCGAGAGCCCCAGGTGCGACGGCTATATGCTCCGTGCAAAACTCGATATAAGTGCCAGCCACGCCAGCCAGAGTCGCTGTGTTAATGAGGTCGGCGGCGGCGTGCGGGTACATCGCGTACATGTCGCCGAACTGACGCGCCAGACGTTCGAGGACCGGGTCTCCCTGGTTCTCGCGCGCGGCGATGCGCTGGCCAAACCGCCCGAGCGCCTCGAGGTCGCGGCTCGCGAAGTCGTCGACGTATATGATGTAGGCGGAGTAAAAGGCGAGGAGCCGCTGGTGGGCGTAGCCGGTGTGGGCGAGCGCGGATTCCACTATGGTGCAAGCGGTGTCCGTTAGGCCGGCGATGAACTTCGCGCTGAGCCCGGCCTTCCATGAGATGATCTCAGCGGTCACGTCCGCCCTAAGTCTGGCATTTGGCACCGTGCCGGGAGGGCGGTATTGCAGACGGACTAAGAAGTATTGAACGATATCCTTGGTTTCCGCAACCATGTTCCCGCCGTGAGGTAGGTTCGAAGAGTTGGATGGAAGTGACTGCTCGGAACCCGGGCGGGTGCTTCCATCACTGACGGCGGACGGCATGGTCTGAGGCGGCTGTACGATAGACAATATTGAACATATTAACCACATAGTAGAGACTGGTTATGAACTCCGACCTACTCGCAGCGAAGGCACGAATCAAGATGTCCGTGAGGACCAGGTCGGCAATTGATTGTGAAGAGAAGGGTAGTCGGGCTGGCCTGTTTTTATAGGTGTTCGCTGGAGGCATGACCCATGCATATCCTGCTGCATGAGTAAGAGGAGGCATCGGCGCGTATGAACGCCACTGTTGGATAAAGTGCCTCACAGTTCGGCCAGAGGACAAGCTGTCATATCTCGTTTTTAGCAACGGGCTCCTCACGGAGTGTGAATGCACTATACCTCTCTTGACCACTCTCAACTCTGATTAGGGCTCAGAGCAGCTTAGCTTGCCTCACCATGACCTGCGACACTTTCCCTGCACCCCCGCGCGGTCGCCGGCGGCGATGCGTTTTACATTGGGCGTTCTACCCTTACTTCTTGGGTATTCCGCTGAAGCCCATACCAGCTGTTCCACTAACACAAGCAAACTCCAGTGGTGCCCTCCGACTGATCGCCACCCGTGGGCTTATGAACGCGGTCCGCAGGAAAGATGTCGTGTTGACGTGAGGATGTCAGGGCATAGGTACCAGGAGCAGGGTGGGAGAGATATTGATACGCCCCGCAGACAGCGAAAAATCCATCAGAGGGGCTGCTGGGATGCCGCGCATGAGGCGTGTAGACAGAGTTCAGTAGTAGAAGTAGTGCGCGTGCATCTTCAAGCCATCTGTACTCGCAATCGTACGTGAATTGGATTCCCGCACTCGATAGTAGCTCGGCTTACCGTCCAGAATTCTCGTTCTCGGCGACATTTGCTTCAGAGGAGTCGCATTTATAGTGCTTGAGGCCTTGAAGAGAAACTATACCTAGTAAACGTACATACATGTACATCTTAGAAGTATTCGTGGCGCCGGTTGAGGTTTCGAAGCGTTTCACAGACTCCTTCCCTTGATCTGAACGTGTAAAGATATTTGAGAGACAATCTGTAGGAGCGACTGCCTTGTAGTCAGGTTTGCTCAGAGTTGGCTCAGAGTCACCGTGGTTCATAATGAAGAAGAGGAAAGCAGATCAAAGTCAGAAGGTACAACCAGGCACCAAAAATGGCGACGTTATATCCAAATTCGGACAATCCTCCGACAAATGCGCGGTGGTGTGAGTTCCCGCATTTCTTTGCCGCCCACCTTCCCCGGACTCCCCCACCCACCATTTGACTTTCTGACGGTGCTCTTGAACGGTCTTAACGGTCTCAACGGTCTTCATCATGGTCTCGACCATGTCTACACCTTCCAAGGACGTCTATCTGGTTATTGGCGGCAGTGGTTTCTTAGGGCGTCACGTCGTGGAGGCTCTGCTTGCCCGGGGCGACTCCGTGGCCGTCTTCGATATCGTCCAGCGGTACCACGACGTCCCCTTTTACTCCGGCGACATTAGCGAGGAGGAGCAGGTGTCTGACGCGCTTCGCAAGGTGCGTTGCATTCCATAGCCATATCATACGGCCTACCGAGCAGCAGAACTTCTACAGAGCGGAGCGACATGCATCATCCACACTGCGTCACCTCTCCACGGTCTGGACGACCCCGCGCTGTACTGGAAGGTCAACGTCGACGGCACACAGGCGGTCATTAACGCTGCCGTCGCGAATGGCGTGCCCAAACTTGTCTACACAAGTTCTGCTGGCGTCGTATTCGACGGCAGCGACCTCATTGACGTGGACGAGCGGATACCACAGCTGGAGAAGGCCATGGACCCCTACAACGAGTCGAAGGCGAAGGCCGAGCAGATTGTCCTTGCTGCAAATGGCAAGGGTGGCCTCTACACCGTCGCGCTGCGCCCCGCAGGCATCTTCGGGTGAGTACCGGTCAGTCCGTCACGCACGAGCGTCTCTAACATGAATCGTCCACAGACCCGGCGACCGCCAGTTCCTCGCAGGCCTTTTCCAGGCGTGGCAGCGCGGACAAAGCCACATCCAGGTCGGCGACAACACGAACTTGTTCGACTGGACGTACGTCGGGAACTGCGCGTACGCGCACCTTCTCGCCGCGGACAAGCTCGGGCCGGTCACACCGGAGGAGCTCGAGCGTATGAAGGAGAACCTCAAGGTCGCGCTGCCGTCCATCGAGTGCACGACCAAGCGGTCCCGCATTCCGACATCGAAGGCCCGCCCCCTCGGCCCGTATGTGACACCCCCGCCGAACGCGGAGGAGATCCTCGCGAACTGGAGTAACCCCGACTACAAGCCGGCTCAGCCCCGCCCGGCGGTGCGGTCGAAGTTCGACCAGTTCAGCGAGACCGCACTCGCGCGCTGCGAGCCCGAGTCGTCACCGCTGCAGGTCGCAGGCCAGGTGTTCTTCATCACCAACGGGGAGCCGACGGGCTTTTGGGACATGCCTCGCGTTGTGTACCGCTTCTTCGACGACCACTTCCAGAAGCCGAACACAAAACGTCGCTTGATACTCCCACAGCAACTCGGGCTCATTCTGGGGAGTGCGGCAGAGTGGTGGTCGTGGCTCGTAGGCAAGGAGCCTGGCTTCACGCGTTACCGGGTAACATATAGCTGCGCATGGCGTTGCTTCAACATCGAGAAGGCGCGGAGAGCGCTTGGTTACGAGCCCCAGGTCGGCCTGGAAGAGGGCATTCGGAGGACAACGGAGGTATGCGCTTCTACTTCCGTTTTTCTGTTCGCGTATACTGAATCATTACGACAGTGGTGGGTAGCCGAACGGCAGAAGACCGGGAAGGCGTAAAAGGCACGGACGTCCCGGCCACCGTCATGATACGTTATGTCGCTCTCTTGGTTACGAGATATACCCCCACACACCAGTACGAGTGCGGATAATGCCCTTTGCTCTATTCACGTCAGATAATGCATGTTGTCGCACCAGATGTGTACCAAAAAGCTTGAGCTCTGTGTGTCTGGCCATGAGTGGTACGTGTGGTATGACGTCACATTCGCATATTCATCGTAGCGTACAACTGGTTATCGTACACGCAAAAGTACACAATACTTTCCTCCGGTATGCTCCATGCGGTGTTTAGTTTGACTATGCTCACGCAAACTCGACCTTGGTCTGGTAGATGCGGCCCGCGTCAACCATGCTCACAGTGCGTGATGAGTGGACACACACCTTGTAGAAAGCAACATAGCCCTTGATATTGTTGGCTTTCTCCTTAGTCTCCGGGTAGTACCTGTCAGTGTGGAATGAGACTCTTCTATCTGGCTGATTACGAAACACTAACCAAGCAACGTCGTTCACGACGGTCTTCCCGGCGATCGAGGCATCGTAATAAGACGCAACTCTGCAAATCAAGCCGCCGGTGTCAATGATCTCCGTTGAAGTACTTGTAAATGAATGCTTACCCCTTCCACGGGCAGGTAGTGCTTCGAGGTGAACATCATCAGCTTTTCTTACTCAGTCCATGCCGAATGTCGTTTGCACTCACTGCGTAGATGACGGCGATAGGGCGGCGGTGTTAACGCTGTCTGGGGGGAAGTAGTGGTTGCCTTCGACCACGACAGTGCTGTCGGACTCGGCGAGAACGGTGCCGTTGAGGGTGACTTTGACCATGTTGCCTATGGCTGAGGGCGCTCGGGAATCGGGAATTAGGAATCGGGACGAGGTGGGAGTTAGAGAGAGGTTTGGTCGCACGCGAGGTTTGTGAAGGTTATATAGACGTCGATCACGCAGAAGCTCTCGATATTTGGAGTGGGCATACTCCTAGTACTACAACGGAGTTATGAGACACGTTAGTAATGCGGTTGTTCTGAGTAAGCCTCGTGCGCAGCGGACGGTCTAAACACGGTGTTGTTGGAGCCCTCGTGCTCAATTTATAACCCGCACATATGAGAGCCTTCCGAATGCCAATGGAATATTGGTGGACGCTCGCGAGCGGGTAGAAGATCGAGTGGTGGTTGAGAGCAGCGCCGGGAGAACCCGGGGCGGACCGAATTTTGGGCGATTGCGAGGACATTTTGCTTAGCCGAGCGCGATACCCCACTCTCCGACTCGACTCGTGAGCCGGGCTGCGACTCGAGCTCGCCATCCCATCCCCCACGACCTCCTCTTCTTGCCGAACACTGCTGCGTACCGCTCTCGAGGCCTCTTCGTCCACACTCGCCGCGTTGCTTGCGGCCACGACTGAGAGGAGGGATGCCTTCGAAAAGCGCAAACAGCATGATCGGTCAGTCCAGAGCGGTCTTGTGCGTCTCCGAGCACTATCCTCACATCGTGCCCCGACCCGACCCCCAGCTGGCGCAGGGGGCGGCCTCGTCGCCAGCGTCGCCACCTGCCCCCTCGACGTGATCAAGACCAAGCTCCAGGCCCAGCGCGCGGGCCATTCGACGCAAGGCTACCTCGGTGTGGTTGGTGAGGCCTTTCGTCCCCTCCTCCGTCCCGCCTCCGCGGCGCACCTGCCCGTAGAACCCTCCGCTCAACGTGCGTGCTCCCCCCCTCCGTCTGCCAGCGACCGTCAAGGACATCCTCAAGCATGACGGCATGCGCGGCATGTACCGCGGCCTCGGGCCCACCATCCTCGGCTACCTTCCCACATGGGCGATCTACTTTGCGGTCTACGACGGCATCAAGCGATATTTTGGCGAACGCCCACCAGGGGAGGACCGCCATGTCTATCCTGCCGCGCAGGTGAAGGGCTACCAGCCGCTGGCGCGCGAGCATCCCTGGACGCTACATATTCTCTCTGCGATGTCTGCGGGGGCGACGAGCACTATCTGTACTAATCCGCTATGGGTCATCAAAACCCGTTTCATGGTGCGTACCCCATGTCCAACTTTTGCTCGTGTGATCCCAATCCGGACCCCGTGCTCCCTCCGCAGACACAACCACGAACCGAAGTGCGCTACAAACACACACTAGACGCAGCCCTGACCATTTACCGAACCGAGGGCGCGCGGGCCTTCTTCCGCGGCCTCCTCCCGAGTCTACTCGGAATTACACACGTCGCCGTCCAGTTCCCGCTCTACGAGCATCTTAAACGAGTCGCCGGTGAGCACGCCCCTTTCCCTCTCCAACCCCTCCCCCTGCCCGGTCGCATTACTCACCGCGTTGCCAAGCACAGCCCGCGGGCGATCCGAACCGCTGACCCCAGGCCAGATCCTGGGGTGCTCCGCCGTCGCGAAGATGACCGCGTCAATAGCGACGTACCCGCACGAGGTCGTGCGGACGCGGCTACAGACGCAAAAGCGGCCGCTCGCCGTCGGCGGCGCCAGCAGCGGCGCGCCCGCGGTGTCGTACGCGGGCATCGTGCGCACGACGAAGCACATGATCGCCGACGAGGGCTGGCGCGCGCTCTACCGCGGCCTGTCCGTGAACCTCGTGCGCACTGTGCCGAACAGCGCGGTGACGATGTTGACGTGAGTCTTACGCTCTTACGCGCTGGGCTGAGGAATGGTGTTACTGACGAGCGAGGCGCAGATACGAGATGATCGTGCGCTACCTGAACGCGCAGGCGGGCTACTCATAACACACATTCGCGTCGCGCCCACGGCGCCACACACGGACCCTGTGCGAGCCGCATTACGCACGTACGCTGCCGCTGCCGCTCAGACACTACTAGATGTGGAGAGAGACTCAGACTCAGAGAGGCGAGAGGCGAGAGAGGGGGCGCATTGTACCATATATACCACACCCACATTCCTTTTCCTCCGCGCTAATACTTGCTTGTGTACTGCCCGCCTCGAGACGCATATGCATACGCTGCCGCAGGTGCTGTAATATGGTATCATACAGATCGGCGTTCTGTCGTGCGCGGCGTTGGCGTCACCGTGTGCGTAGTGTATGTTGTAGCTCGATGACGTTCTTGAGGAGCACGATCCAGGCTCGTGCACCGTCTATTTGGGAGACGCTATCTGACCGGCGTAATTAAGTATGTACAGGCGCGATAGAGCTCGCGCCGTTCCCCGGATGCCTTGGCGCAGGATGGCCCTGTACGTACGCCAAGAGTACTGGCGCACCCGTAAATACCTCAAACACCTGCGCGCCCCGCCCACACTCGAGGAAAATGAGTGCATGCGCTTTAAATCAATTGCAGAGACGCGCATAAGTACTGCATCCGACCCAGTCAGTCCATTGGCATAAACCATACCCATACGCACGAGACGGCACGCCAGATCCACTGGCCTCTGTACATACACACTACAGTATATACATACGTACGGCGTCCGGTTATAGGGGTGTGCGCGCGCATGCGCGGGCGGTACTCCGAGCTCGCGGGTGTTTGTGTATGATGTCTGTCTGTATATTTGTATGTGCAAATATCCGACGGGCGACATGACGGGGGGAGATGATGTGGGGGTGGACCACTGGTGGTGGTGGGGATGGGGGGCGTAAAAAGCAACAGGCGGGCGGTGCGCAGAAAGAAGGTGAAGCCGGAAAGGAGCGTCGGACGCCGAGCCACGCTGGACGGCGAGTTGGTGGGACCCCAGGTGCTGTGCGGTGAGTAAGAGGCGGCAGCGAAGTGAAACGAGAACGGAGAACGGAGCGGGAATGGGCACAGAGACGGGACGAGAAGGGGCAAGTATCGATAAAAACAGTGTTAAAAACGGGGCGCATGCATAAAGAGGTCGATGACCAGGGGAGGGTGTGCGACATACGAAACGGACGGTACCGGTACCACGGGGCACGGGACGGGACACGCACGGCGGCCGAGTGGGGGTGAGTGGGACGGGACAGGAGGGTGCGCTTGGCGAGGCGAGGCGAATCAAGGGGGGCGAGCGAGGGAGCGGGAGGAGAAAAGAGGGGATATATCGGGCGCGCCGCGCAGCACACGGACGCAGTCCGCGCGTCGACCGCCCAGCTCGTGCCGCCCGGGAGGACAAGTGCAGCCGCACGTCCCCAGGAGGGCTCCAGGAGCAGCAGGGACGATCGGGGTGAGATGGGATGGGACGGGACGGGAAGGGAAGACGGCCGGGTGCACAAGTCCATTCGGGGTACGTTCTGACCACAGCCGCGCGCACGGGTGCACACGCGGTCGTGCTCGGGGGAAGGCGTTCTGGATGCGGGAGGGTGGGAGGGGGAGGCCCGGGTGGGGAGGCGGGATATAATGAGCGGACGCGATCGCGCGCGAGGGACCCATTCGCCATTGGCTGGGGAGAGATGCGCGCGAGGGACAACGGTGCCAGACGACGTCGAGGAGGACAGTTCCAAGAATACCGACTCTACCATGCGGCCGCGCCCATACACAACCAACAAGCACCGAAAAAAAGGCCACTGTGAACGTGAATGCGTGTGAGCGACAAGGGGTGTGGCGTATGTATGGCTGCGGCTGTACGGGCGCGCGGGCGCGCTCGTACTGGGACGTCGGGCAGCAAGGGTTTCGGTGCGAGAAAAGGTCCATAGCATCAAACGGCGAGTGGAATATGTTCGCTGCGTCGTCGCTATTAATAGTCCGTGGTGGTAAAATAAAGTATAATGACCAGAGGAGGTACGGACCGAAGGTGTGGGCGGGCGTAGGAGGGTGGGAGTAGACAAACGGGCGACATGTAGGAAGAGGGACGAACGGGCGGATAGGTGGAGGGCGGGATATAGATGGAGGGTACGAAGACGCTCATGTAGTAGACAACGCTGAGTGACGGAGGCCACGGCGGACGGTCCGGTCCACAGCGAGCCCGCGCACCGCACTAATCCAAAGGCAGACAGAGAGTGGACGGCACATCGACAGAACAAACACAAACCACCGCAGCGGGGACACGAACGCCTACGAAGGGGCTAGTGGTCTTGAACCGTCGCACCGTCCTCGTCGTCGCTCAATGTCTCAACCTTGACGCCGCGTGACGAGCTTACGCTGCGTATATCCCGGCCCTCTTCTGCGAGCTCCTGGTTGATGAGGTGCGAATGGCCCGGGCCTGCAGATCCTGCGTGTGGTTGGTCGTCCGGGCTTTCGCCCTCTTCCACCGGCCTGTCCGCGAAGTCTGGTTTACGCAGCGCCTGCCGGAAGGCGTTTGCCATGATCGCCGCGTCCGCGCCCGAGAAGGGGCCGGCGTCACTCGCCCGACTCATCATCGACGCGCCGTCGTGGACGTCCCCGGGCGACGATGGCCGCGCCGGACCATACGCACCCGCACCGTACCCCGCCGCCGCACCCGCCGCACTCCCGGCGAGCAACGAGGAGCCGACGACGGGTGATTGAGGTCCGCCTCCGCGGTCGGCGTTCGCCATCATGGGAGTCGAGGAGCCCATGGAGTTGCGATGCGAGAGCATGCCCTCACGACGTTGCCGGAGGCGGCGCATGATGTAGAACGCAAGAATGCCCGAGGCGACGAGCGCGAGAAAGCCGAGCACCACGATAACGGCGATCGCCCACTTCGGGAATGACCCACCGCCGTTGGCGCCCTGCACGCCCGGCGCTGCCGCCCCGCCTGTTGGTGAGGCGCCTGCTGACCCGGAGCCGGAGCCTGGTGACGGAGTGAGCGTTGCAGAGAGCCCGGTAGTTCGTGTTGCATCGGCGGACAATGAGGAAGCGACGGATCGAGACGAAGCTGCAGCGAGGGCAGAGGACGACGACATCGACGCGACTATTGAATCCGCGAAGGTTGTCTCTAAATTCCCAAGTAACATTGTCAGCTCGATCAATGCAAGAGCGTAGACCGTGAAAGGCATATTACTCACGAACGGCAGTGAAGGTCGCCTGGGGTATAGCGCTGTTGTCTAATGGATGGTCGTTTCGAGTTATTTCAAAATAAAAGGGGAACGATATGTTCTGCCCATTCCACTGATTGCCCCTAGTGCCCCACCAGCGGTCGTCCACTTGTACATGGATGAGACCCGAGGTGAACAGCGGGTTCTCGACGTCCGTAAAGTTGACGACCTGCAGCCCCGAGTCTGCTTGGAACAGGAAGATGTTGACCTTCTCCGTCTGTGCCCATTGGGGGAGTCGGCTATTCCCTGCGACGCGAGGGACGCAATGTTGGCAATGGGGACAACGAAGAGGGAGAACATGACGTACAGACGAAGGAGGCCCACTCGTGCTGGGCGACGACGCTAGAGGACTCGGGCCAACATGATATGACGTTGTTGGGAGAATCAAAGCAGGTGTCCTGGGCGGCGGCTGTTGTTGAGTCGGGCGGGGGCGCAGGACCGGAGTAGGACACGGGCGCGGAACACGGAATATACAATATATGACACACGTTGGACACGGTAGTTGGCGGCAGGTACGACACCGTAGTCGGTGGCGGGAATGAAGGGGGCGGGGATGGGACGGAGAGGTTGAGATCTACGGAGATTGAGGGGAAGGAAAAAAGTGGACGCACATATCTGTGGTTGGTCAACGATGCTGGTGTCCCTTGGTTTGTGCGCTTGGAACGCCTTGCTGGACCGCCTGCGCTTCAGATTCTGTTGGGCAGGGGCTGGCGGGGCGGTCTGCGCAGGTGAAGGGGGTGCATAGCGGCGAAAGGTGGCGGACATAGGCCAGTCGGAGGAGACAGGACAGACGCGAACGCTGAGTGTCGTGGGCGTGTGGAGGGATAGAGCGAGCAAACTGGCATTATCCAGGCCGGGGCGGACGGGAACGGCACGCCCTGGGGACGACAGGTCTATGTCGGGGGGGAGGAGGAGGAGGGCGAAGGGAAAGAGGCCAGGGTGGGAGAGGCGGGCGAAGGCGAAGGCGATGGGCGCTGGGGACGGGAGCACCGTCCTCTGCACGGCGACATCACCAGAAATGCCCAGCCTGGGAAAATCCTGAAGCTCTCCCATCATCCCCTCCGGCTTCTGCCACCCGCCCGCCCCTTGTCCCGAACCCCCTCTCCATGCTCTGCTTCGCCAGCGCATGCGCTCTTGTTGTCTTCCGGGGTCTGCACGCCGCGCACATTTCACCAGCCAGCCTGAGCGACAACGGCGCCTGCACACGGCAGCGCACGCGCGCATGCCGAGAGTCTCCCCACCGAAGCCGTAGCCATTTTTGCACCCGCAAGGCCTTCTTCCACTAATTCTGAGCCAGATATCCCCCTTGTCTCCGATCCCGGCGCCGTTGCGGGCCTCTCTGCGCAGGAGTCGGGCTCGGAACGCCTGACTTCATTATCCAGCAGCCCGTGGACTCGGCCCCTCTGCCCGCTCGCCGTGTGGAGGTCCAGACCGCGCGGTCAATCGGGACGAGGCACAGGCACGCGCCCTGTTCGCCGCTCCACTGGCTGCGATGACGCTCGAATACTCGCTCGACGTCAGTCGCCTCAGCCACCTCCTCGCCGCTATCCAACGCCCTCGCCTTTCTGGCTCTTTCTGTCCATCTTGGGTGACGCTGGGCCCGCGCGACCATCAGCAGCGCACACGGAATGGCTGATTGACCGGCTGCTCCGAGCTCATGCCGGCCTGATCATGAGTCCATCTGCCGTTGATTTCGTGTTTCGCTCAGCGTTCATGTCGTCCACTCGAAGAGTACGTGCTCCCGGTCTTGCAGCACTCCGCACTCCCGACAGTCCGTAGGCCCGTACGCGAAGAACCGTTGCCCAGCGACGCGTGGTCGAGGACGGCGCGACAGACAGCATCGTCCGCGTCTCGGAATCGCCGACAGACGGTCGCAGCGCACACGTACGACGACGAGGCTGCGCTCGCCGTCTTCTCGTCCAATTTTGACAGTTTGCTCACTGCGGATGCCGCCTGTTTATATTTACCTGCAGCGCGAAGTCGCCGCCGAACCGTGCCAAAACTGTCTGCGTTTCGAGGGAGTCCGACGTGCGCTGTACCTCCTGCGCCCTCTTTATGTCCTTCTGTCGAGGACGCTGCAACCGGGCGCAGCAGCGAGCTCACTCGCCGACATCGGACAGCCACCGCCGTCGCTGGCATCACCGAGTTATCGTTCCTTGTGCTCGCTCGTTCCGCGAATCAATTAAGCTTACGTTCGTAGATAGCGCCACCTCCTGAAGCAAAGGATATTCTCTCCGGTTTGCAACCGGGGATGTACCTCTGCTACAAAACAATTGCACCCCGACGAATCCACCTTCGCGTTGACCAATGTCTGCTAGACGACATGCACGCGCCGGACGTTCCTCAGTTGACAACACTGCGCGCGCATGCCATCCTTCATTTTCACCGTTCCCATGTCATATTCGCCCGGGACGATGCTCCCGGCCGGGCCCCGAGCACGCCGTCGACACCCATCGTCCATCGTTGATCCCGTCGGAGACAGCACTGTTCCCAGTGTTCCGAACGTGTTCGCCCTGCCGAGCACAGCCCCGGGCCGTCTGTGTGTACCCACTCACGCGTCCGTAGCCTCATGCCCGGCCGTACCCCAACGCGAACCCACAGGCACCGTGCATGTGGCCGGACGCTGAAGTCGACGCGTGCATGAGCGATCGGCGCTGTATTTGGGCACGGAGCTAGTCGGCGGTCGCACGCTGATTTCATTTGCGATGCTGTTCTCCCGAGGTTCTTCTTACTTCTCCTCGGACGCGGCCTCGTGGAGGAGCAGGCGCGGCACCGCGAGGCCCGCTCCTTTGTTGTGCACGGTTATGGGAAGCGTTGTACCACGTACCAAACGTAAGTACAGTCGCTCCGGATTCCTGTAGACCGGCGTTCAGCTGACCTCGGTGCGCGCACAGATCAGACGGAGGCGCCTCGACCGGCGAGCTAGCGGCGCCACGAAGAAGCCTGTAAGATGCTGCCGCGCTTCCGAGGCAAATTTCTGCGCTAGAAGGTCGTCGGCGACCATTGTTCGAGTCGTACGTCCGTGCGCCGCGAACAGGCCGCGAACACCTCTAGTACCCAGACGGGTTGCTATGTACGAGGCCGCGGAATATCTGCTTTATATTCCAGCGAGATACGGCTTGCCCTAAGGGTGGATCAGCTTGTGAGTTTTGCGCGTATGGCAACGCACTTGGGCTGAGATACTAAATTCTGGCCTTTCGGATCTCAACAGGTGAACACCTTAGGCCGCCGTTGCTAGAGACAGCTTGCGATTGCACCGCGGCGGCTGGGAAAGAATGCCCATTCGTTACCGCCGTCTACTCCCAGCTCCAAACGTGTCTGTCAGTAATCAGAAGGTATGTACGCGCGCTCTCCATTTTCCGTGACTTCAAAGATATGCCATGCGCACTATCGAGTTTTCTACTTAGCGCGCACCACCAAACGTGCATCATCAAGCACTATTTTCCTAGTGCGTACTCTGGAGACGAGACTAGCACCACGCCAGTGAACTATGCTTCTTGCGAATAGTCGAACTGTGTCTGGACAGGTTGCGTATGAGTGAGGGTCAGTTTTATATCGCGTAGATTCTACATGCATTGTTGTCTTCAGGTGCTCTTCTCTTAGGTTTTTACCGGGGACTGTCGTTTGTGGTATATGACCGCATTGCGCCAATCATCCCTTGCTCGTCAAAGCAAGGATCTCCACCCTCACAGGAGGGACTCGAAAGTGTGAGCTACGTCATTCCTCACCCAAGGTACTCTAACCTTCGACCCCGGCGAAGGCAAAATTCGGGGCTGTCGCCGGCTGCTGAGTCCATTGACCTGTCCAACTCCCCTTCGAGTACTCAGGAGAGCATCGAATCTCCGCAGCATGCGTAGAGGGTCTCATCATGGCTCACTTTCAATCATATTCTGAGGTGGGAGAAATAGTATGCCTCCATAGCTTGCGGGAAAGAGTTCCAAGTATTGGCAGAAGGCACGGTTCGACAGAGGATTCTGATGCTCGTGGCACTCTCAGGTACTTACGCTCGTACTTAGCGATTGATGCGCGCTCCGCGCAGCACACGCGATGGCTGCGCCAACGGACCACGTTTCTAGTATTGCTCGGAATAGCTGATTAAGGCGCCAGCAGATACAGACGACTGGTGACGAACGCGGGCCTCAGGAAAGGGCCGCAGGAGATGGGGGAGACAAGTTAGCTTTTCCGGATGCCCGCCGAAGTCGGGAGCGGTCAAGAAGGGTAAGTAGATTGCAAGAAATTTCGAAGACTCCGGTGCTGAAGATTGTGGCAACGCAGTTCGCGCGCAGTGCCGGCTGCCCATGCAGTATCCGTCTTTGTACCCCACACACCATGGCCTCCTCGAAGACGCGTTTGTCGGTGATCAAACATTTAGCGAAGGTAAGTATATGCGCGCGCTTCACTTCATCAGTGGCTTTATGCTTTGCGTACGTACGCAGACTCTATTAGCAGTTTTCTCTCTACAGCGTGCACCCTCAGCCACTGGTTTCCCGACTCGTTCACACAGAGAGAGGTAATAGAGCTATGGCGGAGGTCAACCAGAAAGATCCGGTGCTTTGAAGAGCAAACTCCGAGGTCGGATTGACGGTTGGCGGCCTATGCCAGAATTCAGAAGGCCCCATCTGAGTCTCGAATCTTTGCTCTGGATGGAAGCTGACCCTGGTTTTCCAATTAGCATCGATGCGGAGTACTTAGTACTTATTTCCAGAGCTGACGACACCAAAATGACAGGGTACGTCAGCAAAGGAAAGCGGGTCCACATGCGAGTCCCGTCTTGGTCACTGCGCCGCGCTCGTGTCTTGGGTGGCGGAGCGGCCGTGGCGGAACTCTGAGGTAACCGTTACGGTGTCTGCCTGTGGCGTTTCTAAGCGTCAGACCCGGGCCATTCCTCTCACTCATGCGGTAAGTTTTTGCAAGGTTCGTGCCCTTAGCGGGCACCTATAAAAGCAGGCCAGCCCGGCCACTTTGCTGCAGATCAGCAGCCATCTATACGGACAACTCAACCCGTCCGCCTTTCATCCTTTGCGACCACTGGCAGTAAGCCATCTCTTACGATAGCACTCATTTTGTGACCGAACTAATATTGTCTGTCAACAGACCTCCTTCACCATGTCCCTGGTCAATAATCAAGGGTACTACTCGGATTCCGACAACCAATCACTCCAACACAACCCTTCGATTCAGTCTCAGCGCGGAGATGCAGCTACAGAAATCAAGGCTATATTCCAGAACTTCTTGACCCGTCTGCAATACCGCGCTCCCAATACTGCCCCCAATGCACGCCTCAGGGCGGATGTTGCTACCGAGATCATCTCATGGAAGGCTGGCCTCAGCTCGAAGTTCATCGACGGCCTGACGGACACCGCCTGCGCCATAGCGGAGACCGCGCTCTCTCACACCGGTTATGCCCACCAACGACTCGTATCTCTCTACACCGCTTACATCATATACATCGACGACCTCGGTGGCCGCGACCTCGAGACCCTTGGGCGGTTTGGCCAACGGGTTGCTGCGCACGAGAGCCAAGGAGACCCGGTCCTCGAACGCCTGGCTCACCAATTCGGCGACATGTACGCGATGTACCCGCAGGTCGGCGCCGACTGCATCAACGCGGCGACTCTAGCTGGCGTGGCCGGTACTCACATCGAGTACAGTACTGAACATATGGCCGTCGCCCGCGGTGCTCTCAGGTACCCAGCGTTCCTTCGGGGCATGACGGGGTACTCCACGGCGTTTGCATTCTTTAACTTCGTGCAAGGCTGGAGAGACCCTGAAGACAGGTTTTACTTGCAAGTTGTGCCGTAAGTCTTGTTCTCTACGGTCGTGGTAAGCACGCGGATACTGATTTTGACTTCTCGGCCGCAGAGAACTTGCGTTCTGCACTGACCATATCAAGTACGTCGTTTAATCTCCTGCCAAGTTCTCGTCTCACCGGAGGATCGGACGGTCGTCCGATGTTAACGTAGTGATATGTGAGTCACCTTGATACATTCGCGGAATGCACTTCATAATATTGTTTCCCAGCCTCTCCTTCTACAAGGAATACATGAACGGAGAAACAAACACGTACATTTCTCTCCGTGCCAAAGCGCAGAATGTGGATGTGTTGGTAGCGCTGAGCGACCTATGCGAAGAAACGCTAGATACGATACACAGGATTATGGATCTCACTTCTTCGGACCCTCAACTGGGAAGTATTTGCCATGGCTACCTCATGGTAAGCACCGTAGTTGTGCTACCGGTGACCCGTCCGAAGCAATATGTGCTGACTTTCTTTAACGTCCTAGGGAAATGTCGAATTCCATTTCATAACGTCCAGGTACCGCCTGGCCGATCTACAGATAGAGCTCTGAGTGCCGGACTTGGAGTTATCTCGATCTAGCCGATGTAAGTTTCATGGGTGCTGTGCCCACCCGTTTGTGTTCACTGATTTATATTGCAGATATACGTGCGGCGACTGGTTCTTGATCCCGAGTAGAAAGCCTCGTGACCATGTATACTTAGTACACACAACTGAGAGTTCTTGACCAGACCATACTAGTGTGACTTTCAAGTTGTGCGATATATTCACTGACGACTTTGGATGTGGGGGTCAAGGTCGCATAAGTGAGTGACTTGCAGCCTTGAGGTTACACATTACTCACCATCCGATACGATGCTCATGATATATTGCAGCCCATGTAGCCAGTTATACAAAGCACACGACGCACGCGGAAACCGGCGCGAAAACGCCTTCATGCGTCCGGCCACGCCAACAGTTCTTTGATGAATGCTTTCGTGTCTCCTGCACGCATCAAGCTCTCCCCCACCAACACCGCGTTCACCCCCTGCTCCTTGTACGCCGTTATCTTCGCACCACCCGTGACGCAGCTTCTGCGGGAATACGTTAGCCTTCTACGCTATGAGTAATTAATGTGGAAGCACCAATGGTGTTTCAAAACGTGCCAAACGCTTGTCGACATGATTCGCATTCAATATTCATCAGCTGGACGTCCACAACGCGATCTGCAGAAATGAGCGCCTTCTATGCCGTGTATATACCGCTGGCGTGCTTGACGGGTCGGCGGCGGAGATGGTATTTGAAAAGAGGCGTCATTTGATCATTTGGCCTTCGCGATGGCGTTTCTCCGCTCAACATCGCCACCGAAGACTAGACTGTTCTTCCTTAGACACTTTTTCCCCGGGCCCGCGCTCAGAGTCCTCGTGCTGGCTCCCACGAGGATGGGTGGTTACTGTAGTCGAGTGACATTCAATCAACTCATATTTTGCTTCGTATAGGGTCTAGATCCTGAACATTTGCGGCGAGGATGTATGATAGCTGACGTCGTCGCACTCCGAGTCGGTGTCGCCTCCACGTCGTTACGACCAAGGAGTGTCGTGACCGCGGCTAGACTTTCCGCGCTCTGAGATACATACTGCTGAATATAATACCTAGATATTGAGTCAGCCATTTGGATACACTCGAAATCCGCGTCAAGCATACCTTTGCCGACTTGTCGAGCCTGAAGAACTTGCGGCGTGTTGACACACGGCGAGATGTGGTCGCGCAGGCGTGCTTCGCGTGAGGCATCAATGCTGCCTCATGAAGGCGAGAGAAAAGTTCAAGACATAGAGTACTGCAGTAAGTACTGTTACAGCATGACGATGAGTGAGAGGGAGCACAAGCCTGAGTCGCTGGGAATCGTCGACGGAGACTTCGGAAGAGAACGCCGCAAGGGCGCTAAAATATAGGGCTTCCGAGAAATTCGGAGGAGATCTCAGATCAGCTATAGCCTGCCGACGCTGCCGAAGGGACTCTCTTTCTCTTTCTCTCTCCCCTCTCCAGGCTCACTCCCACTCCCAGTACTACGCGACTCAGTCATGCCTACCAGTTCTTGAGCGGAGTCTTTCCCATCTCCTGACATTTTCACGGCCTTCCTCGACATCTCACGAGAAGCGGCCTCTCCTCGACGTACTTGGATGCGCACCTTTCGCCTCACAGAACCGCGTGCATATCCTTTACGAAGGCACACTCGAATCCCCGGACAGCGATGGCGGTCGAGATGAACTGAGTACATGGACAGGACGCGGACAGACGGTTTCATCTCGTACGTGCACTGTCTATCAGGTAGAACCAGATGACCGTGTATGCAACGCAATGAGGCGGTGGTTTCTGCGTACTTCGAGAGGCAGAGCGCATAGCTTCTGTCAGGAACTCACCGCTATGTATACCGGCTGCTGTCGTTCTGCGGTGCGTCCGCCACATCTTTTGTATTTGTCTCACGAAAGTTTGAATGGCATAGGTGTTCAGAGTAGCCTCGCAATCTCCGCTAGGCTATTATGCGCACAACCACACCGTGTTCGCGCGCACGAGTCTCGCCCGCATCGCTCCGGCGTTTCCTTATCTCGTTCTGGAAGACTTCTACCTCACGCGCGCTCCGACCACGCTTGCGTTATGCGTAGTCTATCCTGCGAAGGTCCAGTTTCCCGCGACGCAGGGCTCTGAGGGTGCGGGTCTATGTCATCCGGTTTGTGCCGCTGGCACACGAAGAGCAAAGTGAGCTTTTCTTCGTGACCCTCCTCACTCTCTAGGTTTAGATCCACGCATCGTTTATGACGTATGGACGAGGCGCCCTTCTATACGGCTCGCAGTCTAGACAGGTGATACCAATACGACTAGCTTTGTGTTCAGCGTCGTCTCGCATGGGCTGTGCTTGCTACCGGAGTTATTCGTCCTAGGATCCCGTGGAAGGTCGCTCGGTCAGGCCTCATCGTCTACTCCCATTTTGACGCATCCTCTCCACTAGACCCCCTCGGCCTCCCCTTCGATCTTGGTGTCGGCCGCCCTCTGTGAGCTCCCCTCTTTCCCCGAGGCACCGAATTTCCCCCAACCACCCGTCGTCTCCGAAGACAGTGACAACAATCGCCACCTGCCACCGAGGCCGCTACCTTTGGTATGGATCCGTGTAAGCCGCACGCCATACGCGGGACGCGCGTGGCTGCCTGGACGGAGGTGAGCATTCTTATGAACCGTGTGGAGCCTAGGGCCGCTCCGCGCTCTTCGTTCTCGCCGTCTAGTCTCCATCTCAACGCATCCTCTCCGCTAGACCTCCCCTGCTTCGATCCCTCTAGACGCTACCCTCTCCGAACTCCCCTTCTTCCCCGAGGTATGCACCCTTTTTCAACTACCGTTCTTCTCCGAGGACCGTGTCGACGATCTACCCCTCCCACCCACGCCTCCATCTGTCTGCGAGGAGTGCTGGAGGGGGCCCTTTGCGATGCATTTCGGGATTGCCTTCATGTCGCCGCAAGATGGAAAACATTACCGGCGCTGGCCCGCGGCAAACACATACGTGACCACATTGGCAAAATTGAAGTCCCGTGCGGATGCAGGCTGCGTATGGTGTGAGTTTGTCTTCGACTGCGGAAACCGCCGGTGGCCTCGCAACTCCGGCAAGATGACCGTCACCGTGCGGGGTACCAAGGATGATGAAGTATCGGGTCGAGGTGATCAAGTGTTATTAGTATACATGGATGGAGAGCATATCGATGGATTATGCATATATACTGCTCCAGGTGCGTCAGGTAGATATAATACCATGATGGAGCTGACGAAGATTACTAGATGACCTCGCCGCATCCTACATCACAACACGGAGCCCCATACTGACCGATGTCAAATCTCCTTGTACCTTGGTCCGTGCAAGACAGCTCATCAACCAGTGTATTGACAAGCACGAGCTCTGCAAAGCTGCGACTTCTCTAAGCCCTCGACTTCCCACGCGGCTTGTGGACTGCACCGACCTCGCTCATCCACGGCTAGTCTCGACACCTGGCCGCCAACACGGCGAGTACCTTGCGCTTAGCTACGTGTGGGGACAGGACCCGGAGCAGACCCGCTACCGGGCAACAACACTTAACCTTTCCACCTATGGACAAGAAATCAACCCCCGTCTTCTCCCCCCGACCATCCGCGATGCGATCTATGTCACACACCAACTCGGCTTCCGATGGCTCTGGGTCGATAGCCTCTGCATCATTCAAGACTCCGATGAGGACAAGGCTCACGAAATCGGTCGCATGCACCACATCTACCGCTACGCACATGTGACGATCATGGCGGCCAGCGCGGAGGGAGTCGGATCGGGCTTTCTCCAGAAGCGAGCTCCTCCAGACGACTTTGTTCTCGGGCTCCCCTTCATCTGCCCTCCCTACCCTCAGAACACATCACAGAAGTTGCAGGTCGGTCAAGTGTATCTCACCCGTGGGTCTGACGTCGACACATCGCATGGCGACGAGCTCGGGTTCATGGCGAGGCGTGCCTGGTGCATGCAGGAGTATCTACTGTCCCCACGTGCCCTCATCTTCGCCCCCAGCACGCTCCTGTTCAGGTGTCTGACCGCTGATGCGGCCGGTGTTGGAAGCTCAGGCTACTCGATAGAGCACGATCTTCGGATACCCACCTCGCTCTTCCTTCCACGAACGGCACCTGCAGCAGAGCCCAATTCCAAGGAGTGGGAGGAGATGTGCGAGGCCTGGATGAATGTTGTCTGGGACTACACGCGCCGCACAGCGAGCGAGGAGTCAGACAAGCTGGTGGCGTGCGCTGCGGTCGCGGAGCAATTCCACTTCGTCCTGGGCTCCGAGTACCTCGCGGGGCTATGGCGCTCGGACACACTCCTCATCCGCCTGCTATGGAAGGCCGACAAGTCCACGGCCGCATCACTTGGGTGCCGACATACTCGCCCTACAGCCTACCGCGCGCCGTCATGGTCATGGGCAGCCATCGATGGACCAGCCTTTTACGATTCTATCTACCCCCTTACGAGCCTGGGATACCGACAACACGTTGCGCTCGCGGAGGTCGCTGGGTGCTGGGTCACAGTCAAAGATCCCGCACTTCCCTTTGGTCGAGTGACGGACGGGGCCCTCGGCCTGCGCGGAACACTGGTACTCTGCCATGGTAGAGCCGCTGAAAAATCACATTACTCGGATTGGTGGACCATCCGAGTCCGAGCCCTGCCGACTTTCGAGCAAGTACGGCGCCAGTGGCAGCGTGGACTTCGGGGCTTGATCTCGGATGAAGCAGACGGCATGTACTCGACAAACCCAGGGGGCTACGCATCAGTCATCATGGACGACGATGTCGACGAACTGCCGGAGAAGATGTGGCTCGTGCCGTTTCTGCGGACCAAGTCGACTTCCAATAACGACGTGCAGGGGATCGCGCTCCAGCTCGCTCCTCCGTCGAACGGCTCAGGGTCTGCACCCGAGAAGATTCGCTTTCGGAGGATTGGTTACTTCGTGAACTTCGTCAAAGGTGCAAGACCCGGCAAGGCCTATATGGAGCATCCACTGTGGGATCCGCTAACTCGGGCGGTGAAGATGGGAGAGCCCCCATGGGTGGACATTGAGATCATATGAGCGAACGGTGCTTGCCTGTAGTCTGTCGCTGTGTCGGGCTCGGGAGGGCATGGACAATGTCTTGCGGTTAGGAGAGAGTCATTTTCGTATACGCCGTCGGTTATGGTCTTGCAATACGTCCCTCTTTGGATTCCGCGATGTTCTTATGTAGTATACCTCTTGATCTACAGTGTATAGTATTCACGGGCAACGCGTCGATATTGGATCTTGTAGAGCTTGTCAAGGTGTGCACTAGGGGGAGGAAGCTCAGTATCCGCTACTTTACGTCGCAGACAACCCGCACAGATCTAAAATATATATATTCCACCGATGAGGCCATCGCTTATTACATCTATACCGTAACTGTAGTAACTACACGTCGCGCGAGTTCACCGTTGCCCAAGACGAGTGCGCACTTACTGAACAGAGACAGCTCCGAAAATCTGCGATGGCCTAGAGCACCTACACCGCATTCTTCACGTCAACGGACGCGCGCAGGGGCGTAGGAGCGTAGTCCGCCCTATAAAGAACCAGCTCATCGTGGGTCGGGTTGGCAGGCCACCAGAGGATCATCTGCGCGCCCTCTGCGGCGAACGAGCCGAGTTAGATGAGAGTGATCTACCAAGACAATCAAGCGTGTTAGTCCAGCATCGCGGGGGCTGAAAGCACTCGCCTCGAGGTACCATGCAGAGTCTGTCTCGCACGAGATGAAGTTGATGATGCCCTTCATGAGCACGCAATACCTCAGATAGCCAGAGAGACGCGAGCGAACGAGCCACGAGCGCATACCAATCATAGTCGCTGTCGTAGCGTAGGCCTAGGATGGACAAATCAACGAACCTCTTCTCCGACGAGATCAGGATCAGCTATCCACACAACCGCGCGCCTTCACGAAGCTTCACGCTCCTGAAGGTGGCCTCCGCGCATAAGACGTTGGGAGCTGGTGTCGAGCATTTAAAATACGCGTTCTCCCGCGCGCCGACTCGACCTCGTTGAACGCACCCCATGCCGGGCTGTTCACGACGATGTCGGTTATGTCTAACGCAAGGTCTCGACCTGTGCATGCATCGATAGTTTCTGCGGGTTTGTTGAAGGCCCTAGGAGCTGGTGTTGAGCATTCAGATTGTGCACACCCTGCCGGACGCGCCGACTCGACCTCGCCAGACGTACCTCATACTGGGTTGTTCACAACGACGCCGTATACGCCTGACGTGGAGTATTGACCTGTGCGCATGCATCGATCGTTTGCGCGGGTTTGCTGACGTAGTAGTGCGTGGACACACATGAGCGGACCTTCCGAGGGTGCCGCGCCATCAGCTTCTCGTCGAGCGGAACAAGACGGCAAGCTGGTGGCAATGTTAACTCAGCGAGTGCGAGCTCGATGAGCATGCAGCGACGAGCAGAGCCGAGCAGCGGGATGGGCCGTCCGCCGATCGCGCGAGCAGAGATCTTCCCGTCACCAACGGCCGCGATGGAAGTAGGACGCGTGTTCGAGAGGCGGGTGACGACAGCGAGAGCTCCTAGAAAAGATTTACGATCGGAATGGCGCCACATGAGAGGTGGGATGGTGGCGACACCCACTCGCGTCGACTGCATCGCGTATGAAACCGCTTGAGAACGGCGAGACCTGTAGCTCGTCGACTGGCGCCATAGAACGGAGGGTGCATGTATCCCGGTGCATGCAAATTGGTCGCTACGTCCCGAGCGAAGGCGTTAGACAAATTGCCGGAGCGCGAGATCAACGAGACGTATGCTGGAGCAGGGAACGTGCGTGCGGTTTGATGTTGTACAGTCCCGGTGTCGCGACATGCGGTCGATGCAGACTTCGACGAAAGAGCCTATGATTGAGGACGCCAATACGCGCGCGCTGTTGCACTGAGGACACCTATGCAAGCGAGGTTCTTGGTGCATTTCTCGTCCACATAGGCTAGTGGTGCACATACCGATAATGTCGAGGGAGGTTTCTCTGCGGCCTTCACCCGTACCAGCGGACGAGATGCGGCATGAGAAGGGACGGAGGTCGGTGAGGAGGTACCCGGCTGGTAAGCGGCATGGACGGCACAAAAAAGGCATGCGATAGCATTGCACGAGCGGTAGTAGCATCGTGAGACGAACATGTCGGATTCCCTCTAAGGGCGCGAAGGGGTGGTGTATGTATGCGTGCAGCCGAAGATCGGTTCGGGCTACGCAGATGTTGTAAGTACGGCCTGATGACATATGTACCAAGAACGCACCTTGTGCTCACGTATAGCAAATACATCCCTTCCCGAAAGGTGGCGCATGCATCGACTGCCGTGAAACGATGCGCGGGCTGGCGGAGGGGAATGAGGGATAATACCCACTTCCGGGGAGTGGGAATCGTCGTGGGTTTCGAGAGCAACTAGCACACAGCCGGGGGAAGGGTTCAACAGCATGCGCGAGGGTAGGCAGAAGATAGTGCAGGTGCAGGGTGCAGAAAAGGCGAGAGATGCGAAGGAGAACAGCGCTGAAAGACACGTCAAAACGTTTCTGGATGGGGCGAGGTCGAGGTGCTCTCGGAAGACGCTCCAGCGGGCAAAGCTTGAGCAAGGCGGGGAAAACGGAGAGTGAGCGAAGACGGCCATGGGTAAGGATCATGCTTGAGACGAGGGTGGGAAGCACTCGGGCTGTGCGTGAGCGATAAGGTAGACTTGTATTACGTTGCTTGAGACGACCAACGGCGATGAGGGCACAAGTACTGGCATCGAAGGACTTAGAGGAGAGAGGAGGGAGTGGAGCGTCGAAGTTGACCCCGTTGTTCTCGGTGATCAACATTGCTTATCTAAGCACAAAATCCCGCGGTCCTCTGCGAGTTGACGGAGGCGCTGGGAGGATCCTGCTTTGAACGACCACGACCATCGCCGACGACGACGGCCTATCACGCTACGGACGGGTTGGCACTGCCCAGGTCACCCAAACTAGCGAGCAGGCATGGTGAAGAGCAGCACTGGCACTTCAAGTTGACCACCGTGAGTGTGCCATTCCGAATCACCCCGCTCGCGAAAGCCCTCAGCGGTGTACCGTGCACCCGTACTAAGTACTGAACCATCCAGGCTGATTTATGGCTGGAATGCCTAGTGATACGTGGGTCGAGTTCCCCATACCTCTCGGGCAGCCTCTTCACGGCCCTCCTCGACGTATCTCCAAATTCTCGAAGCCGCCCTCCCGCTGGCTCCGCTCGACGCGCTCTGATGCGCAGCTGCCGCCTCCCAGAAGTACGCTTATCTCCTTCATGAAGGCACACCCGATCCTCTGCCGGAGCTAGTGGCTGAGATAAAGTAAGTGCATGCCGGCGGCTAGGGCGTGGTCTGGCAGCGTCGGTTCGTACGCACGGAGGCGACAGCAGCGCAAAGTCTGACACTCTTATGTTTACCCAGGCTGGCAAGATCGAATTTTACCGCGCCGGACGAAATCCAAAAGTATGTCGCCGACGGAGAGCTTTACCTTCGCGTAGACGTGTACACGACGACAGGTGAGTTTCCATGTGCGGCATAGATACCCGTGCACACCACCTACTCACTTCTCTGTGTCACCATCGTCCAGATCCGCCCCAACCCTCTCGCAGGTTTTGCGCACACCCGAATCCGTGACGGGAAATGATTCCGCATCCGTTTCCACTTCGTACCGGAAGCGGATAGCGCGCCTCGGCGTGGGCTGCGTGGGTGCTATTCTCGCAAGTTTTGAGACCTGGTCTCGGCCTGGGATATGCGGTACAGCGATAGATCTAGGTTCGTGTCCTGTGCTCCTGGGGGCTGCGGCTGACCAGCGCGCGACAGCGCATGCTAGCGCTTCTCGTGGCGACCTCCCATACGCCCACCCGTTTCTGACTCATACATTAATTGCGGCGTACGATCGGACTGTATAGGTATGTGGACCGTGCGCATGCGCACGAAGACAGCTGACATTTGAGCCAGATAGCGATGTAGAACCAACCACATAACTTTGCGTTCCGCACCGCCACCTCGGGCTGTGCTTGCCGCTCATCCTAGGAACCTTAGAAGGTTGCTCCGCCATCGCTCTCAGTGTACAATTTCATCCCTCGCAATGCAATTCGTCCTATCTCTACCTGCCATACACCTGATGTGCCGCTCGCTGCAAAGAACGACATAGCGCTCGATCACATCCGCCCGTCGGGGTAGTGCTCGCCGGCTTCGCACGATCGAGCATCGCCCATCTGTCAACATCCGAATGTCTGCGACAAGTCAGGCTTCTCTGACTCTCTGTTCGCTCCACCACGCGGTCTGGCTGTGTAGCTGGGCGAAAATAGCACAGCTTGCGCAGGACCCGCGCGACTACCTAGAGGGTGGCTGGCAGTCCGGCGAACCTTAGTGTGAATACTGGGCCGCGTCTCCTTCATTCTCGTCTACTCTTCACTAGACCTCCCCTTCTTCGATCCCCACCTACGCCGCCCTCTCCCAGATCCCCTCCCCTCCAAGGAGTTCACCTTCTCCGAACCACCCTTCGTTACTGAGGACGGTGCTCACAATCGCCGCATGTCGGACTCGCCTCTAGGGCATATGGCTGAGCATGGACCGCACGGAATGCGCAGTACGCGCATGCCTGCTTGGATGGAGGTACGTGTTTCTATAAACCGTGTGGAGGCTAGGGCTGCCCCGCGCCCTTCGTCCTCTCTATTTTCTTCCATCTTAATATATTCTCTGCTAGACCTCCCCCTCGATCGGTATAGACGCTACCCTCTCCGAACTTCCCTTCTTCCCGGAGGAATGCACCCTCTCCCAATTCCCCTTCTTCTCTGAGGACCGTGTCGACGATCTACCCCTCCCGCCTACACCTCCGTCTGTCTGCGAGGAGTGCTGGAAGGGACCCTTTGCGATGCATTTCGGGATTCCGTGCATGTCGCCACAGGACGGGAAATGGTACCGACACTGGCCCGAGGAGATCACATATGTGACCACGGTGGGAAAATTGAAGGCCCGTGCCAATGCCGGCTGCGTATGGTGTCGGTTCATCCTTGGCCACCGCATGCATCACGAGACTGATACTGTAACCGTCACGGTGTGGGGCACTAGGGAGAAGTGGCTATGGGTAGAATGTCATTTGGATTATCAAAAATTACATGTGAAAATCAACGGAAGCGAGTACGGTGGCTTTATAGCCATATATACAGCTCCAGGTGCGTCAGGTAGATTATTTAGCACCAGGATGGAGCTGACAAATATCTCTAGATGACCCCGCAGCATCCTACATCACAACACGAAGGCCTATTCTAGACGTCAAATCCCCTCGCGCCTTGGCCCTCGCAAGGCAGACGATCGACGAGTGCATTGAAAAACATGAGTGCTGCAGACGTGCAGCTTCCCCGAGCCCTCGACTTCCCACACGGCTTGTGGACTGCACCAACCTCGCTCATCCACGACTAGTTTCGGCACCCGGCGGCGAACACGGCCAATACCTTGCGCTTAGCTACGTGTGGGGAAAGGACTCGGAGCAGACACCCTATCGAACAACCACATCCAACTTATCCACCTACGAACACAGAATCGACCCGCGTGTTCTCCCCTTGACCATCCGCGACGCGATCTATGTCACGCACAAACTCGGCTTCCGGTGGCTCTGGGTCGACAGCCTGTGTATCATCCAGGACTCGGACTCGGACAAGACACACGAAATCGGCCGCATGCACCACGTCTACCGCTATGCACATGTGACGATCATGGCGGGCAGCGCGGAAGGAGTCGGCTCGGGCTTTCTCCAGAAGCGATCTCCTCCAGACGACGTCGCTCTCCCCTTCATCTGCCCTCCCTATCCTCCTAACTCTACGGAGCACCAGTACGACCATTTGCTACCACAGAAGCTGCAGGTCGGTCAGGTGTACCTCACAACTTCTGAGGATAGGCCCGGGGTGAAGGCGTACGAAGACGAGCTCGGGTGCATGGCAACACGCGCCTGGTGCATGCAAGAGTACCTGTTGTCCCCACGTGCCCTCATCTTCACCCCCAGAACGATCCTGTTTAGGTGTCTGACCGCCAAGGCTGGCACAGTGGGTGTTAGCAACCTACACTACTCCATATGGGGCGAGCCTCGCATACCCATCTCACTCTTCCTCCCACCAACGGCACCTGCACCAGAGCCTGATTCGAAGGAGTGGCGGGAGATGTGCCGAGCCTGGGCGTATGTTATCGAGGACTACACCCGCCGCACAGCGAGCGACCCGTTGGACAAGCTGGTCGCGTGTGCTGCCGTTGCGGAGCAATTCCATCGTGCCCTGGGGTCTGAGTACCTCGCAGGGTTCTGGCGCTCGGATGCGCTCCTCGTCCACTTGCTATGGGAGGCTAAGCATGGCGACTGGGATACTAGGGGGACGGGAAAAGTATGCGGACACCGACATGCTCGTCCAGCAGCCTACCGCGCGCCGTCATGGTCGTGGGCAGCAATCGATGGACCAACCTCCCACTTTGGTGCCAACCAATGCGCTCTGCTCCTTGGAGACCCACGAACTGTTGCGCTCGCAAAGGTCGCTGAGTGCTGGGTTGCACTCGAACACCCCGAGCTTCGCTTCGGTCGGGTGACGGACGGGGCCCTCGTCCTGCGTGGAGCACCGATACTATGCAATAGTAGCCTTGCTATCAACCTTTCCAGCTTTTATAGCCTCCCTATACCGTCTTTCGGGGAAGTACGGCACCAGTGGCAGTGTGGACTTGGGGGCTTGATTTTGGATGAAGAAGACGACATCTACCTGACGAAACCAGGGGAGCACGACACAGCAATTCTTACCATGGACTGTGATGTCGACGAACTGCCGGGGAGGATGTGGCTTGTCCCATTTGTGCGAAAAAAGTGGGATGTTTTCGACCAGCCTCGGGAGGACAGCGTGCATGGGATTGCCCTCGAGCTCGCTCCTCCATCAGACACCTTAGGGTCTTCACCCAAGAAGAGTCGCTTTCGGAGAATTGGTTACTTTTCGGACCGCATCCACGCGGCGACACCCGGCGAGGACTTCCAGGAGCATCCACTGTGGGATCCGCTAACTAGGGCGGTGAAGATGGGAGAGTTGCCGTGGATGGACATTGAGATCGTTTGAACGGATTGTGCTTGCATGTAATTTATCGCTGTCTCCAGTTTGGGAGGGCATGGACATTGGCGGCTTACGGTCACGACAGATTGTGTACGTATATATGCTGTTGGTGTCGGTTTTGCAACATGACTCTTTGATTGTGATTCCGCAATGTTCCTACGTCTCAACTCTGAAGTATACCTCTCGGTCACCAGTGTAGGCCAACGGATCGATACTTCATGTAGAGGAGGTTGTCTAAACATGCGCTAGGGGCAGGATACATTACCAGACCCATTTGTATCCGAATCAACTCAGCAATATTTGTCGTGCCGTCACGCACAGTATCCACTACTTTTTGGATTGCGGACAACCCGCACTGATCTAAGATAAATATCTTCTATTAGTCCTCCCATCATTGCATCTCTACCGCAACTGTACTTACCACACGTAAACACACTTCACGATCCCCTTTACTTGCGCCCTCATTCAGATTCTCCTGGTAGAACTCGTGCCTTCCAGTCAGCAGCGACTCGGCGAGCATACCGTTGCCCACAACAAGCGCGTCATTACCGGAAAGGGCGTATAGAAGCAGCTCCGGAACACCCGTGATAACTTAGAAACCTACTCCATCACGGTATTCTTCGCGTCGCCCAGAGGGTGCCGTCCGCACCGCATCGGATGGGCATCCAGCTTGTCGTATGTCGGATGTGCGGTCCACCAGAGTCTCATCTGTTCGCCCTCTGCGGCGAACGAGCCGAGATAGAAAAGAATGATCTGCGAGGACGTCAGTCTAGCGGCGCGGGACCGAAAGCACTCGTCTAGAGGTCTCATGCAGTCTGTCTCGCACCCGATGGAGCCAGGAGGGAACCCTGGACAGGCACGCAATGCATGAGAAAGTTAGGCACGCGAGAAGGAAACGAAGCGCGAGCACGTACCGGATCCGAGGTCGCTGTCGTAGCCTAGGCTGGATCGACCGACCGACTTGTTTCACGTTCCTGAAAGTAGCCTCCGCGAGGGAGACGTTCGCGTGCAATGGAACACCCCAGGAGCTGTTGTCAAGCATTCGAAATACGCACATCCCCGCCCTGCGCGCCGAATGCACTTCATCAATAGTTTCCGATGCGGGCCTGTTGACGTAATGCTTGAACATGAGAGAGCGGTCTAGGAGTAGTCCTTAACGATAGCGGACTCAGTGAGGGCGCGTGCAGACAAGTAGATGTGACGTTGATCGGCGAAGTGGTGAGCACGCTGTCAGGAGACGTGTATCGTAGACCCACTGCGCGAAACCCTGGGAGATAACGCGATGTCTAAGCCGATTGCGGCTCAGTCATCGTTCCCTGTAATCTCTCGACTACGCATTTGACTTCGTCTTGTCAGTCTACGGCCGAGCGGGGATGTGATGGATTTTTTATCACCTGGAGACACGGGGACGGATGTGCAATGTATTAGCAACCGGCTGCGGTGCGAGCAGAGCATACCAGCTAGTGCACTTACCACGCCAAGTGCCTTTGGTTCTTTGCGCAGAAATGTGCTCCCGGAAGGCAACATCCACAGCTTTAGTCTACGGACGACCTTAGCTACAGTACGCATTACGTGGAATGATCATATAATGTACGAAATAACTTAGCGGAACGCACCATGAGCCATGTCAGGGGGTGTTGAGGTACGAGACGTCGAGCTTCCACGACGCGTTACCGGCCAGGTCTCTACGCGGTGAAACTCCTTCACTGGTATAGCCATCCTTGCAAAAACGCCGCCGATGTGAGCGCGGTGTGGCATCGTGCCCATTGCAGATAGTTGAGGATGCTCCGGAGAAGCGGCACGCGAATGCGGAGGTTACTTGAGCGCTGGACATTGCACGCGGGAAAGACAAGTTCGAGGTCCTCCGCCACCGACGGCTGGCATTCAAACCTATCGTGCGAGTTGGTGATTCCAGGGCAATCATGTCGGGACTTCCTGGGTATCTACCGTCAGAATGGTTCCGTGTGAGGGGTAAGATGGAGACGATACGCACTCGGTTTGACTGCTTTTTACTAGGCTGGTGGAACAAGCGACGATTTGTTTCTCGTCGGAGGCCCGGCGCGCGATGACACGTAGGCTGCATGTGCCCTAGTGCAAACGAGCTGACCGCTGCCGTCGCGGAGACTCGGGCATGCTGCTGGGTACGAGGTCCACGAGTCACACGCCGGCGCCGCGCGACGTACGCACGGTTGACAGCGTCACATGGTACCTGCGTCGCGATCGACGGTAGATACCCGCGAGAGCAGCGGTCAGGGAGGCAGGCAGAAGCGCAGCGATGTTGTTGCACGGCGCCTATGAACGCGTGGTTGTTAGTGCACTCCAACGGCCGCGTGAGCTGGTGCTACGCATACCAGTAGATGCGAGGATTTCCCTGCCGTTCGGACTTGGCATGCGGCTGCCATTGGTAGACGGCACAAGGATGAACAGCAGTTCGTGCGGAGAGGTCTTCGCCTAGTGAACGGCATGGCGGGCATAAGGAATACTTACGAGCTTTGCGCAAGCCGCAGCGCCAGCGTTATCCTATAGCTAGCACGCTGCATACCGTTGAATTGTGCGTGTGGTATGATGCGCATGGCGACAGATTCAGATCTCTGAGAACATTGTGAGTACGGTCTGAGTATGGGCAGGCTATAAACACACTTTGCACGAGTACAAACCGTCTTTCTCCTTTCCAGATAGGCAACGCATGCGTCGGCGGGTGTGGATTGACGCGAGGGACAGCGATGGGCGAGGGACATCGAGATGCGCAATGAGAGTTGTGGGCGTCTTGCAGGCCAGAGATGAGGATCTCTGAGACTTTGAGTGCGAGTCATTCAAGGGTATTGGAGCGAGTCGCGCACGCGTACGAGGGCGGAGGTGGACGGAGAGCACGCGAGCGCAGAGCAGGGAGTGCAGGCGCGGGGCGTAGGAAAGACAAGCGATACAGAGGGTAACGGTGCCGAAAGAAATAAGTCGTGACTGAGGCAAAGTAGAATGGCTGCTGGAGGAATCCCTGTTGGGCAGAGTTCGTGCGCGATGGAGAGACCAGAGTAATAGGGCAGTCGTGAGGGGAGACGAGTCGGATTGAGGGACACGAGGCCCGGGGGGCTTCCAAACGCCTGGACGGCGGTGTGTCGTCGAGTAGACATGCATCTGAAAACGCGTCAACTTGCTGCTTGGAACAGCGAAGTGCAGCAGTATCGAAGGCTACGAAGCGCAGGAGGACCACGGTAGTGTCGAGGAGAGAGACCGCAAGCCGACTCCGCGCCTCTCGGAAATAAGCGCGCTTATCTAAGCGTACAATCCCGCGAGGCGCGGAGTACTCAGGAGGCGCTGGGCGACGCTGCTCACTCAGACCAGTGCGACTACCGACGCCCTACTTCGAGTTCTCATCTCGCATGGACGCTCATTGCCTTTCTCTGATCTCTTTTCGTCTTGGTTGCTTTGATTCTGTTCGACTGGCTCCTTAATGGTGTTTTATAGCTGCCATCAAGCCGTGGAAGGCGGCGTTCGTCCTTGAAAGGGCGTCAGCTGCAGCTCTCGCGCTGAGTGGTGTGTCCGTCCCCTCCTTCGAACATCAATGCTCTACTAAATACACAACTGAATCGCAGATGGTCTCCCACTGTTATAGCTCTCCGTATGCATCTCGCTCCGTCTTCAGGGCCCGGGCATCGCACGTTCACCAGCAGCAAGCCGTCGCGCTCCAACTACGTCGCACTCGTCTACCGTTTGCGCGCGCACCTGCACGGCGATCCCTTTCGTCGTTTCTCGCAGCACTCTCTACATCTCTATTCCCAACCAAGATGGCCAGCGCGCACCGCCGACGTAGCACATTCGTAGGAAAAGGCGGCGATTGGCACGGAGTTCCGCAAGACCGCGCGCTGGATGTCGTGTATAGGCTCTACATATAGGTGCGTTCTGTTTTGACATTTGCCTGAGGAGAACTGGTGACATCAACATTCCGACCGTCTCTATAGATAGTTGAATGGCCAACTGCGCCTGTCCAAGGTGCCCCCGTGTGCGGCACCAGCCTCGCTCTCAGTCGGTTCTATGGCGCGATGCAGTCCCACAGCTCTGTGGTGTCCTTTGAACACGCGTACCCAGCTTGAGCCGTGCCCGTACGCATCCTGAACACCTCTCGTGCTCTGCATTACTCTACGTCATCTTCGAGAACACTGCCTAGTCCTCTACCCTGCTCTTTGCCCCGTACACCCTCCTGCGCAAGTACCCCGACGCGACTGTTAAACTCTGCTACGCACTCGTCGACAGTTCATGCCCTATACCTCCCCGCCACGCTGTCTCGCACCTCTTCGCAGCCCGTCGCGCATCTGCACAAGCTGCGCGTAGCGTGACGGGCCGTTGTGGGCGACTACCCGCGGCGCCGCGACATCTCCCGCCCGGTCAACTCGTCCCGTGCGGTGTCATCGCAATCATGTCCGAAGGGGTCTCTACGGAGTATCTTGCAAGTCTCTGGTGCGACTGCCTGCTTAGCGACATGCTGAGATGTCTAAGCGTCCCCGGGCGGCAACATCACACGTCCCGACTCCCGCCGCATACTGCGTGCTGTCGTTATTGGGGGCGGCTTAGACGCGGTGGCCTGAAACACGCTGAGAGTCTGTGGACGTCGTTGTGGAGGTCGTGGGTGCAAAACCGTGCCCACGAGAGTCACCGCGGTGCTCGTCAACGGCTCGCAAGACCCCCACTCTTCCGCGAGGGCTATTGCGCTGGACTGGTATGTTATTCACGGTCCCGTTCGCTGTTGAATTCGCGCGTCTCTGCGCTCATCAAGAATGTCTTACAAGCATAGATCTACCGGATTGTACCAGGCATCGCATACACGTGTGTCCTCTACGTCAACCCTCATCGGCAGCACGCAGACTAGATCTCCGTAGGTCGCAGAAAACAAACATCTCGTAGGCTAAATCCGATCAACGTGTATACAATGCAACGTGGCGGTGTTCTTCCGCGTACTTCGAGGGGCAGAGGACATAGCTTCTGTCACCTTCAGGAACTGCTGTTGTTATGCGGTGCGTCTGCCATATCCTTCCTGTCTGACTCACGGAAGTTCTAATCCCGTAGGTTTACAGATAAGCCTCTCGATCGGCGCTGGGCTATGCGCACACCTTCACGACCACATCGCGTTCCCTTCAACAAGTCTCGCCCGCATCGCTCCCACATTTCCTTATCTCGCTCTAAGGACGCTTGCCCCGTGCGTAGTCCGGCCTGCGAAGGTTCTGTGTCCTGCGAATCGGAGCTTTGAGAGTGTGGGCCAAGGCGTCTACCTTGTACTGCTAGCGCACGACGAACCGATAGCGCCTATTTTTGCGACCCCTTCCAGGCCTCACTCTCCAGGTTCCCATCCACGCACTGATGGCAGCGTACGGGCGAGGCACGTAGGTACGTGAATCGTACACATGCGCACTGCTATACGGCTGACAGTCCAGGTAGATATTCACAATACGACTAGCTTTGCGTTCTGTGTCCTCTCACATAGGCTGTGCTTGCTACTCGAGCGCTTCGTCTTATTAGGCTCCTGTCGAAGGTCTCTCGGACATCACTCTCCGTGTACAGCCTTATCTTCTGCAATGCATGCTTCTTCGCCCTCCTCGTTGCGCATCTGCTGCGCCGCTCCGAAGAGGAGCATAACGCGCGAGCAATGCGACCGCATTTCTTCGCACTCAGTCCCACGGCCACTTCCAGATGTCGTTCGCCGGCACAGCGCAATCTAATATCACTCGCCGCCTAAGCTCCGATTCGCTATGGCAGGTCTTCCCTGTCGACGACCACTACATAGCCCTGCGGTCAGCGTCCCGGGATGTACCGCTGAAGGAACAGTTCACGGCAAGCCGCATGGCCAGGACGCGCGGCATTGCGTGGGGGACGGTCAGCGTTTATGAATCAAGTGGAGGTCGAGGCGGACCCGCGTCCTTCGTCCTGTCCACTCCCAATCCGACACATCCTCTAGGCTGAACCTCCTCGTCTTCCCCTTCAATCCCGGTGTCTGTCGCGCTGTGAGCTCCCCTCCTTCCCGGAAGCATACATCTTCCCCCGACCATCCGTCGTCTTCGAGGACAGTGACAACGATCGCCACCTGCAAGCTCGGCCGCCACCTTTGGACCATATGGCTCCGCGTGATCCGTACGCTATACAGGGGACGCGCGTGGCTGACTGGACGGAGGTAAATGTTTCTATAAATCATGTGGAGGTCAGTGCCGCCCCGCACCTTTCGTCCTCGCCGTCTACTCTCATCTCAACCCATCCTCTCTGCTAGACTTCCCCGTCTTCGATTCCTCTAGACGCCACCCTCTCCGAGCTCCCCTTCTTCCCCGAGGAATTCACCCTCTCCCATCTGCCCTTCTTCTCCGCGGACTGTGTCGACGATCTTCCCCTCCCACCTACGCCTCCGTCTGTGTGCGAGGAGTGCTGGAAGGGACCCTTTGCGATTCATTTCGGGATCCCCTGCGTGTCGCTCCGAGATGGGAAATGGTACCGAAGCTGGCCCAAGGAGAATACGTACATGAGCTCGTGGGCAAAACTGAAGACCCGTGCCGATGCAGGCTGTGTATGGTGTCGATTGCTCCTCGATCTGGACGTCGCACAAGACGATGACCCCGACAAAACAGTGACTATCACAGTGCGGGGCGGTGGGTTGACTAAGAAATGTCATGATGAATCGGGTCCCTACCAGAAGCATCAAGAGGTAGAGGTAGAAATCAACGAGAACGCCACCTCTATGATTATATATGCAGCTCCAGGTGCGTTAGGTAGATATATACCAGGATGGAGCTGACGATCAGCCCTAGATGACCCCGCGGCACATTACATCACAAAACGAAGCCCGATCCTGGATGTCAAATCTCCTCGTGCCTTGGACCTCGCAAGACAGCTCAGCAATGAGTGCGTTGACAAACATAAGCGCTGCAAAAGTGCGGCTTCCCTAAACCCCCGCCTTCCCTCGCGGCTTGTGGACTGCACCGATCTTGCTCATCCACGGCTGGTTTCAGCGCCGGGCGAACATGGCGAATACCTTGCGCTGAGCTACGTGTGGGGAAAGGACTCGGAGAAGACTCACTATCGGACAACTACATCTAACCTATCGACCTATGAACACAGAATCGACCCGCATGTTCTCCCCTTGACCATCCGCGACGCCATCTATGTCACACACAAACTCGGCTTCCGGTGGCTCTGGGTCGACAGCCTGTGCATCATCCAAGACTCGGACGAGGACAAGGCGCACGAAATCGGTCGCATGCACCACATCTATCGCTATGCCCATGTAACGATCATGGCCGGTAGCGCGGAAGGAGTCGACTCGGGCTTTCTTCAAGAGCGATCTCCCCCAGACGACGTCGCTCTCCCCTTCATCTGCCCTTCCTATCCTCCGAACTTTCCGGGATGCCACGATGGCCATTCGGCGCCGCGAAAATTCCAGGTCGGTCAAGTGTACCTCACCCGGGGGATGAGCGACTGTAATCCATACAGCGACGAGCTCGGGAGCATGGCGGCGCGCGCCTGGTGCATGCAAGAGTATCTATTATCCCCACGCGCTCTCATCTTTACCCCCAGGACGCTCCTGTTTAAATGTCTAACCATCAGCGACATGGCGAATGTTGGCAATTCATACTACTCCGTATACGGCGAACCTCGCCTACCCACTTCGCTCTTCCTCCCGCCAACAGCGCCTGCGGAATATTCTGACGACAAGTGGTGGCCGTCCGGGAAGGACATGTACAGGGCCTGGATGCGTGTCGTGGAGGACTACACCGGCCGCGCAGCTAGCGACGAGTCGGACAAGCTCGTCGCGTGCGCTGCGATTGCGGAGGAGTTCCACCGCGTCCTGGGCTCTGAGTACCTCGCGGGGTTATGGCGCTCGGGCGCGTTCATCGTCTACCTGCTATGGGCGGCTGATCACTCCAAGGAACAATCACTCGGATGCAGACATACTCGCCCAGCAGCGTACCGCGCGCCGTCATGGTCATGGGCGGCGGTCGATGGAGAAATCAATCACTTTCATGCCAGTAAATGCGCTCTAAGCTTTGCAAGCCCACGAACTGTCGTACTCGCGGAGGTCACTCAGTGCTGGGTCACGCTCGAAGATCCCACACTTCGCTTCGGTCGAGTGACAGACGGGGCCCTTGCCCTGCGCGGAACACTGATCCCCTGCCATGGTGGGCTCGCTGAAAGATCTCCGGACTTGCCAGATTCTTGGACCGTTACCCTGCCGTCCTTCGAGGACGTACGACACCAGTGGCAGCGTGGACTTTGGGCCTTGATCTCGGATGAAGAAGACCACGTTTACTCGACGGACCCACGATGCTCCGCACTAGTGACCATGGACTGCGATGTCGACGAACTGCCGGGGAGGATGTGGTTTTCCCCATTCGTGCCGACCAAGTGGAACACTTACCAAGACGATATGCTCGGGGTTGTCCTCGAGCTCGCTCCTCCATCGAACAGCTCAGGATCCGCATCCGAGAAGATTTGCTTTCGGAGGATCGGAGCCTTCCGGGACTTCGTCACAGTGGCAAGACCCGGCGAGAACTTCAGGGGGCATCTACTGCGGGATCCGCTTACTCGGGCGGTGAAGATGGGCGAGTTGCCGTGGATGGACATTGAGATCGTATAAATGAATGTTGCTTGCATGAATTATTTCACTGACTCGGACTTAGGAGGGCATGGACAATGGTTTGTGGCTAGGACAGATATACATATACATCGTCTGTTTTAGTGTTCCAATCTCCCTCGCGGCGGCGTACGTCGATCTGGATTCTACGGGCACGCATACCACAAATGTAGAGAAGCTCGCGGCAGGGTATGCACATCTCGAGAGGCGACTACATGATTCTTGATGACATCTTCCTGGTACGCGTCATCGACGACGTCCGGTCCCTCCATGGCTTGCGATCTCGCCAACAGCGCAGCCAATGCGCACGGCTGAGATTTACCCATGTCCTACAAGAAAGATAAGGCTCCGGCGCGAAGGGAGATCAGCGTAATCCGGCATCTAGCTTATATATGCTGCCCGCATCTAGCGAAAGGGACCTCCTTCAAATGTAGGAAGGCCGCCTTACAACTAGCTAATTCATACTGGAATCCCGCCCCAGATACCCAGCCCGGGACATAGCGCAGGAAAGGAACATAGTCGACGGGGTGTGTCCGGGTCGCGAGGTCGGACGTGCAGTGAAGGGCGTCTTGTACCCTCACGATGAGCTCGCGGTTCTCGTCTTGGTGGGTGTCGAGGCCGTAGAGAACTTTCATGTTCGTCGCCGAAAGTGCGCTGTAGGTTGGACGTCGTCTCGTCGGTTCATATCGGTATCCTTGCGTACTCACAAGCGGAGGTGCTGCTCGAAGTTCTGAGGAGACTCCTGGAGCTTCGCGAGGAGCTCGTGCGCGAACTCTCGTTCAGCGCTGTGATATTCGCCAACTTTTCCTGGGTGAAACACCTGCCAGAATGCGCGACGATGGTCCCTCCACCATTGCCTTTACCTCATGACAGTGAACACTAAGTCGTTCCCGATACTGATGTGCTCGTTCAGGTGTTGTGCAGGCGCGTACGGAAGCGGCATCATAAGGACTCACAGCGGAAGCAGATGACTAGGTGGGCGGTCAGACGTATTTGCAGAGCCCTTTTCTAATATCTCTGTCGCTGCTCGTGCGCTGCCGACGATGAGCATGGGCCTGCCCAGCAGATTCAGGTATACGATTTCTCCTGCCGGATCCTCATTAAGTGGCCAAGTGGCTTTCATAGACCATGCACATACCGTGTTCTGAGCATAAGTCCCTGAATCCAACCCATTGTCTGAGTTGTGGCATATCTAACAAGTTTCCGATGAAGGGGAGTGGCCGAGGACCAGGAGGGAGAGGACGGCCTCCCTATAAGGCCTCTATGCGCTAGTACGAAGCGTCTGTCGGCCGTTAGTGGTGCTCAGCTCCCGCTTGCCCTCCATCAGTGGCTTTGACATGGTGCCCCACACAACCGAGAGCCGAGCGGGCATAGTGAGCTGTGCTTCATTGGAGATGCCGTATGGGCCTTCAGATAGGCGGGCATTAGACTGCGGGCAGGCACAGAATATGGGTCTTGTGTCTGGAGGCGAAGGTTTGCACGGCGAGTGCCTCATCAGGCCGACCTACTCGACATGTCTTGTCCATCAATGATGATTATAGGTTCTTGAAGTACATCGTACACAAGATCTTAGCATGATAAGCTCAGTCTGAGAGATCATAGCGCACAGAGATGTCGCAGTATGCAAGGAACTCACATAGCTAGCTGAGGCATGCTAGCGCTCTTGAGCGCACGCGTGTTCTGCGAGAAGCCTCGATGCATCTCCACGGCCCGCCAACGAACAGTGGACGCGGTCTCAGGCTCCTAAGATAAGAGCGCGGGCTTGGTCCGAACGCGGTTGCACTACGCATCGACAATCCTTGACGCTCCTGTTGAACCGTTAGCGGCATATCAGACGAGCCCTGGGCACGACTACGGGCCCATGACTTACGTGACCAGGGCATCCGTTTGCTCATACTTGATCTTGATTGGCTGTCCGCCCTCGTCGAGAGGAGGCCCAATATCGAAGACGTGTAGGACGGTCGCGATAGTGATATAGAGTAAGTCGTCTGCGAAATGACGCCCTGGGCATATCCTGGGCAGCAGAAAAGAGATGTCAACTTCAAGTAGAGCCATGATTTACTTAACTCACCTTCGTCCGTACCCGAAGACGAATAGATACGGATCGCGGACATTCGGGTCTGGTACGCCATCTCGAAGGAAGCGCTCGGGTCGAAACTCTTCCGGGTCCTCGTACACCGCCGGATCATGCAGCATCGCCCTAGACACTGGCCATAAGTATGTATACAAAACGGAAGACGTTGCCTGGGGAGTCGACTTACCAGATATTGGGCAGAATGGTGGTGCCAGCGGGTATGAAGTATCCGTTGAACACATCATCCTCCAGTGTGCAATGGGGTACGGACAGCGGCGTCACAACATGCCACCGCAAAGCCTCTTTGATGATAGCGTTGACGTAGACAAGCGCATCCCGATCCTCGAAGTCGGGCAAGCGGCTGGGACCGACCACCGCATCAAGCTCCGCTTGAGCCTTCCTCAACACCTCTGGGTAGAGAGACATGGCGAGAAAAATCGCCTGTAAGATCGAAAACGACTGAAATGATATCAGTCCCATGGCAACTGACAGAAGTAGCATGTGCTGACCGTGTCAGGACCGGCTAGATGGTGCACAAACATATGAGTACAGCTGTGATCACAGCGCTGCCACACCCGTGACGTACCCTCAAATGTGGTCAGGCCGACATTCTTGACGGTATCTTCTTCGTACGCACGTGCTGCAGCGTCCGCTGTGTCATCTATTCTAGCCAACAACACAGCAAGCGCGGACGAGGTGCTTCCAAGTTTGCCGTCGTCCTATGGGGATCTATCAGCAAACGGCTGGTCTTGCCACAGTATTGCTCGCTCACCAAAAGCGCCTTCATTTTTGCGAACGGCATTTCTCTGGCGTATGTTACTGCGGCTTTACACTCGGCAAACGCACGCTGGAAGCCTGCGCCTGGGACCCAAGCAGGTACGTGCCGCAACGCCGGGAAGATGTCGACCGCGTGTTTGCTGATCATGACCGATGTAGTGCAGCTGATGGATTCGTGGATCTTGTCAATGAGCTCGCCCCCTTCTTCGTCGGCATCGAGGCCGTATAAGACCTTCAATATGATCGCCGCGAACATGCTGTAACAAACGACCATCAACCAATCCGCCTAACGGAAGGGAAAAATCGATGGCAATCTGCGAGCTCACCCGTAGAGGTGTTGTTCGACGCCCTCGGGAGAAGTGACAGTGTTTCGCAGAAACTCATGCAGGAACGCCCGTACAGTGTCTCGGTAGCCCCGCATAGCTCCGGGATGGAAGACCTGCCAGAATGCGCGCCTGTGGTCCCTCCACCACTGCCCGTAGGGCATGATGCTGAACGACACGTCGTTCCCGACACTAATCAACGTGAGCCAGATCCGAAACCGACACCACCCGAACTGAGATGTGGTACGGCTTACAGAGGGATCACTACACTCGAGGGTCGGCTGCACGTATTCGCGGACCGTTTCTCTAACAGCTCCTGGGCCATGTTCGCATCGTCGATTGCGACTATGTGATTCCCGAGAACGTTCAGGTATACGATACCGCCTATGTCTATTGTAAGAAATCGCTACCGGGTGATGTGAAGAATGAAAGCTCTCACCATATTTCGTGCACAGATCCTGGAAAAACAGCCACTTCCTCTTCTCTGGCATGTCTAGCAAGTTTCCAATCACGGGGAGCGGCGCTGGACCGGGAGGGAGAGGTCTACCCCTCCGGCGGTTTCTCCAGCTGATTACCGACCACATATACGTGAGCAGGAGAAAGGTAGTCACAGCGGCGACGACGACGACGACAACGCTGGAGATCGAGTCGAGGGCGGTGGAGGCGTACATGATGGGGCGCAGAGGCGTAGCTCGCATCGATGCGAACCAGAAGAACATACGATGGATTTTAACTGGTCAGACGAGCGTCCATGATGCCGACTGTCATAATCTCGAAAGGCTCGGAAAACATTCGAAGGGCACATGAGCTAGCCTATACAAGAATCTACGCGACTCAATGGTCAGCTGCTGGACGGCGTTTGAGAGGTATTACATAGAGGCTAGAAGGACGCACGTACGTAATTTAACATGTGTGCGGTCTCAAGCGGCGTGAAAGAAGTCGCTTTCGAGTTTAAGAGCCTTCGAGACGAGCGGCTTTGCACCCAACAGGCGCCTCCAGCGCCAGCTGCCGCATTAGATCTAGGACAAGGACAAGTTGACTTTCAATTCTGGACATATCTCTGAGCAACTCGAAAAGGATAACTTGCCATACTCGAGTGATAATAGACCAGTTAGTCATATGGGTGGTCCGGTAGATAAGTCACCCCCGAGGAGTTCATGTTTATAATGAGACAGTGGTGGTGTGCGGTGCAACTTGCCAAGACGTTCGCGACGCCGACATTAGCATACACGGTATCCTTCTTTATGTACACCTAAACGTGTACGTACCTGTGTGCAGTTGTTTCGTTAAATAGATAGTGGAAGAATTTAGATTTGAGGTACCTACATCGCATTGAGGTAAAGAGGCCTCCCGTTTATTCATCGGCCAACCAGCCCTCTTCACTGAGCGGCTTCAAAGCATCCTCCCACTCCTGGCCCTCCTCCCTGCGCACTTCCTTCCAGTCACTCACGTTGTCGCTTCCCAAGTCGATCCACTCGCCCTCGCGTGGCGAGTACAGATGAGGGCAACCGGGGAGATCGCTGACCCAGCGATATACGCCGCCCTGCTCGAGCGTAGGACGCGTGTCGACTTTGAGCAGCGCGAGTGTGGTGTGCGTGGTGAAGAACAGAGATGCGGTGGTAGGCACCTGAGCGGCTGTGGAGAGGTGAATGAAGCCGTCTTGCCGATCTAGGTCGCTTAGCGGCAGCGCGGAGGGTATGGGTGTGGGCGGTGCCGAAGGCAAGATCTTGAAGACATAGCGAGGGAGAGGGTATGTTGGCGTTTCTGTGTTGGTGGCCATATCGATACGCTCAAGTACACAAAAGTATGAGAGAGTGAGCGAGTGACTGCCACCGAGATAATTTGTGGCTGAGAAGTCCGAAAGTGATTACGTAATGCAAGAGCCAGGATATTTGGTCTACGCGGTTGTGCATAATAGTACTTGGGATGCACTTCATCGACGCTTTCGTTCCTCCACCCTGAAATTTGAATGGTAGATCGTCGCGCCGTGTCCTTGTGTAGCAGTAATGCGAGAGCATTCAGTCGGTTATGTAACGGCAACCAATCTCGCGCGTCGCTGCGCGCCCGCCGGGGCAGTGGATGTGCCGGCGGGGGAGGTGATCGGGGTAAAACTCGTGACACACACTGTAGCCGGATGCGGGGTAGGGGATTGCCGGGGCAGCGTACATATGCGCGCGGCGGGCAGCGCACCCGTCCTCCTGAGCTGCACTGTCGCGCTCTTAACCTTTCTTGGAGCCTGTCTGGCAGCAACGCCCCTCTATCTCCCTGCTTCATATACTACGCGCTTCGGGACGGGCAGACAGATCTCAGTCTCTCTCCCTGCCTGCATCTACGCACTCGCATCCAAACGCTGTCTATGTTCCAGTCAAGCCGACGCGCTGCTCAGGCTGCTTCGTCCCGGTCTCTTCCTGCATTGGTACGTCACCGCATTTCTTTTCCGTGCTTCTGTGCTTCGCGGGCGAGGCGCGGCTTGGTGGGAAGGTGGTCGTCGGTGCGGGCCGGGGGATGCAATGACGAAGGAATGGTGGGAAACGACGCCGGGGAGCATGGCGCTGCGCAAAAGCACCCGATCTCTCCTTCGCGTGGCCGACTCGTTCCGTCGCCACCACGCCATCCCGCGTCTTTGCGCCATACTCGTCCGGTATGAGATGGGCCGTCTCCATCGCGGTGGGCGCGACCGCGGCTGCGAGAGCGGGCTGGCCGCACCGACCAGGAGTTGGCTAGAAAAAGAGCGCAACGCGACGTGCGCATGTCACTCGATGGCCTCGCATTCAGGTCAAAGCAAACCAGCGATCCGCGCTTGTTCCATGGAACGGCCTGAACGTGTTCCGTGGAACATCTGCGCCAGATGATGGGACTCTGCAGGTGTGGCAGGCGTCAGCCCGTGCTCGTCGACGGAACAGCGCCAGGACATGCTTGCTGGCGGTGTAACGGACTATGGTCTCCCGGGAAGAGACTTTCAGTTCGAAGGAACGGACTCGCGTCATCCTTCGTATTGCAAGTATGTTCACGGTCCTGAGCAGGAGACAGATCCGCGTCTTCTTTCAAGCCTGGTTCCGGAGAGGTCATAGAGTTTTGCTATCCATGCGTTCTGTAAGAGTCATTCTCTTGCGAAGATGGCTCGTACTGTACGTATATGGCCAATCTTGCGGACCAGTCTTCACCGACCCTTGCCGTGCCGTTTCCGGGCAATCTTCCTGGACCCTGTCCATTGGCTCATCTACTCGTACTCAGTGGGACACGCCCTTGCATTAGCCTGTGCAGGGCTTGTGGCATGGCTCTACATCTAAGTGAATACTCCCCTTGTCGTCTGGTCGTAAGGCTACACTGTGCCTCTCCAGTGCCCAAGTTCGAGCCTGTTCAAGACGCAGGTATTGCGATTGAGGAGCGATCGCCCATATGGCTCTCCCGTCGTTCGCAAGACACTGTGTTTCATGGAGACCGCCCGCGCGTGCAGACCATTCCGATCCTGAGACGGACAGGACGGATGCTGGCCACGGACTCCTCAACCGTCCCAATTCCGTGCGCCGTATGTTGTCGGCCAAAGATTTCCTACCGGGAGACCGTCTCTCCGAATCTCTACATATAGACGAGGTTTCGGGCGTGTCTGAGCACCTCTACGATCCATGCTCTTTTCGACCTGTGTGCGCATCATTTCTCGCCTGCTGCAGGTACGCGTTACCCCAGACTGTGCCGTGGGGAACATGATACGTAGTCCGGGGCGTCAAAACGCCGAGTTTCCCGCCGGATGCATTCCGACTTCTTCTGATGACGTCTCCGTCAGCGCGCTATAAGCAGGCACTGACCAAACTCTCTGTAGTCCCACAGGCCTGCTATAATGTCCAAAGCGCGCTCCTTCAAGTCCTCCGCCCCGCGCAAGTCGGAGGTACCGCCTGGCTATGTCGCGGACCCTAATCAAGGACCGATGCTGCGGTATGAAGCGTCGCTGCCACGCCTTCCCGTCCCCACCCTCTCCTCTACCGCCGCGAAGTACCTCGAGACGGTCGAGCCGCACCTCACGCGCGAACAGTTCGCGAAGACGCAGGCTGCCGTGAACGCGTTCGTGGGCTCCGAACAAGGCAAGATCTTGCAGGAGCGTTTACAGGCTCGTGCATCGGACCCGAACACGAAGAGCTGGCTGTCGGAGTGGTGGAATGAGACGGCGTACATGGGATACCGCGACCCGGTGGTCGTGTTTGTGAGCTACTTCTACGTGCATGTGGACGACAAGACGCGGCCTACGCAGGCGAAGCGGGCGGCGCAGCTTTTGAAGGCGATCTTGCCGTTCAGGGCTCTTGTAGAGAGGTGCGTTGGGCATTCTTTCGACAACGTGCGCGTTACTTACTAGTGCACAGCGGCCAGCTGGAGCCAGAGAAGGTGCGTGGTGCGCCTCTTGCGATGTCTTCGTACGAGTGGCTGTGAGTACGTCTCCATATATAGCTACGGATAGAGCCTGACGATGAGCAGTTTCCACTCGTGCCGATACCCCACGAAGCCGTCGGACACCGCTCGTAAGTTTGATCACGCGAAGCACAACCACGTTGTGTTCGCCCGGAAGAACAAGTTCTACAAAGTCGCGCTCGCGGACAGGTCCGGGCGTGAACTCTCCGCGGCGGAGCTCGAGGCGCAGATCGAGAAAGTGATCGCGTTGGCGGGCAGCGAGAAGGCGATACCTGTCGGCGCGCTGACTTCGGACAACCGCGACATCTGGACAGACGTGAGCAGCTCTTCATATCCCACGACATACGCTCGCTCACGTTTTCAATAGGCTCGCGCCACTCTGCTTGCCGCATCTCCTGCCAACGGCGCGTCATTAGAGGAAATCGAGTCCGCGATCCTGGTCATCTGCCTGGACGACACGAAGCCCGTCACGCGCGAACACGCGAGCTGGGAGTGCTGGGTCGGCGACGGCAAGAACCGCTTCTACGACAAGCACCAGCTGATCGTGTTCGAGAACGGCAAGTCCGGGTTCCTCGGCGAGCATTCGTGCATGGACGGCACGCCCACGCTGCGCTTGAACGAGTTCATCCTCGCGGCGCTTGCGCACAACAAAGTCGATCTCGGCTCTGCCCCGACGAATGCGCAGCTCGAGCCGCCTCAAGAGCTCACATTGACGCTTGACGCCCAAACTAAGAAGAATATTTCTGAATCGGAGGCACGCTTCGACGAGCTCGTCGGTGCGCACGAGATGGAGGTGCTGCACTACGAGGGGTACGGGAAGGAGTTCATCAAGGGGCACAAGGCGTCGCCGGACGCGTGGGCGCAGATGGTGAAGCAGCTCGCGTTCCACAAGATGTTCGGGCGGCCGGGCGTATGTTACGAGAGCGCGCAGACGCGTAAGTACCAGCTCGGGCGCACGGAGGTTATTCGGAGCGCGAGCAAGGAGAGCAAGGCCTGGGCGGAGGCGATGCTCGACGCTAGCCAATCGGTGATTAGCCATTCTCCTGCTAGATATTGAGTGACGCGCTGACGAGACGTTTACAGGACGAGCACCGTGCGGCGCTATTCCGCAAGGCCGTCTCGCGTCATTTGCAATATGCCGCGTGGGCGGCGGATGGTCAGGGCGTGGATCGCCATTTGTTCGGCCTCAAGAAGTGCCTGAAGGAGGGCGAGCCGGTGCCGGAGATCTACACTGACGAGGCGTTCTCGAAGACAAACCACTGGGAGCTGTCCACTTCGCAGCTCTCCTCGCCGTACCTGGACGGCTGGGGCTACGGTGAAGGTGATCACTTGTTCTTTTCAATTCTCTATTGTCAGGATACTGATTTCATACGGTCTCACAGTCGTTCCTGACGGCTACGGCCTCTCGTACTCGATCGGCGACCACTACATCCGCTGGACGATCACGAGTCTGAAGCTGCGCACGGCGGAGCTCAAGCACTTCCTTGCGGAGGCCGCGACCGAGACGCGCGCCATGATGGAGCGCGCGGCCGCAGAGGCCAAGAAGAAGGAGGCAGAGAAGGCGAAGCTCTAGATCTGAGGCCCGTGGCCTTGGACCGGATTTCTTGTATTAGATGGGCAGGTCGGCTTTTTGCTGTGCCGGGACTATCTTGTCATACACTACGTTGTTATACGCATATACTTTTTTAAGCTGTCATCTCTCTTGCTAATTACAAGGTGTCTGTCTGGGTGTCTAAACTGGAAGAACGAAGCCGGGCCCACCTGCCGATTGGAATATATCCTCGCCAAAACGCGGTATCAAATCAGCGCCCACAGCAATTTTGAGCGCTTTTGGCTCGGCGACTTCTTGGGCAGTACCGCCACCTCGCGATAGACCGGCTCTCTGTGAATCCCCCGGAGGCCTGGATTACTTCCCGGATCGCCCGCATATACTTGCCCGAAACCAAGAGAAGAAATTTGGGTCCACTAGTCAGGGTACTGACTGGCCTGTTCTGCCAGCTCAATTGCTCGTAGTCAAGAATAAGTATGGTAGTCTTGTCCCGAGCTCAAAAACAAGTAACGCTAAGTCACCCTGGTATTGGATGCGGCATCCGGTGTTGTGGCTACTTGGTGACTGCCACTCATGCATCCCGGAGGCTTCTCTGTTCGACAGCGACTTTCTTTAGGCCGCCTGAGACCACGCACACTATGGATTGCACATGTACGTCCTTCTAGGCTATGTAGGTAGCGCCTACTAAACGCTCTCCCTTGACTCGCCCTCAACCCGATCGCAAGCCTCGTCGCAGTCGTTGTGGCCTACCACTTCCTGTCGTACGTACGCTTGGTCGTCAGCTGGAGAACTCGCCAGAGAGGCAGACAGCTCCCTCCCGGCCCAGCGCCGCTCCCTATCATCGGAAATTTGCTGGACATGCCGGAAACGAAAAAGTGGCTGGGGTTTCAAGATCTTTTCGCCAAGTATGGTGCGAACTTGAGTCTGCCGCATCACATTCCAGCCCCTTCTTACGCTTGACATAGGTAACATCGTGCACTTGAACATCCTCGGAAATCACATCGTCACGATTGGCGATGCCAGTGTGGCCCAGGAGCTGCTGGAGAAACGGTCCGCAAATACGTGCGACCGGCCGTCGAGCGTGGTGATCCCTCTGTGAGTTATGATCATTCTCGCCAGCATCGCCCACTCACACTTGGCTCACGGCGCATAGCATCGGGAACGACGTGTCGTTCAGCGTCATGCCCTATGGGCAGTGGTGGAGGGACCACAGGCGCGCTTTCTGGCAGGTCTTCCACCCTGGCGCTATACGGGGCTACCGAGACACTGAACGGGCATTTCTGCACGACTTTCTCCGAAACCTCGTTGCCTCTCCTCAAGACATAGAACGGCACATCCGGTAGTGAGTTTGCACACTGCTGTAGCTATTGTCATCAGGTAACTGGGGTTGATCGCTATCTGGTTCCTTGCAGTTTGTTCGCGGCGACCATGTTGAAGGTCTTATATGGTCTCGATGTCCAGGAAGAAGAGGGCGAGCTCATTGACAGGATCCATGAAACGATCAACTGCACTACGTCAGTTATGATCAACAAACACGCCGTCGATGTCTTCCCCTTCTTGCGGCACCTACCTGCTTGGGTCCCAGGCGCAGGCTTTCAGCGCGTGTTTGCTGAATGCAAGGCTGCCGTAGCATACGCCAAAGAGATGCCGTTCACCAGGATGAAGGCGTTCTTGGTACGCGAGCTTGCTGTTGCAGATCTGGCAGTTCGCTCACAGATCCTCCTAGGGCGCCGGCCAACTTGGAAGCACCTCGTCCGCGCTTGCCGTCTTGTTGTCCAGAATAGATGACACGGTCGACTCTGCGAAAAGTGCGTACCAAGAAGACATCGCCAAGGACGTTGGTCTGGTGGCTTTCGAAGGTACGTTGCTCATACGTGCCGTGGTCGTAACTACATTCACCATGTATCTTCTAGCTGGGGCCGATACGGTCAGCACGCATCTTCCCAGCCCATCGACATATAACTGATTGTGTTACAGTCATTTTCGATGTTACAAGGGATTTTCCTCGCTATGTCTCTTTACCCGGAGGTGTTGAAGAAGGCTCAAGTTGAGCTTGACGCGGTGGTCGGTCCCCACCGCTTACCCGACTTCGAGGATCGGGACGCGCTTATCTACGTCAACGCCATAATCAGGGAGGCTCTACGGTGGCATGTTGTGACACCACTGTCTGTACCTCATTGCACACTCGAGGACGATGTGTTCAACGGATACTTCATACCTGCCGGCACCACCATCCTGGCGAACGTCTGGTAATTCAATCACGGCGATGTTTCCTTGCTTGTATATATACTGACGGCTAGTGTCCAGGGCGATGCTGCACGATCCAGCGGTATACGAGGACCCGAAGGAGTTTCGGCCCGAGCGCTTCATCCGAGATGGCGTACTGGACCCTACTGTCCGTGACCCGTATCTAGTCGCCTTCGGATATGGAAGAAGGTAGGTCTCTGATGATATTAAAGGCCGCCTTTGAAGTCTTACTGTCTGCTGCTGCGCAGGATATGTCCCGGGCGTCACTTCGCGGATGATGCCCTCTACATAACTATTGCGTCTGTTCTGCACGTCTTCGACATTGGACCTCCGCTTGATGGGAGTGGGCAGCCGATACATGTCAAGTACGAACAAACGGATGGCGTGATCACGTAAGTCATGGACCGTACTAGTCATACACAGGGCTCATTTAATACGCCACTTCAAGTTATTGGTTGACAGGAGCCCCAAGGATTGTCGATGCGTAGTGCGGCCACGTTCGGAGCAAGCCCGCGCTCTCGTCTTCGGGGCATGAGGCGACTGCACGTTGACCCCCTGAGAGACCGAGTCTCTCGCAGAACACGTGTGCGCTCGAGGGCGCTGGTACCTCTAACTTAGTTATGTAAGTCCTCTGCATGCTGCGACACCTCTGTGCCCCGTATATCTTCAGATTGAGCCTGTCACTCCAGGATTTTGTGAACGACGTACTTCGAAAATTACGGACGAACAAATTATACCCATCCTCCAAAAAAGCCATTTAAGTCAACCCAAGATGTGCAAACATCATTAGGACCCTCGCCGTGCCGCCGTGAGTATATATCTACACCATACTAAACGCGAAAGGCACTTGGATTCCCCTCGCAAAGGTCCCAAACCTTCGCCCCCAGACACAAGACCCGCACGGTGCGCCTACGTGACGTCACAAACTAATCCCCGGTAGGTTGTCTCAAGGTACATACGGCATCTGCCGTCGAAGAAGAGCGCACTAGGTCCGCTCGGTTCCAAGCTACGTGGGGCACCATGTCAACGCCACCGGTCAAGGGCAAGTAGCGGAGCTGGGCATCGACGCCCAACAGACGCTTCGCAGCAGCGCGCGGAGACCTTATAGGATGGCTCAGCCTGTGCGACCCTCGCCCCGCAATCTTGAGGACCGCAGCTACCATGGAAGCCCTCCACCTGTTCGAGCATCCTCTCGGTTTCGCCGCAGCTCTTCTCCTCGCGTACCTCGTCTCATCGCACATACACGAGCACGTGAGATGGAGGCATCGTACCCAGGGGCGTCCCCTCCCTCCCGGTCCACGGCCGCTCCCTTTGATCGGCAACCTGTTGGACATGCCATCGCTCAAACAATGGGTTGGCTTCAGAGACCTGTGCGCAAAACACGGTGAGTACCGGGCCCAGAGCTGCAACAACATGCTCCCGTCTAATGTCCGACAGGCGACATCGTGTACTTGAACCTGCTAGGCAGGCCCATGCTCATCGTCGGCAGCGCACGAGCCGCGACAGAGATCTTGGAAAAGGGCTCCGCGAACACGTCCGACCGGCCGTCAAGCTACTCGCTTCCGCTGTGAGTGCTGACGCTCGCTCCCTGCCCTATACCTGAACGGGCACATCAGTACCGGCAACGACTTGGTGTTCACTGTCATGAGATACGGGCCATGGTGGAGGGACCACCGCCGCGCGTTCTGGCAAGTCTTCCACCCCGGCAAAGTCGGTGAATACCGCGATGTTGAGCGCGGGTTCGCACATGAGCTGCTCGCAAAGCTGCTAGAGGCCCCGCAGGACCTCGAGCAGCATCTCCGCTTGTGAGTGTGCACCGAGGCTACCGGTGCGAACCGCCCGCATGACGGTAGCGTTACAGCGCCCTGTCGGCCACGAACATGAGGGTCCTCTACGGCCTCGACGCGCACCAAGACGAGCACCGCGAGTTCATCGCGCGGGTGCAAGACGCTGTGCACTGCACAGCCGAACTCGCGACGCAGACACACCTCGTCGACTACGTCCCTTTCCTGCGCCACGTACCCGGCTGGGTTCCGGGCGCGGGATTTCAATACGCTTTGGCTACATGCAAGGCCGCGGTGCTGCACGTCAGGGAGGTGCCTTTCGCGAAGATGCGCGCAGCGTATGTAAGTCGGATGGCGGACTCCGTCAGCTTCCCTGCGGCGGCCACCTGATCTTGTTCTTGCAGGACAAGGGCCAATCCCCGCCTTGCGCGTTGGCTGCGCTGTTGGCGCGATCGCAAGTCGCGGAGGGACCGGATATCGTCGACGATGCGTACCAGGAAGACGTGGTCAAGAACGTCGGTCTAGCTGCGTTCGAAGGTAGATGTCTTGCCTTCCGCAACCAGTCGTGACGTGCGCATACTTACTATATGATGTCCACTCGAAGCGGGTTCGGACACAGTGAATACAGCCCTACGTCACAAACCCTGCAATCTTCCTGACGGTGCACCATATATAGACGCTCTCTTTCCTGATCGGCTTGTTCTTCGCCATGTCTCAGCACCCCGAGGTCCAGGAGAAGACCCACGCGGAGCTCGACCGCGTGGTCGGCCCCGACCGTCTGCCAGACTTCGGAGACAGGGCGGGGCTCGTCTACATGAACGCCGTGCTCAAGGAGGCGCTCCGCTGGCACGTCGTCGTGCCCCTCAGCATCCCCCACCGCACCGTCGAGGACGACGTCTACGGCGGCTACTTCGTTCCTGGCGGTACCATCGTGGTACCAAACACCTGGTAAGCCGCGGTCGACTGTATTTACCGGACACCGTACACATGTACGTGGCATATACTACAGGGCAATGCTCCAGGATCCGGAGATCTACGAACGCCCAGAGGAGTTCAGGCCCGAGCGGTTCATCCGCGACGGATCAACCGAGACGACTGCACCCGACCCGTCCGCGTTCGCATTCGGCTACGGACGAAGGTGAGCAGTGCCCATTTATGCTCCTCTAGGTTAGCACCATTGTCTAGCATGTGCTCAACACGTCTTTTGCTCTACAGAGTGTGTCCAGGGCGACATTTCGCGGATGACTTGCTGTACATCACAGCCGCCTCCGTCTTGCACGTCTTCCGCTTCGAGCCCCCGCTCGACGAGCAGGGGCGACCCATCAAGATTGAACTGCAAGAGTCACACGGCTTGCTCGCGTAGGCTCTCCCCAGGACCTATTCAGACGTCTCTCCGATGCTGATCAGACTCTTTACTAGCTATCCCGAGGACCGTCGGAGCGTCATCACACCCCGTTCGGCGGAGGCTTCGAAGCTGGTCGTGAACGTGCAGGACGCTGTCGCAGAAAGCAGGGGACGGCAGGCGTGATCGACGGCTGTGCTCGCACAAGGTAGCACGGTCAGTATTCTTGGGCAACCCGCGGAATACCCGGATCGGACGTACGTCACTAGTACTGTATAGCCAAAAGTGATTTCTCAGCGCATCGTCAAACCAAAGACTTTGCTGCGTTGATCGCTCCGAAACCTGTGGACGCCGCCCTCAGGCTGCCGCAGCCAGGCCACCCGCGGCATGTTCGATCGGCCTACCAATCTTCTGTGAGTCTACAAGTTGTACCAAGCGCCCCTCCCGCCGAGTAACATCCTCATCGGTGCTGTGGACGTCCGTGGCCCGCACGAGAACGTGCCTGCGCTGCAGAAAGAGCAGTCTCGAAGTGTCCACCATCAATTCCTTCTACTCGCCCTTAAGCTTCATGGATCAGATTCGACAAGGCTCAGCAGCGGAGCACTTGGTACCGAGTACCCAGGGAAAGTGGGAAAGCCTACTGCAGGCACCCGGCCGAAGTGCATGCGTCTCGGAGGACCATGGTACAGCGCGCGAGTGTGTATATTCCACCGCTGTCAACTTGCTTTCCGCGCTGCCGGTTCGAAGGACGTCGGCACATCCTGCTCGTCCCCCGCATTCCGGCGGCTTCTTTGAGATATTCCTCCTACGCGCTCCCCTCGCGCGTGCGCTCGTCCACAGCCTCCGCCGAGGCCGGTACATTGAACATCCTCCTGCCTTCGCGCGCAGAATCCTCCTCAGCCGACCGCGATGCGCCCATCGACTCCGAGACGCCGCTCGCCAGACGCCGCGCCCAAATCGCTGGGGAGATAGTGTCAATCGCGCAGCGCGACACCGGCTCCAGGCGTGTGGGCTCGTACGTAAAACCTTATGCAAGTTCCAGTAAAGCTCCGCGTACCTTCTCAACCGGTGACCACGCTTCCTCTCCTCCGGCCGATCTTTCCCATTTTCGCGCCGCGTAGCAAGGATTTCGCCATCGCGCCGTGTCAGTCGAGAACATGCTCAGAGAGCTCCATCGACCAATCAACTTGCTTGGAATTGTCGTGTCGTGCGGGGAAGTTGCTCAGGTTCGAGCTCGGTCGCGAGAAGGTGTAGAAGAGAGGAGACGCGGTGAATTCCATATGTGAATGATGTTGCATGTTCTAACAATAAGGATACAGGAGGAGATGGTACAGTGAAGACAAGGGGGCTGAGACGATGATGAGGGGTGTAAGATGGAATACAGACACAGTACAGTACTTTCGGTCGAAGGCGTATTATGATAGGGGGCCGATAGACGGAGTGGTAGGATAGGGGAATAAGAGCGAGAATCCGGGTTCTACATTTAGATGTACGATTAGTACGGACTGGCACGGTGCGAAGAATGGGGACGCACGAGGAGAATGGTGGGGCATCGAACTCAAGATGCAGGGGCGTCTGTATCGGACACGGCGACGTCGACGCTGCTAACATCGCTGTCGACGCTGGAGGTCTACCATGCACAACTGTCAGAAGGGCCATGTAGTTCGAACAACAAGGCGACATACCGATGGACTCCTCCTAGAGCGCTTCGATTTGGTACGGTTCAAGTCGACCATCGGCACAGATTTCGTCCTTGTCTTGGGCTCGGGCGGCACCATAGGGGTGTTCAGGAGCAGCCAGAACGTCGACGACAGGAGTGCAGACATGGATATGGGTGAGCGTGCGGTGGTGGGTGGCAGCGTGCGGGGAGTGCTAGTGCGGCGCAGGCGAAGTGGGAGGTAAAGAATGCATGAGCCCGGCGGGCAGGATTTTATAGCAGGCAGCCGAGAAGCAAGGGGAGCAGGAGCAAGGGGCGGCAGACAAGCTCGCAGATGACATCACCCGCCGGCTGCTGACTCGGGCACAGCCACACTCGCCCTTTCCATTAGACTTTCTCACGCGCGTCAGCTGCTCGCTCTCTCCCCCATACCCCCGCATCCTCCCCGGCCTTTTACGAACATCGCCAACGGTACGCGCATCGAACCAACACAGAATGAGCACGGGGAAGGTCGCGATAGTCACAGGCGCGTCCTCTGGTATGTCGAGAACGCGGTGCGGCAGGGCCCGGCAGGCACGGCGCATTCATTCTGTGCTGCAGGCGTGGGCAGGGCGTCCGCGATCGCCCTCGCCCAGGCGGGCTGGTCCGTCGCGCTCCTCGCACGGCGCGCTGATATGCTGGAGGAAACGAAGGCGCTCTGTGTGGATCCCGCCAAGGTTCTCCTGGTCGAAGGCGACGTCGCGCGTGAAGAGGACGTGAAGCGCCTCTTCCAGGCGACGATCGATGCGTTCGGTGAGCGTCCGCGCTCCTTCCCTCCTTCCTGGATAATTCGATGTGGAAACCTCGGGTACCGCTTTCAACCCCTCTGCTAGTTTGGAAACCCGGTTTTCTGCGGCCTGCGCCGGGGAGCCTCCGGGTTTTGTGCAAGAATACGGGCATGCCACACCATGTTCGAATCATCTCAATCGCGGCCGTGTGTTACGGCGCTGGCTTTTGACGATGTGTGTGCGCACACCTGACAAGTCGGTAGGAGGTGAATGCGTATAATTCCAGATACATCGCTGGGAGTAGGCAAATCTTTGAGTTTCCGTTTCATTGACATAGTTCGCGCGGCGCGCCAGGCTGAGTGTCAACCCCGCGCGCGGCGCGAACTGTTAAGACAGCTTCTCAAATATTCACGGAGTTAGCTCGTGAAGCGCAGATATTCTGGACTCTCCCAACGGCGCATTGCGCGTGCCTTTCGTAGGACGGCGGGCTCGCGCGAAGCGATCCGCGCGGCCGTTTCCCGACCGCGTTGGAAACCTTCGGGCAGGGGATTCTACGTATATACTTTGGAACCCGATTTATTGTGCGTACCCCGGGTTTCCAAATAAAATTATCCTTCCTCCTCGCCCTAGCGCGCGCTGACGACCGCCTTCGCGAAAAATGGCAGGGCGTCTGGACATGCTCTTCAACGTTCGTTCGCACCTTATCGTCTTCCTAGAGCGCGTATCGGACTCACTAGTGCATTCCAGAACGCCGGCCGGGGCCACGCGCAGGTGCCCATCGAAGAGCTCTCCCTGGACGCGTTCCAGCAGGTCATCAACGTGAACCTGATCGGAACCTTCCTCTGCACGCGCGAGGCCGTCAGGATCTTCAAATCCCAGACCCCTCAGGGAGGTGCGTCCATTGCCTCGTTTATACCGAGTATATACCGGCCGAACCCGGTTTGAGTTGCGGCGGCTGTACGGGGACGCGGGGAAGCTGGCAAAATGCTCCTGGAATCTGCCGACGGAGAGCGCGCGTGTGGCTGACGCTTGTTGTCTGAACGCTAACTGCTATACGGCGCTGGGGACGGCGTTTTGCCCGTTTCAATGGCGCGCGCGAAGTTTGGCGCGATGCACGCCCATAATGAGGCCGACTACAGAGTGTGACGCTTCCGGGCATTCAGCCAACTCCCGCCGGGGCGTCCCTCTGAATCTTACCGATATCTCCGCCGCAGCCATTGCATGCTCTCGTTCAATTCGAGCTCACATTCGCCTTTCTTGCAGGGCGTATCATCAACAACGGCTCGATCTCGGCGTACACGCCCCGGCCCTTCTCCTACGCTTACACTGCGAGCAAGCACGCCGTGCTCGGGCTCACGAAGACGACGCTCCTCGATGGCCGCGCGCACAACATCACCTGCACCCAGGTCGACATAGGCACGGCCGTCTCTTCTATATCACATGCTAGACGGGAAAACTGAACGGCGTATGCTAGGTGGCGCGCAGACGGTGATGTCCCCCCCAGAGCGGGGCACGCTGCAGCCCGACGGGAGCTACTCCCGCGAAGCGACGTTCGACGCGAAGCACGTCGGCGAGAGCATCGTGCACGTCGCGAACCTCCCGCTCGACGTCACCGTGCTGACGTTCAATATCATGTGAGCGCCAGTTCTTCGGGCTCCTGCGTCCTATGCGGCGGCGTCTGGGCTGCGGATCGTTTGCTGAACGTCATTGGTTTTATCGCGCAGGGCGACGGGGATGCCGTTCGTTGGGCGGGGCTGAGCGTGGCCGCCGTGGCACGGGCCATCACACAAGCTTCGTATAGAGTCGGCTGTGGGACCATCGAGGTTCTCAGGACGGCGTGCGACGTAGGTGCCGAGTAGAAAGCTAAAGCGAAGGACGATCGCGATGTATACGTACGTTTGCCGTTGCCATACAGGTGTATCGAGATAGTGCTCCACAAGCACCTGATGTCCTCCTTGGCGGAGTTCGCGCTGCCGTAGTGCTGCTCCAGAGCAGAAGGTACATACGCACTCCCACGATGACGGAGTGCACACAAGCTGCTTTTCAGGCTTCTAAAATGCTATTCAGGTTCTAATTTCATCACGTTGATACTATCATGGTACATACGCAGATGCACACATGCGCTGCTCTTCGGCGAAAGCCCCAGTTTGACATATTGTGGTCGAAGACAACCTACTAGTAAGTACACGCGACGCCATTACATACATATTCCCAAAACTGATGGAGTTTACACAACTTGTCGCTCTTCAAGTCTTTGATATGACATTTGCTCTTTATATATATGCACTGCTCTCAGAAAGCCCAGCTTGTCACAAGTATCGTGGTCGAAGACAACATACACGCGGCGTTAAGTACATGCAGCACACTAATTCAGTACGGATACACATGCCCGGTCGCTATTTCGTTCCCAGCCACGCCCCACCCCACAGCTTCAACGGCAACGCGAAAACTTGAACATACGTTTGACCCCACCACCGTCCACTACACCTCCGTTTTGGCGGCAGCAAGGATGCGTTCACATGCCCGTCCGGCGACGGTAGTACGCAGCCTGCACGCTCAAAGACCGCACGCACCGCGACCCGTCCGCCGAGACCGAGAAGCCCTGCTCGCACCGTCCTGCACACAAGTTCCCGTCAGCACACTGGCTCTCCCTACCCCCTCTCCTCCCCCACATTGACAACGACATCGTGAGGGAAAGCGACTCACCGATGACACACGCGCCCGCACTGCATGTCACGCTATCCACATGCGGGATCGCACTACAGTCCCTTCCACCCCCTGCGCTGCGCTCCCCGTTCGCGGGCGCGTCGTCCGCCACGCACCCGCCGCAGCTCTCCAGGTCGCTCCGCACGTCCACGCACTCGTGGCCCCGCACGTACCCCGCCCCGCCCGCGCGCACGCCGTAGATGGGGCAGCTCTGGTGCCCGCGCGCGCACTCGCGCGGTAGGGCGCGCGGTGCGCGCTTGTATCCGGAGGGGAAGGAGCCGCCCGTGTTCGCTGTAAAGGAATGTGTGAGATACGATTAGGGATGAGCGAGAGAGGGGGGAGGAGGGGACGGGAGGGAAGGGAGGGGGCTTACGACAGGTCTTGCCGGAGGCGGTACAGGTGGTCAGGCCGCCGCCGCTGGTGTTGGCGCACTGGTCCTTGGAGGTCGAGCCTGCGGGCGAGAAGGCGCCGCGGACGGGGCAGTCGAAGCAGTGGTCTTGAGAAGTTTGATCCTAAACGAAGAGGATCAGCCTTTATCCGGGTCCCGTCTATCACCATTTTTGAACGCATACGTTATAGAATCCAGAACAACTACGATGCTGCGTTAGCGCGGGTCGAACAGGCCACAGAACATCAACACCCACCACGTGCAGCACGCCGTCGCGCCCTCAAAGTTTACGAACGTGCCCTTCGGGCACTCGAGGCACTGCTGGCCCGTGCCCGTGGTGGGCGCATAGTGTCCCGTCGGGCACAGCTGCGGCTTCGTCTGGCCCTGCCCGTTGCAGTACGAGCCCGCGGGGCAGGCCGTGCACTTCTCAGCACCCCCAGTGCTGAACGTTCCCTGCTGGCAGATCGACTGAAAGGTTGCGCCGGACCCAGAGGCGAACCAGCCCGCCTGCGCGGTGCGGCACGACGTCTGGCCCGCATCTAGACGATGGAGTGAGCATAGCAGTCAGGGGAGGGGGATATGGAGACGACTTACCAGGCTGGAAGGTGCCCGGCTTGCATTGCGTGCAGGGCGCCTTGCCGCTCGTCGAGAACGAGCCCGCGGGGCAGGAGCCGGAGGTGGCCGCAATAAGCACGGAGGTCGAGACCAGGACCAGGCACACACGAGTAAGCTGAGAGAACATGGCTACTAGCACCGACAGACGAACAATGAGAAAAGCTCAACGGGGGGAGGGAGCGGGGGAAACGGCCTCCTCCGCTCGTCCAGATATATGTCGCAGGGTATAAGGTTGACCGCCGCAGGAAGTTTGCAGCCCTCGAAAAACCGCACTGGGGCCAGGGCCATATGTCTCGCCCCTCGCCCCGGCGGTCCGTGTGCTTTTCCGTGCACGGTATGCCTCGGCCGGAGGGGGAGGGAAACAAAGCGGACAAGGAGCCCTGCCCTCCGTGCGCCTCGCCCGCGCCCGGCGGTCTCTGCAAAACAATACGTTTTTGCCCATCCACTCCCATCGAGGAGACCTGCCTATTCGGGTGCGGGGAAACTCGATCGCCCCCGATCGGGCTTGTTTGAGGCGCTATTTGGCGGTATTTGCGCGCGTCGCCGCGGCAGTGGAGACAGTGGAGCCGTCGACGATCCCGCGTTCCTGGCACGGCGCGGACGGAGAGAGGGACGGACTGCGGCAAGGGTAGGCGTTAGACACCATCGCAGCGCGTTCGAGGACGCAGGAAGAGGCAGAAAGGCGCACAAGGGGCGGTAGGGCCTCCCTAGGTGCGCGCCGCGCGGCGAGGCCGCATGGTCGAAGCGGCCTGGGCTGCCTTGCAACAGACACATGAGCAGCTTCAGTGTTGATGTCGGAGTGGAAGAGAGCGTTTGGAGGGCGTGGGGAGACTAGGCGGGCGTCCGAGATGCCTGTCTGCCCGCGAAGGACGAGCGTCGATCAAGTTTACGAACAAGACGCGGTCAGCGTGCGGGCGCCGCTGCTGCACCGATCATTCAGTTATGAAGGGCTATCATGGACGCGTGTGATAGCTTACCGACGGAGAGTGCAGATGGTACGGCATGCCGAGGGGTGTTTGACGACGGCGTCCTGGGTAGTGCGTGGACGAGGGGAAGTCCTGGGGGCAGAGCGGCTTATGGACGTCTCTCTAGACAACTGAGATTCTCGACCGCATCGAACTGTATGCACTGACTGCGATCACTGCCGTCACTGCAGAGACTTAGCACAGGCACACGAAGGTGTTAAATCCGCATAATCGGAGAGGACGTACGTACCACGAGCTGATGTCTATTTGTATGGGCTGGTGCGCCGGGTGACGTAGCGCTACCCATGCGTACCTCGCTCATCGGCTGCGAAATCTCTGGTGCTGGGGGCGCTACGCAGGCTACCAGCGACGACAGCTTAGTCGATTTCCGCCTGTTAGAAATGGCGGGGGTGCGAGCCTACGAGTACATTCAAGTGTGCCGTTGAGATATAGCCAAGAAAGAAGAGGCGCCGAGCTGACAAATGTACTGGTTACATGTCCGCCGTCAAAATTATACACATTTGCGTGCTTCAAATTTTCTACACTGGTGGGCAAGGGCAGTGTGGAGATTCAACTTGAATGTGATGTTCAGTGATGACGAGGAGGCATACACACCAACGTTCCCTGCAAATCTTAGTAACGGTAGATCAGCATCGCAGTACGCCGCGCTCGTGTAGCATGGGGAAATGGTCGCGGACGAGTTGCTGCCATACTGCTCGCTCTTTTCCAGCCCGCGCCCGCCCACCGCGCAAGGTTCGGCCTGGAAGGGGGAGCACAACGCGCTCCAGCGCATCGTCAGTCGGCCTACAGAGAGCGTCCTCCAGCCTGGAGCTGAATGAAGGCAGAGCCGCTGCGGCCTGTCTGACGGAAGACACGGTATTTGGGTCGAGGTCGATGACGAGTGTGCGGAGGTGTCTTGTAGGGCCGAGTCGTCCGGTGAATAGGAAGGGAATGTTGGATACCGCGTGGTATTGGCAGTCCAAGTCGAGATGGATGGTGTGGAGGGCGGTCATGGCGAACTTGTCCTCCGGGGGACTCTTTGTCGCTAAGACGACGCGGAGATCAATCAGCTTGGGATGCATAGGAGCATATTTTCACCTACCTTGTGATAAGCTACCACAGAGCAGCTGCAGGGCGCCTTCGTCGAGCGTGAGCTTCTCGAGCGAGGACATTGACGCGTGGAGTGCAGTGACGATGCCGCCTGCCCATGCATTACGCTCCAGAGCTGGCTAGTATGACACACATATAATGAGCACAATGTGGTAGTGCAAAGATGGAAGCTCACCAAGTCAAGTAGCCAATCCGACATGTCGAGCTCCAGCTCCACGAGAGCAAGCGAGTGGGGTAGCGACAGCCACTCGGGCTGCCACTCATGGACGCTCCAAGCGACTCGTGTGCATCTCAGAACACGAAGTAAACGAAGGGCCTGTAGCATGGCGATGAAGTCTCTCGACGAGCGGAAGATGACCGACGCTAGCTCCAACACGACGATCGTGTGGGTGGGCAGGGAATCGAGGTTGCGTCGCCACGGAATAGCCTGAAACGGGTTCGCGTCGAAGTCGAAAGACGTGGGGATGACATGGGTCCTCAATGTTCGCAACGCAGGCAGGAACCGGACGATTTGTCCGAGGAACGCATCGAGCAGCGTCGACTCGGGGCCGGCGTAGTAGCCTTCCCGGGAAGGCCGAAGATCCTCGAGCCCGGGCCATCGCGTACCTACTAGATCGCGCGCCTCGTCTATGGCCCGTCGAGTAGCATCGTGCCGGGTGAGTTTCGACCGGTTGTCGTGTCGCACGGCCTTGTCGACGACTATCACGGTATTCACCAAAGCAGGGAGATACGGATAGTTGGATAAAACGAGCAAAAGTTGGTTAAGGCGTGTGAAACCGCCTTTCCGAGCGAGTATGATGGTCTGAAAGAGATGTAGCTTGCTCCTCGGATGTAACTGGGTGCAAAGCAGTGTACAGCTCCGCAAAGTCTTGTACCTGGAATGGACCTGCCTCGGGGAGAGATGTGTGTCGTAAGTTGGTAAGAGGGCGGCAGCGTCGATGATTCTCTCCACCACTTCTACAGGAAGCCTGGGGCCTGGGTTCTCCATAATGGTGCTGTAGGACACACAAAATAGACGAAGGAATCTGACCCGGTGTCGTCGGAACTGGCTGGAGTTGGCGGAACAAGACAGAACAAAGATTCCTGGGACGCCACTCGCACTGACGGGTTAGCGCCCAACACAGCCACACGCTACCGCTCCGGGCCGCAACCAGCGACTCGACCACCACTGGCAGGTTTGGTTCTCCTCCATCGACTCGATCGACGATCTTCGTGCTGTCGACGTTTTCTTGCGTTCACGTACACGAATGTGTTCACAGTACTCATGGCAACGACGCTACATTTTTATGTGAAAAGCCAGAATCGAGAGCACCGGTAGCGAGTACTCCTTGACAATATTCTAGCCGCACACTTCGACGTACGAGCGTTGGCCCACTCCTCCATCGCCCCAATACAACCGCCACTCGATTAAGTTGTCGTGGGTGGTAGCTTGCGCAGCGCATCCAATACTAGGGACGTCGCCGCCGACGAGCGAGGTACGATAGAACATCGGCAGTCTTCCGGATACCTGCACGATTCGCAGTGAGCTGTCAACGCGCCACATGCCGACAAAGGGAGGGTGCACGCACGAGAGAAGGCCGTGGGTCTGCTCGTATTTGATGGCGATTGGCTTACCGCGCTCGTCGAGCGGAAGCCCGATGTCGAAGACGTGCAGCACGGAGGCGACGGCCATGAACAGGGAAGCGTGCGCCATATATCTTCCAGGGCATATTCTAACAAAAGGAAGTCCAACATATGATCAGACATCATGATTCATATGAAGTAGGTATTAGAAAATGAGCGGACCTTCTACCGAAACCAAACGCGAAAGCATCGGGGTCGCGGATGCTGGGATCCAGCTTGCCGTCCAGTATGAAGCGCTCCGGGCGGAACTCGTCTGGGTCTTTGTAGGCGTCAGGATCGTGCATCATCTCCCTGCCAGAGATCATCCTTAACATTTCAAGACGCTCTCGACAAGAAAGAGGAACCTGGACCGCACCAAGTGTTGGGGAGGATCACAGTACCGGCCGGAATAAAGTACCCATTGAGAGTGTCGTCTTCGACGGTACAATGGGGAATGCAGAGGGGTGCTTCGACGTGCCAGCGCAACGCTTCCTTAATTATCGCATGGACGTATGTGAGCGAGTCAACATCCTCGAAGTTCGGCAGGCGCGTCGGTCCGACGACAACATCCAGCTCAGCTTGCGCCTTCTTCTGTACATCTGGATAGAGGGCCATTGCGACAAAGACGGCTTGAAGCATAGCGAAGGACTGCGGAGTTAATCGGCGTCAACGCCCCATCATATCATATGCATGCCGTTGAAGCCTACAGTATCGGAAGCAGCTGCAGATCGTATAAGAGGGATTTAGAGTGTGGTCTAAGTGCCTATGAACCTATGATAGCCTCACCTTCAAAAGTGATCGTACAGACATTCTTAAGCAGATCGTCTTCATCGACCACAGCATCCAGCTCATCCTTTGCCTCCTTTCTCGCTAGCAAGTCAGCGGCAACGCACGGGTGAAGTTCTCCCCGTTCCTGCGGGTACCATGTCAACGTATTGCGTGGGAGAATTTATGGTGAACCTTACTAAAGATGCCTTCAGCTTGTCAAACGGTTCGTGCTTGAGGCGGTGGTTAGCAGCCCTTGATCGCGCGAGGACTTTCAAGAACCCAGCCCCGGGAAGCCATGCGGGTACGTGTCGTAAGAAAGGAAGTCTCTGAATGAGGAAGCCACCGTGGCTGGACAAACTAAGGGCCTCCATGGCGTCGTCGAGCAAGAGAACGTGTTCATCATCTTCGCTAGCGACGTCAATGTCATAGACCACCTTGAGCATTATCGCCGAGAAGAGGCTAGGTATATTCTTAGAAATCTATGTCTAGCGCAATAGTAGACGAGAACCCACGTTCTGATGTGATGCGTCAATCGCGAAGGTGACTCCATCAATTTACCCAGGAATTTGTGCGCCTCGGCCTTCTGTATTGGCTGATACTTGAAGATCACGCCAGGATGGAAGTGTTGCCAGAAAAGGCGGCGATGCTGCCTCCACCGTTGCCCGTACGGCATGAAGACTAAGTTGAAATCTTGTCCCGAGCTGCCAATACTCGCGTTGAGCACGGGTGGATAAGTAACAGGCCTAGTGACCGGACGCACAGCTCGAGAGCCACATCCGGGGGTCTGTCCGAAGTGTTCGCCGAACGTTTCTCGAGAAGCTCTGTCGCAAGCTGTGCGCTCCCGACGACGAGTATATGTTGGTTCAAGATCCGCAGATACACCATGTCACCTGCGGGTTATATGGTCAGAGCTGGATATTGGCAGGCGTATGTGTGGCACTCACCATATTTCGCGCGCATGTCTCGAAATCCCAACCAAGGCTTGAACGCAGGCATCTCAAACCAGTTCCCAATAAACAGCCATCCTCTGGGACCCGGTGGCAAAGGAAGACCGCAAGCTCGTGCTTTCCAACGGACGAGTGAGCGTATGTATAGACCGAAAGCCACCAGAACGATGGCGTAGGGGACGATGGTGTGCGCCATGAGGGGGAGGAGGAGAGTGGGGTTCGCTGTTGCGCGTGCACTCGTACATGTGAACCAGGATTCAAAGATATAACGGAAGTAGCCTGACCCCAAGTAAAACAACGTAACAGATTAGCTCACGATATCAGTCTGAAGACCGTCGGGAATGGTTATGTGAGAGACACGGAGCACGGCGGTCCGTCATATACTCCATGTCTCCAAAAGCGTTACCGGAAGCAGCTATGCAACGTAACAACGCCACAAGCACATCCTGTACGGGTAAGCCATCTCAGTTCGAAATATCAAGAGAGCGCACCTCCCGGAGAAGGGTCGATGCTCCGAAGGATGGAAGCAACCCGTGACCCCGATGGCGGGCGGAAGAAGATAGTCTGGGGCGTACGCTGGCTCCTCCGATGTATTGCGGATCGTATGCGGCGTTCCTTTGAGCTATATATGACGCCGCAGCGTCGACGCCTCTTCGCATCCTATGCAGGAGCTGCAAAGCTGCCTTCACCAAGTTTGGCACTTCAGATGACTTAGTTGTCAGTGTCTTATGATCACCTTCGATCGTCACGATATCGCGCAAAGTATGCTACTTCACCCAAACGAGCCCGTGACACTGTCTGGAGCAGCAAGTGTATTAGTGCAGTAGTTCTACGTACCCGAGGCGACAAATCGTCTCGTTCCGGTTACGAAGCTTCACAAGGAACTTATGCCCATTTCGTAGCCTGAAGAGGTGCACGAGTGAGCGATGGCATGCACACGACGTTAGCTACACATACCTCTCTGCCTGCTTCCTTAGCCCGAGATATTCAGTCAACGGCATCGCCCCAACAGCGTGACCTTCGCCAAGCGAGAGGGAGAAGTTGCCAGTAGTCACGTATCCGATGATACCCTCAGGTGATGGCGTAGCCTGGGCGAGCTATCGCACAGCGTCAGCTCCAACGATCTTCGCCCGTCGAAGCTGAACGGCATACCTCTGTCTCATCGGGTCCATCTCCCAGGAGCGCAAGCCCGTTCTTCTTGCTCGCCTCCGCACTAATCCATCTGCGCGCCTCCTCGTCCTCCACGCAGTAGATAATTGCGAGATCGTCTGGGCAGCCTCGTCCACTGGGGAAGATCGCGACTTGCACGAGAGCCGCTTGCAAGAGGTCCTCTGCACGTACGCTCGTATGAAGTGGGTCTAGTTTGCGTTTTGCGCGCACTTGATTGACGTGCATGAGTAGACCCGCGGCAGGGCTGAGCATGGCAGAAACGTCTGCAATAATTGTGGCGACGTCCGATCCACGAAGGAGCCATGCATGCACCTTCTGTTCCACCACGGCCGCGGCGGTTATGTGCACAGGCGCAGGCACGGATGCAGCGGGGTCCGTATCGGTCATTTCAACCTCCCTTTGTGTATTCAGTAGATCTTCGCCACTGGCAGCATCAGGTTTCTCGAGCCCAAGCACGACGTTCCAGTCCGGCTTCCAGGGGCTCCGCGTGCCCAACTTCTCGTAATTCGGCCGCTTCGCAGGCGGCTTGCGCTCCCACGTCTCGCGATCTTCCTCCGCCCTGCCCTCGGCATACTCCTCGTACGCGTCGGTGGCCGGGAAGTCGCGCGGGAAGTACGCGGATCCCGCTTCGAAGGCCTGTGTCTGGCGCTCGCGCTGGCCCCCAACGCGCGTGCCGGTGTACGTGAGCGACGAGAAGAAGGGCATGCCCCAACCTTGTGGGACGATGAGCGTCCAGCCGTGTAATGCGTTGGTGGTGCTCGAGCGGGGGTTGGAGGCAGTGGCGGATTGGGCGAAGGCGTTGTTCTCGACAGAGCGCTGAATGAGGAGGACGGGAATGCGGTCGTCTTTGCGCTCTGATTTGAGCGGGGTTCCAGGAACGAGATTCTGCTGAGATATTAGAATATCGTGAAACCGACTGAACTGCAGGTCGTACGTTTGATCGACGCTGGTCGATGTCTCTTTTCTTGTACTTGGGGGTGCGAAGCGCAATCCTTGTCTTCTCATCCCAAATCTGACTTTGAGCGAGTGCCGTGGAAGGGAAGACAGTCGAGGAGGGAGAGAGCGTCGTGCTACTCTCCAGGTCGACCTTCACATTCTTTGGGGGAAAGCTGCCGCGTTGAAATTCAGGATAGCGTTCAACTGATGTGCTCCCAAAAACCGACCTTAATCGTGGATCGTGCACCATAAATCCAATCACCATGCCTCTTGGAACAGACCCCGCAGATTGTATTTTGCTCAGTGAAGCCCAAAACTGCAGCCGATCCCTGAGTCGACGATGACATACACCCACGCATAACACATACCTTCTTAGAGTCCTCCCGATTGTCGTCTACCGGTTTCAGCGCACCCTTCAGAACCTGACTCGCCTTCGGTCCCATGATCTCGAAGACATTGAACTGCTCGCGCAAGTCCGCTATCTCGACCTCGACTGTGCGCCCAGTCTGTTTAACTGTATCAATAGCGAAGGACGCAGCATGGCGCAGAGCTCGGTGTGCTTCGGCAGTAGCAGCAGGGTGAACACGTATCCAGACTGTCCTGATTTTGTGCTCTGGATCGCTTGACGTGGTCGCGGTTGCCTTCTCTTTGCCCTTGCCCTTGCTTGTGCTCCCATCATCACCAGAAGTCTGAGCTTTCGAGGCGCTGGAAGTCACGGCCTCGGCATGCCACAAGATGGTTGCGGGTGTGAGGAGTTGGTCAGGGTAAGTGTTATAGCCATAGATGTGTGTCTCTATAGCTCGCGCGCCAGTCAAAAACCTAAAGACCGTCTCACGTCAAGATGGCAAGGTAAATCGTGGTTTCTCGGTGTAACCTTACCGTTTGGCTCCAGGGCTCGGCCCCTGACAATCGCAGCAGCTGTCCAGAATAGCTCGTAGGATGTCTTCGGGACCTACGATCTCGATCGTAGCTTGATAAGATGCATCGTGAAGGATTGAACCGTGCACCGAAGCTCGATGCGATGGACGAAAAGACTTCTCGGTTGGTGTGGTAGCCTGAAGATCAGGTTCAGCAATTCGTCGACATGGTGCATGGTGCCGATTCTCACCAACCGGTAACCCCACATGTTGTCCATGTGCATTCGCTTAGCATGCCATAGATGAGTCTCAAGCCATGTCTTGTCCTCTATAGACGCGCTTAATGCAAAACTCGTCGCTGAGGAGAGGTACGACCTACTTTGTCTAGCTAGCAGCTTGCCAGTTCTGTTGGGCTGGTTTCTTTTGCTCTTCTTGGGCATACTGCGACCTAATGCCTTGCGACGTGCTGGATCCATCTTTCTCGAATACATGAGAAACTTACATATGAAGATCATACGGCCGGGATTACCTCTGCGCGAGCTTTGTCACGAAGCCGCAATGGTACGCGCCGTACATCATGGCTAGCAGCCCTGCGACGGAGATGACGGGGCAATTGCTGCCAAGCCCTTTGCGTGGAGGCCGACCTGCACCAAGTTATAGCAAGCAGCACTTCTGGACGAAGAGACCACCGTACCGAGCATTCTGCATGGCCTCATGCATTGCGTTGATCTCAAACGCTCTTGACTGCACACGTGTCTATGAGAAGGAGCACAGACGAGGCTACTAAACACGTACTTCTGCGAACCGTTCCACGTCCAGCGCCCCGGGCAGACCTTTCATACCTACACATGCGTGTTGTATACCTCGCCGCAGGTGCGCCATAAAGAGTACAACTTACTGTCAAAGCGCACCGACTTCGACGGGCCAGTTTTGGCATTCTCACCAGTGGCTGACGGCCCCGCCGTGGGTTGTACCGCGATCGTACGCGCCGCGGCGGTCTTCTGTTTCTTGCGCTCGCGTCCAGAGACATCTTCGGGCTGACGAGTGTCGCTAGCCCGCTTTGGGGCCATCGCAAGCACCTTATGAGAGTATCAGAACGCCAGGCAGAGCAGTGTTGTGCGGAAAAGCAGGTGGTGGCTCGAATGCAAGACCCGATTTCCATCTGCGGAACATCGCGCCACGCGCCGGAGGTCGCGTTGTGGCTGCACACGGGCGCGTCCGCCGCTCACCAACAGCCACCACCATGGCCTCTCTCGCTGCTCGCGCCCTCCCTCTCGCCCGGACACAATCAGCTCGCGTTCAAACCCGTCTGCTCTCCACCACGCGGGTAGTGCGCCAGGAGGCGACCCCCAATTTGGGCTCTGTTCCCCCAGCGAAGAAGCCCGTCGGTGCATTCCGGGGAGGGTGTGTATGCTCTGTCGCGCTTGATATCGACGAATGCTGACGCGCTCTGGTGCAGTATCGTCGGGTTCTTGTTTGGCTTTTCTCTTGCTTCGTCGCTTGCGGCATACCACTTGCTAGAGGAGTACAAGTTGGCGTCCGCAGCGCTGCAGGCTAGCGTAGAAGAGCTGCAAACGAGCACACAGAAGGTGCGTTTCGCCTGCATACCGGCGTATTCAATCTACGTTAACGAATTTGTGGTAGGTCTCCGCACACGTTCGACGCATCGAAGCGGTCGAGAAGGACTTGAAGGCTCTGAGCGAGTCCTCGGCGACGAAGGAGGACATCTCGCGTGTACGCGCTGAAATGAAGAAGTTGTATGATGGCTTGCACGTCGGTACGTTATCATCCCTAGCAAGAAACCGCGAACATATCTTCTAAGACCAGCCTAGAATTCCTCGACCTGCGGGCGCATGTCTGGGGCATCCGTGCGTATCTTCGTGGTTCTCAGTTAAGCGCATCACTCACATACGACTTGCGACTACAGAGGAGGATGTGCATGCGTTGTCCAAGAAGAACGGCACCACCGTGCGCATCGTGTAAAACCGCGGAATGTCTATTTGCACAGATATATCCATACATTCCCAAACCGTTGCCATGCTCTAGTCTCTTGTGTGCGACGCCATCGCGTCGTCAGGCGTGTTGTACCCTCAAGCCTCAAGACATCGTATACCCGATACGTCCTAGTGATGAGCCTCCAATGAAAACTGCTGACATTTGAAGGTCACAATAGGAAGGTACGTCTCTCCTAAAACGCGAGCCCCGCCCTCCTGGTGCCTGCAAGGTCCGTGGTTCTATGTGCTCCCCATTACAAAAAGTCAGCATCGTGTTCATTACGCCTCGCGCCCTTATACACTTACTGAGTGTATCCATGTCTCGATCCTCCCATAGAATGCTGAAATTCGCGAGGTCATCATAACGCCAAAATGGAGCCGCAGCTCTGGACGCGCAACCTTGGCACACTGAACTACAATCGTGTGCACGACATGCGATGTTGTTCAGCCAGCAAGGACTGAAAAATCCACCGTTGAGGCTGCTATTCCCCCTAATCAGGCCTCCACGCTGCCATATACGGTACATGCTGGTATATACCGCATGCCCGATGCACAGGTGCGCCCGATATGAGAGACCCAAACATGAGTTATCACTTTCATGGTGGGGCGCTCCCCCATCCTTGGCACCCTGAGTTCGAGTTCGTGGTAAGTCATCTCAAGGTGTCGCTGAGTGTAGACCGACTCTGATTCGTATGGTCACTTTCGTAGCTCGGCTCAAACCGTGTGCTGCGAGGACAACTCTTACGGTACGTCGTTGCTTGCTGTAAATGGCGTGTATTCTTCTCGGGTGCACTGACTCAGGTTCGCAAGGTTGACAGACAATCGCAGGCGTTGATGGCGCTTTCTTTTGCAGAGGTCACGCGGATCAATCATAGCAGTAGCACATACCGTTGCCCGCATCTTCCACAAGTGCTCATTGTAGGTTGACTTGGTCGACCGTATGATTCTATGGCTGAAGTCTGCATAGACCGCAACTTGCAAGACCGCATAGAGGTCGGAGAAGGCCTTTGCATTGATATTTTAACATAGCGACACACCCACGCGTCATTGCGAACGGAACGTGAATTGATGGGGCATCTCTCGGGCCTCGGGCCTCTAGATTTGCGATGTTCGGGGCGGCATCTCCAGGATATGATCCATGCACCGACGTCGATCATACCCATGTGTCCGCATGCGTAAAGCGGCGTGGTATGCTCTAATTCAAAATATACGTACCCGGTCATGACACAAGCTTTGACAGAGATCCTCTGGCGCCCTCAAAGCCTCCTGCCGCCTGCGACAGATGCACACAGCCAGGTTGCGATCTTCGCGGCAAGGTCCCCGACGCGTGCCTGCGAGGTTGTTCCTGCGCGGCAGCGGACCGCTCTGGGCCGGCGGTAGCACCATGGTGTTTTTCCGAAAAAGGCAGGAGACCTGCCGAGTTTGATACCAGTTGCCAAGCAAGCAAGAAACCAGGACGACGCTGACCACTCGTTCACCCGGGGCGGCGGATAAAGCGTCCAGCAGAAGTTCCGCGTGGAATGTAATTTGCAGACGATGTGCCCGCTCATGATTCATCGCACGGCTCTCGTCGGAGGATGTCCAGCGCATGGCAACGGCCGCCTCCGTGCCTTGCGCCTCCAAGTCCGGACCCGATCATCACAATCCGCTTTGGCCCCGGCACGGTATAAAGCCAGGCGAGGGCCCGTCTCGAGGAGCCTCATTCTCCCCCCTTACACCAGCCAAGACCGGGTCTTGTCATTCTCTTTCAGGTTCTTCCGTTCTTCGTGAGTGTCGCGTTTTCTATGTTGGCTGAGAGTACGACTCTGACTCGCGTTCATGTCGCGTCCACAGGTCGCTGGCGTCTCACCCTCCTTTCTAACTTGTCGATCCAACCACACCCTTCGGTCCGCTCACACATATTCACCATGGTCTCCTTCAAGTCTTTCGCTCTGCTTTCCGTCTTCGCCACCCTTGCCGCGGCTGCGCCCGTGCGTCGGGAGGTCCCCCAAGGTAAGACCGCGCGTCTCCAGCGATGGCGTCATGACATCCTGACCGAACTTCCCAGAGCACTCCCACGAGGCTATCCTTCGGGCAGTCCGCACGACCCTGAACCTCAACAACCCCGCCAAAATCCAGGACCCCGTGTTCTCGCTGCTCGGTGACGCTGCCGCGAAGGCCGGTGCTGGAACCATCACCGTACGCACGCCCCGTTTCCCTAACAGTGAACCATACTAACTACTAGCGTTGTATCTAGGACCTCGCCTGCTTCCAGCAGGCCGTTGCCGACCAGGCCTTCACGAACGCGAAGGCGGCCAAGGACGTCGACGGCATGGTCAACGCGCTCATCTTCCGCGCGATCGAGCGCAACACCGGCGGCGTCGGCGTGAAGAGCGCGCTCTGCACGCAGACCGCGGTGAACCCCGAGATCGCGGCGCTCACGCAGCACCAGGACCCGGCGTCGGACGGCGCGGCGGCGACGAACAAGGCGATCACGCTCGAGCTCGCGAAGCAGATCGCGTCCGTCGGCGGGGACCCGCAGGACGCGATCAAGTCCGGCACGTTCGCGCCTGGGAGCAAGACCGACAACACCGGCAAGGGCAACTCGTGCGACGACGCGAACGATGCGGCGGGTTGCATCTTCACGCAGAACCTGCTCGTCGCCGACGCGACCGCGGACGAGATCACCGCCGCCGTGGCCGGTGTCTCCGCCAGCTCTGGCACCGCTACGTCCAGCTCGGGCACTGCTACGACCACTGACTGCGCGGAAGAGAGTGAGTGTTATTCATTCCAACCAGGTCACTACGGTGCTGACATTGTTTCAGCCGTCACCGTCACCGTGACTGCTACCGCCACTGCTGCTGCGTAAGTGTAGTCCACCATCCGAAGGAGGACGTCGGTACTTACCACGACGGCCACCATAGCGATGCTACCGCCACCTGCGCGCCCCCTAGTGAGTGTCCATCACATCTCATTATCTTAACACAGTCTGACCATCCTATCCAGGCTCGACGGTTACCGTCACTGTTACCCCCACGGCGACTGCCAAGGCTTAGAGAACGTACTTGACCCTACTTGGTGATGATTGCTGCTATACGGAAGGCTGCTGACGCCATACCTCCTTCCGGCGCCCACTTTTTTTTTTCTTCTCTCCTTCTATGGGTGTACCTTTGGCAGCAATGTGTGTATTCTTCCCTTTCATGGTCCGGGTGTTCTAGGTTGTATCGATATTTTTTGACTTGCTCGGTCTTTTTGCATGCTTGTACCTCGCTCTCTTGCAATTCCAAACCTCGAGCTTCGCGCTCTCCCGCAGTCCTTCAAGAGTGTGATAGTGTGCATAAACGGAGTTATTCGTCTAAACCATGTTCATGGTGCGTGCGGTGAATCTGAATGCCTCGCTCGCCGACCTGAGCGGTACTCGCGCCTCCGGCTCGGCGAAATCCCATGCCCGGAATCGCGTCGATCATCGAGCGCGGGGTAGTCGTGCCATGGTAATCCTCTTGACCTCCGCGTCCATCTTCGACCTCGACCTCGCATCCGCTGTGTCCCGGACTCTGCAAACATTGAGTCACTCGAGCGAAGAGGGCCGAGACTTACTACTTGAGACACTCCACATCCACGAGCATGTCCGACCGCGGGTATATCAACCTCATTCGCCACCTCGCGCGTCCGTCCTCCACCCTCTCGCTCGAGACTCTCCAAGCGTCCATCTCGCACTACCTCGCGCGCACGCCCGCACCCCTACCGGGTACTCCAACCCCTCTAGCTGCGGCTGTGCTCAGCAGTCCGCTCTTCCAGCCGTACACGCACGCGACCCTCTCCGCTCTCGCGCTCGCGTTCCGCCATGCCGTTCACCTACACGTCGGGGTGCTTAGAGAGGAAGCCGAGCGCAACCCCGGGGGGCTGCTTACACGCGGGGTTGATGTGCGGGGGGAACTTGCGCGCTGGGCTGGGGAGGTGAGAGCGGGCTTTACTGGGAGCGAGCCGTTGGTACGGCTCGCGGGCGCATCGGGGTTTCTGCTAGGACTCGAAGACTGGGACACGGAGTTGAAGATCAAGGAGAAGGAGAGGGGCGTGCGCGCGCAGGCAGAGGAGGAGGTCGTGCTAGCCTTGGCGGAGGTTGTGGACGAATACGCGCGGGAAGGGAGCGGGTGGGAGAAGGACTTCAGGAAAACGGTTGGGGCGAAGGGGGACGAAGGTATGCGAGCATGTTTATGCTTTCGAAGAGTCAGCATGATATTAACACCAGCCGTATAATGCGCGACAGATCCACTGGCACTCGCCGTGCTCCTGGCGTCTCATTGCACACAGTGCATTGCGGCAGAGCGCCTGCAAGCTCTCCAACTTTCCGTGAGTACTCCGCTAATTCCCCTTAACGTTCACTGAGCTCGGTTGGGCAGACTGTGATAGATGTCCTCATGAACACCATCGACCGATCCTTCTACAGTGGCGCGTTCTTGACCGGGGCATCCACGTCAATTAACGCTGATGCGCAGGGTAGGGTTGCAATATCGGTATGCATTCGCGTCTCATCAAAGTTAGCGAAATGTCTAATCGTTACCAGCCAACTTCCCCCTTCGCTCAAACCCTTCGCTCGATAGCAACTTCGCCATATATCGCCGCAATGTCCGCTCTCGCGCGGTTCATAGCACGTGCGCTCACGGTCCTCGTAGAGTCTCGCCGAGCGTCAGGTTGGGAGAGCATCGGGCGTACATTGCAGCGCCTCCAGATCCTGACCTCTACAGTCGAAAAGGACTGGCAAAGGTGTCCCCTCGCCCAAGTAACTAACGAAGAGGATCTTCCCGGTAAGCCATTGCGTCGAAAACAGGACGCAGCAAATTCTCATAAACTTCCACCCTAGATGGCGCAACGCGCGAGCTTGCGACGGCGACATGGTCAATGCTAAAGACACTCCTCTTCACCACCCTCATGATATCCCAATCTGTCCTCTCCGCGGTCGTGTTTGTTCCAGGCAGGCAAGCATCGCAGCGCCCGTCCTCGTCCGCTTCGCCACAGGCCATCGCTCTAACTGTCTTACATGTTCTCTCTCATCTGTCCTTCGTAATGCCGCAGTTAGGTGGGGTCGCTTCGACCTCGGAGGGTGGCCTGCCCGAGCTCAAACGCGCGTTTTACATGGCACTGGACGTGCTAGCTTCTAGCGAGGATGCTGCGGAGCGCTTCGTCTCCGAGCTGTGCCAGAGAGAAGGTCTGGCAGGCAAGGGCAAGGGTATGCTGTGACTCATAATTCTACCCTGCTCGGCGTTGGCTCTGAACTCGATTTCTTAGGCGTCGATACTCTTCCGCGGTCGCTCCTCGATGCACGCAAAGCGTTTGCGCTCGCGTGTGTCGAGCAGCTTGTCCCAAAGCTGTCCGAAGAGACTATACAGACACGAGTCTACCCTCTTTGTCATCCGTGCGTACATGATTGCCTCTTGCTGTAGATGGATAGTTTCTAATGATAGAGTGAATCAGACGTCTATGGGATTGCAGCCACAGGGAGACGTACGAATCTGCGCACTCGGTAATGCTCGCCATCTTCGCGGCGCACGCGCAAGCAGGTGCGCCGGGAGGTAGCGTTGCCTCAAGAGCACAACCAGCATTCGCAGAGAAGTTGGTCCCGATGTACGCGCAGTGTTTAGTCGAGGTGGGTCCCCCTTGCACTCTGCAATCCATGCGCGTTTGCTCATAATTGTTACAATAGAACTCGTCGGACGAGCGGCTAAGCACTACACAACTATGCATGGCTTACGCGGCACTCGTAAGGAGCGCGAACGCCTTTGGGGACGGCGATGACGAGAGCGCTGAAGGCGACTCCATGGCGTGGCTTTGCGTCGAGGTACTCCTAGATGCTATCCACCATACGGGCTCCGCTCCGTCAAATTTCCCAGAACCACCTCAGTCGTCTTCCTCTGCATCACCGGTTCCAGCCACGCACTCCGAGCACCTGCATCGCCTGCACCTCACGCTTATCGCGCTGGTTCCCTCAGTCTCACTCGCTCTTATGCCCCGCCTCATGCGAGAAGTCAAGGCGATCGTCCTCTCGTCTCCAGCGGGTGATCAGGCTGGGGGGAAACGCGAGGAGCTCGTGCAGGCTCTATTCAAGGCGATCTTGCAGGACGTCGGCGACGCGGAGAAGGAGTATGCGATTGGATGGTGGTTAGAGAATCGAGAATCGCTCGCTCGCTCGAGAGACAACTTGTTGCACAATTCACTGGAAACGGAGGGCACCATGGTGGCTCGATTGTGATACGCCACTTTCGACATCCATATACTGACATCTCACTGTTAGCGGTTACTAGCAGACAGGGATACCGGGATTGTGTATATCCTATATTTGCTAATAAACACCTTTCTGTTACTGTTACACCCCATAGTCCAAACCACGCCGATCTCCGGGAAGTTCGTCACTAGGATAAAACCTATGCGATTCCTACCTATCTTCGCTTTCATGATTCTACAGTCTTTCCTTCGGAAGCGGCCTGCGCGTTCAAGACTAAGTTCGCAGCCTCCGCCGAGCGGGGTTTGATAGTACATCGGTAGTCTTCAGGATAGCTAACCACACCTGGTCAGCATACGAGTTACATCTGCGGCGGGCTCGAGGACGTACGATACCAAGCCGTGCGACTGCCGCAGCTCAATCTTGACCGGTTGTCCCTGCTCGTCAAGCGGAGGCCCAAACTGGAAGACGTGCAGAGCGGAGGCGACCGTGATATACAACAGATCGTCTGCATAGTACCGTCCTGGGCACACTCTGTGAAGTCGCCGACTTGCTCAGTGCATGCTCGGCAGGGATTATTGCCCGAAGCACAGACTCGCCTTCTCCCGTATCCAAAAGAGAACGTGGACCCATCACGCGCTGTTGTGGTAATTCGCCCGTTGCGTATGAATCGTTCCGGCCTAAACTCTTCCGGAGAGTCGTACACCTCGGGGTCGTGGAGCATCGCCCTGACATCCACGCACAGATATGTAGCGTTTCGCGCAAGCGTTCAATGTCAACATCTTTGACTCACCAGGTGTTCGGTAAGATCATAGTGCCCGCAGGGATGAAGTAGCCGTTGTACACGTCGTCCTCAACGGTGCGGTGCGGGAGGGCGAGCGGTAGTACGACATGCCAGCGGAGCGCTTCCTTGATCAAGGCATTGATGTAGACCAGTTCTTTGCTGTCTTCAAAGTCTGGCAGACGATCAGGACCGACCACTCTGTCTAGCTCCGCGTGGGCCTTCGCCTGTACCTCCGGAAACCGAGACACCGCTAGGAACAACCCTAGTAGGGAATAAAACGTCTAGACGGGCAGAATTGTCAAGGGGAGCGCAGGGTGTGTTATGCGCGCTACTCACTGTGTCCGCTCCTGTCGGCATCGTAGTACGTAGTATGGTAAGTATGAAAGTATCACGCGTGATGATGGTGGTCAGAATATGTACCTTCGAACGCAGCCAGGCCGACGTTCTTGATGACATCTTCCTGGTACGTGTCCCCAACGTTATCCTGCTCTCCCAGAGCTTGCATTCTCGCTAACAACGCAGCTATCGCGCAAGGCTGATATTGGCCCTTATCCTGCACAGAGATGAGGAGTGAAAGGAGGCGGAACTAATGCACCGTCCACTTACATATGCAGCTTTCGCCTTAGCGAACGGAACCTCCTTCAAGTGCATGACTGCCGCCTTGCATTTAGCCAGAGCATATTGGAACCCTGCCCCAGGTACCCAACCCGGCAAATGGCGCAGGAAAGGAACGACGTCTACGGGATGCGTCCGGGTTGCGAGGTCAGTTGTGCAGCGCAGGGCCTCTTGCGCCATCCCGATGAGTTCCCCGTTTTCAACTCGGTTGGCGTCCAGACCGTACAGGACTTTCATGCTGATAGCTGAGAGGATACTATAGCTTTGACGTCATTTCGTGGTCTCGTGGCAGTAGTTGCGTCCACTCACAAACGAAGATGCTGTTTGGAATCCTGAGGAGAATCCAAAAGCCTTGCGAGTAGTTCATGCGCGAGACCCCGCTCCACATCGTGGTATCGGCTTAGTTGTCCTGGGTGTAAAACCTGCCAGAATGCGCGGCGATGGTCCCTCCACCATTGCCCGTATCTCATAACGCTAAATGCGATATCGTTTCCAATGCTGAAGCCGTTGATCAGACATCATAAAAAAAACTAGAAGGGCGCTGAAAGGTACTCACAGCGGGAGTAAGTGACTAGGGGTCCGATCGGACGTGTTTGCAGACCGCTTTTCTAGGATCTCTGTGGCTGCCCGCACGCTGCCGACTATGAGCACAGGCTTCCCCAGGATGTCCAAATATACAATTTCGCCTGTGATGTTATCAGCATTCAAGTTGCAGCTATATGATATGTACGCGCCGTGCTTTGAACACAGATCCCTGAAGCCAAGCCACTGTCTGAGTGACGGCATATCCAACAGGTTGCCAATAATGGGCAGTGGCCGTGGACCGGGAGGGAGAGGACGACCCCGCGTTCGAAGGCTCCATATCATGCGCTCCCGTATCTGTAATAAAATGAAGTACGTGAAGAATAGAGCAACGGCGAGACCAAGGGAATGCTCGAAGGGGCGGAGGGCATCCATAGTGGCGGCCGTCGCGATGGAGAGAAGGGTCTTGCTTCAGTGAACTGGCATCAGGCCATCCTATATGATCTGCACGCGCTGCTGCGAAGCGCTAATTAAGCCGTTAGCACTGAATTCTGACTAGTCCTCGATCAGTCGGAATGGTACAGAACCATACATAGCCGATGACCGGGCGGACCACAGGGCAATGCCCTCTTCTTTGATTGAATGCGCCGTAGATGCCCTCAGGTAAATGAACGTAAGACTGCAGGTGGGCACATGCCGTAGGTCTTGTGTCTGGAAGCCAAGCAAGGTTTAACCGTTTGTAGGGGCGGATGCCCCACACATCTATGGAGGTGTGAATATACACGCCCTGCCACATGATGAAGCTCCCGACGACCACGCATCTTGAACCAAGTCGAGCGACTGGTACAGACGGAGAGGCTAAGATCTATCCATCGGCGACGCTCGAGGTACAGCATGACCCAGTTTCGTAATCCCGGAGCGATAAACTCGATCCGAGGAATCACGACTCGCAGGAATACAGTCGCAGAGCACTTACATAACTAGGTGAGAGCTCCCGGCGCTCTTGAACGCACACGTGTGCTGCCAGAAGCACGAAAGTCTCTCTACGTGCCGACAAATAAGCATCTCATGCCCCGAAGACGAGAGAGCGGACTTGCTCTGAGAGTTGTTCTGACTTCATCCATAATTCGTGAGGACCCTACGAACTAATAACTAGCATCTTAACGGGCTCTGGAGTACGGATACTAGTCTGCGACTTACGAGAGTATCCCATTCGCTTGCTTGTGCTTGATAATGGAAGACGTGTAACACAGCCGCAAAAGTCATGTACGGAGCATCATGTGCTAGATGACGTCCTGACAGGCAGTGAGACGTCAGGAGCAGCATTGCGACTCATTACAAGCTCACCTTCAAGTTTCATATCCGAAGGCGAAGGTATACGCTCTACGGAAACCGATATCTAGATCAAACGTCATCTCGACCGAAACTAGGCCTTTGTGGACGGCTGGATCGTGCACCATCGCCTTAGACATCTGGACTGGCAGGTCTCAAGTACTCATTTAACGCATCGCTTTCGAGTGTGCAATGGGGTACGAACAACGGGTCGTAACATACCACCATGGGGCCTCTTTGATGATGGCATTGCCATAGACAAGTGTCCTAATCCTCAAGACCCAGCAAGTAACGGGGATCGAAATTCGTGTCAAGCTCAGCTTGAGCTTGCCTCTCCAAATCGAGGTCGAGCGATGGTGCTAACTTGCAACGTCGAAAAGGGCTACAATATGACTGCTCAGTTGTCAACCGGCTGAGTGGTTGTGTGTCGATCGAGTCGGCCCAAGCTTCAAGCTGGATGACGGGCAATGAGTACAGCTACGCTCGCCGTGTATGGAAGCGACGTACCCTCGATGCGACCATGCCGAGCTTCTTGACGCCAGGCTCACTCGTGACACGATTCGTGTACAAATTGTGCGATCTGTCCTATTTTTGATCGTGACGCAGTTTCTTCGCGTCTGCCGTCCTGCTCGCTGAAATGCGCGTGATCCGTGGATTGAAAACGGCAATCATCGGCTACGTTAAGTAGCTAAAGTCTATTGCCCATCTGAAACCCACGACGCCATAAAACATTGCCACTCAGCAGTAAGATAGCACTGAGCGGAGTACGTACCTCGCCAAGACGTCAAGCGTTCACCGCCCGACGTCAACCTATGTCACCGCCGCCGTCCCGAAGACAAATGGGTGCACGAATCCAACACCCTAGGTTATGCATAACGCCAGAGAACGCCAGGCACTAGAGTGGCACTAAGGGCAGGCCTGTGATCCTGCGTCTTCTCTTGCACTTCGCGCTGACAATAGGTGAACCTCGGCTTTCGTGCGAGAACGTGCGCATGTCTCCGCATGTTCCAGCGTACTTCTTCACTTCTTCGTGTTTTCGTGCCTACTCCGAGTCTCCGACGACCGCGGGGGAGCACTACGCCAGGCGTCTATGTCCAACGGCCCGCTATCGACGGGTGCGGTAAGGTTAAGGAAGACATGAAGCTGACTTCGAGATTCTCATGTCTCCGGAGGTCATGCCAGGCCCACATGGACGCGCTGTCTGATCCACGGAAGGGGCAAGTATCAGCCAGAGTATATATGCCATCCTCGTACCTCGTGGCATGCGAGCCCTTCTGACTCCTCCCCCTCCCCCTCCTTCCATCAGCCGTGCGCTACTGACTCCGGTCGCCTGTCTCTTGTCCTCCGCTCTTGACCTTTGACGACAATGTCTGCGGATAACAGCACGATTCTTGGTGTGGTTGTGTTCGCGCGCCATGGCGATCGCCAGGGGTTCTACCAGGATCCGCAGACGTACACGGCGTCCGCGACGGTGATCACGCCTTTGGGAGAGGTGAGCATCAATGCATATTGGCGTGTGTCCTTTTCATTCGCTGGGTCAGTCTCGTCTGCGATCGCCGCGCGCGACATGCACGCGAAACGCATATATCGTGGAGGTCAGGAGGAGAAGAGGAGAGGAGGCACAGGCGCCCATACAGAGATCGCCGCGCCTGTAGCACCTTCGAGTGCCGCACCATAATCCTGTTTCTGCATCCCATGTATGCGCAATATTCGTGAACTGACTTTTTCTTCGTGATAGCAACAAGAGTTCCAACTCGGCTCGCTGCTGCGCTCGCAGTACCTCGACCCGAGCTCGTCGACCTACATCCAAGGCATCGCGAACACGAGCACGCTCTTCCAGTCCAACCAGGTCATCGTGCGCGCGGACGCTGGCGGCGAGGGCGGCGTCATCTTCGACAGCGCGGTCGCCCTTACCCAGGGTCTGTGGCCGGTAACGTCAAACGCGAACACGACGCTTGCGAACGGCACGACCATCACGAGCCCTTTGAACGGGTACCAGTACGTTCCGAGTAAGTCTATTCGGTATCTCAACAATTGAGAGGTCGCTGCTAATCGCGATTTGTCGTATAGTCGAGTCGGTTGAGCCCGACCAGGATGTGTCGCTTGAAGGGTTCACATCGTGCAACGTACGCGCCCCTTCTACATAAGCTTGGATGCAGCGAAGCGTTTCTGACGAGCGCGTTCACCAGACCTTTGATGCCCACACCGCGGCGTTCTACAACTCCACTGTGTTCCAGCAGAAGCAGGCCGAGGTGGCTCAATTCTTGATTGACTTGAAGCCCTACATGGACAACCGCCCTGTTACTCTGCAGAACATGGTGAGCCGCTTTCGCCTATCTCACTCTTGAACGGGCATAGATATCTGATACCCAATATTTGCAGTGGAACGTACGTGCGGTGTATGCTGTCGAGTGCGACGCAAGACCTCTGATCGTACCCCACAATAGATCTTCGACTACATGAACGTGCAGTCCATCCACAATGCGACATTCGCGAACGCGCTCCCCGCAGGATACCTGGAGCAGGCGCGCGACCTCGCGAACTGGCACGAGTACAACGTCTTCAGCGACACATCTTCGACCGGCATCGGGAACAGTGAGTAGCTATCGTACACTGAATGAAAATGGATCGCTGACGTCGTCCCAATAGTCGCCTTCCGCACGATGCTGCCGTCTGTGCTGACTGCTATGCAGCGCATCGCCAACGCGTCTGACCCGCTCAAATTGCACTACTCCGCGATCGCCTACAAGCCGTTCCTGAGCTTGTTCAACATGACCGGCGTGAACGCCGACGGTGCTCTTCCTCCCACCATCGGTCTGTCCATCTCCCCATCACCCAAAAGCTCGCACTCACTTCCTCCCCACAGTGAATTACGCCGCAGGTGTCATCCTCGAGGTCCGCCAGCCTGCCGGCTCATCCGAGCCCGTCCTGCGCTTCACCTTCAAGAACGGCACCGACGACGCCTCCTTCCTCCCCTACCCCATGAGCTTCCCCGGCTGGAGCGGCAGCGCGGACCAGGACGTGCCGATGTCGACCTTCATCAACGCGTTCCAGCCCGCCGCGGTCAACACCACGCTCGACTGGTGCCACGTCTGCGGGCAGACGCAGGCGCGCGAGTGCGGCGCGCTCCTGGGGGCGAGCAGCTCGAACGTGCAGCTTGCGGCGCACCACGACAGGATCTCGCCGGTTGGGGCTGGGTTCTTGGGCGCGGGCCTGACGGTTGCGGTGTTCGCGATGGTGCTGGCGACTTTGGTGTTCTTGGGTTTCTTGTCGTTTACTCGCGGGAAGCGGCAGGGTGCGCGGAAGCCGGTCAAGAAGGACCATGTCGATCTGCCCTCTTCGGTGAGTATCTTCAATGGGGGACTGCTATATATCGTTCTGAGATTGACGGTTTGGCGCGCAGACGAACTCTATCTCGAAGGAATCGGCTTAAACCACTCAAAATGACACGATGTATACGCCGAATGACGTGGCTATGATCTGTACGAGCTTCTACGAGATGATGCGGTACTTGAACGGAAGGAATTGTCTATACCGTTTGTACGAATACTGGATGTACTACTTCAGATTCGGCCCATCTACAGCTTTGTATTCTTTCATAAAATGCATAGCTTGTTTTTTGTATCCGGAAATAAATTTTACGTCTTCAATATTACATCCGTACCCATACGTTCCTTTGGCTTAAGCCTTGCGTATCGTGGCCGAGTTCAGTCGCGTCGCGACGCGACGCGCCTACACGCGTGCAGTTGCGCGCACGTGCCTGTGACACCGGCCACGTGGGTGTGGCTAGGAGCCCCGGAAGCGCGATTTGGCCAGAAGCGGCCGCCTCGACCGTCTTGTGCTCGTCCACCACTCGGTCTTCACGTTCCGCTGCATCCTGTCTATCAACCACCATCACCACCTACGAACATGGACGTCGACCCGCCTCACGCTCTCCAGCAACAGCAGCCGTACGCTATCTTGCGTATCAAGCGGAAGCGCAATGAGGAGCCTTTGGACGCGCTCGGTGAGTGAGGACGGTGGCTCCAGCCCCTTGTACTTTTACTCACGATGGACTCGGCGCGACTGCAGTCATGGACTCTGCGCCTCGCCGAAAGAGGTCAAAGGGAGGCCTGAACATCTTCCAATACGCGGGCACGGTGGAACAGGCAGCGTGGAATGACGAGCAGCAGAAGAAGGCTCTTGAGGTGCGTTCTGTGGCTACCTCGTAAAGGGGGCACTAACTAATCTGGACGGTAGAAACGACTGGCTGGCCTGGCGCGAGATTCTACACAGAAGAAGCCCGAGGATGCGAATGCTCCTGCGCCTGCTGCGGCACCCGCACCCGCTACTCCTGCAGCCACCCCCGCCTCACCCGTGAAGCCCCCACACACTTCTACACATTCAGCCATGCGTCAACATTACGGAACCCCGAAAAAGACATACACGATCGTTCCCCAAGACCAAGTACCACAGGCGGAGTATGCCCGGAAACACAACGCTACTGCACCGTACGTGGTAGCGCCGCCATATAAAGCAGATACATGCTGAACGATACCCCATAGACCAAAGATATACTCTTCGAAGGAAATGCAAGAGATGAAGCGCGGTGCGGCGTTCAAGATGTACGACGCGGTCCCTTCGTCTTCGTCCGGGAATATCGCACCTAGCGAAACCGACAAGGAGATCGAGAAGTTCCTTCCCATGCTCAAAGACTATCTCAATGGTGAGTCTTGTCCCGCGCGCCACGGGATACCCATAACTCAACAAATTGTAACAGTGAACGACATCCCGCTGCCCTCGCCGTCAGAGGCGGAGACGAACGGGGATATCATGGACGAAGACTACGTCTTCGACGTCTTCTATCACCGCCCGACCACATTCCAAGAATTGTATGAGCCGGGTGCATCTACGAACATCGCCAAGCTGTGAGTCAGCTCATCTACCTGTACGTGGGCCCTGACACTCATGGACGAGACAGCACCGGACTCCCTTCGGAGCTGAGCGGCTTGTTGGGGGAAGACGATTCAGACGAGGAGTACTCTGACGAGGACGACGAGGATTCCAACGGTAACTCTTACGCTCACCCACTCTGCTGCGGGGAACTAATCGCGTGCCGCAGCCGAGGATTGGTACACAAACGACTATCCCGAGGAGGAGGACCCTGTGAGCAGTGACGGGAGTGGTGAGTAATAAATCCTTTCATAACCTGAAAACGCGCTCAACAATAATGGCACATAGACGAGTTCCACGAGGACTCTGACGCGGAGGGTGTCATGCACGACGGCGAACGCGACATGACGTCGTACCGCAACGTGATGACGCTCTAGAGACCAGACTGAGAGGGACTCGTCGTAAGTTTCATGCTCCTGGTTCACCGGCGAAGAGGGTGTCGGTCGGAAGTGGTACGTACGCACAACAATGTATTTCTATATCACGCAATGGAATTCGCCGTGTTCGTTTGACACGCTGATGTGGTCGAGCAAAAGCAAAGGAGATGCGAGCATAAATTGAGAAGCATGATATATAACAACATAGTGACAGCATAGCGAAAGCATAAGCGTGTACGTAAGGGTATATGTAACTAGGACTATATCTACACTGATCTACACTAGGGGGATGCGACTGCTGAGCTACAAGTGAGTCGATACACATTACAGGATAAGTACGGCAACGGCGCGAAGAGTTCTGCCCATCTTCGAAGTCCAGGGGTTCGATGCGCTCAATGCATGGTTCATGAGATGCGGTGGTGATGATATGGTGATGTGGTGGTGAGTGTATGCAGATAGTGTGGCTAGCATTGGGCTGGCCAGAATATGCGGGAGGTTACCGGATAGCGAAGAAACGCTGCACAGTGTGCAATACGTCCCAGCACCGCCGCTTCCCCGCAGCCCTGCTGCTCATCCGCGGGGGCGAGCGCGGAGGACTTGGGTCCCGTATGGGCTCGTCGGGTGCGTTCTCGGGGTCGTAGACGACCCACTCGTCGCAGGCCCCGTCGTTCGCAGTGACGAAGCTGTCTGCGTCGACGTCTGTGTCCATATCGTCCGCGTGCTCCCCAGAGAGCGTGTGCGCCGATGACGCCCACGAGGCGGTGGAGTCGCGTCTCCCAGCATCCTCCTGCGGGGCTCTTGCCATATGCGCGAAGGGGGACGCGAGCAAGTCGGAGGGCTGGGAGGGGTACGCGGCCTGCCCTGACTCAAGCGGGTTGGCGGCGCTGTGGGCTGAGAAGCGCACGTAGATGCGCTGCCGCTTGCGCTCCTTCGGCCCGCCACGCCGCACTCTCTTGCGTTGTGGGAGCGAGGCGTCGTCTGGGTCTTCCGTGTCTTCCGCGTCATCGTCGTCTTCGTGCACGGCGGCGCTCCGGCGGCGCTTGCGGGGGGCAGGGGGTGGGCTCCAGGGGGAGTCGAAGTTGGATCCGGGCGAGCGCATGGGTGTGGCCGGGGGCAGGAATAGGGAGGCGTCGATGGGAAGTGGGGAGCCGGATCTTGAGGATAAAGGGGAGTGGTGTGAGGAGAGCTCTGGCATGTGCGAAGATGATGAGGACCCTAATGAGGGCGAAGATATGGATGAGGACGAGGACGCAAACGCGGATGTGGAGGAAGAGGAAGAGGACGCGTTCGGGTCCGGTGGGGGCCATGATGGAGCGCGCGGGGACGACGTGCTGGATAGTTCAAACGGATCATCGAGAAGAATCCCGTTGTCATCGTCGTCGGCAGATGCAGACGATGAGGACACGTCCGTCGGGAATTCGCGCGCCTTCTCGATCTGACGCAGGCTGACGAACTGCAGCGGGGGCGAGTACGCTGTCGTCGCAGGGGACGGCGCGTCATCCTCTTCCTCACTCGGCGCATTATCCTCTTCCTCACTCGGCGCGTCATCCTCTTCCTCACTCGGCGCGTCATCCTCTTCCTCACCCGACGGGCCCCCGCCAGCGGCCCCGAGGAGAAGCATCTCTGCCCACCCGCCGGTCGAGGCGACCGCATAGTCCGGGGGGAGCCATCCTCCCCATCCCGGTCGAATCCCCCTCGACCCCCACAGCCCGCCCAGCCCGCTCAAGAATTCGCTCAGCGGCGCCCACTCTGGTCCCCTGCCCGCGGGACGGTCCAGGTCCGGCAGCTCTGCGGCGCTCGGGTCTTCAAGCATGTCCTCCGCGAACTCCGTGCGCGACGCGTGCATCCGCAGCCGGAGGTCTGCCGCCTCTTGTAAGAGTTGGCGGCCCTCAGGCGACTGCCTCCAGCGCACGTCTGTGAAGATGATGCCTTCTACGCGTATGAGGTACGCGGTGAGCGACGCGAGGGCGCGGTCGTTGAGAATGAAGCGCGGCTGGCAGCGGGTGTAAACAGGACCCCGAGTCGGGGGGACGAGAAGCGCTTGTTGGCGATGCGCTGCAGCGATCTGCTCGCGCGTGTTAAGATACAACGTGCGAAGAGAGGGAAGAGGGGACTCACAATCGCGGCGACGGTGCGGGCGGAGGCCTCAGGGAGGAAGAAGCACATCCTGCATAACACCTGCTCGAGCATGTCCGCATGCGCCGAGAGTGTCCGCACCCGCTTGATGGCTTCTTCCCGGATGCTGACAGGCAACGTAAATGTACGTAGCGCGGCGACAGCTGTCGCAGCGGAAAGCAAGGGGTGGATCGTTAGTATTATGCGGTGAACAATGAGAGACAGGGGGAGGGAGATACAGGACAGCAGTTCGTCCCGGCTGGAGGGGATCGAAAGCGTAAGAAGATAGACGTACTATGCGTGCATTCATACATGACGCGCTGCATCCAGCAGCTCGCCTGTCCCGCCGTCAACGGCTGGCCAGACTGAGGGTGAAGGATCGGAGGGGCGGTAGTGTTCATTGCAGGTGAGTGTGGACGTGAACGTGAACGTGAACGAGAGGTGAAGGGGCCGGCCTTGTGGGAGCTCGCCGTCCGCGTCCGTGCGCGTACTTATCCACGCCCTCGCGCGCGTACAAAGACAATTGCGCGGCCACGCGGGCGCGTCACAACCGCGGGGAAGCGATATATCATTGCTCGCGAAGTGTTCTGGGCGGGGGCAGCGTGTCCGCGGGGCAGGTGGGGTGAAGGCGCTTCCGGATCGGGAGGGGGAAACAAAAAGGATGGGCGCTTGCGGGTCGCCTGGTAGACGCGATGGTCGACGGCCGTGACCGCGCTTGGGGGACGAAAAGTCAATGAAGGGCGTGTCAAATACGGTTCACAATAGGACGAATGTGTGAGTTCGCACGGGGAGTCAATGTGCACTCTCCGGGAACGTTTGAGTAGTGTACTAGTGTCACGGTTGTGGTTACGACGATGCATATCGTGGAGTTTACTTTACTATTGTGTCCCGACGCTTTGGAAGTTGTGCGGCTCGGTAATGTACACTTCGGCAGGAACACTGAGGATGAAAGTGTACGCTGGAGGATGTGACTTCCAGCGGAAGTCTCAGAGGTCGCCTGCGACATCGACCAAGGCCTGGGGCTCTTGATGGCCGGCTGGTATATGGAGTGCGGGAGCTCCGCATGACGCCCTATCTTTCGATACCAAGTTGAGCCTCTGCACAAGCTCCGGGTCGAGAGGTGGAAAGCGCATGGTCGCTAGATTAGGGCACGGAACGTCGCCCGCCGCTCCTTCCACCATGGGCGGCCGTAGGGCGTCCACGACGCTCGAGGCGAGGTGGGCATCTTGCAGCTCCAGTATGCTGACTCGTGGAAGGAGGGCGAGCAGTAGCGCAGGTTCGCACCAAGATGCCCACGCCCGTTGACTGCGTACGACGAGCTCGCGCACGGATGGCGCGACGCCGGATCCCTGTGCAAAGGCCGTAACTGCCTGCGCGAGCGCCGCCTTGGTCGCGCCGCCCGTTCCGAGCTCTAAGCAGAAGGAGGATGTTGAGCCCAAATCGGATAGGGACAGTGTCAGCATGGTGAACGACATGTCGATCGTAAGCCGCGTTCGCATGTCGTCCGCATGGAAGATCGCGGGCGCGAAGTCGAGCTGGTCCAATAGCCGGCGCGCGTCCAGCCCGTACAGGCGTATGGATGCCCCAACTGGTACCGCGAGGTGCGCGAGGAAAAGGCGGAGGAGGGGAACCGAACAAACTGGGCCGCGGCAGTCGCCGATCTCTAGGGTTTGCAGACAGGGGAGGGCGATCGACGTGGAAGCGTCAGGTGAAGGCGAGTTACGCAGGTGAAGGTCGGAAGGAAGTCCGCGCAAGGAGATACGCTCTAACGACGGTGCCCCTCCTAGCAGCGCGAAAAGGTCAGACAGCGCCCACTCGACGGGTGTAGTTTCCCAGACGAGCGTGAACACAGTGAGAGACTGGAAGGAATTTGAGGGTATGAAGGGGACGTCATGCAGCTCCAGCGTTGCGAGTTTCGGAGCCATCCCGCTCCAGAGTTCGGCGACAGGCGTGAGGGCAGCAGGAGCTTCTGAGCCGCTATACCTCGCCCGGCACCGAATCGCAGCGTGCTTGAGCTTCGGCGCGGGAGAAGCGAGGAACTCGGACGCCAATCGGGCAGTAGGGACGTTCTGCAGGCCGCATAGCCGTAGTTCCGCGATGTCGTCCGCGTCGTGGGCGAGAATGTTTGAAAGTACGGTGCTGGCGTGCGTACCATCTAGGTACACGTTTAGAAGGGCGCGTCGTGCTCGGGCGCGGAACACACCCGTCGCTGTATGTGTTGGAGACGACTCGCATATAGTCGACCAGAGAGAGGACGCATCGAGCGCGATCGCCCGCCAACGACGACAGACTTGTGTTAGCGGGGGGAGGTCATACGTGTGTCGTGCAGAAGACGGCGCCATGAACCCATGGGTTGGAAGGCTGCTGGGGACCAGGGAAAATATGTGACCTAATATTTCGGGCGGGAGCCTGTCGACGGAGCAGCGTGTGTTTATGGCTTCTTGTACGAGCGCATGGGCAAGATGCAAGGATTCTTGCAGCATCCGTAGCTATCATAGAGGCATTAGTTCGTCAATGAGAGCGGATAGTACTGAAGCGAGGAAACGCATACAGTCTCAATGCTATCCCAGGAAAACGGTTTTCAGCTCAAGAAACCGTGGGACGTCGCACTGCACACTCACCTCATAGAGAACCGTTGCTGAGAGATATCATCAACGAGACCCCGCAGCGCGTCGCATGGCGCAGGACGATGGGCGAAGGAGGTCATGCTGTAGGCGCTGATGGCAGGAGGGCAAGCTGGTATGGCATCGACGCGACAGATTTCCAAACGCGTTCCCGCCCGTTCTTGTTATATGCGGCTACCCGAGCGTCTGCAGAACTACACCGCGGGGTATACGTACGATCGCGGGCGGGTGAAACGCGGTCCCATCGCGCGCGTCCGGCCGCGGACGGGGTGGCGGCCTTGTTGTTGCAATTCGCGGGCAACGCGGCGGGTGCCGATATTGGCTGGTACCTTCCATCTTGACGTGGGTATGCCGCGGGCTGAGTCGCGTACAATTTTGCGGTGCGAACGACGCGGAATCTCAGGCATGAGGGACCCTGAGCCGCAGCGGGTGGCGGCTGTCGAGGCGTCTTCTGTAGCCTCATGTCGCAGGGCGTTGTGATGTCAAGCCTCAAGGTCTGCATAGGTTGAGATATCGCCGAAGTGTTCGGTGACATAGCGGTCAAGACATGCGATGGGCGGTACGAGGCGGTACGTATACGATGAGGTATTGAGACAAGATGCACTGGGCGCTCAAACCTCTTGCAAAGCGCGCGCGTTGACTTGCCGTAATCATTGAGGTGATCCCTCGCGCGAACTCCGAGGACATGATTATAATACTACACTGGTATTCTAGATAGCGAAATTTATAACAACACTTACGCCTTGAGTTACGCAGGACTCGGAGGGCGGCTCGACCGGTGGTATAGCTGCCAGTACCACTAGTAACGGCGGCGGGCAAGCACCTGCCATCAGTCTAGCACATTATATCAGCCTGATGTACCTCGCGTCTCAGAGCGGAGCGGGTCGCTGATAGCGCAGTGGAAATGTTCAATTTCTCGTTGAGAGCAGACGGCGACAAGTATACAAGGCGCTTCACAGTACTGATGGCGGGCGCCTCATGCGGCAGGCCAGCAACTTGCGAGTATGTATTATTCAAAAGTTCGGACCACCTTTGCCAAGCAACTTTGACACGCGCTAGTACCCGGAGTACGACTATACATAAACACTGGATCTGGTTTCGTGGTAAAATTCTGTGTCCCTAAAATCATGATGTTTGACTACTACTACTTCTCTTCCAATCGGAGCGGTGTGAGTGGCAAATGCGGGTCCGGCATCGTGCCGCTATGGGCGTATTCTACTGACGTGGGGACAGTTTCAGAGCCCTCAGACATGATAGTAGAACCTTCTTCCCATGAGCGATATGCAGGAGGAAGTCTGCCAGACCCCGAGCGAGCTAGTGGGATCAAAACACCGGCGTCAGTATGGCGCGAGCCTTCCTGGCCTGACGCCGTGACGTCGCTCTGCACGGGGGCACCAGGACGCTCGCTCCAAGCAGAGCGGAGGGAAGAAGACATCGGTCCCTGCAGTGTAGAGTCGAGCCACATGTCTGTGTCTGCACGGCCGGTGGCCATTCAGTAAAACGATGGATATGATTGCCAGTATGGCGACGACGTACCTGTACGTTCGTAACCGTAACCCGATCTCGCGACGGCCATGGAAGGGCTGGTATCGAAGATGCTACTTCCTCGGCTGATGCTGTCGTACGTATTGGGTCCGCTGCGTTCATGAGCTCTCGTGCCACCTCTTCGGGCATGACATCGCCGCCACACCAATAGACCGACGGTGACACCTGCAATGACTGCAAGTCCCGCAATGGCGCTCCCGATGATCACGGGCAGGTGGGATGATGAGCTCGATGATGCGCCGTTACTGGGACTGACAGTGGGGGCACCCTGCGCTGAAGACGACGCAAGAGCGAAAGTTGCCTGCATGAGTGTCAGCGACACCGGCCGTACTTGCGGCAAACAGCCTCAATGCTAGGATCTACTGACCACCAGAGACGATGTGTCCGTTTGAGTGTTGGGACCTGCAGAGACGTCTTGGAGAGCATCTGGGAGGCCACTGGGTGAACTTTGAATTGACGGTTGTGTTGTGGTTTCAGGAGGGAGTGAAAGGGGGCCTGCAGGGATCATGGTGCTTGATGTAGACGGACTCGCAGGCGTGGTAATCGACGTTGGCGCGGGGTTCAAGTTGGAGGTTGTACCCAGCGGTGCGTTCAGTTTGACGTCCGTTGATGCACCCGGTAGCGTCTGAGTACTTGTTGAGGTCCGGATAGACGTTGAGGTCGGTGATTTGGGTTCAGCGCAATGAGTGAATGTTTGGTTATTGTTCGCAGCGTGTGTGCGTTCCGCATTTTCGCTCATCCACACACTGTTGAGTTGCTCCAGGTGAGTTCCTGAGGTGTGCTCAAAGCATGATTAAAAACCCACTAGAACCTATAGCAGCGGCGGTAATTAGTTACTTTGTTCCGGCGCCATGAATACCGAAAGAAAGAGCGTACCAGGAACCATCCGCCCAGCCACCGTATAGGAAGTCATCCAGCCTGATACCCTCGTTACAGACAGAGGATTGAATATCCGAAGGTAAGCTTTGCTCAGCAACTCATGATTAATACTGCAAACCGGAAGCATCAACACAAACCGTGCTAGAAACTCACGATTGGCCCGTTCCGGCACCACAAGTGCCAAGGTAGGTGGTGTATGTCCCGGGAGCTATGGAAATAGTGAGCGGTATGTTCGACGCAAATGACAGGATGAACGTACGCGCATCATAGCCGGACCCGGTCAGTACATCCTGCTGACAGCTATCCAGAGATGAGAAGGCTGTCCGACATCCGCAGGGGCTGGTGAGCAGCACATTTGAACGTACTTCAAGCACAACATGCTCAGCTGGAATGCTATCATGTTGCAACAGCATGCCGCTGGAGGCGCATACGCATGATATATAAACATATGTTTCGGGCTGAATGGCAACTGGAACAGGACTTACAGACTTGATCGTCGCACATATCCCCCGGTGTCTTGGTTTTGAGGGCTGGAACATTGTCTAGAATCAGAATAGGTCAACGTTGCATTCCCACAAACGATATCATCGCGGAAAACAATACCCACAATCGTTGTTGCAAATCCGACGCAACTTCTGATACGTGGTACCTACACCCGGGTCGTTAGCAGTAATCTTAAATACCCGCAATGATATACGCACAAGGAGTTTCTCCTACTACACTGGTATACCAGTCAAGCCGGCTGCTTGCGCAGGTCGTAAAGTCGGCGGCCCAGGTATGAACCACGAGGAAACATATCGCTGCTAGTGGACAGAACCAAGAATGCAGGTGTCCATTCCGCACGACCATTGACAATGCTGAGCTTTGGGTAAGGCGAGCTGTGAAAGCGAGGACGTGGGCTCAGTGGGGAGTCGGATTGTTGGGAGGGCGGACAACGAAAGGAGGGTTCGGAGGTACCTCAGGACCACTAGTAGGCTTTAGTGTCAGTCATGAGCGGGGGTATACAGCCCGGGCGCGTCGCCGAGGAAGCATTAAACGACATGCTCCACGCTGGGAGCTCCGATTCATCTCGTAACTGTTGATGCCCACCGCCGCCCTGTCAGAAGAATGGTCACAGAAAGCAGATTAGCGCTGTTTCATACTGCAAAATTCTCTTCTGAGTAGGGTCTATGACTTACAAGTCCAAACAGGCCGTATGCCGCAGGGCTCGGATCGTCTCAGAATTCATGCGGCGTTGACTGGGCATCAGTACTACTCATTGTGACTTGATTCCATCGCTGCCATGCTGAGTCTGGTCTGCTCGCGTCTGTGGTCAACAGAGGAGAAGAAGCCGTAAGTTGTGGAGCATAGCAAGAGACACCAAGGGATCTTTGAGGAAGGTTGTATACTCGAAGCGCAAAATTTGGACAGCACTAGGCCATGCGACTGCGAGTGCCCTATTCAACGAGCAGCGGCAAGAAGCAAATGAGCGATTTTCGAATTGGTGGGTAGGAATAGCGGCTTACACCTTCTGCTGCGGTGCGGCGCCGCGGCGGGAGAGGTCACAGCCAGTCCGCCAGGACCTGCCGCCATGCGGTACTTACTCTGGAGGCTCGGGGGCATCTGCATCGTTCACGGCCTCAGTACTAAATTACTCGTCGTAGTCGCACTGTTTTGAACGTTTTCAATTCGCGGTGATATGGGCAACAGCTAAGATAGAGGTCAACATGAAGGCGAAAGGGCAATTAGAGCTATTTCGCAACGGGCGATTTTGCGTGGGGTAGTACCAATCAGGAGTGGAGCAAGGCCAAAGTCCATGCGAGAGACGTCTGGAGCAAGGCCAAACGAGCTCCACCCGAGGCAGGACAAACGCGTTGCGAAACAGCTCTATTGTCATAGATACGTCGTAGAATCAATGTAAGTATGCGCAAGTACCGCCGTGCGCGAGACTCGTTTCCACAAGTTCAAACTCAGACGTTCCCACGGTAGATCCCGCGCCGACGGCGACCCGCGCGCCTCTGAGTAGTACGGTCCTGCTGGGATCCGCTGCAGTACCGGTACTACGCACGACCCACTGCAACGACAAGCAGTCTGCAAGCCTGCATCCGCTCACTAGATGCCACGGAGCGCGAAACATTCCTGGAAGAGGCCTCGTCTGTTTCCCCTGCCTCTATCCCGTCACTGCTGGTGACTCGAGCGAAGTGGTCCTTCGAAAGTGCGAGGTCTATGTCTGAAAATCTGTGTCTGCGCGCCTACGCGCCTCTTGCTTTCACCGGACAAACCTGCGCTTCTATCAATTTAGTCAGCCCACTGGTCGAAAACAAGAACCTCCCAAGTCCCGATGGCTTCGCGAAGTGCCTAAAAAAAGACGAGACAGAATTGTCCGGAAGACCTGAAACAAAGTACTGCTGGTATTTTGAGGACGTATGCCCAATGAGTCCATCTAGTCATATGTGAGTAAGTGGTATGTGTACTTTGCGGTACTCATGACTTTGACGTGTATTTTTAGATTGGCTAAAGACACATAGAGCGGCCAGTATATCCCACTTCTGGTCTACGGACCCCATATGGCCTTCCGCCGACTTTACCTATCCGAATACAGCACCGTTGCGCTTGGCGCAATGTCGCATATAAGCAACTTCGATGCAGTAGAAGTAGTGGCTTATCGCAAGATTAATACCTCCTACTAAGCGCAGCAAAAGCACCCCTAATACCAGCGGACCGGTCCACCACATGTCTCAATTTTTTCGGCCGAGAAGCCCCGACTTCCGATAGCGGAACGCAGAACATACGGCTCTTCCGTCTTCTGCATACGATTCCAGGCGAGTCGCCGCCGGCATGCCCATGCCGGCAAGATGTTCGCACTGCACGCTGCTTTACGTCCCGGGCGGCGGGCTCATATATACATCAGGCGACTCATGATAACTCGCCCCCATATAACTCGCCGGTGACTCGCAGGGCACTCCTCGGCCAGTGAAAGCACACCCACGTCCACGTCTGCGTCTCACCATGGTCAACCAAACGCCAGACGTCCGTCAAGACGCTCACTCGTCGCCAAAATCGGCCGTCGTGCCTGACATCGAACATGCTGTCGTCGCGGACGACCCTAGAGCGTGGTCAAAAGCCCGGAAGGTACGTGGAACACTGTTTTGTCTAACGAAGTTCTCAGCGTCTGACATGGGCTAATATCCATTTCCGCCACAACAGCTGGTTGTAGTCGCGACCGTCTCTGCGGCGAGCATGATCGCCGGCCTGGGCGGGAACATATACAATCGTGAGCAGGAGTTGACGCCGGGGCCTCGCTGGCCCGCCAATCGTAGGTTGGGAAATTCATCTCCCGCGTGCGCGTAGCCGCGATTTCCCAGATCGAGGAACAGCTGCACGCATCGAGCGGGGCGATCAGCCTCAGCTTGTCGCTGTTCATCCTCATCCAAGGCGGCGTGCCCTTGCTATGGAGCGCGCTGAGCGAGTTCTGGGGGCGGAAGGTGCGTCATGTGCACGACTCTGGGTCAAGGGCTGGAGTTCACTGATGCTCGTGGTAGAGGGTCTACCTGCTGTCCACAGCGTTGTGCACGATCGGGTGCATAGTGGCTGCGTTGTCGAAGACCATTGGCGTCCTCATTGGCATGAGATGTATTCAAGCCGTGGGGTGAGCTGTTCTACGTCCGTGCTGCCGTCGTCTCGATACTCATATTTCACAAGTTCGAGCGCAGTTATCTCTCTGGGCGCGGCAACATTAGCAGACATATACGAGCCTAGCCAACGCGGCACCATGATGGGTCTGTACTACAGGTAAGTTTCCTCGCGCCACTGCTGATTTGCACAGTCCCTGATCGCCCATCCGCCCACAGCGCGCCCTTGCTTGGACCGTCCCTCGGCCCCATCCTCGGCGGTGTCCTCACCCAGGGCTTCAACTGGCGCGCGACGTTCTGGTTCCTCGCGATCTTCGTCGGCGTCTGCTTCCTGCTCTTCATCCCCTTCAAGGACACCTTCCGGCGCGAGCGCAGCCTCGTGTACCAGGCCGCGCTCAAGCGGCGCATCGCGCACGACTCCGCGAAGGCGTCCGAGGCGTCCAGTCTCTCGCAGATCACTGCGGTGTCGCGCATCGTGCCGGAGGCCGAGATTGCGCGAGGAGAGGGTGCGAAGGAAGGGAAGGACGCGATCGAGACGCTCGCTCGGGACATTGACTTGGAGAAGCAGGTGCAGGCGGCCGCGCGCATCGACGCGGAGGCGCTCGCGCCGGTGGACGAGATCAAGTTGTCGCTCGCGGACGTGAACCCGGTGAAGCCGATTGTGCATGTGCTGAGGCGCATGAACAACCTGACCATCCTCACCGCATCAGGTGAGTACCGGTTATCTTAGGCGGGACCTCGACGTTGCGATTGAATAATGAACACGTACAATAGGCCTCATCTTCGCGTTCAGCTACTCGATCTCGTACACATGTTCGCGGACACTTGCGAACAAGTACGGATACAACGCGCTGCAGATCGGCCTGGTTCTCCTCGCCTTTGGAGTTGGTGAGTACATGAGGGGTCGCTTCCAAGGTTGGAATGCTTACGCACGTCTGGATAGGCTCATTGTTTGGAAGCGTTCTTGGTGGTCGCTACTCGGACCACGTCTTCAGGAAGTTGAAGGCACGAAATGGCGGTACAAGCCAAGCCGAGGTGAGCTGTACTCCGGTGTACGACGCATACATCCACTAAACTCGCGCATATATCCACTTAGATGCGCCTGGAAAGCACTATGGTCCCCATGCTCTTCCTCCCGCCCTCCGTCATCGCTTACGGCTGGGTGTGCGAGCGCCATGTCAGCGTCGCGGCTATCTGCGTAATGCTCTTCCTCGCCGGTTTCTTCTCTATGTACGTGCTTTTCCTGTGCAACACTATGACGCTACTAAAGCCTGGCGGTTGCCTCTCCAGCTGCATCTACTCTAGTACACTCGCATATATCGTAGACGCCAACGTCGGCCGCTCCTCCTCCGCTGTAGCGACCAACAGCGCGTTCCGTGGTCTCTTCGCGTTCATTGCCTCAGAAGTCGCTGTCCCATTACAGGTACGTTTCACGGCGTCTTCTATAATCAACGGGTTGCTGACGACTATCCAGGACGCCATAGGGGACGGAGGCCTGTATTCAGTTTGGACTGGGCTGGCGATCCTGGCCGAGCTGCTCATCCTCCTTGTCTGGTGGAAGGGCGGCGCGTGGCGACAGAAGTGGGAGCTCAAGGAACGCGGCCTCTCGCCATCCTGATCGCTACACCCAAAACTACCCTCATCATCCTTTAGTAACGTCCCTCTCTTACGTTCTCATCTCTTCACTCCACGGAACTTCCACGATCTGCGTTTGCATGACCTCCATAGACGACAATGTATTCTCCCCACACCGTAGAATAGATATAATAGAAGATGTTCTCCCGGACGACGCATCCTTCATCTTCCATGCCGTATCACTCTGCCATCGCTGCTCCTTCACTCTTGCCCGCCCATCAGCCGGGCCATGTCCGTCTTGTAGTTGTCAACGGGGACTGCGGGGTGCGCCTCGTCCGAGTTTTGCATGATGTTCACAGGCAGCCCTCCAGGGAGTCCTCGCTAAACGGCAGTTCAGCGCGCGTTGCACGCGGGAGGTGCAGACGGACTCACCTTCAAGTGCAAGTCTGGGTTCGGTTTACGTGTCTCACTGGATGCGAGGGGCTGAATTTTTGTCACGGCCGACTCAGATTTGGGGACATTGAGCCCCGCGCCGATTTCGTTGCCGGCAGGCATCGCGTGAACGGTGATGGCGCCGTGGAAGAGCGCAACGGCGAGGATCTGGAAGTAGGAAAGCTGCATGATGGTACTGGGCGGCCGGGGTGGTAGTCTGTGGCGGGAGAAGAAAAAGACGGGACGTAGGTGGCGGAGAGGAGTAGGGTGTGGTGGGACACAGAGTTGGTTTGCGCGACGGTGTGTATCCCTGCGGCTGACGATCGTCAGCTCCCCCGACGATCGCCGCCGCCGGAGGCGAACATGAGCTGGTCCCGAACAACGACCCGATCTTCGTGAGTGGCCAGTGAATATTTAATAATAAAGGTCAACGCTGGGCACTGGGAGCGTTGCGTCAATCTTCCTGCAATATTACAGCTGGTCCGGAAAGAGATGAGACAGGTGACAGAACTTTTCGGGTCCCGAGCAGGTTTGCACCTTCCGACGCATCTTCCAAGCCATAAGCGCCCGTGCTCTTGCAGCATATCGTTTTGTCAAAGGTTTTCGTCGCTGAGCATCAGTTCTTGATTTTTTATCGAGTATGCTCCATGTTTTTGACGTCCTCTATTTTTCATGGAGGTGTTCGTTCAAAACTGAAGCACGTAGCGCAGTCGGAAGGAGTCTTCAAGTTGGCCTTGACGGGCCCTTTCCGTGCTCACTCCAGCTAGAACAGAGGTTTTAAAATTCTGAAATTTGTAGAAGGGTACAATACGAGCTTTTGTAAGGTATTGAGAGTGTTTAATTCCTCGTTATCGCACATGATATGCTATGACAACCTCGAAAGGCCGCAAGGGTGTGGGCGCCTATGGCTCGGAAGATAGCCTCAGAAGACTTGCTGGACCCTTTGTGACATCTCTTGCGAAAAAAGGTTCTGTTACCTGTCTCATCGTTCGAATTCCGGACCAGCTGTGATGTTCTCCGTTCCGGGATGCCGTAGCCATCAAGTACTTCGCGAACGAGGTGAACGGGCGAAAAGCGGTGTCCTTGAGCAACCGCAGGCCAGCTAACCGAGAGTGTCATAATCCGCGAAGTTCGGACCTCGCGGGTGTTGAGTTTAGGAAGCACGCCGGCTTCTACAGGGTACAAAAATTGTCTTGGCCTCTGATTCAAACCTCGCGAGACATTGATCTCACGAGGACCATGAGGGGCCAGGGGATAGAAGAAAGAAGGTTAACGCTCACAGCTGTTCTCAGATCGATAGGGCCCCGGAAAAAAATCACGGACAGCAGTTTCAGGCGGCGACGCGGGGAGGACGCGGATGTACACGCCTAGGTGCGTGTACTTCTACGCGGGGCTCGCGACCTGCTAACCGCCCTACACGATGCGTCGCCGCTGCGTCTGGGCGCGAATGCCTCTGTGTGTGTTTTTCCACGGGGGCCTATCGATTTGAGAACAACTGGGATTGCGTAACAGTACAGGTTTCAAAAGTCGGCACAGCCGCTGCCGGGTGTCGATCTGCCGGACCACCATCATCTCTCGGACTCTCCAGCAGCCCCTCTCCTGCCGGAGCGCTTTCGATCATGGGCGCACCTACGCTCGCATATATAGGTCCTGAGTTGTCAGGGCGCTAAGGTTGGACCTCATTTCACATCGGACAACTAGTAGGTGCACCTGCGCTGCTCAGAGTTCCTCGTGAGTCGCAAATCACCAACAACTAACCGGACCCCCTCTTACACAGCACGCTCACGTGTCGAAGGTATATAGCTCAGTCAGCATGGAATCAGGGGATGGTGTACCTCAGTACGAGGGAAACGGGACATCCTCAACGAGCAGCACCCGAGTCTCGCTCGAGCGTTCCGTCGAAACCGAGCGCTCCAGGTCATCCTCGCCTTCGGCAGCTTCCTCTGGTGAGGATTCAGCAGCACGCAGCGCAAAGAAGTTGCGGATCGACCTCGCACCCGATCAGCCCTTGACGGCAGACGGGAAACCTCGCGCTCGCGTCTACGTAGCATGCCAGGGGTGGTAAGTTTCATCTCATCTGCCCAGCCTGACAAAGCTAACCACACACTTTCTGTTGCTCAGCCGTAGTCGAAAAGTTCGATGCGATGGCGCGAAGCCTGTTTGTTTCAATTGCCGTCGTCGCGATCCGAACATCGTGGTCTGTAACTACGACCAAGCGCCCAAACGGCGCGGACAAGACAAAGTGCCCGGAACACGGATCCGCTCTTCTGCAGGCAGCCGTAAACCCCGGCCATCGCGGCGAATTACAGTGGAGGGTGGTGCTAGCGCCGCCGATAACATACACAATTCCCTGCTACAGGTGCGCACGATCATCTTAGCAGCTATAATGCTGTCGCTCATCCTGCCGTGTTTACCAGAACGCGATTGAGGACTTTGACCCGGCCTCTTTCGAACCGAGCCAGGTCGATCTGTATGCGCTTCCCGACCCTCCCGGCGACACTGAGGAGCAAGAGCCTCCGGAGGACGCCACCGAATCCCTCTCCTCCGAGCCCAGTGTGCAGTTCACGCGCGAGACATGGTGGGACAGCCTCCTCACGCTCTATGCTCTCGAGGACGACGGCAGCAATCTCCAGGTCGCATCTCTCACGGCCTCACAGCGCAACACCTCAACGCTGCGTATATTCAACGACATTCGCTGCCTCTTCCGGACGTCCGTTTACTGGGGGAGTTTTATCCACCTACAGCGGTTCTTCGAGACCATTCTTAATCCGATCCGCCGGCCGACGATTCAGCCAGGCCTGATCCTAGGCATGCTCGCTATGGGCACGTTCGTACAGAGCTGCGAGCTGCGACGAGGGGTCAAAGGCCGCACTCGTGCACTGAAGTTGGTCGACCAAGCGCACGCGGCCATCCAAGCGAGCCTCAGCGCAAACTGGATCGATATTGGGCTGATACAGGCAGCATGGGTGGGCTCCAAACAATGTGCTTGGCGCGATGTGCTGACGACCAACCACTTATAGTTCCTCGCGTTCTTCGAGATGCAGGCTCACCCATCGCAATCGTATGACCGCAATCGCTCGGCATTCGTCCTGCTTGATTCTCTGATCCGCTTGTTTTCTCTTACCACACTCGACGCCGACCTCCCGGGCTCCCAGTTCTCCCTCTTTGCTATGCACGATGACACCTCGGCACTCGCGGCGACCTTGGACATCGAGCCAAGTCTGACAGCTCATCCACCCGAACAAACCTACGCTAAATTTGCGCCCGTCCCGCTATTGCGTCCGACCGTACCTGGGCTCACCGGCGTAGCAGGTGCCGGATGCAACTGCGCCCAGTTCACGATCGGACGGCAGTGGCCCGCGGTGGTCGAGGTGGCGCCGCTCTGGGACGGGACGGTGATGTGGCCTGCAGGCGTGACAGAGGGCGAGGTGCAGCGGGAGGAGTGTCGCCGCCTCGTCTGGTCGAGCGTCATGCTCGCCGCCGGCCATAACTCATACACGTCCGCGAGCGCGGAACTCGACCTCGCGGATCTGTCCATCAAGCACTACGACAACGTACGTCCCGTCCCCGCTGCTGTGCCCTCTGCCCTTTCCCTCTTCCCTCCACGTCCTTCCCTGTCTGACCGACCGGCCTGCACGCATATACAGTTCGCGCTGCTTCTGCCCGGGGAGGTTCTGGCGCGCTCCGGCACGCCCGTGGCGCAGCACGACATCTGGGCGCTGTACCTGCGCGCGATGCTGCTCTGGCACACGGGGCTGCGCATGCGGTCCGACCGCGCCATGCCGGACCTGCAGCGCGCGCAGTTCGCGATCGACGCGTGGCTCGAGGCGGACGCCGTTGAGGCCGCGCTGGGCATGCATACGTGCAACCTTGAGAGCCGCCTTGCGTACCAGGCGCGCGAGTTCATCTTCAAGTGCGTCGTTGTCTTCATTTGACCGTGTGCGTGTGGCGGGGAGCTGACTTTGTGCGCGATGGTAGCGCGCGGATGTGCATCTCGTCGGATTTTCAGCGGTACCTGCCCCATGTCTCTTCGTGCGTATCTGAGGGCCGCCTGCGAACCGCGCGTGGGCTCATACTGTATTTGATAGGGAGAGAAGCAGCTTGCTGTATCGCCAGAAGTGCGAAGCATGGCGTAGGTTCATCTGTTGCCGCTCGTACGTGCCCCCTTCTAACCGGCTCCCGGGCGACCGAACAGTGCGAGGACAAATGGCCGTCACGCAGTTCCTCTGGGACTGCTTGCATACGAACCCGGCGAACGAGCTAGGAACGCGCTCGTTCCTGGTGTACTGGTTCATGGGTCATGTCACTAGGTAAGCGCAGTGTTGATCGATATGATGGCCGTGCGTCTCTGACGATGTACGTTTTCGATGCAGGGCATTGACCCTGTGGGAGAATGACCGCGGGATGACGCTCGCCCTTGACGCTGCGAAGGTGTTTGTACTCCCGCTCGAGTACTTGATGCAACTCTGGCCTTGTCCTAGTACGTTTCCCGCCTTCTACTTGATACATACGGGACTATGGCTTACCCACATGCGACTCGGGCAGGACAACGGGAGAAGTGGCAGAGGTTGCGCTATACGCTCGTTGACACTTGCCTGAAAGCCGGTGTTGCACCTCCGGCCCCAGCGTTTCCGCCGCCACCTCCACAGTCAGGGCTGTGCGCTCCTGAGGCCTGAGGCCTGAAGCCTGAAGCCTAAGGGCGCGCTAGAGCACCTATGACTGGTAAGCTCGCCCTTTGCGCCGAAGGTCATTTTCTTTTAGCCAAAATGCCCAGACAAAAATGCGGGAGGTCTGACAGCCCAACTTCGAGAGGTTTGCCCACCATTTAAGCGGTCATGGGTTTAACCGCTGGGGCGGCGATGTAACGGCCTCTGTGCGATTCAGCTAAGTACTTGTTCAGCGTACTACAACACGAACCTACACGCGACAGCGATGCACTTGGAAGTTTCCTCGTACCTTGTTGTAGACGCACATAGTGACATCCGATCGAAATTTCATCTCTAACGCTTACGGTGTTTACAATAACTCCGAGTGCGATCTTTCTGGGCACAACTGAGCGTTGCATACAGCTGCCGAAGCACGTGATTGCGTCGTGAGCTCGGACCTATCAGCCATCCACTATCCGAGGAGATGACTAGCCATGGGAGACACGACTTGTACTTCTCGGATCCCGGGATGGCAATGGCATAAAGCAGAATGAGCTCGTCCGAAGCTATCGCGTGAACGCCGGTAAGCTGCAGTACGTTCCGACACCACGCGAAGCGGGACGCAGTGTTTTAAGATGACTTCCATCCCCCGCCCTTGCAACGAGAATGTTTCAGGCAGTGGAAGAGTGTTCAAGAAGCCCTGTGTGGCACGCAAGATGGCATACAAGGTAGCACGCGGTGAGGAAGGGATCTACGAGGCACCGCCACACACAGATATATAGGGCGCTTATTGCGGCATCGTTGCCGAGGGCGTTACGACTGGCGCGGCCAAGTCGACGTCGACGCGCAGCTTGATCAAGGTCCACCAGCTGGGTTTCTTCGCATCTTTGCAATAGGGCGTCCAACAACACTGCCTCAGCCTTGCCAATTCGAGGTACTGCGCAGCGAATTCACTAGCAATAGCCAGGCGTCTTGCGGATGACGATATAGCTCCTCTTCTCCCAACCACCACGTTCGAATCATTCTCCTGAGTCTCCCCCTTACTCATGGTTGACTTGGCTATCTCCCGTAGCTCTCTCTCAGCGTTCGCAGACGCGAAGATGGCCAGTCCGGCAAGCAGTGCCACTCTCATAGGCCGGCGGACCTCCACGTCGAGCAGTTTCGCCGGATCCCCTATGCAGGCCTCCTCAAGTTCTTCCCCGCAGGCCTCCTCGAGCGTTTCCCCGCAAGCCCCCAACGCCGGCAACTCGTCGTCTCCCAGCTCCGGAGAAGCCGGACCCAGCCGGCAGACTTCCTCTGCAAATGCCCCCAACCAACCTCGACGTCGCATTCGCCCCAAGATTGCGCTTGCCCCCAACCAACCTCTGACTGCTCAAGGCAAACCGCGTGCGCGCGTGTATGTCGCTTGCAACCAATGGTAAGCCATCGTTTGACCCAGAACAGCATTTGCATCGCGGTTCGGGTGCCCCCGGAGCAGCTCGAGGTGTCCCTCCGCCGCCCTCGGGCTGCTCTGCGAGACGTGTCGCGCAACGCCACACGTACTTAGCTGTCCTGTCGACGAGAACCGCCTCTAGGATCAGTATCTGGGATCAGTGTCAGGACGCGTACCTGTCTCCGAGATTCCCGGAAACTGACAACAAAGGTCCAAATTGTCTCTTTCGAGATCGGAGTATTTTTAGAGGACACTGAAGGGATTTTTTGCGCTCGTCCTAAGGACAAGCCGCCACTAAACATCCGCCGGGACCTCTTAAGAGAGAGACCGGTTCGTTGTGGTGGCACTGCCTGGGGAGCGACGGAGAACAGTATGTTTTTGATTTTCTCCGAAGCTTCCGGAAGCGGAAATAAGCCGGAAATGCCTTTCTTCTGGTCTAATGTGTTAGACAACAACCCAAGGATCTTCACAGGAATGGGTCAGACCGATGCTGACCACTGCCGTCTGTCGGTTTCTAGTCGCACTCGCAAAACGCGCTGCGATGGCGCGAAGCCGATTTGCTTTCACTGCCAGAAGCGCCCTCCCGAGAACGGGGAGCAATGCAACTATGAACCGCAGCCTAAACGTCGTGGGCAAGACAAGGCACCGGGGCATCGTGCGCAGAAGGTCTCCAAGCGCAGGCGAACCTCTGCAGGCGAGTCCGGTCATAGTGGCTCGGACAGTTCACGCAGCTCCCAATCCGCGCACGAGCACCGAACCCAATCCCCGCAACACTGTGACCTCGGCGATCACTTCGATGAGGAGGAATCGTCCGATGTTCGTACCTATCTTTTACGCACACAGTTGAGGTTAACATGCTATGCACAGGATTCTATTTCTGATTACTATGACCCATTCGCGACCGTCGACCTCGATATCGACGCCGTGATAGCTTTCCCCGGCGCCCGTACACAGACCGACGAAGAGGAACGCAACGACGAAGCCGACTCCATTCCTGCGCGTCCCAGTCTCCAATTCACGCGGGAGACGTGGTGGGACGCACTCCTCACATTTTACTCGGACGAAACTGGGGCCAACGAGGCCATGGCACTTACTACTGAGCAGCGCGGCACCGCTATGCGAAGCATCGTGGCGGACCTCCGCGCACTCTTCCACTCGTCGCTCTACTGGGCCAGCTTCATCCACCTCCCACGCTTCTTTGATGCAGTCCTCAACCCATCTCGTCGCGCCACGATGCAGCCGGGCCTAGTGCTCAGCGCTCTAGCTGCAGGGATACTCGCACAGAGTTCCGAGGCGGAGAGAGGTGCGCCGGGGCGCGAGCGCGCGGTGAGGCTGCTCGGGCTCGCCGATGGCGCCGTGCAAGCGAGCCTTGCAACTGGCTGGGTCGACATAGGCCTCATTCAGGCCACCTGGGTGCGCTATCGAAAGCATCGGATCGCGTATCCTCCCGTACTGACGCTTGGGACACCTTAGCTAATTGCGTACTTTGAGATGCAGTCGCATCCGCTGCACTCTGAGGAACGTGGTCGTTCATCGCTCCTCCTCCTGGACTCCCTCTTCCGTGTGTTCAACATGACGACTCTCGACGCCGATCTCGTTCAAGCACACGCAGCCGAACGAGCACGAGGCGTGTCCGCCATGAACGGCTTCGCCAGTGTGCCCCCCGGCCCGTCCGTGGACAACGCATTTACTCCCCGAGAGGCTTTCTCGCCCTTCTCCGGACTGGGGACCTCCCCAGCACCAAATTCGGCGTTTCTCCCAGCGCCGGATCCCCTGAACGAGCCGATTACGCCCGACCACATTAACCTCGGCCCATCGACTGCGCCCTCTTCGGGCTCATGCAACTGCGCGAAACTGACGATCAGCCACCACTGGCCGTCAGTGGAGGGCATGGCGCCGGGGTGGATAGGCACGATGATGTGGCCGACGGGGTTGTCAGAGGGCGAGTTTCGCAAGGAGGAGTGCCGTCGGCTGGTCTGGTCCAGCGTGATGCTCACCGCGAGCCTCAACTCGTATAGCTTTGTTCTGGACGACTTCGACAGGACCAAGCTCTGCATCCATGAGCCTCGTAACGTGAGTTTCCCTCTTTCGACGCTTATATATCCCGCCATACTCAGAGCCTGACGTACGCATAGTACGCGCTGCTGTTCCCGGGAGAGGCGCTCGCGCGAGCGGGCACACCCGTGCCGCCGAACAACGTGTGGACGCTCTACCTCCGCTCGATGCTGCTCATGCACGCGTGCATTACGTCGCGTGCGGATGCGCGGACCAGCGAGGCGGAGCGCGCGCAGTTCGCGATGCGCGCGTGGCTCGAGATCGACGCGCTCGAGCTCGCGCTGGACCAGCACTCGTGCGGGCTCGAGCGCTACTTTGGATTCCAGGCGCGCGAGATGCTCTTCGGGTGAGTCTGGTCGGGCACAGGGTGTCAAGGAAGGAGGTGCTCACTGGGGCTTAGATCGCGGATGTGCGTTTCACATGAGTTCCAGCGGTATATTCCGCAAGTTACGACGTGAGTATATGCGCGGTATACGCTTGTGAAAAGGGGCTCATACTGACTTACATCTATAGAAATGGCAGCAAGCTGTTCTACCGGGACAAGGCTGAACGTTGGCGTGCGTATCTATTGTATTCCTTTCTCTCAGACGTAGTGCCTAGCTGAGTACCTCACTACTCTAGTGCTTCACCGATTGGAGGCTGCCGAGCGCGTCTGGTCCAGCCTCATAGAGGGCCACCCCACGCCCGCGATGGACTACCGCAAGCCGCTGCTCATCTATTGGTTCATGTCGCACATCATCAAGTACGTCCCGTTCGCGTAGTCACTGCCGTTTAATGAAGACTTAACTCGGACCGGATTCCTGTTTAATAGGGCGCTCATACTGTGGAGAACAGACCACACGCTCATTATCGCGCTTGAGGCGTCGAAGAGCTTCGCAAGGCGCACGGAGTACCTCATGATGTTCTGGCCCAACCCAGGTACGTCAATGTCCTTCGCACACGTTTCCGCTGCTCCCTTGGCATCGCTTGTTGCGCCGCCTTACCTTCTGTGCTCTTTTCATCTGCCTACTTCTATCCGTCTTGGCGTGTTCCATCTCCGTGTGCTGACGCCACATTCCCCTCCTTCTAGACCAACGGCGCGAGTGGCAGACTCTGCGCTATCACCTTGTCCGCGCCTGCCTGAAGTCCGGCGTGCCGCCTCCAGAGATGTCCGTCCCCGTGCCCTTCCCGCGCCAGGGCTTCGTGAACCCTCCTCCCGCTAAGAGTGCCTGTTGTTGATTCTACCCCTACCTCTACGTTACGTTACGCTGCGATATAGAGCGCTTCTGTTAACTTCTGGTTCCTCGTCTCGTTCGAGTCATCTTTGCTCTGCTCTCCCGATTGGCCCGCTTGAATAATGTACGTACTGAAGCTGCAGCGACCGTTGACTGGTCATCTTGTATGTACCATCTACCCCAGCCTGCTATCGCTTGTTATTGTCTTACTGCTACTATCCGCTTCGCGTATTCTTTCTACTCAACGCCTGACGCCTTCGTGTACCATGGGCGCCTGCACTCAGGCCTCGTAGCCTCCGCTTCTTTACAGCAACACCCCTCGCCGCGCGTGTTGTCGCACCCGAATACGTTTTTGTCAATTCTTCGAAAGCGATTTCGCGCACTATTTTCTCGGAGTGCATAATCATGTCCTCGGAGTTCGCGCGAGGGATCACCTCAATGATTACGGCAAGTCAACGCGCGCGCTTTGTAAGAGGTCCGAAATTTGAGCGCCCAGTGCATCTTGTCTCAATACCTCATCGTATACGTACCGCCTCGTACCGCCCATCGCATGTCTTGACCGCGATGGCACCGAACACTTCGGCGATATCTCAACCTATGCTGACCTTGAGGCTTGACATCACAACGCCCTGCGACATGAGGCTACAGAAGACGCCTCGACAGCCGCCACCCGCTGCGGCTCAGGGTCCCTCATGCCTGAGATTCCGCGTCGTTCGCACCGCAACATTGTACGCGACTCAGCTCATGGCATGCCCACGTCAAGATGGAAGATATAAGCCAATATCGGCACCCACCGCGTGGTCCGCGAATTGCAACAACAAGGCCGTCACCCCGTTCGCGGCCGGACGCGCGCGATGGGACCGCGTTTCACCCGCCCGCGATCGTACGTATACCCCGCGGTGTAGTTCTGCAGACGCTCGGGTAGCAGCATATAACAAGAACGGGCGGGAAGGCGTTTGGAAATCTGTCGCGTCGACGCCATACCAGCTTGCCCTCCTGCAACGAGCGTCTACAGCATGACCTCCATCGCTCACCGTCCTGCGCCATGCGACGCGCTGCGGGGTATCGTTGATGATATTTCCCAGCAACGGTTTTCTATGAGGTGCGCGTGCAGTGCGCTGTCTTGTGGTCGCTTGAGCTGATAAACTCTTTTCTGGGATAGCATTGAGACTGTATGCGTTTCTTCACTTCAGCATCCCCTCTTCTTGGTGTTCTAAAGTTTCTATGACAGTTGCGGATGCTGCAAGAGTCCTTGCACTTAGCCCATGCGCTCGTACAAGAAGCCATAAACACACGCTGCTCCGTCGACAGGCTCCCGCCCGAAATATTAGGTCACATATTTTCCCTGGTCCCCAGCAGCCTTCCAACCCATGGGTTCATGGCGCCGTCTTCTGCACGACACACGTATGACCTCCCCCCGCTAACACAAGTCTGTCGTCGTTGGCGGGCGATCGCGCTCGATGCGTCCTCTCTCTGGTCGACTATATGCGAGTCGTCTCCAACACATACAGCGACGGGTGTGTTCCGCGCCCGAGCACGACGCGCCCTTCTAAACGTGTACCTAGATGGCACGCACGCCAGCGCCGTTCTTTCCAATGTTCTCGCCCACGACGCGGACGACATCGCGGAACTACGGCTATGCGGCCTGCAGAACGTCCCTACTGCCCGATTGGCGTCCGAGTTCCTCGCTTCTCCCGCGCCGAAGCTCAAGCACGCTGCGATTCGGTGCCGGGCGAGGTATAGCGGCTCAGAAGCTCCTGCTGTCCTCACGCCTGTCGCCGAACTCTGGAGCGGGATGGCTCCGAAACTCGAAACGCTGGAGCTGCATGACGTCCCCTTCATACCCTCAAATTCCTTCCAGTCTCTCACTGTGCTCACGCTCTTCTGGGAAACTACATCCGTCGAGTGGGCGCTGTCTGACCTACTCGCGCTGCTAGAAGGAGCACCGTTGTTAGAGCGCATATCCTTGCGCGGACTTCCTTCCGACCTTCACCTCCGTAATTCTCATCCACCCGACACTCCCGCGTCGATCGCCCTCCCCCGTCTGCAGACCCTAGAGATCGGCGACTGCCGCGGCCCAGTTTGTTCGGTTCCCCTCCTCCGCCTTATCCTCACGCACCTCGCGGTACCAGTTGGGGCATCCATACGCCTATACGGGCTGGACGCGCGCAGGCTATTGGACCAGCTCGACTTCGCGCCCGCGATCTTCCATGCGGACGACATGCGAACGCGGCTTACCATCGACATGTCGTTCACCATGCTGACGCTGTCCCTATCCGATTTGGGCTCAACATCCTCCTTCTGCGTAGAGCTCGGAACGGGCGGCGCGACCAAGGCGGCGCTCGCGCAGGCAGTTACGGCCTTTGCACAGGGATCCGTCGCGCCATCCGTGCGCGAGCTCGTCGTACGCAGTCAACGGGCGTGGGCATCGTGGTGCGAACCTGCGCTACTGCTCGCCCTCTTTCCACGAGTCGGCATACTGGAGCTGCAAGATACCCACCTCGCCTCGAGCGTCGTGGACGCCCTACGGCCGTCCATGGTGGAAGGAGCGGTGGGCGACGTTCTGTGTCCTGAACTGGCGACCATCCATTTTCCGTCTCTCGGCCCCGAACTTGTGCAGCAGCTCAACTTCGTATCGAGGGATCGGGCGTCATGCGGAGCTCCCGCACTGCATATACCAGCCGGCCATCAAGAGCCCCAAGCCTTAGTCGATGTCGTAGGCGACCTCTGAGACTTCCGCTGGAAGTCATATCCGCCAGCGTACACTTCCATCCTCTATATCTTCGCCATAATGTTCATTACCGCGTCGCGCAACTTCTGATGCTGCGGGACACAATAGTAAATCCCACCATATGTATCGTCGTAATCACAGCCTGGCAGTTATACCACCGGTCGAGCCGCCCTTCGAGTCCTGCGTAACTCAAGGCGTAAGTATCTTTCGCTATCCAGAATACCAGTGTAGTATTATTCATTCCTAATCCTTTATATAGTCTCCAATGGGGCGAGGCGGCAGTGCAAATCTATCGGCGCAATGTGTCCCCGACGTGGCACACAGCATCCATCCGGGTCTTCGACTGCGATGAACAGCTAGATGCAACGATGGACACCCTGACAGAAGATGAACGCTGTCCTTACTGAACCTTAATGCGCCGAGGTCTACTGCCGCGTGCCCTTTCCCACATCCGCCCTCCTCCCCACTCAATCTGCTCATCCACATCTCCGCCTATGATATCCATGCTCCTGCCCGCAGGCCTCGGCATCAGAGTATTTTTTTGGGTCTGCGCTGCGACTGTCTTTTCCCTCAGTTCTTGTGCGTGGGCCGGGAATACGACCTGTGCAAGCGGCCAGCTTGACTGGTACACCAGTGTAGTCGGAGAGTCGCCATGTGCGTCCGTCATGCCTCGTCATCGTGAGTATGGGTAAGTAATGATGTTTCGCGCACAGGTATTACATATCAGAGGTTGCGTCAGATATGCAACAACGACTGTGAGTGTCGATCCTATCTCGATCTCGCTACGAAGTTCTGACCTCGTCTATTCACAGATCAAGTACCGGACTTCAGACCAAATACCCCTGGAGACAACTGTGACGACCAAGTTTGTGAGTCTCGCGCACACTTCCAGTTATTATATTTTAACACGTGTTCAGCGGCATGTTGTTGCAACACCGTGGCGTTCCAGCTCAGCATGTTATGCATGAAGTGCGTTACAGCTCTGTCTCTCATGCTTCTGCCCAAAATTGTGCGTCGCACTAACATCGTTAGAAAGTTGTCAGCAGGACCAGCTCGCCGGCGACCAAATCGGGATCGATGCAGGCATATACACTGGATTTCCTTGGGAGTCGAAATATAGAGCTCACAGACACTTTCGCAGGCGTCGGCGCGTACACGCTGTACCGTGGCAGCTGCGGTGCTGGAACGAACCATTCGTGAGTTCTTGCGAATCGCCTAAAAGACCCTCCACATAATGACTATATTAATCTGTGGGACCCAGGCTACCTTCGGATATTCAAGCGGGCGTTTGCAACGAGAATATCAGGCTAGATAATTATCTATATGGCGGTTGGGACGACGGCTCATGGTAAGCACCTCGGCTGCATACGATCTTCGATACACAATGACTTATTGCTGTCTGAAACAGGTTTTAGTAAGTGCCGCTCGTGTGCAGGCGCAGCTCGGACATGACTGATTGCAATCGGACAGCGTGTGGACAAGGGAGAACGCCGAGCGAGACCACGCGGCCAACAACAACAACACATTCACTCATTGCAAGGACCAAATTTCACCTAGCGCAACGCCTACGCCTACTCTAACTACACTGTCACCACCGGTCACAACAACACAAGTCACTTCGGATAGCCCTGGGGTAACAACTTCCTCCGACCCGACGTCGACTTCGACACCGCGTACTACAGGAGATGGCCCGACCACAACTCAGGATCCACGGCCGCTCTCCACAGTCTCTGGCGCACAACTCTCGTCTATAGTCCCTCCGAATCCGAGCTCTCCTGCGCTTTCTGGCATTCAGACGAGCACATCACCTGTTGCGGTCAGTAGATCCGGTTCAGAGTCTGCCCATTTCTGAGTTGTGCAATAGCTGACTCCCGAGCCTCATGCAGCCAGCCTCCGACGAGCTCGCGCCGTCTTCAACCCAGGATTCGCCCACTGGGTCTGCCGCGAGTGGCTCTAATGGCGGGCAGTCAAAGTCGACATCTCACTCGGCTGTGATCATCGGCGTGACTGTTGGCGGACTCGCGGTCGTCGCGGGTGTTGTGGGTTTGTTGGTGTGGCGAGCTCGAAGGAGCAGCGTGTCGGCGAGTGAAGGCAAAGATATGGTGCATCCGACTAACGACTCCCGTGGAGGCGGCTCTGGCATGACCATGGTGGATCAAGGACTCGGTAGTCGCTCAGGTGAGCGTCAACTCTTGCACCTCATTCTAGGCTGTATTGGTGTTATTCCGGCTCCCAGCTGACCTCGAAACATGCGTAGATGTGCGACATCGCTCTACGGTACAGAGCCACGGAACTTCGTCCGGCGGCAACGCACTCCGTTCTGCATGGAGCGATTACTCTAGCGCCATGCCTCAAAGCAGTGTTCCGTCAGACCAGACCGCGCGCCATACTGACGCAGGCGTTCTCATTCCGCTCGGTCGTACGGGGTCTGGCAGACTTCCTCCCGCTTACCGTTCTTGGGAGCATGACTCGACTGCGGGTTCTGAAGGTCTCGAACCAGTGACGAGTTCGGACGAAGGTGTCCCAAGCACGGCGTCGGAGGCTCAGGCTCTGATCAACCTGCCGCCACTCGCACCCCTCCGGCTGGAGGAGAAACCTTGATCAAGTAGTACTAGAAAATGGTAATCCGCAAATGATCTTCTTAACTCCTCTGTAAACTGACGTTCTGCTTCAGTTCGTAGTTGGTATATAGTACATACTGGCGATCTGCGTAGTTGATTCTTGATAATCCGCGCAACATTGGCGAGTCTGCCGATGCATGCCGGCGGGCGGCCTTCAGACTCCGAGTCCTCCTTTTGATGGCTACATCTTGCAGACATCTCACGTACAAGTTCCGACGCCTTCTGATTTGACTAGGCCTATGGCCCCACCAATGTTCCTGGTGCCGCAGGGAGCACAACACAGCATTGATTCCCATATGAGGAAAGGTCCATCTCATTAATCTCAGAAGCATGACCTTTGACTCTTCGGCTATGTCCTACTCGAGCATTCACACGACCTCGGCGTACTCTCCCGGATGGTATGTTTCTTGAACTTTGACATGTCGGAGGGTCAGTCGGACGCCATTCGGAGGGCGTAGATATTGCTCAGGTGAGTATTTTGCAACGCGGTGCGCCCGCTATCGTGCGGTCGACGCTAACGCATCAAACGTGTCTCTGGCAGCTCACCTGTTGGAAGCCTCGCCAACATGACGTTTCCGATGCATCGGATATTGAGCCTTACGAGTACCAGGCTACCAGCGCCCTCGGCCGTTCGCGTGGCCACAGCTTTCGGTCACCATCTCTCTCCCCAACCACTCCCTCCCGGCTTCCTGCTGTGGCGTAGCTCTGACTATCTGATCTGCCGCTCGTCTTGCTACGGTCGCTCGCTCGAGGATGGGCTGGTTGGGAGCTATAGCTTTTCGGCTACTCTGTGTACCGACTTTCCTACTCGCCGGGACCGCATGGGCTGCCGGTAACACGACGTGCGCCAGTGGGCAGTTGGATTGGTATTCTAATGTGGTCGGGGAATCACCATGTACGTCCTCTTTCCTGGTCCGTCTCACTGTACGCTAATCCGTCCGCAGGCGTAACCTACCAGAGGTTACGCCAGATCTGCAACAACGACTGTTAGTGTTCATGTCTGACGCCTCCGGCGCAGATCTGACAGCGTCTCTGACGATCGCCCGCGCACAGATGAAGTGGGGAACTTCTTCCCGAACACGCCCGGCGATAGCTGCGACGACCAAGTCTGTGAGTGGTTTCCTATTCCCTTCTTTTGCGAATGTCGCGTCCTGACAGTCCACCAGCGGCATGCTGCTGCAACACGGTCGCGTTCCAGCTGAGTATGCTGTGCATGAAGTACGTCAACTGTTCTCCCGTGATCGTCGATCGCAGTGTCATTGACTTCGGGGCGCCCTGCAGCTGCCAACAAGACACACTGGCGGGAAACCAAATTGGGATCGACGCCGGAGTCGGCGCGTATGGGTTGTATCGCGGCACATGCGGGGCGGGAACCAACAACTCGTAAGTTCTCGAGATGGCTCAAGCGTTTCCGCACTCTCATGCCAGGACAGACTACCCGCCGATATACAGCAGGCGGTGTGCAACTTGAACATAAAGTTGGACAACTACCTATACGGTGGCTGGGCTGACGGCTCATGGTGAGTTCAACTGTATTCTGTCCACACGAAGCCATTTTCCTGACGTTCTTACAGGTTCTAGTAAGTCGCGAACTCTCAAATGTGGTAGTTCGCTGGTATTGATACGAGATTGCATATCAGCGTATACACGAAGGAGAACGCCGTCCGGGACCATGCCGTAAACAACAACAACACGTTCACGCACTGCGCGAACCAGATCTCACCATCCGCAACTCCTACCTCGTCGAGCAGCACCACTCTATCGGCATCCGCCGCCGCCATTACAGTAAGCCAGCTCTGACTGTCTCTGCTTGATAATGGTTGACTCGCGTCCAGAGCCAGGGCGACTCCTCCAAGACCTCCAGCACGGGCGGCCCATCCGCAACGAGCGCAAACCAGGACCAGGATGACGGCGACGGGAAGGCGACCTCTTCGTCGCCCACGGGTGCCATTGCGGGCGGCGTCGTCGGCGGCGTCGTAGTGATTGTAGCCGTTATCGGTATCCTGCTGTGGCGTCGTCGTTCTCGCGGGTATGGCGGCATCACGCGCGGAACTCAGGAACCCCACCACGACTACGAGTTCCATATCGACGGCCCTTCCGGGGCAGGACCGCACATGACCACGCCGTTCACCACCGGTATGGTCACTCACGGCGGTGCAGGTCAGTCCACGATCCCGTCATGCTACAGGCTCTGAGCTGATCGCGTGTACAGTTACGCAACCGTCCAACTACTCATCATCTCAAGCGATATCTCCTCAACACGGACATGCGCCTTCTTCGTGGAGCGACCTGTCCAGTTCAGTTCCCGTAGGCTCGGACAGCAGCGGCCTGCGCCACACGGACGCAGGCGTAGTCATTCCCCTCGCCCGCTCTGCGTCTGGCCGGCTCCCCCCGGCGTACCGCTCCTGGGAGGACGACTCGAACGTGGGCTCCGACGTGCCGACGAGCCACCAAGGCAGCGCAAGCTCGCCGAGTGCGCCTGCGTCCGAAGTCTCGGCCCACCCGAACATGCCGCTCGTCCCCCTCAGGCTGGAGGAGAAGGCGAGCTACTCCGGGCGTTCTTCATAGTCATGTCATTGTCTTTCAGTTCCTCGCGCACTTTCTCTGGTTCGATTGGCCTCTTTTATCATGTTCATGAGTATTCTTTCCTTCTTGCTCCGGAACCCATTACAAGTACGCCACAAGTAAAGCTGTGGCACAGTCACAGTAGTATATGTCGCGCGCCCACCCAAGTATTAGATAGCTGTTTGCAGTGTGCCAAGAGTGTAGGCGGTGTTGAGTCCCAGAATATTTCAGCCGTGCCTGAGTCGGCGCTAAAGGTTTACCCTAATTGCACATCTTGAGGATCGGTAACCTCCGCTTAGGTCGACATCCAGGGCACTTCAAATATCTCTCCTCGCTCTCTAGCTACGCTCTCCTCCAATTTTGCAGATTGTCTGTCTTCGTCCCAGTAAAGTCCCAAATCCTCGGGGTGCGCAACCTACTTCCTGCGACGCTGGCTCGTCTGCCAAGGACGTTATGCTTGCCAATGATCATCAAAAGCTCGTCTCGCTTCCCTGACGTGGTGGCACGACCATGTGCCTCTCGGCGTCCATATTCCGTCCGATCCTCCCCATCGAATATCATTATGATCAACACCGCTCGAGCCGAAGCATGAATGCACAAAGGCGTGCTGATGGCCGACATGGTTTCCACCGCTGTGGCAGCATAGATACTGCACTGCATCGCCTGACACTGACACCTATCTGTAGCCTATGTGCAGAGTCCTTGTGGCCTGGTCTCCTGTTTCTGCATCCTTCGTGCTGCCCTGTTTCTTTCCTCCGTTATCTATCGGAGGCTGCGTTGCTACTGGTCGCTCATCCTAGTACGCCCGGTCATGCGCAGCCCCGCGCAGTTTGGACGTTGTTATGCAAGCTACTTTGTGGCCGCGTGGTTACTATTCGCCGGGCGGCTCGTGTTCGTAGCAGCGGACGGTGCCACTCAGTGCGCGAGTGGACAACTGGATTGGTATACCAGCGTTGTCGGCGAGACACCTTGTAAGTGATTCCCTAGCTATCAAAAGGTAACTTACTCACCACCCGCTTAGGCAAAACCTATGAGCGACTGCGCCAAATTTGCAATAGTGATTGTACGTGGACGTCACCATATAGTTTTCTCGAGCGCGATGAGCTCACAACCAGACGTCCCTAGACCAGGTGCCGAAATTCAAGTCGAAGCCCCCAGGTGACGCATGCGACGACCAAGTCTGTACGTTGTATATCTGCAGCGGGTGCGAACCAGATGCTGACCTCATGCGCCCGCTCCAGCCGCATGTTGCTGCAACGATGTAGCGTTCGGGCTCAGTATGCTCTGCATGAAGTATGTTCACCGGCGCCGTTTTTCGCGGCGCAATCTACTTATTTCCTCCCAATAGCTGTCAGCTAGATCCTAAAGCTGGGAACGAGATTGGGATCGATGCGCGTGAGTGCTGCAGCTCGTAGGTTTGTGCTAGGGTCTGACCACTGACTGACATGACGGTGTACAGCGCCTGGAACATACGCGACGTACCGAGGAGCGTGTGGCGCTGGAACAGACAAAGCGTAGGTCTTCTCCGACATGTGCGTCTACGATACTTACTTTGCGACAGGCTGGATTCCGAAACACAGCGGGCCGTGTGTAACAAAAACCTCAAAATAGATGATTTCCTTTACAACGGCTGGGATGACGGCGCCTGGTAAGCTCAACATTTAGTCGGAATGCCTAGAGTGTTGATCCTCATATCATCATACAGGTTCTAGTCAGTTCTCCGAGCCGCATCGTATTCGTCCAGGATACTGATGGTTGTTTCCTACTAGCGTATGGACGAAGGAACACGCGGAGGTCACCCATGCTGCAAGCAACAACAACACCTTCACGCACTGCTCCAACCAGGTATCCTCGTCCGCATCACTCGCTCCGCTCGGCCCGTCCTCTTCGACCAGCACGTCACCGACTCCCTCGCAGGCGAGCTCTCCCTCCATAGCCACATCATCCCAGGCTTCTACAGTCCCTACACCTTCCGGAAACACGACAAACAGCACCGCCAGCGACGAACACACATCCTCCGGGCTGTCATTCACGGCTAGCGCTGCCATCGGCGGCGTCGTCGGCGTGCTCGGTGTTTGCGCGATCGCGGCCGCTGGCATCTTCTTCTGGAGAAGACACAAGAGGGCGCAGCATGCGTACACCTGCCCCAGCAACGCCGCGCGCCGGAGCTACAATGTCTTTGCGGACAAACCGCCGGAGACCGTGGGGGTGGCTTCGCCGTATCTCATGTCCACGGATACGAGGGGTGAGTTTCGTTCCGTATCTTTGCGGTGTGGATATTAAATATTAAAGTTGTGCCCATTGTATTCAGGACAGATGGATGGGGACCTCAAACCTAATCGGTTTGCTTGAGAACGTGTGGTACCGTGTTCTCATTAGCTGCCCTCTCTGTTTGGGTACAACCTCGCTCTTTTCATGGTCATCTATTCGGCATCTTTCGATGTGACTCTGCGCGCGGCTAACTCGTGTGTCGACCAAGTCGTGTGGTCTGTTATTTTGCGCAAGCCCTGGCTGCATGCGTGGGAGACAGTGCATCTTCCGCCGCTCGTTGGTGCGGAACAGCTCCTCTTTGAACATATATATGCTTGCCCATCTTACGTCCACCTTCTCAGTGTTTTGCAGCTGGATAGACGCCGTATTGACTGATTGCATCTATCCATCTTGCATCTCAGAAGTCCCTCCATGTCACCGGAGAGGCCCTTCAACCGCATATCGAAATGTGCATCTTTACTACGCTGCCAGTGTGTGGTGCATCATGAGGGCGTGCCCGCTGTCCGAGTCGGACTCGGCCATGGCAGCACGCAGTCGAACACGGTAGTAGCGAAGCCATTACGGGGAAACCTGTGCGCAAGCGATGGCGACGACATGGCGAAGGGTCGGACGACACCCGTGACATATATTCCAGCTCTTAGCGAGCTACTGCCACCTCCACGGTGTCCCTGAGTATCACTCCGACGCGCAGAGGCTAACCGGCTACTAATTTCAAGTTGCGACCATGCCGATGCGGGGACCGTCCTACGCCTCTGCCGTGCGGAACACATTATCCTTCGCTCTCTTCCTTCTAGGTGTCGCAAATGCGCAGGTAGATAGGAGGAATTCGGATAGCCAGGATGCCGGAGAATCTTCATGCCCCAGCGGCCACGTAAACTGGTACACACAATGTTTTGGCGAAACCCCTTGTGAGTGTCCAATTCGTCAAATGAGACCATTTCGGCTGAACGGGAACTGCTCACTCTAGGCGAAACCTATGTGAAGCTCCAGAGCCTATGCAACGCGAAATGTAGGTCGCGCTTGACATCCAAGTGCTATCATAGCTATAACAGGAGCTTCACCAGAGCTACGAGTCCGACATCGACATCGACGGCCCTCCCGAGACAGCTCCGAGTATGCCCAACGCTCCATCCGCCGGTGTGGTGACTAGCGACGCCGGAGGTCAGTCCGCAACACCCCTTTTGTCGATCGTTGCTGTATTTAACACGTGTTATACAGCTACACAATCGTTCAAGAACTCGACGCCCTCGATGATATCTCCCCAACAAATCCAGGCCCCCGAGTCTCACGCTCCCCCTTACGATGATCTGCAGAGTCCCGTCCCCGAGAGCGACGCGCCCAACCCTGCCCCCCAGTACGCTGTCCCGGGCCGCTTTGACAGCGACCTGCGCCATACGGACGCCGGCGTCCTTATCCCTCTCTCCCGGTCCTCATCTGGGAGACTCCCGCCAGCCTATCTCTCGTGGGAGAACAACGTCGATCTGGGGTCTGCCCCTCCGCTGCCTCAGCAAGGGAGCGCAAGTTTGTCCGGTGCACTCGTTGTCGATCAAAATGCTACGGCTTTCAGACTGGAAGGGAAGGCGGAATAGAAGACGGGTTCGCGTAGGGATGTAGTCGCTCCTATACCACTAGTCAGATATGCTTTCAAGCTTTACTACTGATAAACCTCACTCGCCCGTCGTGCCGCCTGCGGTACCCTCAGGTTGCTGTTTCGAAACTGTGCAGCAGTGAGCTCGCGAGCATTGGTACCTTTTTCGCCCACGTTCAAACGATCAACTTACCTCAGCATATGGTACAATGTATCATCAGGACATCGGCAGCATTAAGACAGCCGCTATGGTGCTCCTAGGTGAAGCGGCAAGCATACTCGTACTACAGCTCGTGAGGCCTGCGCGGCAATTGCCGGCTGGGCCATAGCTAGGCGCTTGAAGTCGATTCCAACTCTTGCGCGGACGACTCGGACTCCTCAACGTTTCGATCCTCTACTGTACTCAGTTCACTGCCAGCTAGCCTCCATCACGGAAACCACTTGAGATGGTGTCCATGGACTTATGCATACAGAGGGTGAGCATCTGCGATAATACGACCCCGACTGGCGTTCTCGTCAAGATACGACGTCTTGAGAAGTTGTTACGGGCTCACGTCTTTATGATACGATCGTGCCATGCGCCCGGGCCCTGCGCTGAGCGATACCCAGAGACTTCGGGTCGCGCACCGTTGCATGGCATTTGGTATTGCGCGGCCTCTGACAAGGTAACTTTCATCAATCTACCAAGGTTTATTCGGCGCTCGTCAGCATTACAACGTTCATCTCTAAAGCAAACCCAGGCCGCGGCAGGCTTCTTCGCTGTTAGCATCCATCCATCTTGCATCTCCGAAGCTGCCCCATTGCTCTGTCACGATGCACGTCGCCTGAAATAGGTAGCCAGGCTGCATTGCATCCTCCTCTCGGAACCTCCGCTACGGAGTCCGGACTGGTCTCCGTTTGACCATACGGATACCAACTCCAAGTGTGCCTTCGGTGAGCCTCCGTCTCCGGATCTCCATCTGTCTATCGTAGTATTGACGCTTGGATCTCTGCACAGTATCTTCGCGCGCTGCGGACTAGTCTGCGTGCTGAGAAGCTGTCTACGGCGCGAACTCTAACTCATCACAAGGCGGTGTGCGTGCGTGTTACGCTGTCCGTTGTGCGGTGAGCATCATGTTCATCTCGCAGGAGCGCGCCGAGTCAGGCTTCTGTGCGAGCGGAACGAACTCAATCTTGGCACCATGGCGCATGTTATGACAGAGAAGCTGTTGCGCGCAAGGCTGTGCGAACGGGCAGCGGCGGTGGCGAAGGCGTGACGACCGCGCCCCTTATGACAGGTCGCTTCACAAGCTACCACCACCTCCACCGTGACCCTCGAAGGGGAGCTTCCTAGCACGCTTTTCAGTTGTGCATACTAGTCCGCGACAACTACGATGGCGGGAGTATTCTGCGTCTCTCTGGTGTGGACTACTTTGACCTATGTTCTTCTTCTGGGTGTCGCCAATGCGCGGGGCGGTAAGACGTATACTGGGCCAGATACCGCACCATATGCATGCCCCAGCGGCCACGTAAACTGGTACATACAATGCTTTGGCGAAACCCCTTGTGAGTGTCCAATTCGTCAAATGAGACCATTTCGGCTGAACGGGAACTACTCGCTCTAGGCCAAACTTATGTGAATCTCCAGAACCAATGCAACGCAGCTTGTAGGTCGCACTTGACATCCAAGTGCTACCACAGCCATAACACTTTATATCGTGCTGACGCCTCACGCTAGATACGCTACCCAGCATCAAATTGAATCCGCCAAACGATCAATGTCCTTTGTCTTCAGGTAACTCGTTTGGTAGGGTCACCTGAGGCATTTCCTAGCCGGGCTGACACTTTGCATAGCGGGATGCTGCTGCAATGCGGTTGCATTCCAGCTGCACATGCTTTGTTTGAAGTAAGAATCGTGCTATCCAATAGCTCATCCCGCTAACATTTTGTAGCTGTCAGAGCGGCTCAGCGTCCACTAGACGCGATAACTATAATGGAATCGACGGCGGTACGCGGCATTCCTCCATGCAGCAGATTGTGCCCATGTGCAGTGGTACTCAACATACTATCTTAGACTCTCAGATGTACAACGATTACCTTCAGCAATGCCAGTCCACTTTCACGCAGCTACCGAGAAACACCACTCCGTGAGTGTGAATATTTTGGGTGGCGTTTAACTCCGTTTTCATTGTGAAATCCTCAGATTCTTCCCCGCTTTTGAGCAAGCAAATGCCACAATCCCCGCCAACGCGGACTTCCTCTTCGTACCGCTATATCTCAATAACGCTACGTGGTGCGTAATATCTAGCGATCGAAACCAATGTCGTCTTATTGACCTCATGCGGTGTGCAGGTCCTAGTGAGTTCCTCACGTTCACGTTTAGCGTGTTAACAAACTGACATGCAAAGTTCTGAAACTAAGGACAAATTCATAAACGAGTCTCAGCACAACTCGTCGCTGTGCAGTCTGGCTTCCACCACTACGGCCTCAAGTACTGCAGTCTCGTTGCCAGTGACTGCTGCTGCAACAGCAATCACGTCAGTCGCGCTCAATGTAAGCTTAATAGCATGCGTTGTGCATCTCGCGTTGACAGGCCCTTTTCATGCATAGGGATCGGAGCCGTACCAGACAGCTCCCGGTGCAAATGCCAGCTCGAGTGTGGAGAAAAGCCGCTCCGTATCTGCGGGCACGATCGCCGGAATAGTGGTCGCTGGAGTATTGCTGCTCGGGATCCTCCTGGGAGCTTTGTGGTACGCCCGGAGGCAAAGGCGCAAGGCGGAGCCATACGTATCCCGTCGCGATGAGATACAAGGGGCGAGCGGGGACGACAAGGAGCGGCCTAAATCTGCGGGGGCTCGGAAAGCAGGTAAGTTGCGCTAGGCTCTAGAGGATGCTCTTAACGAGAACACAGTAACCTGACCTCATGTTCTGCAGGAGCATATCTATCCGGGATGTCAATCACCCCCCTCCTCAGCCGCCGCGCAGGCTCTCCTGCAACGAATAGCTCTATCCCTCCCTCGATCAATTTCTACCCCGACGCCATGGTGCGGCAAGGAAATGGCGGACGCGCATCGCCGCGCCCGTTTTCCGCAGCCTACTCCGAAACCCTGCCCGGGTACACTGGGTGGGATAGGAAGTCGATAGGAGAGAAGTCGATAGGAGAGAAGTCGGTGGTCAGCGAGCGCACGGACTCGCGCGTCCAGTTATCCACGGAAGACTCGCCGGATCCGTACATGCCTCTCCAGCCCTTGCGGTTAGACTCGAAGGAGTGATTTTTTGTGTATCATGTAACTCGATAGTATATCTGTAGTATTTTTATGTATGCGTGCAGCGAGTAGTGCTATGAGTATGAGGAACAGCGTCCCGATGATGGCTGACTCGGAAGTCAGGACCGAAGCTGTAGAAGCAATAATTCACTTGCACACGCTGCTATATTGCCCTCCTCCGCGCTATGGGTGGTATCTATGTAGATTCGCGCGAGCCTTGTCCGCCAGCATCTCTCGTGCTATTCGCCATCTCCCCATACATGTCCAGCTTTGCAGCCACACCCCTTGCCACACTCCCTACCGCCACCAGCCTACTTTGCATCAGCGGCCATAATATATTTATTTGTATGGTTTGAACAGACAGCGCTGGGACGCCCTGGTGCGTGCTAACCCTCGTGGCCGGTCGAGATCATAATGCCTAAAACGCAATACTGTGCGTCGGATTTAACCTTTTGGGTATGTCGGATGTCGAGTTCGCCTATACATGCGCGACCGCCGCATTTTCCAGCTCTTCTCATCTTGCCTTCTCACCCCCACTACACTGCTGCGCAGTCTCCCCCATTACCTCTACTTGACGCTTTCTTCTGCTTTTGCTTCTCTCTTCTGGATACTATGGCTACTTCTAGGACTTACAGGACTGACTCTGCCTCGCTGGACGGGGCCCCCATCGAGCCGAGCAACATCCGCGCGGGCGGGCGCCGCCGAGGTGGCCGGAAGGTCCGACGCGAGGCCAACAGGACGGGTACTAACCAGGATAGCTCCGACCAGAGTAGAGCCGACCAGGATAGAGCCGACCACAGCGCCGACGGGAGGACCGGGACCGGGACCACCCAGGAGGAGGCCGACCTGACCAGAGCCGACGGGGATGGACCCTACCTGGATAGAGCCGACGCGGACCCCCCTAGAGCCGAGGAGGACCACCCCAGAGCCGATGAGGACCTTGGTAGAGCCGATGGACCCGCGGCCGACGCGAGGATGGGGGCCGACGTGGATCGTAGAGCCGACCGTAGAGCCGAGGATGGCCTGAGGATGGCCGACGCGAGGACCCTGGACCGGGACTGGATGCTGACTGCGCGGAAGCGCAAGGCCGACGCGGAGGACGAGGACGACGTGCCCATGGCGAAAAGGATCAAGATCGAGGACACTGTGAGCGCTGGCGCAAGCACGGCCCCGGACGAGGACCCTGAGGACTGGTACGACGAGGATGAAGGCGACGAGGACGAAGACGAGCGCGACGACGAGGGAGGGAAGAAGGACGTGTTCGAAGATATGGTCAAGCTTCTGGGACGCGGCGTGACGGAGGAAGAGGCGAGCCAGAGGATGCGCGACGCGGGGAATGCGGAGCAGGCAGCGACGTGGTTGGACGCGACCGCGCTCTCAGAGATGGTCTCGTGGGCGCTGACGCCGGACATGGAAGGACAAGGTGCGTTCACAACATGGACGAATTCGCATGACGGAAGCTTACGAGATTCTTTACAGATGTTCAAAGTGTTGCTGCGGAAGCAGAGATTCCAGCATCGGAGACCGACCTGCCAGGGACGTCTGAACATGAGGATGTGGACTTGGAGAAGGCATTGGAACACCTTCACGTGGACGACACCTACCTCCAACCAATGTCCGAAGACGATACCCCCTCCCTCGCCGACAGCTTGCCCCTCCATAGTGCCAATGAAAAATGTCTCGACGACGACTGGGAACAAAATATGGACGAAATCATCGCACGGGAAAGAGTCCTCCTGAACGAGGCCAAATTGGCCGCAGCGGTCAGCGCATTGGGCCTGCCAGAGGTAAGCACTCCGCCTCCCTTTCCAAAAGGGTCTCCTAACGCGATTCTTTACGCAGCTCGAACATCTTACCGTGGTGTCGCACTTCCCTGCAGTCGCCGATGACGAAGTGGCTCAGGAGACCGACGCCAACCAGGACGAGTTGGACGCTCAGGAGGAGGCGGCGATCCGCGCCGAAGACGCAGCACGCCGCGCGTCTTTCAAGCGCATCGACCACAAAGCCCACATCCTCCGCCTCGCCGAGTGCCGCAAGCGCGAGTTCGAGCACGCCCGGGACCTCCCCCGCGCCCGCGCCCGCCACATCGCTCGCGAGAAGCTGCTCGGCCCGTACTGCTCCTACTACTCCGAGACGCAGGAGACGGCGATGTACCAGAAAATGCGGACGGAGCCGCGGGCGACGCGGGCGGAGCTCGACGACTACGAGCTCGTGCAGTACGAGCGCATCCGGCGCGTGATGCTGAAGGTCGGGTGGGTGTTCAAGCCGAGGGAGACGCTGAGGGAGATTCGGAAGGACATCGCTGCGATTGAGGCCGCGGAGGACCATGCGGCGTTCATCAACGACCGGCGCAAGCACATGCTGCGCTGAACGGGGCTGGGTTCTTTCGGGTTTATGGTTGGCTTGTGGACATTCGGGATCGGCTTTGGACATCTGGGCTTCGTTTCTGGTCTGTCTGGGTCGTGGCTGGTTTGTTCTCTCGGGTTTTATGGGCGGCTTGTTTTCTTTGGGTTCGTGGTTGGCTTGGGGGTTATCTGGGCTTGGCTTCGGACATCTGGGTTCGGTTTACTTTCTTTTGGGTTTATGGGCTGCTTCTTGTTTTTCTTTCGGGTTCAGGGTTGGCTTGCGGACATGTGTTTAGTTGTGGACATTCGGGCTTGGCTCTGGACATTTGGGCTCTATTTCTACTATTTCGGGTTTTATGGTTCGGTTGTCATTTTTTGGGTCTGTGGGTTTTTTCGGGTTCGTGTTTGGCTTGTGGACATTTTGGCGTGGCTATGGACATCTGGGCTCGGTTTTGGACATTTCGGCTCGGTTTCTGGTCTTACGCGTACTTTTGGGGGTTCCGGGTTGTGTTTTTTTGGGACTTTTGTGGACATTTGGGGCTTTCGTGGACATTCGGGTTTTTCTCTTGTATCGTCGGTGGTTTCGTGGAATTAGATGGGCGTGCTTCTTGCTACTGGTCGGTGTCGTGTCGAGAATAGCGCGCGATGGGTTTGAACACACGAGCCTTAATGCCGGCCCCCATGATCTGGGGGAGACGAGCACCGGAACTGGCCAGCCCATCGCGAGTCAAACTCAATTCTATCTCCTCAGTGGATTAGCGTAGATGAAACGGTGAAATGGTATGCAATGATATATCTCTGCTTGATTTCGATACCGACTCGCATCTCGTAGGTTGCCTTGCGTGTCGTCTACATATGTATCTCCGCGACAGATTACACGGCCTGGAGTCGACTGATGACTGCTATAGCTATCTTGCTCACCACGAGAGTGTCTACATCGATGAAATTTACCGGCACCCAGCCTCACCAAGTGCATGCGAGCTTGCACGGTACTCCATCATTCATACCCACGCCCCCCCCCCCGAACCTCTGTCTCCACCGACTCCCAGCTTGTCTGCAACCGTGGCAGTATATCAGTGTAGTATTCCGGGGAGAATCGTGGCGCGCGGAGGATCAGTCGATATTTCTTCTCCGGCAAAGGCACGCCAGCCCCGCCAAGTTTCTCGACTGTTTTGCGCGTGGCCTTGCGCTCGCCCAAGTCCACGCCGTCCGCGATCACCAGGCGCAGTGCAGGAGCCGCCAGCGGCGTGCCGGCGGTCCCATTCGTCTCCGAGCGGACGCATTCAATGAGTATCTCGAGCGCCCAACTCTTCGTGGTGTCGGCATGCAGGACACTGAGCGTGCGCAGGTTGGGCAACTCGGGGCGGAGGGCGGTGTAGAGATGACACACGTCGGGATCAACGCCGTCGATATAGAGCTCGGTGACGTGGTCCAGACCTTCGCCGAGAGTGAACAGGCATGCGTGTTCGGAGCCTAGAGGAACTGCACTATTGATGCAGATCCCAGCGTTGTCGTTCGTCAAGGCAAGCGAACCGCTGCCATTGTGCTTTGGGGGATTTCTGAGGTAGAGGCGTGTTAAAGGTTGTCGTACGTAGTCGGGGTGGGCCAAGAGACGGCTGGCGAGTCCTTTGGGAATGGCGAGCTTACGGCTGACGAATTGACTCCGAAGGTGGGAATTTTCTCTTGCCCGGGTCACGATAAACTCGTTCAGGGTGAGCTCGATAGTCATTCTGGCGCGGTCGATTTGAAGAACGTGGAAGAGATCAATGTAGCGCGCGTTGAGCGAAATTTTGCGAAGTCGGTGCAGGCGCGTGTTCGCCGGTGATTGCGCCGGTGGTGGCGCCCTCATGTAGACCGCAGTGTTCCGTAGGTTGATGTTGGTAAGGTTCGCGCAACGGGAGAGAAACGCACAGAAGGCGTAGGCGTGCAGTCCGTATACGTCCGATACGACAAGGTGAGTGAGGGCCGGAAATTGGTTGGGCGGGAGCCAGGACCCGAGGCCGCGGATCGACAGCATCTTCACATGCTCCGTAGCACCTTTCAGCACCATGGCATTGGGGTGGTCTCCGTAGTTTGTGCAGTTCATGTAACCCCTGGAGAGCGAGAGGCGTTCGACGTTTGGCGCATCGAGGGCTAGAACGTTGAGATCGCCGGTCCCTTTACTGATGGAGTGACAATTTGTCGAGATCTGACAATGCAGCTCGCGGATCGACGCGCCACGTTCCGCGGTAATGTCCCAGAGCCAAAGAGGGAGACGTCCAGAGATGGCCACCTGCAGGGGGCAGCCCCGCGCCCGCTCAAAGAACGTCATAGTCTCGTCCGCACTGACATCCCGGATTGACGTCCAGAAACCAGGAAACAGGAGTATAACCTCTCGCCACCGTCGGCAGACGTGCGAGAGGGCTAAAACGTCAGAGGCCCGCTTGTGTGCGTATAGCCATCCGACGTCCAACACTGCTCCCTGACTGGCACAGTCACTGTCATGACATACGAAGTCGGTCGGCCGGATGAACTGGAGGAATATGAGGCGGAGGAGCTCCGGAGGAAGACGGTTGACACGACGGTGCGCATTGAGGGCCTTCATGATGTCTTGCGAGCCCGACTTCAAGAATTCGTTTATGTCATTCAGCTGGGGTGATGATACGTATGAGCACAATGGATGAGAACGACTCGCAATCAAGACATACTTCGTCGCCACTGTCGATGAAGTATTTGAGACCGCCACACTACGAATAACACGACTACGCACCTGATACTATCGTTTGTAATTCGCCACTTCAGTGCCTCCATGGCTGATACAAAAATGTTCTTGGTCGGCATCGGTGCAGTTGCTCCAGGATGGGCGTACGCTTCCATCGCGGAGAGTTGTCAAGCAATGTCAAGCAGTGGATGTAGGGATACAAGAAGCAGAGGACAAGGCTGGGAGGGCGGTGTGGAGATTGCCTCGTGGCGCATCTTCTCATGCCCTTGTACTTACTTGGGTTGTATTGCCGCCGAGACAGTCCGCTCGAGCCTTTGTCTCTCGGCGCATCAACACCCGCGCCTCGTCGCAAGTTGCCGCGGGGTAGAGAGAAGTGTGGTATGCAACGATCACATTAAGGTGGTAGGTTGGACATGGTAAATACTTAGCTTCGAATGCCATGCGCTTGCATGCCCGCATTAATCCTCGCAGCTTCAAGCGCCTGCAAAGAGAGCATCGTCACCATCATCCTTCCTCCGTAAAGGTCAAAGAATCGACCCCGCCGACATGCACTTCCACTTACCTGTAATCGTTACACCACGGCGATTTAGTTCTTTGGGGAGAGCCGCGGCGCGCACAGAACCAGCCTGTCCCTCTTCTCCCGCAAAGGCACGCCAGCCCCCCCAGTGTAGCGAGCATCTCGCGCGCGGCCTGTACCCCTCCCAAACGTCACCACGAAGGCAACAAAAGAGCCAAAAATTGCCACAACGAGAGACCATCGCTCCGAGCCGAAGCCCGGCGCACAGCGTCCCCCCAGCGCACTCTCGAACGCGGCCGGCCCAGCGCCGCGTTCCCCCGCATCCACCACCGCCCCGCGCCGCACGCGCGGGGTCTATGCAACCGCGCCGTTCGCCCGGCCCCTGCTCCCCGTAGTCCCCCCGCACAAGGCGGAGGTTTCCGCCACCACGCCCCACAACCCTTCCTCTGCGCGCACCCTCGAAGGGGCCGAAGACCACGCATGAAGCCCAGGAGAAACGTATCGCCCGGACATGGATGGTCGCCGTCCAAACTGCGGTACTCGTCCTCTCGCGAGCCCACGAGGGGCCGCGCTCAGAGCCTGGCTCGCTGCGCGCATGACGCACCCGCCAGCTCGTCCTGCCGTCCTGTGTGTGACGCCTGCCCGGCACCGCTGTGCGCACGACGCACGGCTCACCGCGCCTCCTCGCCAGCCGCCCTACGCGTCACCCCGAGCTGCACACTCGCGCCCAACGCAGACAATCGCTGTCTGGAAGCCAGCACACATCGACCGACTACAGTGCCCCACGCGCCCCGCCGCAAAGACGGGACACGCGTTCCCCGAGCGACATCGAGAACGAATCTCTGTTGGGGCATCCCGCGGGAGCCGCAACTTTGCTGAAGGGAGGGCCGAGTCTGAGATCGCTGTGAAGGCCGCCGAGACAACGCGCTACGAAAGGGGAGAGTGCAGAGGAGCGGTACCAGGCGACCGGGTCATAAGAAGTGGGGTATTGCTGTGCCTGCGCACAGCGATGTTCTCGTGCTGGACAAGCGTAGGACGGACAGAAACAAAACTGTAGAGCACGCACGCTACGCAGGTCGTCGCTGGCTTGCTTGAATAACGAGGACGACCACAGTTCTTCGAGCGGTCCAGAGGTCTGGGTGGGTGCTGATACGACTCTACGCAGAGCGCGCGGTCGCACGTCAGAATCTAAGCTGCAATGAAAACGTGGTGGGAGCCGAGCTATTTACGCAGTGGGTGTTAGAGCCCGCCTTCCTGTATGGAAGGGCAGGAGTTGGGGGCGGCTGGGTAAACATGGAGGAGCTATACGTACAGCAGGCACAAAGCCCACCGCCGTACACCCGCCCCTCCCCGCGCGTGTCTCCCAGACCATGTAACATACCTTCACACACGTGCACCCAGCATCTCCAAACCTGAGTACCTCCTCTTACGTCTTCCTGTGCGTTCTCTTGATGTCCGGGTGACTACCGCTCACTCCATTCTCCGCTGCCTCGGCGTCACGAAGCCATGCCTATTTCGTTGCGCATGCCAGCGCTTCCAGGGACCTGTCCTGCACTACGACCGTCTCGAGAAAAGACAGCGCGAAGCTCAGGACCTCCTGCGGCGAGCCAAAATTGGCGCAAACATCGCCGGGGTTGGGAAACGCCCTCGTAGCGGACCCTGTGGTCCCGAGGACGCCCCCCGCGAATGGGTCAAGACCCGGGATACGCCGTGTTCTGTGCGTGTGCTCGGCTACTCCGTAGAGTGGTAACACGCGCCGTGAGAGACGGAACGAGAGGCACGGAAGGGGTTCGGAGGCAGCATTCGTAGAATCATGAAGGGGAGCAATGGAAGTCAGGGAGACCTGCGAAGGTCTGTGCGTGGCCAACCTGTCGCTGCCCGCCCAGTTTGTGCGCCAGTCTGGTGTACGTGTTTCGCTCGCCGTCCAAGACAGGCTCATATTGGTCCCGCGACGCCTCCCTAGTGCCGTTGTCCGGGGCCTGCTCTCGATGAGGAAGGATCTCGTGCGTGCCGGCGTCACTTTTCCTCTTAGTCGCTGCATACTCGGCCGCAAAGTACGCGCAGAGCGGTACTTTGTGCGTAGCAGACTGAGGGCATGCAGGATGAAGGCGGGATCCCGAAGCGACGTTAGCAGAGACCTGTGCGTGCTCCCCAGCGATAGCAGACCTTGTCCGGATGCCGACACGTGCCGAGGAGGCGATATGGAGCAGCCCTGGAGGGTTCACGGCAAAAAAAGGGTCCAGAGATGACAACCGGAGCGAGCAGGACACACTTGCATGATTCAGACGATGCGAAAGTGCGCACCTAGCCACAACGAGCTCTCAAACAAAGATACGACATTGCTCGACCGCCAATGCCTCTCATGGCGCAAGTATACCAGAGCAAGAAAGAAACACAAGCGCAGCCTATATGCACTTAGGGTTAGATTTCACTCTGGGTTAGAGAGTGGAAAGTCTTGGCTGGAGGCGACGCGTCGACGAGCGGCAGAGCGAGAGTGGTCACCACAAACGAGAACCCGGAGCGTTGAGGGCCTTGAGAAGAGCGTAAGAGGCGGTATGGCTGAGAGACGATCAAGCATGCGTGGGTGGTCGTGGTCGAAAGCAAGCTAAGAGAGTCGGAGAGACAACGACTTCGTCGCGTGGTAGACGCCCGACAAACAACGCGTAAACAAAGGAAACACGCGTGAGATCGCGTGCCGTAAGCGCCTCGACGGCTCCCTTCACCTCATCCAGCGACGACCAGCGACGACCAGCGACGACCATGGACCGACCTTTTCCTCAGCACCCCCCACCCTGTCCTCGCGACCATGCTTACCGAGCCAAGGATCATTGAGGACTTACGCACCCTCAGCAACTAAACATGCGCCCCCAGTGGCAAGGACAGTCACGCACGCGGCCGGCTGTATGATAGGTGGGAAATGGGCTCGGACCCGTGATGTGAGCACCGTCAGCTTCTCGGCAAGATCGTCTCTACAGCCTGCCGACTGCAGGCAGGAACGAGGCCGCGAGGTACGCCGCAATGTACTCCCTTCTTTTCCTCTCGCTCACCCACAGCTAGTGTGACCGTACACGGTTGTCAAAAGCACCCATGCTCGCAAACTCGGCAATGGCAAACAGTCCCAGCTCGCAAACGAGCGGATCTGTATCGATCAAGGAGCGGGTCGCCTCTGTCATAAAAACCTTCCAAGATCAGGTCATAAACGAGACAATCAGGTACGTATTCCAGTAACAGTATGCACTGCATGTCAGCACTCTGCCTCCCGAGTCCGCACAAGGGTGTGCGATTACGTCCGGCTATTGCGTAACGATAGCCATACAATATCAAGTCGGTGAAGATTTGTATGTGGTTATCAATCGCACAGACAGAGTTATGTATCATATGTTTCGGGCGACGATGTGAACGATGAAAAGATCAAAGCGGTAGAGGTTAGAGACGAATATGAACAACCTTTCAGAAAGTGCCGACATGCAGTAATTTTCGGCTCCTCGCAGCCGCAGTCGCTCCAGAGCTAACACATACTTTTGATCGTTCCCAGTGATGACGAAGTAAGGGTACTCAGCAAACTACCTTGGCCTTGACTTATCCGATGACCCCAGGTGGACGACGTACACACGCTGCTTAAAGCATGTTGTTCGTTCATCCTGAGGTACACCAACTCCCGACGTTCCGTCAACCGGCTCCCTCCCGAAATCCTCCGCCTAGTTTTCCTCCAATACGTCCAGACCACAGACGTTGCGAGCCTCGCGTCAGGCAAAGTCAAAGACGTTGGCTGGCCACACACCCATCTTCGTATCGGCGACGTCCTGTTGCTCACCCATGTCTGCAAGCGCTGGCGCGAGGTTGCTCACGATCTACCCGGCCTTTGGACCTCGATCAGGGACGCACACGCGAGAGAGACGAGGGACATTCTGAGCCGTGCAAATGGCTTACCGCTGAAGGTCCTCGTCTCCGCTGGGAAACGGTCAGACTGGTTCTGGGACATCTGCATGGAATACGGAGCGTCGATCCAGGAGCTGCATTGGGTCTCGGCGAAGAACCACGGTGGGGACCTCACCTCCATTCCCGCGCTGGACATCAAGGCGTCCAACGTAGTGCGCCTCTCGTTGAGCAGAGGTGCGAGCGACCAGGCAAGATATCGTAGCGCCTCAATTCTCAGAGGAGCTACCGCCAACGTGAAGGTCCTCTCGCTCAACGGCATCAACTGGTTCCCTTCCAACCGCTTTCAGGCGCTGACCCACCTCGTTCTCTCGGGCTCTATGCCGTTGAACGATCTTCTCGCCTTCATGCCACGTTGTCCCACCCTTCAAACTCTCGTGCTTCGAAGTGGTGTCGCCCTGTCGAATCTGGATGCACCCGTCGGTGCCAACCACGTACGACACCCCCAGTTGCGGAGATTATCGGTAGACTTGGACCCCTGCCGGTCCCTACCTACGTTGCTGGCCCGTCTCGACTTCAATCGCCCCGCCGCCGCCGTCGACATCGTTATGAGCACGCTCAAGGTGCAGGCTGCACCACCTTTCAGCCGAGTGGACATCCCCGACTGCTACACCGACCGACTCTTCCCCCCCTCCGACCACATCGACAAACCGCTCACACGTCTATACCTCACGCAGTCGTCGAAGAACCGCAAATGGAGCTCCCTCGTGGCCCTGAGCGACACGGCCGGGATCCGCTTCAAGAGCGTCGTCCCACTTGCGTTCGACCACGCAATGATCCTCTCGCACAACATCGCGCTCAGCCAGGTCACCGAGATCTGGCTCGAGGCGATCGACGAGGCTATGTTCCAGCTGTTCGTCGCGCTCCGCCAGGAGATGCCCGCGTTGCAGACGCTGAACCTCGTGCACCCCGAGCGCGTCGACGCCGTACACATGACCATGACGATGTTCGTGCAGACGCTGCGTATGCCGCGCATGCCCCACCAAAGGTCGCCGCCGCCGCCGGTGCCCACACTTCGCGTCGTGCTTGGGGGCGCGGCGTCCATCGACCGCGACGAAGGGACGTTCGAGGTGCTCCGCGAGCTGACCGGGTTCAGCCTGTTCAGGGAGAAGAAGAACCGGCTGATCCTGCGGGCGACGGAGTTTCCGCCGGAGTTCTACCAGGAGGTGCTGCCTGCGCTCAGCGAGAACTGGGAGTCCGTGGTGACAGAGGTGGGTTCTGTTGGGGAAGTGGCAATGGTCGTTCCGTCTGTTGTCGGGGCAGATCCTGTTTTCTCGTCCTGGGAAGGGTGGTTCTGACACGACTGACCGATATCAGTGAAGGTGTGAGACGTATCTCCTTCGCTTCGTATATCTTGATACTTACCCTAGTACTAGGAGGAATCGGGGAGTATAGATTAGAGACGCTGGCGTGCCAAAGCGGCCCCGCGCGGCGCGAGGCTCCAATGCGGCCGGACTCTTCTCCGCAACCATCCACAGTACTTTTTTTCGTCCAACCCACTGCTAGCATATGTAACGCTTGTGCTCTGAGATCCTTTCAGCTATACAGCAACTCACTTTCAGACACCAGATCAGGGGATAGCGTCCTTGGTGGTCCATGGTGAGGGTGTGGGAAATAGGTGTTAGGCGACGAGTAGCCGGGAAGTATTTAGATGATGGCCCACGAGGCAAACGCCAACTCATCGCTCTACGTCTTTGCGTTCATCTCTTAACTAGCTGTGAGGACTATCTGCGATGCCGGACACAGACACTCGCAGCGAATCTGGGTCAACCGCACTTATGTCGGCCAAGGAACTCTTCGTAAAGGCTTTGATGGCTCTGAACTCAGAAATTGCAAGCGAGGACATCAGGTGTGTATCTGCGTTGTTCGTTTTATGGTGACTGGAAGCTCAAATAAATCTTCGAAACGGACAGCCGCGATGAGGTAGGATCCCATTTCGCTCTCGTGTTGAACACATATACTTACTCCTATTTCTCAACTCACCAGCTGGACGACATAGACGTGCTCCTGTGGTCTGCCAACGCCTCGATCAAGCGCGCCATCAAATCCTCTGTCACAAAAGCCATGAATGCGCTTTGTTTTGTGAACCGTCTTCCGCCGGAGCTCCTCCGCATTGTGTTCCGCCAGTGTGTCCGGCCGACCACACTACCTGGCCTCGCACAGAGAGGGAAGACGCAGAGCTTTGGATGGACCCACACGCATATGTGGGTGTCTGACGTCTTGAAACTCACCCACATCTGTCGGCGATGGCGAGAAATCGTCTTCCTATCGCCCCATATGTGGACGTCGATCCGGGACGTCCACGTTGAAGAGACGAAGGCGTTTCTCAAGCGTGCACAGGACCTCCCGTTACAAGTGACCATCTCTGCATGTCCCCCCTGGCTCTTGAACGTCTTTGCAAAACGCAGCGAGTCAATCCGCGCATTGCATTGGGTCTCACCTACGCGTAACACCGTTGCAGAGGCCCTATCGGACATCCAGGCACCAAATGTTGAGCAGCTCTCGCTCTTCAGGGGCCCCAATGGTGCGGTCTATTCCGATACGGTCATACTGAATGGTGCTACGCAAAATGTGAAAATGTTGTCGATGAACGACCTCGGGTGGTATCCGACAAACCGGTTCCCAGCGCTCACACACCTCGTCATATCGGCCAGGGAACTGCAGGCGCACAAGTTCCGGACATTCCTGTCCCGCTGCCCGAACCTCGCTGTCCTCGTCATACAATCTTCTTCGACGTGTAACATTCGTGCACCACCTGCACAGCTGCCAGCGGTGCCCTATCTGAGCCACCTGCGCAAGGTTTCGCTTCACACACGCTTAGTCAACCTCCTGCCCATCCTCCCAATCAACCGTGCCTGCACCACTATCGAGCTTACCAAGGACGTGTTCAGAAGCCCCCGTGGATTCGTCAACCGCCTCCTAGCCCACCCTGACTACGCGCGGCAACCTCTATTCCGTCTCTACCTCAAGGACACCTCCGAAACGGAGTCGCCGGACGAATGGAATTCGCTCATGCTGACGAACGGCACCGGCGGGATCTGCTTCAAGAGCACATCCGGTCTGAGCACACAGACCGCTTCCCTTTTCGTGCGATATGGGGATCTCGACAACGTCACTGAACTCTGGGTCGACAACGTCGATGTCAACGTGTTTAGACTGTGCACCGTCATCCGCCCCGGCCTGCTCAATTTGCGTACGCTCAGCGTCCTGCGCGCCGACCACGCGAACAGCACGTCCGCGCTCTCAATGCTCGTCCAGTACGCTCGCATGGAGGCGAAAGGGACCACGGGCGCACTGCTAGCACCTCCGGCGCTGCGCCTCGTGCTCGAGAATGGCGCGGACTTGGACGCGCGCAAGGCTACGATGCTCGCAATACTTGGCGGGGCCGATGCACCTCTGCGGTGGGAGAAGAAGGACCGGCGGTTGATTCTCCGCGCGCGACAGTTCTCCCCCGAGTACTACACCGCAATCGTGCCTCGGTTGTTGACACGGTGGGAGTCGGTGGAAACGGAAGCGGGCAGCGGCGGAGACGATGCGCTGCCTGTGACTCGCGCAGATGATGGTTTCACGGCCTGGGAGGAAGAAGCTTGAGGCTTGCTTTCGAGATCGACCATTGGATTTAAGACCTGCCTGTCCAACAGATGAACCCTATACTCTGCGATTACACGGACTATTCCGTGATTTATGGGAGATGCAAGGGCGCACTCTGGGAAGTCGACCAAGTACTAGCGTTCAGTCGAATGCCAACGCGTGAGATGCGTTAGGAACGGGCGAGCGATTATCATCTACTCGAGCAACGCGTGGCTAATTACGGAGAGCGTCGAACTGCACACCTGGTCACCTGCCCCCTTCCCCCAGGGGGTCAAGAGCCTCCAGCGCGTGGCGATTGGCCATGAGACCTCCGTGGTGTGCACGATGTGGTCGCGAAGGTGGCATGGGCGTTAGGACATTGCTTCAAACGCCCACCGGTCAGTACTAGTCTGTGGCTGGCGGTGAGTGGTTCGAATTCTTCCGTATCTGCCGACGTCCGAAACCCATGGACCCCTTTGACAGCGTGTAAGTATCTATCTCTCCTTCGCTCTCCGGGAAGGGGAATGCCGTTGACCGCCGTTATCCACAGGCCGATGAACATGACCCGAATGTCCAAGTGTACCCGGGTCACTACTGATACGAGACCGGGAGCCCGAACGTCGAGGGCACCCGCTCTTGGTTAACTCCCCCTCCCCCCCTTCAAAGGAGATTCGGTCTCCCTCTTCCCCTGGGCAGCCACCGTTCATTCGGATCACATCTGTCCAGCTGTGCAGCGCTTCAAAGGGCGTGCTTCTTCAGGAGCTGTGCGAGTCATTTAGAGGCTAGCGGAGTCGTCCGCGACGTTCCTTGGCATTTCGTCCACCTTCCCTCCTTTCATGGCACTTCCACTTCACGACTCTGGCCCCATAGAGCTCGATACCGAAGAACAAGCTTGGCTTGCCCACCAGCCCTTTCTATACAGTCGCGGTTACCAACTTCGTCCGCGGTACAGGCCAAATTGGGTCCCGTCCTGGACGCCGGGATTTCATTACGATGCCGAGGATGCTCTTCTCCTGCCAGTGAGTCCTCTCAGTGCGCGTGAGGCGTGACGTACTCATAGGTTGGTTTTAGTTCAGAGGCGGCGTCGTGATCGATGCCACGCGAATCTCCGATGGCAAGATGGTTTACATCAAGAAAGTACGAAGGGGGTCTGAGGAGCTAGCCATCGCGACCTACCTCTACTCGGAAGAGTCGCGCGGTGATGCTCAGAACCGTTGCGTCCCTATCTTGGATGTTCTCGACCCTCCGCAAGACCCGACTATCTCGCTTATGGTCATGCCCTTCCTGCGGTACATTGACTCACCGAAATTCGAAAGGGTGGAGGACATTCTGCAGTGTGGCCGACAACTCCTAGAGGTTTGAAAAACCCAGTACGCGGTTCTCCGCATGGAGCTCATGCACAGTCGTCCAGGGCCTTGTTTTCCTGCACGCCCACGATGTCGCTCACCGGTACGTACCAGTATTATTAATATTGTCTTTTGGCGGCCGTACTGATTGCAACGACTCCCAGCGATTGCTCGTTCAAGAACCTCATGATGGATGCTAGCGCTTTGCACCCACTTGGCCATCACCCTATTCAATACGACTACCTGGCTTCGGATTATTCCCAGCGGGCACCCGTGCTATCTCGTGTCGTCGCTAGAGTCAAGTACTACTTCACCGATTTCGGCATCTCCACGCGTTTCGCCCCCGGAGCGGAAAACAGGCTCGTCCTCGGCGACAAAGGACTCGACAAAGAGCTCCCAGAGCTCTCTCTAGTCGTTCCGTACGACCCCTTCAAGGCAGACGTCTTCCTCCTTGGCAACGTCTTTCGCAAGCACTTCGTCGAGGTCAGTCCATGGGTTCCGTTATTGCATCACATTCCCCAATTGCAAAGACTCACTGTCACGAGTGTAGAAGTATCGGAATGCGCCGATGCTGGACATGGGGCAACTCGTCGCACGAATGACGGCACCTGACCCAAAGCAACGCCCCACTGCGGCCGGAGCTCTTCGCGAGTGGCAGGCACTGCAGAAACGCACCTCCGCCGTTAGTCGTGGCTGGCGCTTGCAGCCGCAGGACGACTCGGAGAGTCTCCTTGTCCGCGTCATCTACGATGTCGTCCAGCCTGTGAGTACCGAATATAAATGGTTTGGTCGCCAATCTTACTCAAGAATCCGCATAGTTCTGTCTCGTTTACGCATATCTGAAATTTGCTTACTATCTCGCTCTTCCTCTGCTGCCTCTCTCCTCGCGTCGTTGAAAACCTGCTGTCACCATCGCTCTTCGCCTTGCCGTCTTTCGAACCTTCGCTTGTTTCCACTGTGCTCGCTCTACTGCCCCTCCTTTGAGCCTGTATTCCCTGATTCTGGTTCCGGTTTTCTCATCGCTCATCGCTGCCGTTGTAAAACCCCCGAATCGTTGAACTTGTACTGCTCTATCCCCGCTGTTATCTTTGCCTTCCTAGCGTTATTTGTTATTTTTACACTTTCCCGCTCTCCCGCTCTCCTCGATCTTACCTGTTGTCTCGCTACACATACACGCAGCGCGTTCGTATATGCCGATTGTAGTACCACAGTGTAGTACCAAAATGCTAGCCTTGATTCATTATATAGCACTACAAGTCGAGTCAAAGTAGTTCATGTGCGTGCTGTGTGTGCTTACGCCGGAACTAGCCGAACGCAGCCACGCGATTCCGACTCCCTGCCACTGGCGCCTGTTCCGCCTCGAGGTTGCTCTCGACCACAACGGTCTGGCTCTCTGGGCGGTCGACCTCCGGGCACCCCCGCACTTGCTCGTTCAGCTCTATCAACTGTTTTGTTCCACCTCGTTCGGGTCTCTACGGAAGCAGAGACAATACGCACCGGATGGGCGCTGAGCGGACCGCTCGGGTTGTCTTGAAGTAGGCTCTGCCCCCATCTCACCACCGACTCATCGCCGTGTTCAAAACCAGGTAGGTCCGAAGTTCGCTGAGTACGGCTTTCGAGCACTCAGCCTCACTCTCAACAACCTTTTCCACAACAAATCCCTTCCCTGTCGCGTGCCTCACCTCGATTCTCAAGATAAGAACGACTCCACCTCCTTCGCCCAACAACCATCCCCTCCACACCCGCCTCACTGTCTATGGCTGCCTACTATGCGCCACGGCGGGCGCGAGCCGTTGCTCAAGCATCTATCCCTACGAGCACCGGCGGTAATGGCCCCGCCGCCGAACTGGAGGAGCGTGAGGATGGACTCCATTCCATTTACATCTTCCCGAGCCCTGCTTCGGCTCCTCCCAGTCCCGCCGTATCTGTCTCCTCTGCGCCAACGGACTTTGACTTCTCAAGCCCCATCAGCTCAAGGTCGACTTCTTGTACGCGGCCGCCCCAACGGGACACGACGCAGGCAGACATACGCGATGCAAGTCGGAGCTCGGTGTCCGCGGCCTACGACGCGTCTTCCTGTTACTGGGATCTTCCGAGTCCGCCAGGAAACGATTTGGAGATCGATATATTGCTCTGGGATATCACCAGCGATGTCACGACAGAGCCCTCGAATTCGGACGAATCCTGGGCGCTCGAGGGTGAGGTGGAACGCGTTGGGTTCGCCGAGGTCGACCTTCTGTACACCCCACACTTGCGCCGTGCGCGTCAAGCACCTCTGTCTTCGTCGCAATCTCCCGATCGCAGTCAGCCCCGATATCGCTTCTCCGCCCGCCCTCGCCAGCGGTCACGCACGCGCTCGAGGATCAGGACGACCAGTATATCGTCGCTCGCGCTTTCCTCGACGCAGCAGACGGTCGCACCCCATCCCCGTATCCACGTTCCTCTCCTGTCATTTTTTGCATCTCTGCTATCTCTCGACCTCGAAGACCCGGCTCTACGCCTTCTCACTAACGCGGAGTCCGGGGATGCCGAAGCGGTCCTGTTCCCGGGGCAGAGCAGCGCGCGGCTGCTAGCTCAGGCCACGGAGCAGCCGACAGGCCGACGGTCCTTCGAAAGCGACTCCGACACGGAGACAGAGAGTATCATTGGCGAGCTCCCGCCGTACGATATTATGGAGACACACGGCCTGCCCAAAATGTTACTCACCAGCATTTCTGAACAGTCGGCCGTGGCGCTGCGTTCTCTTCGTGCTGGATTCGCTGTGCGGCTCCCTGCCACCGCCTCGGAGCTGCTTCCGCTTCCCCGCGCGACGGAGATTATCGGGCTGTGGCGCGTCCTCGGGGAGGTCTGTTCTAAGGGCAATCAGGCGTGGAAGGAGGCGTGGGCAGCTGCCTCTGCGGGGAGGTCGGTGACATAGAGCGGTTGCGGCGCACAGATGGTTGTCGTGCTGGTCGGCGTAGTGTACACACGAAGGTGAGTCGCGCTCGTGCATGCTTTACCCCCGCTGTATGTGTGCTGAGATCGCAGCAGGGTCCTGGAAGAGACATGCATGTATTGTATCGCGCACCTAGTTCATATCACGAGTCATTCGCACATTTCTGTCTATGGCGTCTTGGGTTTATTGCCGCTGACAATGGCGAGGACAGTTTCCGTGCTCCTTCCGCTGTTCTTACAAGCACTAGCATCCCGTGATCCCATCGGTGTAGCATGCTCGGCAATGTGGAGTAGCAGCGCGCGTTGGAATGGTGGTGAGTGCCTACCCACTAGTCACTTAGATCATACCAAGGTTTTTGTGCTACACGAACACACGCCGCACACGGAGGTTGTATACGTGTCCACGGCTCGGGTGTAGCATATACAGGGAATAGCACATACGCCTTCTGAGGTACGCGCCGCTCCACCGTAGGCGTTTCACCGCGAAGAACATGTCGTAGCGCTGAAGGACGGAACCGTGCCACCTCTGTCGCAGGAACATAACCGAATTGCGCACGGGGCGCGCTCGACACGGTAGGAGGCATTCGAGCTGCGGCTTATCGATACCACCGGTGCTCACCAAGCACATCCAGAACACCATGCACCCGTAACACATCCAGGCAGACGCCGAGAGCGTGCCGGAGGGATAAAAGCTCGCAAGGCGAGGGCCACTGCTCCAAACTCCCCAGTCGCCAACAACCTATCCGCACACACTCGATTAACAATGTCCCAAGAGCATCACTTCACCCTGTACACGCACAACTTTGGCCCGAACGGATGGTGAGCATCGATGCACGCCGTGTGTGAGCCTCAGGCCTCAGGACTGACCAGGGTCGCAGGAAGGTCGCCATTGTTCTCGAGGAGCTCGGCCTTGAGTACCGTTCCCTCTACTTGGACGTGAAAAAGGGCGAGCACAAGGCTCCCGAGCATACCAAGTTCAACCCGAATGGACGCATCCCCACGTTGATCGACCATAAGAACAACGACTTCGTCGTCTGGTGGGTTGCATGCCGCATGGCCACCACCTTAACGTACTTATTTTGTTTGTCCCAGGGAGTCGGACGCGATCATCACGTACCTCGTGGAGAAGTACGACTTGGAGGGTAAGATCTCCGCCACCTCCTTCGAGGAGAAGATGCAGCAGCTGCAGTGGCTCTTCTTCCAGGCGTCTGGACAGGGGTGCGTAATTTCGAGTGTGCTTCCTAGTGCGGGCACGGTAGCCTAAACATCAAACAATCATGCAGCCCATACTTCGGCCAGGCGGCGTGATTCATCATGTCGCACCCAGAGAACCTCCCGAGCGTCATTGAGCGGTACCAGAAGGAGATGCTCCGCATCCTCGGTGTGCTTGAGAGCGTCCTCTCCAAGCAGGAGTGGCTCGTAGGTGGCAGGTGCACTGTCGCAGATCTGAGCTTCATCGTGTACGTCGTCTCCTTAGTCAGCGCACATTGTACTGACACGGTGCGGCGCTCAACGTAGGTGGAATGCGTTGATCCTTGATGGCACCATCACGAAGACATACACCCCAGCCCAGTTCGAGGAGGACTTCCCGGCAGTCTTCAGGTTAGTACTTATTCTTCCTGAACGTGATAGGTTCACTGCCTTGATACTCACAGGGGCTTTCGTATTGGCTCCAGATGGCACCAAGCGATGATGAATCGGCAGACGGTCAAGAAGATCTACGCTATAAGAGAGGCATTCAAGGTCTGAGCTACGTGAGAGGGAGTTGTTCGAATATTGCACAGTACAGGTACTGAGGTAGTTGACTTGTGTCGACATGTCAAAGCGCTGTACATAGGTATGCTGGGTCGGCCTAGTTGTTTTGGAGCCGACTAATTCCCCCCCTCCCCCCCCTCCCCCCGATCGACTAAGCCGTCAACACACCTCAAAACCCACGACGGACTGCCGGCCGAACGTAGCATGCGGGAGTTGATCCCGACATGATGATGCACGACGTTCTTGCGAACCGCGACGTCGAACTTGAGTCCCGGCTTCGACTGGTGACAGACGGCCTGCCGCAGCTTGGTCATATGCCACCGGACACTGCACTGAATACCTTCCGTGATTTCTGTGTGTATCTGGACAACTCCACAAAAACTATGTAGGATACCTGCCATTCAAGAAGACACGCACCAGATTCGATTGGGTATAGTATGTCTCACTCGGCTCTTGCCCGGCTTCTCCGCCGCTAATTCTGCCATTCTAAGGCCCGTAGTCGGAGCACCTCTTCCCGCAGACGATGGACGTCAAGCACGTCACTCTGCATAGACCTTTTTGAACCCATCATAGAGGCGTGTTCGGTCCCTATGGATAGAAGTCATGTACGTATAGTACGCACCGTGCCGGAAGCCTATACTATTGCTGGTTTCACGGCGCTTGTCGCGGGGCCTGACGCGCGAATTTCGCGCCGCGCGCCCATTTGGAGGGTGTCGACGCGGATCGTCGATAGCTCGCTCTTACCTCCATGAAATTCGGTATTTCTTTCAGATTCTGAATCTCCTCATCAGTGCGGAGGGCACGGTATCAGAATTGGCGCGATATTCGAAGTTTAAGTGACCTCCTCCTCGAACCCCTTCCCCAGAGCAGAACGAAGATTACCCGCCAAGATCCCATTCAATTCAGCTGGAATTTTGTGATATGGGCTCTAAAACAGTCTACAGAGGGCACAGACCTCAAAACAGAGCGCGCGAATGGGGAATACTAGTAGCGTCCCCGCCTGTTCTGGCCCGCCTCACCTCCGTTCAGCTACATCCTCTAGAAGAGCTTCGTTCTGACTCCTCGACACAGATAGATGTAGCGAGGCTCATTAAGGATGGTAATAAATCGCGAAACAGACTTTCCCAGCGTCACGGAGGGTTTTGAATACGTACGTTGAGGTCTACTCCCGTGCGATGACGTGGCGCTCGTATTGCTCTGCTACACCCCCCAATATCGGCGCTGACACCGCGAATGGGACGTTTATGTAGGGAATATACCCAGAGAGATATACAGATGATATAGATGTCCTCAAATGTGTGAGCAATACTACGTCTGTTCACCCCCTCAAACCGGGTGAACAGACGATGACGTACTTGCCGATAATCGCAACCAAAATACATTCATGCCCTCCGTACACATCTATAGCGTCTGTTCAAGCACATTCCAGCCAGAGAAAGGGACGATGTCGCTCGTTGTGCTGGTTCTGCTTGGAGACAGGTCCCCGAGGAAGCCTTTACTCGAACTTCGTATTTCACGCTGATTCTTGTACCGTGCCCTCCGCGTCGATAAGGAGACTCCGAATCTGAAAGGAATAGTGAATTTTATGGAGTATTGAGCGAGCTATCGACGATCCGCGTCGACACCCTCCGGACGGGCGCGCGGCGCGAAATTCGCGCGTCAGGCCCCGCGACAAGCGCCGTGAAACCAGCAATAAGAATCAGTCATAGCAAGACTGAAGTGGTCGCGCACGGCGAACCTGCGAATCGTTCGCACCAGCCCTGGAAGCTGCTGCGCCATCTGACTTCACAGAGAGCTGCGAACGTGCGCAAGAGTGCTTGAGACGTTCAGGGATCCCCTATGCATGACAAAGGTACGCGCCTCCAAGTCGCTGAACAGGAGGATACATGATTGTAATCACACTAGAGGCGCTTGGCGACGGATAGAAGGTACGGCGTTCGTAAGTCTGCAGCTTACTCACTTCTGGTGCTCACTAAGCATTGCCAGAGAACTACACATCCGCAGTGTTGGGGGCGCTGAGAATATAGCGTCAGCCTCCGATGGGACTTGTATAAAAGCTCACATGAAGAGGGAGCTCCTCAATTCGACCGCACCTACCCAAACATCTCAGTGCACTCCGCCTCATCATGTCTCAACAGCATCACTTCACCCTCTACACGCACAAGACCGCCCCCAACGGATGGTAAGCATTGCCGTACCCCGCTTGCACACCTCGCGTACTGACCTCAGATGCCTACAGGAAGGTCGCGATCGTCCTCGAGGAGCTCGGGCTCGACTACCACTCGATTTACATCGACTTCACGAAGGACGAGCACAGGGCTCCCGAGCATACCCAGTTCAACCCGAACGGACGCATCCCTACGCTGGTTGACCACAAGAACAACGACTTTGCCGTGTGGTGAGTGGCGAAGCCTCCGGGATCGTCCTCGGTAACAATTTGCTCACTCCAATTCAGGGAATCGAACGCCATCATCACGTACCTTGTTGACAAATACGACACCGACGGCAAGATCTCCGCCACGTCTTTCGAGGAGAAGACGCAACAGCTGCAGTGGCTCTTCTTTCAGGCGTCTGGACAGGGGTACGCTTTCCCGCGTCATTGTCGTGTCGCGTCGGTGATTGAACTAAATCATCCCGCAGGCCGTATTTCGGTCAGGCGGTGTGGTTCATCAGGTCCCATCCGGAGAAGGTTCAAAGCGCGGTCGAGCGGTACCAGAAGGAAATCCTACGCGTCCTCGGCGTGCTTGAAAGCGTGCTCTCCAAGCAGGAGTGGCTCGTGGGTGGCAGGTTCACCGTCACAGACCTGAGCTTCGTCGTGTAGGTGTCTCTCACGTTCACGAACACCAGCTGTCGCTTACATACCGTGGTGTCCATCGTAGGTGGAACAAGTTGGTGCTCGATGGGACCGCTACCCAGGGATACTACAGCGCCGCTCAGTTCGAGAAAGACTTCCCAGCAGTGTACAAGTGAGTACTTCCCCGACAAGACAGAGCAACCAGGCTTACGCTTGGATGTGACCTTTAGGTGGCACCAGCTTATGATGGATCGCCCGACGGTGAAGAAGATCTATGCCTTGAGGGAATCGCTCAAGAGCGCCTAAGTAACTGCAGGGCGTCGTCGAAATGTTGTACAGTCCAGGCATTGAGGCCTGAGGCAGACCCTTGTGTACGCTGAATGCTGAATCAGTATCGTGAATGTGAAGTCGAACAGATTCCCGCAAACACGCCGTTAAGGTCCCCCGCATTTGTTCAAACGGACTACCGGCCTGGCGCTTGTACACACGAGAAAATCCCGGGATGGTAACTCATGACGTTCTTACGAACCGCGACGCAGCGAGGATTGTCACTGCATCAGAGCTCAAGCTTTCCTGAAGATCGTGGTGTATGTAACGCGCCGTGGAGCCCCGCAAACCCCGATAACACGCACTTCTCGGACGATATACGGGTCTAAGTCTGAAAGCGTATCTGCGGCGCGCCTTGCCGACTTGGAGTGCATCGACTGATAACGCACCCTGCCGCTGCTCGCTCACAAGCTGCCGCACCCTGCGCGCAGAACTCCCATACCGCAGCTATACACGTCTTCGCATACTCACCTTTGACATAGAACATGCCCTCAGCAGTGCTCGGAGATGCCCACGGGATCGCTGTGCTCGATTTTGGAGCGTTCTTGGACGGCTCCGCCAGAGAAGACGTCGCGAGAGCCATGGTTGACTCGTTCAAACGCGTCGGGTTCGTGTATCTCGTGAACCACGGCATACCTAAAGACAAGATATGCACCATGTTCGATTGGGTACGTCTCGTTCAGACCTCTCTCGATATCTGTATTGAAGTTCAAGTTGTTATTCTCCGCAGTCGAAGCGCTTCTTCGCGCAGCCGATGGAGGTCAAGCAGCTGGCTCCTCACCCGCCCTCCGGGACGCATCACAGAGGTGCGTTACGGCATTTGGGTGTACTACGATATAACTTAGGAGCGTGCGTCCTGACCGACATCGCGATAGGCTACTCTGCCCCGGGGGTCGAGAAAGTGGTGCAGCATATCTACGATAAGGACGCGCTGCAGGAGGTCCGCGCCAAGGCCCCGGACGTGAAAGAGAGCTTCGAGTGTGGCTGGGAGGAGAGCGAGTCCATGCCGAACATCTGGCTCCCGGACGATACCTTGCCCGGCTTCAAGGAAGCTTGTCTTGACTTCTATTGGGTAAGTATAATGTTATGACTAGAGCGTTGTATTACGCGCGCCGCTTCGCTCACGTTTATAATCGTCGCCGACACCTCGTGGCAGACATGTCATGAAACAGAGCTCAATATTCTCCGGGCCCTCGCAGCAGGCCTGGGCATCTCCGAGGACCATCTCGTCCCATACCACAACGCGCACGACTGCCAGCTGCGATTGCTGCACTATCCCAGGCGAGTCGCTTGATGGTGGATCTTGTACTCTGCCAGCGTGCAACTAACACGGCAATGGGGTGGCAGTGTGCCTGCGCAAGATCTGCTCGAGGAGAAGATCTCGCGGATCGACGCGCACTCGGACTTTGGCTCGATCACGCTTCTTCTGCAAGACGACGTGGGCGGACTGGAGATCGAGGACCCACACAATCCTGGCCAATTCCTCGTGAGTCCATCCATAGCCTCCTTTCCAACTGGCAGTTCTCTCACATGTACGCGTACTAGACCGCCCCTCCCGTCGAAGGCGCGCTCATCGTAAACGCAGGCGACTTCATGATGCGCTGTGAGTGTATATACCCCAAGTGTGACGCAACATCCTGTTGAGAAGTGGCTACTGACCACACCCCCATCGAATGTGGCAGGGTCGAACGATGTGATCCGCAGCACGGTGCATCGTGTGCGCGCCCCACCCCAGATGAAGGTCGTCAACGGAATGACACCCGAGCGGTACTCGATCCCATACGTGCGTAATCATCTTCATGTCCGAGTCTTCTTTGAGCTACCTACTTATGGTTTATGGCCACTATAGTTCTGCGCCCCGGTGAGTGTGCACGCATTTTTCCGCCTGCGAGACCGGAGATACGATATGAACTCTTCAGGATATGTCAATGGTCGTCGAGTGCCTGCCAGGCACGTACTCGGCCGAGAAACCGCCAAAGTACGAGCCAATATCCGTGAGTCGTTTTGTTTCCACGGGGTTTCCGTTCCTAGAGGACGCCCTCACATGAGTCGCGTGTCATCAGGCTGGCCAGTACATCCTGCATCGTCTTGCGGCAAGCTACTGAGCTGGACGCCTCTTTACGAACTGTGCTTTATGGTGCTCTCCGCATGTATACTAGCCTGTACCTGTACCCTCTACTCTCACAATGGTTTGATTACATTTGCCACAACCACACCGACGGACACGAAAGCACACAAATCGAGCAGTGAGGGTCCGCCACCGGTATCCCGGTGGGGCGTCTGCTACAACTCGAGCAGGTATTACACAGCGGCGCCGAAAACATATACAAAACATGGACAGCAGAATCACGAGGGCCCCGGTAGTGTAGAGAAATATGATACAAATAAGTCAGCCCCCGCCCAGCAGCCGCAGCCGCGCGTCCATCCATCCGTCCTCCCATCCCTAAGACTCCTTAAGACCCAGCCCCGAGAGAGCAACCAGCGGCTCCGATCCCTAGAGCCGGTCATGCCGGCGATATGCGTAGCGGCGACGGAGACGGGGTATGCTGCGGGAGGATCCACGTCTGAGCGACGCGGCGCGCGACGACCTGCCCGTGCCGGATCGTCGTGCGCGAAAAGGACGGGTTTAGCGCCGCGGAGTGCAGCGTGTCGTTCTCGTGCAGGAGCACGAAGTCCGCGAGCATCCCGCGCGTGGGCGTGATCGACGGGTACGGCGCGCCCTTCTGCACGCCACCAATGGCGAGTCGCGCGTTCAGTGTGACGGCCTCCTGTTAGATGTACCGTGATCAGTATCGGTGGTGATAAAAGGCAAAGGAAATACGCACGAGGAGTGCCCGGCAGTCCTTCTTCGTGCCCGCCTGAAACACCGCAACACCGAGCGGGCATAGGTTCAGTGGGTCGACAGGGCCCTGCGGCGTGAACGCGTTCTCGACGTTGTTCACCGCCATCGCGACACGGAGCCCGTGCTCCTCCGCGAGGCGCGGTACATTCAGCGTGCTCCGCGGCGCGCTATCCAGGTGCCGCCCCATCATGTACAGGTCACTCGGCGGGAGCGCGACGAGCGTGACCGGCAAGCGCTCCTCCACCAGCGCCGTGCGCAATCGGGCCCACTCCGCGGGCGAAAAGAGCGTCAGGCGCGTCGCGTGGCCGATGCATAGGTGCGCGCCTGACCGCCACCGCCCCGCGGCGATGCGCTCGCGCAGGCGATCAAGCACGTACCACACCAGCGGTTCCGCGGCGGGCTCGAGGTTGTAGTCGAGGTGGAAGTCGACGTGCAGGCCAGCTTCGTATGCGAGCTCGAAGATGTAGTCGATATTGCGCTTCGCGTGCGCGATCGTGGGCTCGACGTATGGCGCAGAGCCAACCGCCTCGACGCCCATCCGGTAGACTGCGCTCTGGAGTAGCGCGTAATTCAGACCGGGGCGGTCGTCCATCGGAGATGCAAAGAGCGGTTCTTGCGCGAACACTAGCGCGCCGTTAAGCATGGAGAAACGGGATGGGTGTATGTATGCGGACTAACCTGCGATCTGCACATGGCAGATGTCTCTGTAGAGCTTCTGCAGTTTGAGGCCGGTATCGACGCACGCAAAGTGGACGGCCTCATCGACCTCCACGTGCGCACGCATCATGGTGACGCCGCACTCGACGCTCTGCGTGATCAGCTTCCGGCCACGCTCGAAGAGGTCTTCGAGGTTGTGCGGGAATGCGCTCTTCGCCTTCGCGGTGACGCGGAGGGCTTCCGCGAAGTGCCTGTATAATGATCGGCGCACGATGAGTATGGGCAAGTACGCGGGTGCGATTAATATCCCACGACGGGATATGCGACGCGAGACTGCGCTCTCCCTCATCCACTAACGCGTTGTATGTCCCCAAACTTGCTTGCATGAAGCATTCGATATGCCGGAATGCACTAGCCAGAGATGGGGGGATGCGTGAGAGAGTGAGGTATTGCGCACGACATTTGCGTTGCACGTCTCGTTACGCATATCTCATGGTGGGATGGTATGAATGAGATGACAAGTTTGATATTACGTACCCGGTTACAAGCTCGTCGCATTGATCGAGGAGGAAGCACTTGTCGAGATGGATATGTGCGTGGCAAAGGCTGTGGGATGCGAACAACAGGAACGCGGGGAGAGATCACCATCGCGCCGGCGGGGACGTCAGTGCCAGAAAAGGCGTGGAGAGCGAGAAAGAGCGGACGGACGCTGGCAGAAGAATCCCCCGCCCCTGCGCATCAAGCTCTGCGTGCGCGTGCTGCCGATCCTTCGCCTGGTACTCGGGGTGATGTGGGGGTGTCGAGTGCCGGCTGCCGTGGCTGTTTCCGTTGGTGGTGGCAAGCTCGACGGAGTCGACGCGGCCGCCGACGCAGTAGACGTTGTAGAGTGGGTCCGCGAGCGTGGGGTCGTCAGAGTCGAACGGGAGGTGTACGTTGCGGATGACGAGGCGGGGGTAGTCCGCGAAGGCGGGGGAGGGGGTCGCCCGCCCGTTGGCGGCGAGGGTCGCTTTCGGGCGGGCGGAGGGTGAGTGGTTGAACTGAGAGAGGCCCATGTCGGAGTCGGTGTCCATGTCGGCGAGCACTCGCGGTGGGGGGGTTTTAAACAAGAAGGTTTATTTTCGCTGGCGGAGAGAATCAAGATGGGGTCGGGACATCCGGACAGGCTCCCTCCTGCTGGAGAGCGTGGCGGGCGTGTGCCGTTATGCTTTCTGCACCGGATCTCCTCCCGGCGAATCATATCCCACCACCCGGGCGTTCGTACCGACCCCCGGACCGCAACCCGCACCGTCCGACACTGGCCTGACACTGGCCCAGCACAGGCTGTCGGGCCCGCGCACTCCGGTCCGTGCTCGTATTATTTTCGTGACTACGTTGACATTAGACTATACGATTAGAGTTCATGCAGACAGAGTGCGAGCCGTGAAAAATGCAGATGCAGATAACAAATCCAGCGAGGCCCCGCTCAGCCCGGGGGCCCGGAAACCGTCGAGAGTGTGTGAGATGATGGTCGATGCTAATGCGAGTGAGAATGCGGTGTCGTAGCTATGAGTGAGAGAACCAGAGAGAAAGCGTGCGTGGCGTGTCCATCGTTCTGTGGGCCCCAAAGGAGTCAAATATGCACGTCGTCGAACCACCGAAGCCGGGCGCAGCGCGAGCGGGGAAGAGCGGGGCTTCTTCCGCCGCGCCGCCCATTCCGGTCTAGTCCCTGTCGTCCACCTTGCGCCGCTTCGCGCGCGTGGTCCGGTACTGATACTCGTCTTCGTCGCTCTCGCTGTGGTCTTCGTCAGGCACGTCCGTCCCGTACAGCTTCTCGCGCTTGGCCCGGTCGATCCGGCGCAGCCGCGGCAGATTGAACGCGAGCGACTTGTGGAACTCCGTCTGTAGTGCGGCCGTCGGGTGAGACACTCGCGACCGGGGAACAAAAGAGCGACACGCACCTTCGGCACCTTGACCTTGGACCCTGGTGGTGTTGCAGCGTGTATCCGGCGTTTCCGCTCGTTGTACTACGCGACAACAGAACAACCGTGTCAGATAACAGAACATCGATCCACGCGCCCGCACAAAGCAAGCAGTGGCAGCGGACGGACCCGCGTGGCAGAAACACGCACCTTCTTCTGCTCATCCTTGAGCATAATTGCGAGGTGCTTGATCCAGCGCTGCATGTTCGACTCTGCCCGCCTCTTCTTCGCGAACCGCTGCAGCGAGTCGTCCCGTCCGTCCGCGATGCCCTCGTCGTCGCTATCTGGCACCACGTACGACTTCACGCTCGTCGCGACGCTCCGTCGCGGCCGCTTACTCGCCGGTACGCCCTCCGTCTTTGCCAACGTGGACGGCCCGGCGCCGGCAGAGGAGGGTGGCGCAGGTGTCGGACTCGTCTCGCACTTGATCGCCCGCGATCGCCGCGTCTTCTTTCCTGGGGCAGGGACGACGCCACTCAGGTCCTCCGCGCTCAGGTAGTCCTCCTCGCTGAAGTAAAACTCGGTCCCGCACTCGATGTCGTCGTACAGGCCCATGCTCGGGCTCTTGCCTAGCCGCGCGAGGATCTTGAACTGCTTCAGGGTCGTCGGCACGCGGCACCCCACGGCATGGCCGTCGGTCGGGTACTGGTGATGGTGCAGAACCTGTGTCCGCGGAACAGCGGTGAGCACCAGACAGGTACTGCGGCACGGACCGGCGCGCTCACATTATAGTTCTGGTTGATAACGGCATGGATCCGGACCACCGCCGCGGCCGCGCTGAGGTGCCCATAATGGTTCTGGATCCATGTGCCGACCTGTGTGTAGTCTGAACCGAATAGGAAGGTAAGCGAGCGGGCGGGGGCCCGCGTGCCGGGGACGAGACGCAGACGAGACGCACCTGCGGGGTACGGCAGCTTGCCAATGCTGTCATGATAGTTTGTGTACAACTCTTGATATCGCCGCCTGCGGGTCGGTATCATCTCGTCCTTGCGGATCATAGCCGAGAGTGTGTCTTGCCCAATCGTGCCCTATGAGTCGACTTTAGTCAGCCGAATACGAATGGCACAGGGGCGGTGGCATACCAGGTCTTCGTGGTCTGCGTCCCTTTCAGGATCCCTGTCGTCGGGGTCTTCCTCGTTGTCAGTCAAAGCTTCCACCTCTTCCGCATCTTCCTCTCCCATCCCCTCCATGGCCGTGTCTTGCTCCGAACCCATCACATGCGGTGGCTCTGTAGGTTCAGGCATCTGCACAGTGGGTCCCGCGGCGGCGGCAGCCTCCTCAAAGCCCAGCAGTACCCGCCCACGCAGCATAAGGTCGACGCAGAGTGGCGCGCTGTACTCCTTGCACGCCTTCTCGTCCTCCATCGGCGGCAAGTCGTCGATGTCAATGCGGTAGCGCTTCACGATTTGTGTCGCGACCACGGGCCCGGCGAACTCGTGCGCCTCGACGAGCTTCTTGAGCATCCGGCCCTTGCACCCGATCTCGAGGCACCCGAGCGCAACGTCCGTCACAATCCCGTCCATCTCGCCCTTGCCCAGCTTCAGGATAGCGCGCGCGTACTCAAGGATGCCCCCAAAGCGCTCGGGCACGAATTTGCTCAGCAGCACGTCGGTGATGTCCTTCCGGGTCAGCGGTCCGAGGCTCATCTCTTCAATATCGTCGTGGCACGCTTCCACGTATCGCGCTAACGAGACCGACTGTTCTGAGGTGATTGATAGGCTTGACGGCACGGGGGTCGACTCCGAGAGGAATATGGTTAGCAGCAGGACCAGGCGAACGGTGGGGTCCTCGGACGGGAAGTCCTTGTAGAGCACTCGCAGCACGCTCGCAGTATAGCTCGTTGTCACGGAACGGGTGTTCAGGAAAAGCTGCGTTCACGGTCAGTTGGATGGCAAATTCGGAGGCTTGGTGGACGCATATAGCCACCTTTACAAGCTCTGCAACGACCGACCTGTAAAAACGGGTTAGCGCGTGCGAGTGACCACATGAGTAAGGGTCCTATGACGTACGCCAACTCAAATCTGAGGACGCCTTCCTTGTCGAGCCGCTTTAGGGCCGTGTACGCCGGTTCGTTTGTCTTCGCTTCCATGCAGATCTCCGCGGCGACCGTGCGGCTGAGAAACATACTACATACGGGAAACGCAAGCACCATGAGCCATCACCCTCAACGGGAACCACAGGCGCTGCCTGCAAAGAAACACATGCATACTCGGGGTCGAGGCGCGACAGCTCGCGGACGTTCTGCACTATCTCTTCCGCACGGGATTCAAACATAATCGCCGGCTTCTCAAACATTCTGCGGAACACGAAGTTGCGGTACTGTGCGAGCGAACGACGTCATGGTTCTGCCATTGAGCTGAGAATGCGATGACCTCACCTTGCGGTCCATATTGAAGCCGTTCTGCCGTGCGTGCGGCAGTAACCGTGGTTCGATAGCGAGCACCAGTGGGAACTGGGCCATCATGGGATCCTATTTGCGGTTATCAGCTTGCCATGCCTGGTACACGCCCTGGTGGCGACCCACCCTATCTGAGAAGGGGATAAACTGCCAATAACTCTATCAAAATGGAGCTCCACAGGCGATGCAGTATTTTCAACGCACCTTGTACTTCTCGACCACGTCCCTGACCTGCTCCCACTTCGCCGCGCGGTATTCTGACGGAAATCGACTCTGCTTCAGCAGCAAAGTCAAGAGCGATCCATCGTCCTCGCCCTTGGCAACGGGTATGTCTCCATACATGCGTGCAGCGATGGAGAGGAAATAGGAGAAGACGGGAAGGGGTATCGTCCGCACCCAACGCGTCTTGATGAACGGCACTTGCGTCCGGAAATAGTGATGCATGGCGCATTGCACGAGATACCGGGACAGATGTGCGCCGCTACTCAATAGGATCTGCGGACATGACGAGGGTCAGTGTATGTTGTGGGATATGCATGAGACCAGGTGAGAGGCCCAGGGTGCAGACTGGCAATAACATGTCCAGTTCATCACAGCAGTAACTGTTCAAAAGACGATGGTATGTCCTCGCGTTCTCATACGAAACGAACCCGGCCCGACACACACCAAACGGTCGCATTCGATTTTGTGTTTGCGTGGCCGGGCCCTTCGGCGCCGGCCGCCATGAAATCGAGTTTCCAGACTGGCGATAGCGACAAGTCCCGCCGTCTGGGGTGAATGTTCCACGGAACGCATTCAAACCGTCCTATGGAACAAGCGCGAGTCGCCGAGTTGCTGTCACCTGAGTGAGCGGCCAATGATTAATGTGCGCGCATCACATAGCGCTCTTCCTCTTGCCGACTGCTTGTCGGTGCGGCCGAGCCCGCTCTCGCAGCCAAGGCCACACCCATTGCAACAGCGACAGCTTATCTCATAACCGGTAAGTATGGCGCAACGAGGCGGGGAGGTATGATGTCGATGGGCAACGGGCTCAGTGAGTGACTGCTGTAGCCCGGTTACTCATCGCAGCCATGCGTACAGGTTCCGATATTCCAAGGTGTATAATCCAAAGAATATGACGCTCAGGACAGGTCGCTCTCTCCTCTTAACACCTCTTGCTCGATGCGACCGCCGCCGCACCCGCTGCCAGTCTCAGACGCGGTGATTGATTTACATACCGATTGCACCGCGCCGCCCTCCCGTCACTCGTCACTCTACCGCTGCAGGTTACAGACAGGGTAACGTCATGAGGCCTGAGGCGGAGCATGGCAATGAGTCGGCAGCGGGTTGGCTAACGTGACGCGACGACGGGGAGGGCAAACAGGTCGGCGAGGGATGTCGCACAGACAGCGCGCTCAGATAGTCCCTCATCCCTGCCACACCTGTTCCGTTGATACTCCACGGTACATCATAGCGTTCAAGAGACAGGACGCTCTCAGCGGTGAGTTCCCAAGCAGTACCCGGGATTTCCGAATAGGATTAACCCAAGGTGCAGCTAGGAGAACAGCATGACAGGGACCGAGCGCCAAGAGAGGGGGGAAAGGAACAGGCACTCACGTCAATAACCCGCTCGTTTAGCAGTTTCCCCCGGCCCAGAGCCCAGTAGAGTGCTTGTATGCGCCCCGAACGAGCGAGAAAATAGGATGCGCGGACATATGGGTCCTTGGAGAATTCATGATGGCGTTTCGAGATGAGTGTGAATGCGACAGGGTTGCTGAGCTCGTTAAGGATGAGCTGTAGGACTTCATCTACGCCCGCCAAGAAGCAGCTTCAGCTGCTGTATTACTGAAACCCGCACGTATTCTACGTACCACATAGACGATCCATGGGAGAGTGCGCCACGGTCTCTAGGGCGTGCAAAATGTGGGCGTCAGGCAGATTGTTGGCGTGGGGGCGTCGTGGTAGTGACCGCGGCCGGTGCTCCTGGGGTACAAGGTATATGCAGGTGAGCTGGCTCGCAGGGCGGGAAGCAGGGAGCGCGGAGGACGGAGACGGGGTGCAGGGGCGGGGTCGCGGAGGAGGGCGGTCTAGCGGGAAATGGAGATGGGCTGAGGAGGAGGGAAGAAGAGAAAAGAGGGATCTGCCTCTGCCAAAGCTTGGACGAGGAAGGCAGGCGGACCTCCAAATCTCGCAAACCCTCGGATCCGGTGGCAGATCGGCCAGTTGCAGGCGTCTGCAGCTGGTCGGAGTCCGACTCCTTAGCCACGCACGGTGCACAGCAGCTCTGCGCACCCGCATCCCGCTCAATGCCCGCCAAAAATTCTCCGGTATCACGGCACAGTATAGTATTGGCTCCGTACATATGTGTGCCGCTGTAGCTACGCATAGATCGCCCGCAGCCTCCCCGGCCGACGTCCCGAACCCCGTCGACGCGACCTCCGCTCCGGCGTCAAAAGCCTCAAAACTCCCGCTTGTGGCGGCCACGCCAAATTCGCCACGGTAACTTCCAGTCGTGCAACTGTAACGACGGCTTGAATGCGTCAAAATTGACCGCCTCAAGGCGTCCGAGGTAGTCGCGTGTCGGGATCTGTAACGTCAGGAGTTAACTTTGTCAGTCAGCACGCCGTACCCTTCGGGCCGCACTACCCCGCGACGCGTGAAGCCCGCGCTACGCGTGAAGCATGCACCGCGGGTGAAGCCCGCGCAAGCGCTGTGAAAGACGCACCCCATACAGGAACACCGGCATGGCCACTTGCGGCACCTGCCCGCCATCGCCGCCCGTTTCCTTGAACATCTCCCGCGCGGTAAGCAGATTGTCGTTCGCGACCGTCGCGAATTCGAAGACGGCGTCGGAAATGCCCTCCGCGTCCCCGCCCACGCGGAACACGTCTTCTTGGCGTACGCCATGACGCGCAGTGATCTCTGCGGGAATGACCATCCTGCCTTTCGAGGCGTGGTACGGTAGCGCACGTAACAGAACGTGTATGGTCTGCGCCACGCCCAAGTGCGATGCGGCGTGGGAGAACGTTGAAGACGCCGATAGGTTGAGTAATGAGAGCAGCACGTAGAGGAACGTCGACGATGTTGACTCTGCGTGTGCCGTCAGGGAGTCGATAGTGAGGTGCGTCGGAGTATGCAGCTCAGCATCCTGCACGACAGACAAATGCGTCAGCCTGACGCGCCCGCATTCCAGCGGTCCGATCCAACACGAAACTCACCCTAGCATCAATGATCCTGCGCAGATGATACGCCGGGAGGGACGCCTTCTGCGATGCTTCATGAAGCGCGAGCGCAATCGGGTGCCGTGGCGGTCTGCCCTATGATGCTCCACGGTGAGAATCGAATGTTGACGTGCGGGGACGGTGACGAGCGGAGTCTGGACATACATCAGCAATGCTCTTGATGGCGTCCCGCCAGAACTGCATCCGCATCTTCCCAATTGCGGCATTGGATACGGTATCTTGAACCGAAGCGAGTTCCACCTAGTTCGGGAAGTCACGTCAGCAATGCATGGTCTGAATGGGGATGTCTCCTGTGGGAGCATGATCTGCACAGCAGGTTGGTGTCTGTCATGAACGTCCAGATATCCGGATACAACGTCAGTAGGTCAGGGCAGGTCATTTTTCCGCGTCGATGCAATGGTCCCAACTCAAGCATGCAACGTCTCTAATGGACGTCGTCGATCGCTAATGCAGGATAAATTGTAGTCACAAGCCTCTGATCGCAATAGCGTCCCACAATATCAGCCACCGGTCTTCCCGTATTGCCGCTTTCGCACCGCGCCAACGCATATTGAAGAGTACAAGAGCATACACTCACATAAAATGCACGGAGCGCGAAGAAAGCCCCTTGGAAATGCCGAGGATAGAAGGCTCCGATCAGGTAGCTCTCGTAGTCGCGTTTCCGCACCAGGTCCTTGCAGTATGCCGCCGGATCCGCCATTCCCGCTTCGGCAGAGGCAGAATGTGTGGCCATTGACCTCGAGGGTGTCCGCGTGACGATCCTCGCCCGCGAGCATTGCAGTGTTTGGCGACAGTGCTGTCGCAGCATGTCGAAGAGCCGAGGGGTTTCTCCGAAAGTCAGTCGGCGGAGGAAGAGACGGAGGCTCGGGCACGGAAAGCCCTACGAGTATCCCGACAATTCAAGATGTGGTCTGCGCGGCGACCAGCGAGGAGGGAATGAATGGAGTGGGAAGACGAGAAAACGGGTGGGAGTGGGAGGAGGAAGGGAAGGGAAAGAGGCTGAGAGCGCAGAATGACGCGCGGACTCGCAACAACGCGCCGCGTCACATGCGTTCTCGTGTGACGTGTCGCGTGTTGCCGATTCCGAAGCATCCGGGGAACCCCGCTCGCCCTCTCTTCCGCCAACCACGACGCTGTAGTTTGTCGCGCCTCCGATGGGTCTGCACCCCTACTTCCCCTAGCACTGCACAACACACCCCGCTGGGTACGCGATCGAGTATGTCAAGGCGTTCAGGACTGCAGAGAGAGGTCCTCTCTCTCTACCGCAGGTCCGTTCTCACTCCCTTCGGCCCTCTCTGATGTCATTAATATAATATGTTACAGGGCTCTACGCATGACGCATACGAAGCCCGATGCTTCACAGCACAAATTCCTCCTTTATGTCCGCTATTCCTTCAAGACGCAGGCCACGGCGGTCGGGTCTCGAGACATCTCTGCAATCGAGCACTTGCTGCGACGGGGAAAGCGGCAAATCGAGATGTACGAGGACCCGAACGTCCGCGACTGCTGGGTCAGCAGTGAGATGATGGCGTGGGGGGAACAGAATAGAGGAAGGACAGGAGGCGACATCGGCTCGAAGACATCGCCGTCGACGTAATTCCCTCTGCACATCCCATAATTGTATGTAGAGCCGTTCAGGGTCATGGTGTCGTCACCCACAATGAGGCGACTTAGACCAGCTTTCATCGAAGTATGACGGCACGGTGAACGGCGAAGCAGCGAACAAAATCCACTTACCCGCCTGAACGTAGCAGATGTCCGTCCACGTTGCATTCCTCAGCGGATCGAATGTACACACATCTCGTATATCGCATATCACGCATGCCTGCAATTACCAGCTGTACGAAAACTAAACTCAAGCAGAAGTAGCGGCCGGGACGGTCTCAAACAAACTCTCTGCCGCCACGTCCGCCGCGCCGCGCTCCCTCCTCTGCTCCTTCTCCACCTTCCTCGCTGCGATTGCCGCCCGGGTCTCCGCGGCCGCGCGCTCGCTGTGTTCCTGTTGGAGGACGACTTCCCGCTCCTTGTTGAAGATCTCGAGCGCGCCCTCGTATGCGACGCGGCGCTCGTTGATCACGTACTTGATGCGGGCCATGGTTTTGCGACACTAAATTGAAAGGTCAGCGCTGGCTCTTCCTAAGGAAAAGGAAGCAACACGACTGCAAAATGTGGGGTAGCGGTTCTCCTCCGAGTTGCAACGTAGAGGGAAGTACGATGAATAGCGAAAGAACGGAAAGGGGGGGCGATTTATGAAGCGTTTACAGAGCACCAGAGGCTGAATACAAGTGCAATGACAAAGTAGACACTCACCCGGTATGCCTTCGCCCACAAGCCAGACGCTTGCTCATTCGCACCCATCCGCCGCATCTCCGCCTGCTGCGTCGCAAGCAGGTTCCGCTCCCGGACGACAACGTACCACAGCGTGTGCAGGTCCTTGAAGCTCTTGCGCCTGAGCTCCGGTGCTGTCCACGCACGACCTGGTCACCGCAAATTTCCATCAGCCTTCCACTCCTTTGTAGCGCATAGACGGGTATGCGTCGCTCAGCAAGAGAAGAGGAACAGACACGTACCGCTCTTGTCCGCGACGACGTCCGAGGGCTCAACGCTCTCGTACGACACCTTGCCGTCCTGCTCCTTCCGCCGGAAGAACGCGTACAGCCCGTGATTCGGGTTCACCTCAATGCCGAGATGTGGCCTCAACGCTCCCTCCTCGCTCGCGAAACTTGTGGATGGCACGCCAGAGGCGGAGGCAGCGGGAACATGTGTCGCGAGTGTGCGACGAGCCAGCGAGGGGAGAGAAGACAGAGACCGTGCAGTACGAGATGGTAGTGTAGAGAGCATTTTGGCCAGCGGTGCTCGGAGGGGGGTTACCGCAGGGTCGCGGACGGTTGCAGGGAGAGAGGCAGGGATAGCGGGCGTCTCGCGCAACTTAGCTAGCTGGCGCTTGCAGAAAGGAATTAGCATGTCACGCTGGCGTCACGTCCAGGAATATCACGCCCCAGGAGGAAGTGTAGCGAGCTCTGCTCGTTGGACGGACTCAAGGAGATCGCAAGCACAGAATGCGGACATACTGACATAGGGGCCAAGTGGGACGGAGTAGCGATCGCATTCGCGGATGTAATATACTATTAGAAAAGTACAGTACGATGTAAGCACAGACGCAGCAGTTAAGCACAGAGCAGTGTCCCTGTAGGAGATATAGACCAAGCGGGAGTCTTGATCACTCGATGACTTCCTCATCGCCGCTGTCGTCCTCCTTTGCGCGCTCGCGGCGCGCTGCCTCCTTCGCACGCTTGGCGAGGTCCTTATCAGGCTCCAGGTTTGCCATGGAGATCTCCTTCTTGCAGCCAGTCGCCGGGCATTCCTTCCTGTTACTCCGTGGGTACCCCAGATATTCTTTGATGGCGGCAGCGGAATACGAGTGTCCACAGAGTTTTCTGTCGATGTGATGCGGTTAGCAGTCGTGCTTCGAAAGAGTTTGAGCAGTAACGCACGAGGTCAATGGGTCCACCAGGATGGTCAGGGAGAGCGGACACTTGTAGTCTTGAGTGACACCACCGATCTGTACGTCGTCATCGTCGTCGCTGTCATCTCCGTCCTCTGGAATACGTGTGAATGTTAGCGATGCTCTGCCCAGAGACACAGGACGCGCTACGCACCGGTCGGGATGAGATCCGTCAAAGGCGGTAGCGCAGCGTCCGGATGTTGCACCTCCTGCACCAGATGACCGTCAGCGAACCGCACCATGTCGTGTATGCAATACCACACTAACGTGGATCGCTTGCTTGAACTTCTGGTAGTGGTCGCTCTTCGCATACTTCTGCCGCGCAGTTTTGTGCTTGTACTCCTCGAGCATTTCCTGAACGCCCTTCCCGTACATATCCGAGACGCCCTCCTGCGCCGACATCAATACGCTGCCTCCGATACAGTGTGCGTTGCTCGCTCACAATCTTCTCGTTCTTAAGAAGCTTCTGGTGCATGTCGTCCAGCACTTTCTCATGGGCAGTGAGCTCAAACTCAGTATCCAGAAGCTCACGCATGAGCGTATCGATTTGCCCCAAGGCCTGCACAACCTTCGGTCAACTCCAGTAAAGCAGAGAGACGAACACCACCAACTTTCTCGCCTTTCTCTCCCTCAGTAAACTCGGCCACAGACGCCGCGATCTCCCTGGTGAAGCCGTAGCCCACCTGATGCACCTTGTCGCGCAAGATGCCCCAGTCCGTAGACATGCCGTGTATCCTCGGTGCTTGATTCTTGTCAAGGGGGTGATCTCCGAGCTCGGGGATGGGGACGTCCTCTTCCTCCTCCTCGACCACTTCCTCTTCATCGGAGTCTTGCTGCTTGCGTTTCTTCTCTTTCTTGACGCCCTTCTTGGAGCGCCGCGGCTGCTCTTCCTGCTCTTCGTCCATATCTACGTCTTCCTGTGGCACAGGCGCTTGACTGGGGCCGTCTTCTTCGATGTCGGAGGACGGAGCTCTTTGCTGTCGCCGTGAGAGGCGAGAAGAACTTGCGGTGGGCATGTTTGTGGTTGGCAGACAAAGGTAGACAATGCGCGACGGTCAAAGGAGAGAAGATTGGGACGCGTCCGGTCGCGACGAGACGCGAGCGTGACGTCTTCAGGGCAGGCCCTACCGCGCCAGAGCAGAAGCGCCGGCAGACTTCCAGCGTGAGCGGTCTTGGACGCAGAGAGGCCACAGCTGGTGCCAGTCGCCGCCATGTTCTCCGCCTTCCGGCTCACTGCCCAGCTCACAAGGCCATGGGCCACATCATCTGTTCTCCAGCGTGCTGCTGCGCCTAGCCTCGCTCGCCCTGCTTTGGCTCTGTCACGAGCGTTCCACCCGTCTCTCCCCGCATCTGCCACCTTGAACCAAGCGACCCGCCGCAAGGCTCCCAAGAAGATCAAGGCGTCCAAGTCGCCACTGCTCGAGGGGAACACGCAGAAGAAGGGCGTCGTCAGCCAAATCTTCATCGCAAAGCCGAAGAAGCCCAACTCCGCCAAGCGCAAGGTCGCAAAGGTCAAGCTCACGACAGGCAAGACTGTCCAGGCGTACATCCCCGGAGAGGGACACAACTTGCAGGACCATAGTGTTGTGCTCATCCGTGGAGGGCGTACACAGGATCTTCCCGGTGTCCGGTAAGTAACGCCTGCATGCGTCTTATGACGGCGATTTGAACGCACGCTACTTTGCAGTTACAAGGTCGTGCGAGGGACACTCGACTTCAGCGGTGTAGTAGGGAGGGTCATCTCACGTAGTAAATACGGAGGTGGGTATTCTCTAACCTTCTTTCATATGTCCCACTAATGTCCCTGCAGCAAAACGGCCCAAACAGGCGTAATCCCCGTAGAGGCTTCGCCCCTCGTCGACATCACGTCAGAGCACCTACGTCTCTCATTGCTGTCGCTATACACGTACATTATACAGATACTAGTGACCCACTAAACAGGGTATATCATGAAGCATGGAATAGCTGGTGGGTATCCGCAAGCACAAGCAACCATAAAACGTCCCGGGTTCCAGCAGTGTCCCCTCAAGTCCTGAGCAGCTCCCCCGCATTCCTTACCGCCTCCTCGCGCACCCGCGACGCCCGCACGACCTTCTCGATCTCCGCATTGACCGCCCACACCCACGCGTCCCGCTCCAGCTTGCTCCGCGTGCGGAACACCGCGACCTTCCGCTTCGCAGTGAGCGGCGGAACGTCCGCGCCCGCGTTGTTGCGCCGGACGCCAGGGGCGGCGCCCTTCGGGACGCGGTACCAGATCACGAAGAGCGTGTCCTCCTCGCCGTCGTCCGTCTCGAGCCCGTCTTGGTACCGCCGCGCGACCGGGGGTGCGTTCGCGTCGTACTGGCCCTCGGGGAGGTACTGCGCGGCGAAGTAGCCCGAGCAAAGATATGCGTCGAGCAGTGGGATGACTTTGTCTTTCCGGTGGTGCAGAGACGGGCGGCCGGAGATGTGGTACTGCACAAGATGTCCGGATATAAGGACCAGCTGGATATGCCTGACGAAGCCGCTCCGTTGTCAATGTCTGTTCCGGAAAGAAGAGCGGAGACTGCACTCACTTATACTGCCCCCACCAGCCCTTGCGCCCATACAGCCGTCCCCCTTTGAGGATTGGACGACAGCCGTCGAGCACGCACCAGTTGTAAAAGAAGTCGAGGTCCGGTAGCGACGCGTCGCGGTCGGGCGGCGGTTCCTCATCCGCCTCGTGCCCATGTCCATGCTCGTGATCCTCCTTCATGCGCTGCGGTGTTATGCGCGGCCGCCCCGTGCTTCCATGCGCGATGTCCATCTCAATGCGCGCGTCGTACTGATGCCGCTTCTTCCAGTACGAGATGAGCGGACGGAGTCGAGTGATCCACTCCAGCGCGGTCGCGCACGAGTATGCCTGCACAATCCAGCCACTTTCGGTCAGTCGAGAAGCGCATATATGCGGGTAAAAACACGTACCTCGAACCGAAGCACGCGGCCGGACGCGAGCACGAGCTCGAACGACCGCCGCATCCGCAGGCGCCCCTTGTCCCGCACTCCGGCGAGCCCGGTGTCCCCGCCTGCGTCCTCGTCATCGCTCCCACTCCGCTCGACCTCCGCCCAGAACTCCTGTGCATCCTCCCAGTCGCCCACGTCTTCCAGATTCACGGGCTCCGTTTGCCGTGCCACGACCTGAAATGCCCGCCGCACGGCGACGATGCTTCGCAAGTCCGACACGCCCGTCGCTTCCAGGATTTGCAGTTGCCCGCGGCGCACTTCCTCCTTCCGTCGCGTATCTGCGCCGTCAGGCGCGTCACTGGACGTGGGAGCTGACTGGGGCGCCCCAGGGGCAGGCGGGGGCTGCGCGCGTGCGGGGGCGAGCGTGAACAGGTACCCGTCGTGCGTGACGAGGTATATCGACTGCTTCAGCTGCGAGTTTGGGCGGATGCGGTCCAGGAAGCCCTCCACGGCAAGCGGCTCGTCTAGGCGCGTCCCGTCGCGTAGGCGGAGACGAGTGGGTACATGCCGTTTGCGTCTGAACTCCAGGTGTGCGGGTCGCCCGCCTTGTGTGAGCGCGAGGCCACACAGTACGGACCATTTGCGCGGTTTTTGGAGCACGTCGGACAGGCGCCAGACCCAGTCGAGGTTCGCCTCGTGGCGCCAGGCGAGCTCGAACGTCGCGCCCTCGTCGTGCTCGCGCTTCATGAGCGCGCGAAACTCGGGCACGGTGCGAAGATACTTCTCGCAGAGTCTGAGGATGTTGTCGCGGTTGAAGATGTTGTACGCGGCCTCGAGGTTGGCGTTGTCGAACTCTGGGACGTCGATCTTGATCCTAGTGTCAAGTGTAGGACTACGAATGTCGATGTACGGTGGGAGGTCCCCACCGAGGTGACGCCTGTGCAATGACGTCGGTAAGCTGTTCGAGTACATGCCAAGCATGTTGACGTACCATAGCTGCCACATCCAGTCCACAGCTCTGGAACGGCTTTTGAGCTTGAAGATGAAGATATTTGTGCCCCTGGAGGTGCCAAATATATGGCGTCGGCGTTTGCCATCAAGGCGAAGTCGTGAAGGCGGGCAGGTCAAGCAAAATGTTAGGTCGACGAAGGAGTACAACGATAGCCTCGTGGTGGAGGACCCTAGTGGGACAACGAATGCGAGCCGTTTATGGCCCGTCAACCATTCCTTTCCAGGGGTATGCTACAGCCATCAGGTCGGTCATAAAATGCTATGATTGGTCGAATGGGACGACATACATGGTCTGCGTAGAGTTCGAGCCGATCCTTGCGCCATGCGACAATGTACTCGACCCAGCCTTCGTTTTCCAAGTGCCTCGTCGTCCGGTTTTGTGTCTCGTCGAAGTGGGGAGGCACAGCGTCCTCCGTGTACGAGACTCTGACCAGCATACGATCTACACGGCGTCAGTGTCTGTATTCGCGTGATGCACCGCTCCGCGCACCCCGCATAATCACATCCCCCCATTTCACTTGATTTTCTGCAGTGGCTTGTTCCGCTGCACCAGCGCTCGTGTCATCCACAGCGCTGCCTCTGCGGGCGAGCACTTCTGAAGGGGGGACAGCAGGTGTCTCTTCGTAATGAACATGCATGCCTTTTCCTGTGCTCTTCCGGCCCTGGTTAGCAGGTCGAGGGAGCGGAACATCCCCGTTGGCTGGTCCAGCAGAAGTCGACGCGCCGTTTGTATGTTGCTGCTCGACTAGCGGTCCGTGGTGAGAGGCTGACGGTGCGAGGAGGGCCGTGGAAGAACTCGCGCTCCCTGGCCAAACAGAGTCGCGGTCCTGGGAGACATTCAGAGATAGCGTGGTTGGACCAGGCTGCTCGCGGGCTGGAGTGCTGAGGTGCGACTGAGCGGTCACAAAGGTGTCCGCGCCGGCGGAAGGGCTTGCTGGCGTTTCGATGATGCTAGGCCGGACAGAACCACGAGAGGTGGAGGCCTGCGCTGGGGCGACCGACGCGAGGTTCTCGTCCAGGATGTCTACGCCGAGGAACACGCCGACGTCGAACGAGTTTCCCACCCACTTGGGACCTGTACCTGCCTGACGGCGTTGCTTGCGTGCCCGACCCCAGTCGCTCTCTCGCCACCGCCTCCGCATCTCCGCGCGGACGCTCTTGGCCTGGCTTTGGCCCCAGTCCTCTCGCTTTCCGCCATGCTTGAGGAAGAAGTCGAGTGCATGCCTGTGAATGACGTCGGAAAGGCTGCTGGAGTCATCGCTGTCGCTACTGCTACTGCTAGACTCCTCTCGAGTGCGGAGGAAGGGTTTCTTGCGCTTGCGACCCTTGCTGTCCTCTGGAGGAAGCACGGCGGAGGCTGGCATGGGCCCTATGAACCTCCTCCGATGCTTGTGTACGTCTTCCTTGGCTACCACCTCATCCGAAGACGTCAGGGTGATTGGTGGCGGAGCAGACCGCACGGATGTCATTGCCTAAGACCAGGCGAACGGTGGGCGCGAACGGAGCCAGTCTACCGAGTGTATCCACCGGGACAGAAAGAGAAGTCGAGGATGTCGATGAAGCGTGAAGCACAAGCAAAGTAGAGATGTGTTGATGGGAGGGCCAGCGTGATAAAGAGCCTAGGGAAATGTGTAGGAAGATGGCAAGAAGAAACTTGGAGAAGAGGCCGCGGCATGCAGGGAGGAGGCACCGAATGCTATGACGTTTTAATAGACGCCGTCTAGGACGCGACGCGTCGCGGGACAACATTAGACGCTCTTCGTCTTCTGCTTGCTCCCAACTTGTTCCTCTCATGGTCATCGTCCTTGCGTGTTCCTCGCTACGTAATAATTCAGACCATTGCAGAGACCCGCGTCACAGCTAACCTAAAATTATTCTAGAGATCAAGCAAAATCCGTGAAATAAGATTTTACTAACTAGAACAACGCGCACGAAAGAAGTACAACACCTTGCTGTACGTTTACACTGAGTCGATACACAAGTTAACTGTCGACTGTTCCGATGCTCGTACTGCATAATATTCGAGTGTTCCCCTCTCAAATATCTCAGGCTTTGAACGTCTCTCTGATGGCATAAATCTTCTTGACCGTGTGCCGATTCACCATCGCCTGGTGCCATCTGAAGACCACGGAAGTCAAGTGAGTATGAGATATCTCATGCATTGAAAATACTGACTTGTACACCGCCGGAAAGTCCGCCTCGAACTGAGCCGGACTGTAACCGTTCGCGATGGTGCCATCAAGGACCAATGCGTTCCACCTACGCCGGGCGCCGCAGCACGTCAGAATATAGCTTGCCGATATTTCAAAGGAGCAACGTACGGGATGAAGCTCAGATCCGCGACGGTACACTTTCCGCCTACAAGCCACTCCTGCTTAGAGAGGACACTCTCGAGCACGCCAAGGACGCGCAGGATCTCCTTGTGGTACCGCTCAATCGCACTGGGGAGCTTCTCCGAGTGGGACATGATGAAGACCGCCGCCTGTCCGAAATAGGGTCTGCAATATCGTTCGACACTTAGGCCACCGTTCCCCGCGCTGGGAAATCGACTGGACATCACGTACCCCTGCCCGGACGCCTGGAAGAAGAGCCACTGCAGTTGCTGTATTTTCTCCTCGAAGGACGCGGCGGAGATCTTGCCCTCTTGGTCGTACTTCTCGACGAGGTATGTGATAATCGCGTCGGACTCCCTGCAGCGTATTTAGTAAAGAGACGTAGAGGACGCAGAAGAAATGTATGCGACTCACCAGATGACGAAGTCGTTGTTCTTGTGGTCGATCAATGTAGGGATGCGACCGTTTGGGTTGAACTTGGTGTGTTCGGGACCCTTGTGCTCGCCCGCTTTCACGTCCAGGTACAGAGAACGATACTCGAGGCCGAGTTCTTCGAGAACGATGGCGACCTTCCTATAACCGTCGGAGGTGAGCCCTGAGGTTCGCAAACAGTATGCGGTGATACTCACCACCCATTCGGGCCGAGCTTGTGGGTGTAAAGGGTGAAGTGATGCTCTTGAGACATGACGTGGTGCAGTACTGAGAATCGAGTATGGATAGGCTGTGTCTGGCCGAGGATCCTGCAGAAGTATCCCGCCTTCCAGCGAGCTTTTATACCCTACGCGGTGGATACTTCCCCATCGGCGTCTGCCTTATAGCATTATGGAGATACGTGGCTTTCTTCCAAACCTGCTTGGTGAGCAACGGTGGCATCAGTAAGCCGCAGTCTGACCGCCTTCTGTTGTCGTCGGGCGCGCCCTGCGGGAAGGTCATATCTCCGCAACGCAGGCCCCGCGCACTTTCACCTCTTCTTCAGCGCCGCGGGGTGTTCTCCGCCCGAGGTAGATCTAGGTCGATTGGCGCGTACCTCAGGATGGGTGTATATGTTATTACCCAGCGTCTGCGGCCTTGGACACGTTTACAGCGCTGAGCGAAGTGCTGCGACATGTACACCAGCTTTAGAAGTGGTGGCATGTTTACGCACATGATGTATTCCTGAAATTGCGAGGTTAAAGCACAAACATAAAAATACGAGAAAGGGGCAGAAAATTGGAGTCTCTAGTATATTACCACGCAAGAGCAGAAGGGTGTTCACCGGAAGGTTGAGGAGGCAGGGATATGGGGAGGAGATGTACAAGGGCCACCGTGACAGGACGGTGAGAGAGAGAGACGCCCTCCACGACGCGACGCGTTGCGGTCGCATCGCGGGACGATAGACGCCGATCATCCTCCTCTGAACACTCATGATCATTCTCAGTCTGCATGCGCGTCCTGATCCACTGCGGCATACCGGATACGATCCGTGTGTATTTGAATGTGATCACAGCGCGGATGCCGGCGCTGATTTTTTTTAAGGAAATGCTGGTCGTAGAGAAATTCCAACCGCTTTGCGGGGACGCATTATCGAGGAGTTGTCCACCCAACTCTCGATGCATACATTAAATATTCATTGCCTCGCACGACGGACACTGGCCCATGAGCCGCTTGTCGACCTCATTCCACTGCAAATACGTTCCGGATGTCTTATGATAGGCAAGTGACTTGGCCCTCTATACGGACGACTTGCCATTGACGGGTAATATCCTTTCAAGCTTTGGTCACCTCGTCTCTGATCGCGAACGTCTTCTTGACAGCCTCGCGGCTCATCAGGGCACGGTGCCACCTAGGGACAACAGTAAGTGCTTGACCTAGTGCGCTTAATGCGTGGATGACAGCTCACTTATAGAACGCCGGATAGTCCGCTTCGAAATTGACTTCACGGTCCTTCAGGAGTCCGCCGTCCATCAAAGCGTACACGTTCCACCTAACCCAGTGCCAGGTCATGTCAGAACCAGAGCGTCAGGCTTATGTACCAATGCGCGACGTACGGGATGAGGCTCAGGTCGGCAACGGTGCACTTGTCGCCCACGAGCCACTCCTGCTTGGAGAGGACGTCGTTTAGCACGCCCAAGACGCGCAGAACTTCCTTCTGGTAGCGCTCGATGGCGCTGGGGATCTTCTCCGGGTGGTACCTCATGAACCATCCCACCTGACCGAAGTAGGGTCTGCAGGATTATCCAGTCAGGCTGTGACTCCGAACGGATGGGAAATGCCACGAACCCTTGGCCCGACGCTTGGAACATGAGCCATTGCAGCTGCTGTATCTTCCCCTCGAAGCTCGTGGCGGAAATTTTGCCCTCGGGGTCGTACTTCTCGGCGAGGTACGTGATGATCGCACCCGACTCCCTGTGATGGATTGAGCAAAGCCGTCTTCGCAGAAAACGCCAAACGCTGGCAGATTCGCGACTCACCAAATGACAAAGTCATCGTTCTTATGGTCGATCAGCGTGGGGATACGCCCGTTCGGGTTGTACTTTGTGTACTCGGGGCTCTTCTGCTCGCCCTTGTCGAACACGAGGTATTTGGAGTCGTAGTCCAGGCCGAGCTCCTCGAGCACGATGACGACCTTCCTGCAAGCGTCGGCGTCAATTCTGCAACACCGGCATGTCGAATATGCAGGACAACTCACCATCCGTTGGGACCGTGGGTGTGGGTGTAGAGGGTGAAGTGGTGCTCTTGAGACATGCTGAGGTGAGTGTGTGAGGATGCTTGGGTTATTTGAGCTACTGTCGATGATGTTTGAGCAGCTCGCCGCACTGGCTTTTATATGCAGCAGCAAAGGCGCGCAGAAGCTCATTCCGAGTTTCTCGGAATTGCTCAACTCCCGTCTTCCCATATGCCGACCGTATCATGCGCTGTCCTGATGTGCTTGGTGAGCATGGACATGTGCTGGTCAGCCGCAGCCAGATAGAGGTCCCACAATTTCCGAACTTCGGGGGCGTTGCGCTCAGTGAAGGGGGAAGCGTTCACGATCTTTCCGACCTTCTCGCAGTGCAGCGGCACGCCCTCCGTGGGGTTTCGTAATTATGTGTGCGTAATGTCCACCTCATACATGATAGCTTCTCGCCGCTGAAAAATTACTGAGCGGATGCAGTGAACATGGTGCGCACGCTCACAAGGTCAAGATTCAGTGGGCGTAAGCGCTGCCACCCACAACATCCCACTGCGTCTCAACCGGCGCATGCCGAACCCAAACTCGGCGCATGTATCGGTATGTTCCTTTTGGTACTCCCACAGATGACCAACCCACTGATTCGCGCGTAGAGACCAGCAGATGCTGATCTGCGGCCGCCTATGTGCTACATACCCGGACCAATATCACATCGCTGGAGCTGCAGACCTAGATGTACTATGCGCGAAGGCGGGATTATCCAGTGGGACATTCTTTTGGCAATTCCGCATGGTCCCAAGGCTCAACGAACGCGTCCACCCGAGCGAGAACGCCGATCATGTCGGTATATCATACAGTGGTCACTGGCGGCAGGTCGGTGGATCTCCTGCAGCTCAAGTTTTGTTGACTGCCTCTCTGATAGCGTACGCCCTCTTCACTGCCGGGCGAGTCGTCATCGCCTTGTGCCACCTGCCGGTCAACGGGGCTTGAGTGTCAGATGCATACGTGCAGGACCGAGACACGGAACCACGTACTTGAAGACTGCCGGGAAGTCCTTCTCAAAGTCGAAGCCTTCGTGGCCCCTCATCAGCAGACCGTTGGTGACGGGTCCGTTCCACCTGCAGCCACTACATCAGTGACTGCGATACTCGTGGATGAGAACACGGCGCACGCGATGAAGCTCAGGTCTGCGATGGTGCACTTGCCGCCCACGAGCCACTCTTGCTTCGACAGCACACCTTCGAGAACGCCGAAGACGCGCAGGATCTCCTTCTGGTACCGCTCGATCGCGCTGGGCAGCTTTTCAGGGTGCCAAAGGATGAACCATCCCGCTTGGCCGAAGTACGGTCTGGTGCACCCGGTCAGAGTGTAGGGAAGGTATACAAGGGGCATCACGAGCCTACCCTTGGCCGGACGCCTGGAAGAACAACCACTGCAGCTGCAGCGTCTTCTCCTCGGGAGTCTTCACGGAGATCTTGCCCTCGGGATCGTATTTTTCAACTAGGTATGTCAGTATCGCGTCGGATTCCCTGGCGTAGTTCACTGAGCATATACGCTATAGATACCGTGCTATCCAAGGGTAATTTACCAGATGACGAAGTCGCCGTTCTTGTGGTCAACCAAGGTTGGGATACGACCATTCGGGTTGAGCTTGAGGTGCTCGGGGTTCCGCTGCTCGCCTTTGGCGAGGTCGTAGTAGACCGAATGGTACTCAAGCTCAAGCTCCTCGAGGACCATGACGACCTTCCTATCAAGTTTGTGTGAGGTGAGTGCCTCGACGTCGTCAGCGGATTTCATTGATACTCACCATCCATTCGGCCCACCCTGGTTGGTGTAGAGGGTGAAGTGATGCTCTTCAGACATAGCGAATGGTAGGGATTGAAGTGGGGTGGGAAGGGGGCGCCGCCATCCAGGTGACTGACGTCTGCACTAGTTATTGCATTTCGGAATTCAACCTCCTCTGGCTATCCGATCTTCAAATTGTAGCTCGCAGCGCGATGCCGTACAACTTGCCGCCATCCTTGGGTCGGCCATCCCGCATGCTTGTATAATCGCATGTATACAGCTGGTCAAGAAACGATAGGCCGTTTTTTCGGCCGCTCACCTTTGGGGCCTTGTTTACCATGTGGGGCCGAACAAACACCCCTGAGCCAATGGTTGAGGCCGCTCGGGCGGTCGTTGTGGCTCTCATCAGCGTTGTCGGAGCCCAGCGCCGTAAGCCTTCCAGATTTGGGTGCGCCGACATATGCCGCCTGTTTGTACGGCCCCACAGGTAAACAAAAGCTCCGAGGCGAGCGATCAGGAAAACGGCCTATCGATTCTTTACCAGCTGTAATCAATAGACCGCAGCCCACCGCAGCTCGGGGGACATTCCCCCACCGCGTGCACATGATTCCCTCGGCGAGCATAATTACTGCTTCTGCCCTGCAGCGTGAGACGCACCTTTCAAACCTCTCTAGGCGACAATCAATGGATTGCTCAGCTTCCAGTACTTGTGACCATGTCTCTCGGGCCCACGCATGGATTTAAGACTTGGACTGGGAGGTTCCATTGTATTTTCAAGTTACACGTGTTACACGTTTACTACGCTCAGGTACCCAGGCACTCTCCGAAATAACGGGATAACGGGATAACGGGGGGAACGTATGTGGGGATTTAGTCTTTAGAGTCCTCGGGCGTAATGAGAGGCACAACAACATACTTAGTAGTAACAGCATCGCATGGTGTAGGTATACGCTATAAACAAGAATTAGGAGAACGCATCTCCCAGGCCCAAAGCACGATGGCGATTACCAAACAGATCCGGTATGAATACTACAGCGGGAAACGTAGCGAACGGGCGTTGAAGGAATGGGGGACGGACACACTAGCCTACAAACAATACGAGATCCATCGCACGCACACCGCAATCCAAAAGGGGGCGTACTACACAGACGAGGCGAAGCGAGGAGGCGAAGTAGTCCGGGGGGAACAAGTAAGTAAGTAACACACCAACGGCGCGCCACACGCATCTACGGTCGGAAGGGAACAAGGGGGATCCACCGGGCAGGGCTCAGAAGTACGAGATGCCGCCGTACATGTCGCCTTCCTCCTCCCACGTGCGCACGGGCTTCTTCGCACGCAGCTCCTCCTTCTGCGCCTTGACCGCCTCCGCACGCTTGCGCGCCTTGTCCGCAAGGTCCTGCGCGAGACGCTCTGTGCGTGCGCGCGCGGCCTCCTTCTTCAGCCGCTTCGCGTCCGCCTTCGCGTCGCCGAGTTCGAATGATGCGACGCTCTGGTCCGACTTGTGCAGCGAGCCGGACGACGCGGTACTCTTCCGAGACTCCTTGTCGCCGCCCCGCCCGAACAGCTTCCCGAACCCGGACGACTTGCCCGTGCCCTTCGCGGACGATGAGCCGCCCGATGAGCCGCTCTTCGCGGAAAGCACGGGAGATAGCGGCGCAGCTGGTGGTGTGTACAACGGCGCGGGGACGGGAGGAGGCGGATGCGCGAACCCTGTCCGCGATGGGAGCTGGCGGCTTTGACTTTGACCTGGGCTTTGGTTGTAGCTTTGGCTTTGGCTGGAGCTCTGGCTGGGGCTCTGGCCGTGGCCGTAGCTTGAGCTTTGGCTTTGACCGTAGCCTTGACTTTGGGTCTGCCCGTAACCTTGACTCTGGCTTTGGCCGTAGCCCTGATTCTGGCTCTGACCGTAGCTCTGATTCTGATGTTGAGTCTGCCCGTAGCCCGACTCGGGAGTCTGCATGGAGATGCGCAGCTTCTCGAGCGAGGGCAGCCGCCGCTGGAGCGGCAGGCTGTGCATGTGACGGGGCTCGGGCCGACGCATGAGGTACGGCTGCTCCTCCGGGGCAGGGAACGACGGGCCCGAGGGTGTCGGCATGTGGATCGTCGGCGCGTCGTCCGAGGGCACGCGCCGGAGCTCGTAGTCCTCCGCGTAGTGCGACTCCTCGATCACCCCCAGCGCCTTCGAGTTCAGCTGCTGCGGGGGCGCGGGCCCGTCGACGGGCGAGGACAGGTACGACGACGTCGGGCTCGTCGGTGGGGAGCTGAAGTACTGCATCGACGAGTGCCGGCTGAGACTGGGCGTCCGGAGGGAGCTATAGGACGTCGCTGATGACAATGAGCGGTTGTCGTCCAGCGCGGGCATGGGCATAGACCCACGTGCGAGGTGGAAGCCGCCGTTGTAGTGCTGCTGGTTGAGGGGGGCGAGCAGCAGCGGGTCAGGGAGGTCGTCGCCCATGTATGACGCGCCGTCCGAGTCAGTGTACGTTGAACTGCGCATCGAGCCGGACGACGGGCGGTGGTAAGAGGAGTAGATGGACGACACCGAGGAGGACATCGAGTCTCGGACCGAGGTCGTCGCAGCGACTTCGTCGAAGTACATGTCCGGGACCGGCTCGAGCTCCTCTACGGGAACGGGCTCGGGTACAGGGGCCGCAGTCTCGACCGTGCTTGCATCGATGTTGGGGGAGAGCAGCTCCGCGATCGCCATGAGGTCCTGATCTGTGGACTGGGACATGACACTGAACGGCCGCGCTGGGGGCGTGGGCGTCTTCCTGGCAATAGGGGGCGGGTCAATTGCTCCTCCTTTCGAGCACGTACCAGCTGACGCATCTGCAGTCGCTGGTGAAGCACGCGATGCACCGCGCACTCAGCTACGCAACGTCCGTCGGCATCTACGGCGTATCCACGCTGTGCAGCTGCCGCAGCCTTCAAATTCGGTAAGCACCGATCCCACCACGACCCTGGTCGCCAGCTACGCGACACGGAATGCTTACATGTGTTTATTTTCTCTTCACTCTCCAGGGCCCTGCGAGTCGTTATGGTACGCCACTGCCCCTGGGTTCCTGAGATCTGTGCGGAGATGCTGACTGTATGCGTTGCTCCCTTGCCTTGCACCCTCGTTGCGATCTGTAGGCATACAGTCAGAAACGCCCTGCCGGTGTTCGCTCGAAGACGGACAAGGATGGATCGGCGGGCGGACGTGGTTCGGACCAGAACGGCAGCGGGCGCGACGATGGGCGCTTGGATGCGAACAGCGCGGCCCGTCCGCGCGGGCTGTCAGACGCCTCGTATATGCGCAGTGCCGGTACGACTGCGGCTGGTGGCGCAACCCCTCGCGGATATGGCCGCTCATCTGGTGAGTTTTCGTGCACTGCTATGTCATTGCGTTAGGGGTGCTGACGATCTTGCAGTACCTTCACCGCTGCTTGAGTTGGGCGATCTGCAGGAGTTCGGTCTTCCCGGACACAGTGCAGGGAACTCGAAGAGGATCTCCGATGGATCCGGCATGGTGCTGCCCCGCGGTATTGACGATCCCATGGCAGAGTTCGCTCACCTCACCGGTGGTACGTTACAGCGTTGTGCTGCTTAGAACCACAGCTGACGATCGGTCCTTTAGCTCTCCCGTCCCCTCACAATCTTCCACTCCCGAGTTCACCGCCGCCGCAGCTCCCGCATCTCCCGCATCTCAAGAGAATTGGTTCGACAGACTACTTCTCAGCGGCTGGTCGCTCGTCCCCGGCACCTTCGAGCAGAGCGGCCTCTCCGCCTACTTACTTGCAGAAGACGCCTTCCTGAGCACGGCCGGGGCGTGTTGCAAGGGTGTGAGCAGCGCCATTGAGTAGAAGTACTGCAGCAGCGCCAGAGTGATGGGGTACGGCTCTGAGAGGTTGAATGCGCGAGGGGTGAGGCGAGGGTCGGGACGGGCCTCCTGGCGATTCGCGTTCGGAACGTCGGGGAGGGCAGTATGAGACGATGCAGACGGGAGCGTCTCCAGCGCCCGCGTGGCGGCTTGGAGCCAGATTCTACGTTGCTCCTTGAACCAGGGCCAGCGATCCTCGAGCAATTTGCGCGAGCACTGAATCCGCCTGCCGTCGTCGCAAACGATCTCGAAGTCGCCCATGAGGCCTTCCTCGAGAGCCGCTAGACCCAACTCCTGCATGGGGATGTCGAGAACTAGCGGGGGCGGCTGGTAGATGCCGAAAGCCTCCAAGTCGATGCAAGTAACGTGGTCCCAGCTCAACAGACGGCGGTTATAGTCCTCGACGAGGTTGCCGTTCCTGTTGCCGAAGACGACAAACTTGTTCGCGCTAGCCCAGAGACAACTACGGAACCACGAACCGGTGGCGAGTGCGCTGCCGGGGTCGATGCGAGACCAGGTCATGTTGATGAGGTCGAGTGCCCAGATAGAGAACGACTGGTAGGTCTGCGAGAGGTACGTTCCAGCCACGATGAAGTACGTTCCCAGGATAGCACCAGTAGGGAAACGCAGACCCGGCGGGAATGAAGTCCCCGTCATAGACGCAGACCGGTCAGAGACAGTGAAGTCACCGTCGGAGAGGGGAGTGAAGACTTCCAATTCGCGTTGAACATCAGTGAACTTAGAGTAATCGGTCAGCCCTGATATTAGCATACATGAATACTCATTTCGCTCACGTTGTAGTTGCTAAAGAGGAAAATGTCGCAAGGATATTCTTCGGTAGGCTGGGCGGAGTATGGCAAATGGATCAAGGATTCCGACTGCGTTGCATTGGCTGCGGAGGATGACGCTTTATCGACTTTGAAGCGCGAGCCCACCTGTCCGAGTCTAGCGGAGGTCTGCCCACCGCGCGTTTCGTCTTGGGGAAGACGTACGCGCTGGTCGGAAGTGACGGCGACACTACGGTACGTACCGCAATGTCTAGGGTAGTCGCGACGCTGAATCCACGTCCGGGTGTTCAGGTCGAAGATGTAGATATCGTCTAGCCAGACATTCGCCAGATCCTGCCCTCCGATGATGAAGAGGCGATCGGCGGTCACGGAAGACAGGTGCGCGTAGCGAGCGTTGGGGACCAATGCCGAGTCGGCGGGGACGGGGACCGCAGGGAGCCAGTGCCGGGTGGTCAGGTCGAAGAGACGGACGTCGTTGAGGACGCAGAGGTCTTCAGGGTTCTCCGACTGTGGCTTAATGGCCATTCCACCGAAGATGATCAAATGGTTCTGCCCTGGATGTGACATGAGGTTTGTGGCAGGCGGATGAACTGAGAAGCGGACACGTACAGGTATCGGCGCTGTGGAAGTAGCGCGCCTGGGGGATGTCGTCCTCTGAGGACTGCGACACCTTCTCCCACTTGAAGGTCTCCAGGTCGAACATGTAGATGTCCGAGACCATCTTCCGCTCAGAGACCAGCCGCCCTCCCTAACGCGGGGTCAGAGACGCGTTCTCCGGTCCGAGATGGGTGCAACTCACATAGAGGTACATTTTGGAATCGACCACGGTCGTCGACGCGCCCTGGACACGGATGTTACAGAGAGCTCGCGCGGGCGCGTAGAGTCACTTACCACCAACTTGGGGGGCACATCGCCGGTGGTCTTGCGGCAGAAAGCCGTCAGGTCAGAGATGGGGTACATGGCGTGTCCTGGGCGCGGACGAGGAACGACCCGCAGGGGTCCGGCTGCGGCGACGACGGGAAGAGGGAGAGTCGGAAGGAAGGAGAGAGCCTGGTGGTCGGGGAAGAGGAGAGACGGAAGAAGCTGGCGAGCGGAGGAGTGGACGAGTGGTTAAGGCCATATGCGCATTTCCCCGGCGCAACCGTTCTTCCTCTTTCGGCGCTCGACGCATGATCTCCCGATCCGGATCCTAGGATCACACCCCAATCCGGCGCCCTTCACACCCCGTCACATCCCCGCCCCCCCGCCCTGGCGCGCACCTGGAAGCTCCTGATTTCCGCAATCGTAGTTACCGTACCCAGGTCTACTCAACGCCGCCGACAACGAGCTCCAACAACCGCCCGCTGTGCCCAGCGACTGCACCTGCGCAGCGGTCCCGCATCCTCCATTCCTCGCGTGCTCCGTTTTCCAGCGACAGTCTATTTAGACTAATCACGACAGGTCCTGATCGCTATCTTTCTCGAAGCCATTGGTGGCGCGCAGGCGCTGTATCGTCGCAGTCACGGTTCAACAGATTTCGTGCGCGCATTCTCCTCCCCTCTGGCTCGCACGACCCACGGCTTCTAACGCACCAGCATTCCCCGAATTCATAGTGAGGCCGCAACCATATGCAGCGAAGCATCCTCGGTCTTCTGGTGTGCTATCACCAGCACTATTCCATCAGCTTTCCCCACATGCCGTGTGCTCCTTCCGGCCATGACCGGGACTTTCCCCTGCGAACGACCGGGCCACATGCTTTCACTACCATGTATATCGCATTGCTTGTGTAATGCTGGGCCCGTAGTCATGCTGTCGCACCCACAATCGTCCTTCACGACGTTCCATGAGTGGTCGAGCCGCGGATCTTCGAATGCTATGGCAGCGGCTGCTGCATCGGGCATATGTTTCCAATTATCGGTGCGAAAGGTGGACTCGAGCCTACGGCACTTCCCAGCTACTCAGGGTTGCCCTAGGACTAATTTTCTGCGGGGGAAACCGGCCGTCTTTCCAGCCAAACCGCGTACCGTATAAGTACTACGCCATCTCGCCACAATACCGACAGATGGCACTAGGACGCCCCTCCCTGGTCAAAAGTACGTACAGCGCATACCGTATGAACCATGACGATTGTTTTAGTCACTCCGTCCATCGGTGACATCCCCCGCCACTTACAACGACTTTTAGACCATCGTTCGCCTCCCGCATAGAGGCACGTTGCTAGTCAACGCCCCCAAGTTTGTATCCGCGCCAATCATCGCTTCTTGCAACACTGAAGCAGGACTACGTCACAGGGATCTGCTAGCATATTTTCGTGCTGCAGCCTGCAGGTACTGGAGGCACCCAAGGGCCAATATCCGCGGTAGTCGATCGGCTTCAGGAAAGCGGAGGTGGGGCGTCGCCGGTGGACAAGCACACCGGTTGAATTTGACGTGCCCAGCCTGTCCCAACGACCGTCTTACGCAGACGGTCCGACGTTACGCATCGGACACACGAAATGCACGGCCTCCCGGTGGCGTTCCACCATCCCATGTATCTCCGTTATACCCACCAATGTACGTGTACCCGAGGCGACCCTGAGCAGCTGGTAATACCCGCTGCGCACGGCGCCCCGAGATCCTGGATGCACATGCCCTTGCCTTGCCACTTCTCGCATCTCCCTGGGTAACAGTATCCCCCCGCGCATCGCGCCAAGTACGCGTCCCAGAACACAGGACGCGCAGGTCCCAGGAGGACGCACGCTGATCAGACCCACAGAAGACGTTCTGACTTCCCAGCTCCCAGCGCCGGGCCTTCCCCGCGCGTGCGCGGGCCCATCTGAACCGTCTTCGAACTTCCCGAGTCGTATCTCGTGGCGCGAGCTTCCAAGGCCGAGAAGGTCCGCTCACTGCCCCCAGCTCTGGTGCCCGGCGGCATCCTAGAACAGCGCCATGCCGCCGCGGCGCACCTTCCTCTTTCTCATGCCCCGCCCTGGCGATCCCGCGGCCGCCAGGCACACACCCACCTCCTCCCCGTGCACCAGGCCGCCCAGACGATGCGATCGGCCAGCGCCGCCGCTGTGCCTCTATCGCCTGCCCAACGAATTGCTGACTCGCCGATTCACTCATCACAATCACTGTTATAACGCCGGGTCGAGGCCTTGCACGCTTTAAAGAGAGCCCTGCGAGTGCTAGGTTGCCTGGGTATGCGCGGTCTAGACGGCGAGCAAGCCTGCTGCTATATGCCAGTACGTCTCGACTCTCTCAAGTCTGCGCCCCCGAGTCCGCCGCGCGCCGCCGATTGGGCGCGCGGGTGGCCGTCCGGTGCGTACGATCGCGCGGCGCTGCAGTGGATGCGCCCCTGACGGCCTGAAGCCTGATGGCGCGCGCTATCCGTATAACCATCGTATAACCGTGCTGGGGTCCGAGGGGCGTCGTGCAGCTCCCTCGAGAATGGCGGTACCTGCTAGGTACCCTTCGTACTTAGGTACCCTTCATGCTTAGGTACCCTCCGTAGGCTACGGCAAGGCTCAATGTTTGGGTGGAGCGCACCAGCGTGCCCGCTGCAGTTCGTGGAACAAATCCTGTTTCCTGACACACTTCGCGGGAGGTACGATCTTTGGCTACGGCGCGCGAGCGTCGTGGGCTGCAGTATATCTTAGCCCCATTCGGTCGAACATCGGAGTGTGGCTTTTCGACGTAAGAAGACTTCTAGCAGATGCCGGAGGACGCTGGGATTCTGCCTAGTGCGGGTGGTATTTTTGCACTTCATCATGCTATGCATCGATGTGTCAACTTCCAGTACTTCAGCGACACCGATCAGTGGGGATAAACGGAAATACGTGCTAAACGAGCCGAGTCGGTCAGGAGCATTAAACTTTCCGACCGTTCCGAGTGCGATTCTGAAAAAGGTCTGAGCCGGAGCCGCAGGTCATAAAAGCACGCTAAGATAAGATTACCAGCTCCAGGATCTGTGTGCAGAAACTTGATCTCCCCGGGCCACTTCTAGTTGTTCATGAAGTGACGCATGTCCCCCTCCAGCTCTAAACCAGCACTCTCGTTCGACAAAACACAGGTGTCCCGGTGAGAGTACTAGAAGCTAGGTGTGAACGATATCAATGCATTAAGAAATACTTATCTCGAGGCCTTGCGAATCCCTCGTTCAGCGTTTCACGCAGCGAAATTCTTGGCCTTGAAGGGTTCTGCTTGGCTTAGAGGATGTGGCTGCGTTCTGGAAGAATACATGTCTTCGACATATATACTAATTGTCAGAACATCTCGACTAAGCCCGCCAATTTGCTGGGTCCGCTCAGGATTTCATACAGACATTCCCACGGGGGTCATCCGCAACTCCCCCGTAATTACATAGGAGGTTCTTCCAGTCTCTGCTCGTTCTCATCTGGTACGTTAAACAACTCACAGATGTCTTGGATGTCTGTCGACGCGAAGTTCAAGAATGTGCGAGGGCGTCGCCCGATGACATATTTCTGGCTATAGATGGGGCGAGGCCGGTGTGGGCTGGAGTGGTGCGAGAGAATCGGTGAGCAGCATGCAGACTTTGACTCGACTCACGACGACCTGCATCCGCCATCGGGTTCTCGTCCTACCACCTCTACCATCTCCTCTTCGTACCACCACACGGCGAGGCATAACGATGTCGACCACGATCGCGCAGCCGACGCCGGACAAGATCCAGATCCTGGCGCACGAGCAGTACGACTCCCCAGATGCCCTCTCCCCCTCCTCCGTTGCCCCGGACCCGCTCGAGCAGTTCCGCGCCTGGTTCAAGGCCGTCTCTGGGCGTGGCAACGTTCGTGAACCCGAGGCTATGACGATTTGCACCGCGACCGCGACTGGGGTGCCGTCCGCGCGCGTCGTGCTCCTCAAGCAAGCAGACGCGCGGGGCTTCGTATTTTACACCAACTACACCTCGCGCAAGAGCCGCGAGCTCACGGAAAATCCGCATGCCGCGCTCGCGTTCTACTGGCGCGAGGAGAGCCGCCAGGTACGCGTCGTCGGTCGGGCCGAGCGCGTTACGCGCGAGGAGAGCGAGGAGTACTTCCACAGCCGCCCGCGGGGCTCACAGGTTGGCGCGTGGGCGAGCAAGCAGAGCACGGTCGTGCAGGACGGGGAGATCCAGGCGCGTGCGGAGAAGCTGAAGGAGAGGTTTGGGGAGGCCGAAGTCCCGCTGCCAGAGTTCTGGGGAGGTTGGAGGATCGTGCCTGAGTACGCATCTATTTCCGCTCTCCAAGGATATCGTCCGTGCTTATCAAGTTTGTACAGCGAGGTCGAGTTCTGGCTCGGGAAGCCGTCCCGCCTGCACGACCGTGTGGTATACACCCGCGTCGGAGGGTCCTCGGACGACGCCCCTCTGTGGAAGGTCGACAGACTTGCTCCTTAATGGGCTCGCGCCGCTACAAATAGAAACAGAAGTCATGTACGTTCATAGCCCGGCCGAGTGTTGGTAACCTTGTATAAAAATCCACAGCGACTCCAATTGTCGAGACCAGTAATATGGCGTTTGACCCGCCGGTTACCTCGTGGGCGTTCTGCTGGTATTGGTCTCGCAGAGTCATGTATCATGACGACCTAGAGGCTACCTGCCACTCAACGGTTTTTTTTTGCCTAGCCAGCTGTGCGGAGCATGTTCACGAAGTTCTCGAGCGTCCGGAAGATTACACCTGCACTCAGCCGTGGCGAGGCTCCCATAAATAGTCTGGTCATATTTATCGCCGGAAGTACCCCGTTGCGTTTGACAGCGCAAGCAACTTGCGACGGTCTATCGACACACGAGCCACTGTACACATCATGGTAGGCCGCTGTTATGTTACTCTACTCAGACTACTCAAACCGCTCTTTCGCCCCTAGCCTGCGATGTAGATCGTGCTTATACGGTGCTCGGCGTCCGGGATACCACACATGGACTGGGCCGCAGTGAGGATTGCGCAAATAGTCTTGCGCCGCCGCCAGAAACGGAGGTAAGCTGCCGCATTGGTAGTGTGTACAGAGCGCCCCGATGTGCCATGAGCTCAAGGCGTTCAGAATCTGTTGGTATGAAATTATTGTATGCGAAAATGTAGCCCACTCTAGCTAACCACTCAACCATCTCAGGTAAAATTTGACCATCGCCGTCGGCCACGGACGTTTTTGACCAATCACCGTCCCACCGCTTACACAACACACAAGGATGTTCTCCCGCGCGCACGGAGTCGGAGGAGGGAAGAAATATCCAGAAGATGCCAAGGAACCATACATGCACGCTAGTACGCTACACATATCCGTCTCCAACGACGCGCGCCGTAGCGCTCTCAAAAATGCGCCTCCGTCCGCCCCAACCGGCTATAAGTACTCGCACACGCAAGAATACACTCCGCGCCCAATCTACGACGCTATTAACTAATACCACGTCATCCACCCGCTGTCGGAGTACTCCTGGCTGAGCCACTTCAGGTTCTGCCCGAGCCCGTGTCCGAACCCGGACCCCATGCCCATGCCCATGCCCATCCCGCCCCCACCGCCGCCGAGCGGCAGGTACGGGTCCGTCTGGCACCCCGACCGCTCCGCGGACACGCCGAACCCCGTCCCGTTCCGCTCGCCCCCAAGGCCGCCCGGGCTGGGCACGATGAGGTGCAGCGGCCCGCGCGTGAGGATCGGGTCGTTTGGCGGCGGCGTCGTCGCGATCGCCTCCTGGAACTCGTGCACGAGCGTCGGGTGCGCGCCCGCGAACGGGTACGGGGTGACGTCCGGGTCCGTGCTCGAGCCGGAGGCGGAGACGTAGAGGCCCGCGCGCGTCGCGAACTTGCACACCTCGTCCTCGCCAGGCTCCTCGGGCTGGTGCGTCCCGTACCGGCTCTGGAGGTAGTGCGAGCGCGAGCGGTCGAAGAGGCTCTCGAGAATCGGCTGTAGGCGGCGGGAGAAGATGTGCGTACGTCAGGGGGACACGCGGGGGTAGAGGGCCGAGATCTGGGACTGACCAGTGATTTCGCGGCGGTCGGGCATCGATCGCTGACGTCCGTGTACAATCGGAGCACCTTCGCGAACTCGAGCAGGGCGTTCGATGTCATCACCGAGGGCGGCGCTCGGCAGAGCAGCAGGGACAGTGCCATCTGCCAACGAGGCATTCAGTAAGGGGTGGAGAAGCGAGTGACAGCCAGGAACTTACGGCAGCAGACAAGCCCTCGAACCATAGAATCTGTTGTCTCACGGAGTACTCTGGCTGCTGCCTGTAGTACGTCTCTAGGCCCCGGAGAAGACTGAGCGACGCCTGGTAGATGGCAACCACGGAACACGCGTATTTGTGGTTGGCCCAGAGCCCTTCGCTTAGCGCCAGTGTGAAGAACTGCCGGTGCAGGTTAAGTATGGCTAAGATTGCGTGAGCTGCGAGGAAATAGAGCGGGTCCGCATTCGCACCCACCGACGTCTCGTGTCATGTTCGTCCACATCTGGACCAGACAAAGCCCGTTCCCGGAGGAAGGCCCGGGTGGGATGTGCATGAAAGAAGGCAGCTGGAATTCCCGAACGCGAGAATCCAGAGCCAGCACCTCCGCGTAGGGCGGAGGGTTAGGCGAGACGACCGCCTCGAGAATTGAGGACAGGCACTGGGTTGTGAAAGTGTAATGCCACCGTTGATCTACGTTGACAGCGAGATTAGGTTTGTGGACAGATCGGAAATGGCAACGTTGTGCACTTACAGATCTCTCGGGACCCTGGTGGTGGGTAATCGCTGCTGGTCGGGGGTTCGGTGTCAACGTACCGTAACGCGATTGAAGGGGGTCGTCGGAGCATCAGCGCCTTCCAGCGACAACGTCGGAGGTTAGCCAACGTGCTGTTCAAAGAAGGTAATGATGCGCACCAAACGGTAGTCCACGTTGATCATGCACCACAAGAGCGTCTTCCGTTTATCTAGTTCCTCCGGGATCACCTTCGAGCGGCTCGCGTTTCGGTCTGGCCATAGAGGTGAGCGGGGCGCGTGTACATACATAGCACGGTGCGACACTCACGGAGGCCAATCTGTCAGACGGGGATAGTTAGCGGACAGCTTGTACAGGCACATGCGAATGATTTACGTACACCCACGGCGAGTTTGCTTGCTATTCCCTGTTGGAGTTACTGTCAAGGCCCGGCATTCTTCCATATATGTGGGAGATAATTACCAGGACCGTCCACCCATACTCGATCGCTTCCTTTTTCTCCACCGAGAACATAGTCAGGTAGCGTGACATGTAGAACTGACAATGTTGTCAATGACGCGCCGAACGTAAGCATTCGCAGGACGAGACGCACCAGCGCGTTGATCGCATCTATACTCGGTTCGTCAATTACCGAGGTCTCACACAACGCCGCCCTGGCGAGATGGTGATAGCGTTCTGCGTCTCCAACCCATGACTGGTGACTTCGCCGCTGGTCCACACATGTCCCGATAGCGAGTATGACAAGGAAGTAGGACAGCCTATGTGGGTTGAGGGTGGCGACCGAGCAGTTGTACACGCTGTGAACCATGTTCGGCACCCCATCGCTGCCGTCAGAGTTCTGACTGTGGGTAGAGGTGAGTCAGCGTCACGTCGTAAGATGCCGCGAAGCACAAGGTTGAACATGCTTCGAATAGGAAATGCGGCGGACGGCGGGAAGAGACGCGAAGAAGAGACGTACTGCCAGGCTGCGTGCTCCGCCGCTTGCTCACACAGATACCGGGCCTCGGCCTGTGAGGGCAACATCTCAACGATGCGTTGACGGTGGTTCGGGTTGAGCTCAAATGTGATGGCACTTGGTGCGGGGAACTTGTCGCTAACTTGGCGAATATCCAGTGGAATTCCGTAGTCATCGTAACCTCCATTGAGGTATGCAGGCGAGAGGCTCTGTCGCTGGCAAGTAGACATTAGCGCAAGGTCCGCGAGACAACGTACGGATGCCTACATCGTCTCTGAGCGGAGAACTGGACGGTGGACCGGGTTGGAACTCGTTTCGTTGGGCCTCGGCTGCAGACTGGGCCTCTACACCGAACAAGTCGGCCGACTTCTTGATCAGCAGCAAGTCATCCCGGAGAAGGCTGTGATTGGGCTGAGTTTCTCCAAGAGCATCCTCGAGCTCGCGTATACGGCCGCTCATGGACTTGATCTTCTCGTGGAGCTGTTCCGTGTTCGCCAAGATGAACCTGACCGGGAGGGTTAGTTGCTGCGTTTGTCCGACGCCAACAACAGAAACCAACCTGCTCCCCTTGCCACCGGTAAGAGCGCCGTCTGGACATATCTCTGCACAGCCTCGCTTGCAACAGGATTGGCAGGGGAAAACACGATCACACTGTGTCGGCAATGTGAGAAGAGCGCGGGAACGGCCTGACGCGTCTTGGACGGACCTTCAACTTCAACCTGAACGGACGAACGGCGGGAGTGAGTCGCACGCCGCGTGACAGACAAGGGAGACGCACCTCCTGCATTCCCCACACGAAAGAGGCCGTTTCCTGTTCTTCTTCGAGGCGGCGTCCGCCGCTCCGTCCTGGTCGGGGATGCCGGCTCCGCTGGGGCCTGGCGGCGAGGGCATGAAGGCAGAGGGCGGCGGGGGGTTGGAGACGCGGGGACGTTTGGGGAGCGGGGGGTAGTCCCCGCGGGAGGGGTCGTGGACGGAGTGCATGGAGGAGGAGGAGAGAAGGAGAGGTGCGTTCGGCGGTCGTGCACTCACTGACGGAGACACTGCGCGCGCGCCAACAATGCCGAAAAGAGCGGACATGAGTCCCTCCGAGGCTGCCTCTGCGTTAATTTCGACTTATTTTCCCCGACAAGTCTATCCGCCGGACTCCGATCGCGGCCCCGAGTCTCTCGCCCCGGCGCTCCCGGCCCCGCGTGCCGGCCTCTCCTCCGCCATGATGTTCCCTCGTCCTGCTCGCATCCCCTTCCGTCTCTCTCCCCTCTCCCTCCCGCGGCTGCTGTTCGCCAGGCATGCGAGCAAGAACTCGAACCCATGGCCCGACGTGCAGGGCTCTGCCGACGACCAGCCCAAGGTGCGGACGTGGATGGGCAAGGCGTCCCGCATATCCAACTTCGTGATCATACCCAGTACGTGCTCCGCTGGCGTGTCCGGCATCGCGTCGCCTCGTTTGATACTTCGCTGGGGCAGCTGTCCTGCTTTACGCAGTGTTCTACGCCGACTTTGGAGAGCACGAACACGTCTTCCAGCCGGTCAGTTCTCTGCCACTCCTGTCAGTTGCCCGCTGATATCATCTGTCCCGTGCAGCCGAGGCGATGGCTTCAGACGCAGAAGGCGTCTTTCTTCTCGCTCTCCCCCGAGGAACAAAAGCTCGCCGGCATCGCACCGGCGAAGCCAGCGCCTTCTGACGATAGCGCGGGTGCTGAGCGATCATGGTGCGTGTTCCTGCACGCTCGCGTTCGCACCGTCTCTTGAGAAGGCCACTAGATTTCTCCGCATCCCTCGGGGATGTGCTATCAGCAGCATCATCAATTGGCAATGCCACATACCCTTGCTCTGAGCTAGCACTCGGCAACGCGCTACATCGGCTGAGTAGTACGCACTCCGTGTCGTTCGGGCCCATGCAGGTGTGCTGCATCTGGCAAGCTGTGCCCCACTCAGGAATGAGATCTCCGACCGACGGCCGTTCGCCGAATCTATGCGTGTACGATGGGCGCCCGCTCATTCCCAGGCCTGTGCGCGCATGTTCTAGGTGCGGCGTTATGGTGGGTTTTTGCACATTGCAATTGCAAAAGGTCGCGCGAAGCGAGCTCTTCTCCGGTTTGTCCCCGGTGGGTTCGAAGATCATACCGAATTCTTCCATTCGCAGGATCAGGCGAGGATCCTTTATGAAATGCCGGCCGACCGACACCCCTATACCTCTGAACATGCCACCACACACCGAGACTGAGCACCCGCCGAGAGCAGGCGATACTCATGAAGAAGAGGGATGCGGCGTGCCGTACGGACATCCTGCGCAACTTCCGCTCCGAGGGTTTGGACAAGTTGCGACCAGATCCCTTCTGTGCCTGCCCATCAAGTCACCTATCCATCGTATTGGTATGTTATTTATGTTCGCGGTTCCTCAATTCGCATCTCCACTTCATTGTCGGCGAATGCCACGCACACGCTTATAATGAGCCGGCCTCGTCGGAGAGGTCCTACTAGGGTCGTCGAAAACTCTCCTGGAGTCCTTCGACCTCGTCATTTGTGATGGCGGACGTTTGCGCTGCACACGCGGCATGTGCACATTGCGTCAGTGGCCGCCAGTGTTCGCGGAGTGCATGCGGACTTTCGGCCGCTTCAACGCACAGCTTGCGTTTGACGTCGAACTCTCTCACCGCGTTCCAGGGCGAATCCCGGAGTAATATTTTTCATTATCGCCCTTCCGAGCCCGGGACGTAAACTCACGGCGTTCAATGAAATAGGCGTGACTACGGCTATTCATAGCTAGACTTGCTGACCTCGACGTTGCGCAGTCCTGATAAGCCGACGGAACCGCTCGCGCCGGTCGTGGCTGGTGAGCTGCATGTTCTGCTTCGTCTAAGACTATATGCATGCCATCTATGCTGACTCGCGCCTTGCAGCTCGCCGGACCAACATTGTTTACACCCCACAGACGTGACCTCCAAGTGCACAAACTATAATCTTACAACACCAATGATAACCCGGCGGCAGCACTGCATACACGAGTTTATCAGCTTATCAGTCCGCAAAACACAAAATCCCAGTTCTGTAACTATCCATCCATCCGCGAATCTGCGAACAGCGTCTCCCTACTTAACTCCATTATGCAAGCGCGCCATCTTGGCATCTGGGCGGCACCGCCACGAGCTACTACATCACGCGCGCAATGCACCCGCCGCTCCGTGCCAGTCGGTCTCTGCGGCGGCACGCCGTCGACGGGTATGCCGAGCTGGGGCGAAGCCTGGAGACGGCTCTGCGGTCTATCCCGCGCGGCGCAACCCGACCGAATCGTGCGCCGTCGCCGAGCTCGGTGTCACAGTGTTGGGTGTACCTGTAGGCGAGTCGATCGGATCCGCGGTCTCCGCCACCGCCTTGCTTCGTCCGCCCTCATGAAACGAGGACGCGGCGTTGCGGTCTAGTGCCACCCGGGGGTACGTCGTGTGCGCACTCAAGCATGACGTGCATGACATTGTCTTGCAGGTGTCCTTTCCCCAGCTCGCTGATTGCTCCGTCTGATCCACCGGAGGCTGGAGAGTGTACTAGGTTCCTGGGGCGTCCAGCGCAAGTCCGTGTAGCTTGACGCTCCCGGAGCGCGGCCGGAGAGGTACTCGGACACCAGCCGCAGCATGCGCTCAACCGAGCTTGCTTGCTCTCCTCCTCGCTTCCCGCCCTCGCCCTCGCCCTCGCCCTAGCCCCAACGAGTCTAGATCCGGACGCCCATCCCCCGTCCCCCTTGCAGCAGCGCGCCCATCGCCGTTCCCCTGTCCTGTCCCCCCCAGCCGCCAGCCGCCCGGTGTTCTGTTCATCTGTCGACCCAGAGACGCCCACGCCCCTCCCAACTGCGCAGGCGGCGGAGCGAGCGCGTACGTCCGGCAGCCTTCCTCCGACGCGCACTTCTCGCGTCCCTGCCGGCGCCTGCCCTCGAAAGGCTAACCGCACTTCTATATGGCTCGCGGCCTCGCAGGGCACCGCATGCTCCGACGGGCCACATCTCACTTCCGCGCCCCTCGCAGCCCGCGATAATGCGCCGCCGGTGCCTGGGGCCATGCGGAGGCGTGCAGCGCGTCTAGCGGGCTCTTGACTGAGGGGGCTGTGGGGCGGCCGTTTTAGGAGGGAAGGTCATAGAGAAGCAGGGTTGGGGCGTTTCTTGGTGGCAGGCGTGGTGCGGAAGCCTCTTCGTCGTGAGGTTGCGAGTCGGGAATGAAGCGCGAAGCACGTTTGGCTGCGTGGGCTGCGAGTGGAAGTGACTTGCGGGACGCTCGTGCTCGGCCAAGTCCAATGCGCCGTCGCTGTTACCGCAAGTGAGCAGTCTGAGATCTATTTGCGCCCCTTATGCTTCATTGACATTGCCTACCGCACGCTGATCATCACTCTGCGCAGACGTAATAGCTGGTCATGCAGTGCTGAACATTTGGGGTAATGCTTTTCACTGCGCAGGCCCGAAGTGCAGAGGGAGCTTCGCCACACACGCGCTTGGGGCATGCTCGCCAACGGACCGCCCGCTCGCCTTGACACATCAGGGCACTGGCGCCAGGATGGATGGATCTCAGTGGGCGTGACACGACCTACAATGGCAGCTGTCCGTGCTACCCCCAATCCACAAAGGTGAGGTACGCTGACTCGAAAATTGACGGTGCCGAGACTCCTGCTACCGAAGGCATATCATCAAAATTCAGGGGATGCATATTCGGCGAAGTACACTTGATGCCTGTCACGGTGCAACCCCGTGGCTCCGAGGGAGTTTAGGCCATCGACTTGAGTCCTCTGCTACAACAATAAGTACTGACATACACAGTATGACCCACGGGAGGTGGACAACCCAACTTCGCGGGACGAGAGCGTTTACAAGCCATGGGGATCTACGCCATCCCGAGCCACCGATCTATACGGGGACGTCCTACTTTCCTGGCGCACAAGTTCGCCGCGACCCTAATATCGGCTTCTTCATAGGATGCCGTCCGCGATGCCGCGCTCAACGTATCAAAAGCCCACCGGCGATGTCAGGACCACTAGCTACGCCCACGTTTTCGCCGGGTTGGTAGTCCACAACAAGGCCAGAAATTCAAATACGATGGTCCGTGCATCTCCGGCCGCAGTATCCTCACTCGGTCGGAGACGAACGGGTACTATATAGCAGAGCCATATGAGTGCTGCTCACGCGCTTCGATAGATTGTCTTGCCTTCCCATGGAGCCCTTTGGGACCGTTCCGAGCCTCACACGAGTGCTCGGTATCGCTTCGATCCGGGAGGCTATCAGCGGCTTCGGCGTGAGCGCCTCAGCAGCGATGGCTTGCCCTGAAGTATACAGCTCTCTTTTTCGAGGCATATAATAGCAGAGCAGGGGAGACGATGCATTCGACAAGGCGGGAACTGCAGAAAGCCTTTCGATGTTGGAGGAGATAAAGAGTCGAAGGAGGGTGAATATTTGAATGCGAGCCCTGTGATTGGCTGAGGGGCGAGCCTAGATAGGGAAGGTGCTGTGGATCATTTGCACTGCATCCGACGCCCACTTGACCTGTACCACCACCCGTCGCGACCAGCCTGAGACTGGCGCGAGCGGTCCATTCTGACTCATACGCACACCCAGGTCGCAAGGAGGGGCCAAAACGTGACTACGTATTCCGAATGATGAAGTAGCCAATGGCATCGCCAAGGCGCGAACTCTAAAACACCAAGCGGTCGCCCTCGGGACGGTTCTCGGAGGGTTACGGACTGCCTGGATGCGAGCATTTATATAGCGATGCAGTTTCAGCGCCTTCACAAACCATCCTGCACCACCTTCACTCGCCATTCAGACATGTACACCCCCCTCTCACCCGTCACCGTGGGTAGGATGCTGCCCACTTCGATGAGGGCCTTCCCGCATGCTCACCGCGCCCTCCTCCGTCCATGCTCCGCCGCCATTTCCAGGCGCTCTATCGGGTCTTTTGCTCCCACTAAAATCATGACGGCAACCAAGAACAACGAGAAGTCGCCGCTGGGTGCCGGGACGGAGGGTCCGCATATCAGTATGTTTTTATTTTGGGTCCATGTTGCCGTCCAATGAGCGCTGAGCGCTATGTCAGAGGACCTACCCCCGCAGGCGCCCGTTGCCGTGAACGTTGGGGACCACAACATCAAGGGAGACTGGGTCCTCTTCCATCCCGTATATACCCATGATGAGCTTCGCTCCGTCGAGGTATGCTTACACAATATATGCTATACACGCCTTTCTCATATGTGAGCGCAGGTGCTGCATAGGCAAGCCAAGACGTTCTCGGATAAAATCGCATATTCGTTTGTTCACCTCGCCAGGTCGGTATATGTATGCTCATTCATTTAGCCCTGACAATAGCTGACACATTTTCCCAGATGGGGCTTCGACTTAGTCTCAGGCTACAAACATAAACCTCTTCCGCCCAATGCCGACAAAATGTCATTGCAGGAGCTGCAGGACGGCGGCTACCTCATGAACGAGGCGCAATGGCTGAAGGTAAGTAAAGTTCAGTGATTCGTGATCGTATAGGAGCTCATGTCCCCCAGCGTATTCTCTTCCTCGAGAGCATCGCGGCTGTCCCGGGAATGGTGGCAGCTGCACTCCGTCATCTGCGCAGCCTGCGTCTGATGGTATGTCCTTGCAACCTGTACACATGTTCGACAATCTCACCTACCATCAATAGCAACGCGACAGCGGATGGATTCATACGCTGCTTGAAGAAGCCGAAAACGAGCGGATGCACCTCATGTCAGCACCTTTTTTCCTCGGCATCATAAATCCACCACTCACGAATTATACAGGACGTTCATGACTCTCAAGAACCCGTCCATCCTGTTCCGAGCCATGGTCATCGCCGCGCAAGGCGTCTTCTACAACGCTTTCTGTGAGCACTGTCCTACGCCTCGAACTCTCCGCATCACTAACGCGAACTCTCAGTCCTGTCATACCTCATTTCCCCCAGTACGAGTCATCGCTTCGTCGGACACCTCGAAGAAGAGGCGGTTATAACTTAGTGAGTAGGATTAAATAGTCCATACTTTAAGCTCCGTACTCACCACGCCCCTCAGCACACGCTGTATCCAAGAGATCGAGGCCGGCCACCTCCCAAAATGGTATGTTTATCCCCCGTACAACGCGCCGCACCCAAGACTCACCTTCCCGCAGGGCTGACCTCCCCGCGCCCGAGATCGCGAAGGACTACTGGCGGCTCGGCCCGGACGCAAAGTTCCTCGACGTCATCTACGCCGTACGCAGCGACGAGAGCACGCACCGCTTCGTGAACCACAGCCTCGCGAGCCTCAAATACGAGTCCGACGTGAACCCGTTCGCGCTCCGCGAGCCGGGCATGACGACCAAGGGCACGCACATCTGGTGAGTCGCAGCTGCTTTGGCTTTAATTCGTCGGGCGGGCGTACGGTGCTGATGAATTTGTGGGCGATTAGTTTCGAGCGCGAGGACTCGACGAAGTTCATGGAGGACTCGGCGAAGATCCTGCAGGAGGCCGCGCGCAAGGGCGAGGCGTGAACTCGGCCGTCGCCGCTTCGCGCAGATCGTCCGGTATATTTATATCCAGATTAATCGGTTTCCCTTGACTTCACGGACTTGCACATTACTAGCAGCTAACACCCCACTCAACCTACCGTACAAACTCACCTGTATATCACAACCAGCCGTAGTGCCTCTACATCCTGAATAGCTATCGAACTTGCGTCGCATCAGAACCGAGATCCATTTCCATTGATTCGCGTGGTCATAACAAAACAGCATGTCATAGAGTAGTATACAGATTCTCCAGCATGATCCTAGCGACGAAAAGATGCAGCAATAAGAGATGCGGCGGACGGAAGGCGGCCGCCGTGCTTAAAGCAGGGCGTCCACCTCGTCGCGGAAGTCCTGGGATGACGGAGCCGAGAAGAAGTCAGTAGCGTCATAGGCGGCGACGATAGCGACGTCCAGCGCTGGCGGCGGTGGAGGGTGCGCGATTGCAGGTCGGGGTATGGACGGCCCTGGCTCATCAGCGGGGCGAGGGATCGGGGGCTCCTCGAGGGGAGGCGGGATGAGGGGCGGGAAGTCGGCTGCAGAGGCCAGATTTGGTTCACGCAGGGGCGCGGGCACAGGTGCAGGAGCTGCGTCTGCTGCATCCGGCGGAGCGATGAGGTGGTTGACTAGGGCAGTATTTTCAGCAAGATGCGCTGGTTGAGAGCACTGCAGATTACTCACACTCCTTCGCATGGGCTGTACAGTCGGGAGCGCGCCATAAATACGCGATGCGAAGCCTGGAGAAGGATGACGGCACTCACCATGGTCCTTCTGCCTGGGGCACTGGCCGCCCTGCGCACAATCCGGACGGGCCATGACATGCTCCTCGAGGAAGCCCTTCTTGCGCTCCCGGATCCACCAGTCTCGGAGACCGTATAACAGCACCTCAGCGGAGCACATCCTACATATTCTCGTCCGTGGCGCGTTGGGATCCGGGTCGATGCCCCCAGCAACAGGGTGCAAATCCATGAAGAGGTCAAGTTCGATAAGCGGCGCAAATCCCCGCGGCTGGGCTTGCATATGCGCGACAATCTGTTGAAGATTGCACGAATGTCTTGGCGTGGTGCACTGGGGAAGACGTTGGGGGACGCACCTCTCGGTAGATGTGCCTTGGCGAGAGGCCTTGAGCAGTCAAGTAATCCAGCATGATGTCGACCTCAACTGTGTTGCCGTCGAAGCAGTCGTATACTTCGCCGCATTGGATCAAGTCACTCAGATCTGAGAAGCCATGGGGGTGTTGTATCGCGAGAGGTGCCGCAATGCACCGCTGGGGGATACCGATCCCGCAAAATGAGACTTGGCAAAAGTCGCATCTGGTGGTCGTCGGGGCTGCTAGCGCAAGAACGTTCTCACTGCGGGAATCGATTGGGCTTCGATTAGGCTTCTAGATACGTAAAAGGATGGCCTAACGCACCAATTTCCGCAGACACCGTGACCGGGAGGGTTCCCATCGTCGACTGGCCAGCCATGGGCAGGATCGGTATCAGGATCAATGATAGGTTGAGGACATCGCCAGCCCCATTGGTTTCCAGGTAAGCAGTGTGGGCAAGGTCTAAGATAGATACCGTTGGAAGCTGGTACGTTCGGCTCGGGCGAGGCCTGCCTGGGGCTTGGTATCTGCGCAGCAACGTGAGTAAATGGTCATACTACTGAGAAGCGTACGCGTACCCGAAGGTGCGCGCCTGGTTGATATATGGCGTCTGCTTGCATCCGCTCGGAAACCGATCGCGCTTTGCCAGGGACATGGCGCAGAAGCGTATCTACTACCGTCTGGAGGGGCCGAGAGAAAGCGACGCTGGTAGACACTGTTCTGCACGCGGGACAGCTTGTACCACCGTTCTGCGAAGCTGACGCGTCAGCAAATTATTCTAGACCGAGAGTTGGGGAGAAAGAATGCGGCAAATGGCCATGACACACGCAACTACCAAGACTTCGAGCGTACGGCTCGAATGAACGAGATATGGAGCAGGACACTCACTCGTATCCATAGAATGACACAGCTGTGGACATACGCCGACCTTAAGCATGCATCCCCTTCACACCACCACGCACAGCGCTACTCACCTCCCACAAAAGAAGTGCTGACATGGTGCGACGACCACCGGCCGATATACGATCGCCGAGCAGCACCCGCACTGCAGCTCCTCCTCCAGGCTGTCCGCAAGGGCCCCAGTGCTTTCCGCACTCGCCCCGCCGACCGCCACGTCTTCCTCCACGACATTCGTCCTGTCCTCCCGCATTCTCTTGCGGCTCGTCTCACCCTCGGGCACGTCCTCGAAGGCTTGCGTCGCGCTGCGCTTCAGAGGCGCGGTGGCGCTCGGGGAGAACGCCTCAGGCGGTCCGATCTGTCGAGCTCCGGACCCGTCTTCCGTCGCAGAATCGGGTACAGCGACGTCCATGTTAACACAACAGCAACTCTTTCGCAGCGATGAGTTCCGCAGGTGAGATGGTGGTCAGTGGCTAAGAGAGTCCGATAATTGTGACCGCCTAATTAGGGTTGGATACATCCTAAGCGCCCGTCTCACGATGTGATCGGGAGCAAGGGAGAGGCTCGTGATCTGCATAAGCGCCCCTACAGGGACGCGACGCGGTCAATATTGCAGTCGCGACGGCGACGCGTCGAACACGATCCTCTCTCCTCTCCCTTCCACGACACGCGGTTTGACACGGAATTGCACGGTTTCTGTATGGCCATGGCTGTGCTTCCTGAGGCATTATGGGTACCTGGAGAGCCTCGTGAGCCTCTATAAGGTGAGTTAAGCCGTGATCGTGCACGCTGTCCGTACACCCATGGCTATCGCACTGCAAGCAGTAACCGTGAGTGACCCCAAATTTTCCGCTCCATTTTCTAACGTCAAGTATCTTCTAGGAATGGCAATGCCTTAGGATCCCAACACGTATGCCTGTCAGAACAAGCTCAGGAAGTTATCGGTAAATTCACGACCCGGCGCCGGATGAGCCCTCCCATCATGGCAAGCACAGGCACTGTGGGGCGTTCGCCCGAGTAGAAAGCGCGGAAGTATGCAGCTACAATCGGTGCATCACGAAGACATCCTCAGTTCGAGGGTCTTGTATGGTGCCACCTAGCCGGATGGTGCCCCCATCAAATGAAGACGCTCTGCCCCAACCTGCGACCAGATGGAGACTACGTATGGACATAGCGTTCCTGTGCGACTCGCGAACACCATTTTCCACGTCTGCATCCAACTTTCTTATTGACAAGCTCTGGAACTTTAGACACAGGCGTCCACCCTTTGGACGATTCGGCATCCCTGACAAGGAAGCGCCGAGCGCTTGAGCACGAAGCTGAAAGGTGCGTTCCTTGACGTATAGCGCTTGCTACCGTGCAGCGCCCTCTGACCGTCTGATTCTAGAGTATACACTGCGCTGAAGAAGTGGTTCTCACTTTCATCCGCCGAAAGGGGCCGGCTGACACATGCCATACACGTCTTGCACCAGCACTCTAGTCAAAATTGCGCCAGAAATCTTCGCGTCTGGTGCCGACGCCTGCCGCAACGACTGTCGACGCACTTCACCCAACGCTTCGCTGAACTGCCTGGTAAGCTCTGCGGTCCCTCTAGACCGCTGCCCGCAATACTAACCAATCACCCCTCTCGCCAAGTCCGCGCAGCTGCCATTACTCTGCCTCATTGTGCGGCCACTCCACGATCAGGCCGTTTGGCCCGCGGAGACTGGGCGAGGCCATGCTATGGACGCCAGCACGGCCATGCTTCGGGGCGAATGCACACTGCAATGACACGAGAACATTCCCGGAGCGCCCATTTTCCGAGGATCGGCTTTCCGGGTTAGGGTCCGGCCCGTCCCTATATAGCCCCGCACAAGACGAAGCATCCGCTCCATCCGCCTTCCCCAGCGATCCGTCTCTTGCTTACGACCCCCAAGCTTTGGACAGCTTCTCTTCTACTCCCTCTCACCCACCCTCCCCTTCACGAACTCGACTTACGACCATGATGTTCACTCTCAGCCAGCTTTCCGTCTTCACCTTCCTCCTGTCTCTGTTCGCGGTCGTCAGTGCTCTCCCGCTTGCGCTTCGCGATGTTTTCGTGCCTCCAGTCACCTACCCTCACGCGGGCACGGTCTGGAAGGTCGGCCAACACCACAACGTCACTTGGTGAGTTTTTGGTGCATTATTGAGACAAGGGCTTCGGCGCTGACCACCGCTCGTACACAGGGACACCACGAACGCCCCCGTGAACATCACCAACAAGGTTGGGATGATTGTGCTCGCCAAGGGTGGCCTCCTTCAAGATCTCTGTGAGTACTAGTCCTAGCGGCGGGCGTATACGGAAGACTGACTACATCGTCCATGTAGCCAACCCCTTGGCCAAAAACTTCAGCATCTTGGAGGGCCGCCATGAGATCCAAGTCCCTAATGTAGCCCCCGGCGACGACTACACCATCGTCCGTGAGTATCTGCATGTCCATATTTGCTAGATCGTCCGCTGATCCCCGTTTTCCAGTGTTCGGCGACTCTGGGAACGACAGCCCCACCTTCACCATCACCGCCTAACTGCAACGCCCTTCGTGACGTCACTTCACGCCTTGTCCACGCCCCTCACGAACACTACTCATCCAGCTACAATACTCCACAAATATTGCTCATGGACCTTGCTTTCGGACTCTTCGCGTACACATACTTCGTGTAGATGCGGACTCACCCCACCACGGACACATTCGGACTAACGCAGTCGTGTAGCAAAACCAATGTATTCCTGTACAACTACATGCTGCAATCAGATCGTTCCCACTACTTCGCCATGTCCGACTCGGCACGGGGATAAATCGGATATGGATTGTATAGCCGTACGTCACGAGCGGCATAGAGACATAGGAGAAACCTGCGGCACGCACTTACCACACGGTGTGACAAGGGAAGAACGCGGAGCTTGGTGGACCTAAGGCGACGATCTGCGAATAGGAGTCAGTACTTGACACTCGGCAATGTCGCAGTCGAACAGTCGGTGTCTCAGGAAAAAGTTGTCGTCACGCCCGTCCGACGAATCGAGACGGGTTGGGCTCATTAAATCATTGTGTTAAACATCATCGACGCCATCGCAATCGATAGGCGAGGAGTTGGAATGCGGCACTGATACTCACATGGAAAGCATGGGTCGACTTCTTCAGCGTTATCGCGGCGTGGGGGACGTGAGGCCTATGCCGTAGCATGCACCCTTCGGCGACAAGCTTCGAATTACGCCAGCTTACGCTCCTTGCTGCATGCGCATGGGCTGCGAAGATCAATCGAGGCCGACAGTGCGGCGATGAGCCACCATCGTAGAGGAGGGACGACTTCGAGAGAAGGGAAGTGAGGGAAAGGGGGAGAAGGAGCAGACGAGGGAAGGAAAGCAGACGCCGGAAATTTGTACGAGGGGAGAACGCGCTCACGTGAGCGGGCGCGCTACGCGAGTGTTTCCACGGTTGAACCGGTCGTCCCGTTCATCTCCTCCTCCCCAGTCCAAGAATCAAGCCGCCCTCAAGCCCCCGCCGCCCCCTGCAATCCCCCGCAAGATCCGCCCATGTCGTCCTCATCGTCGTCGGCGACGACGAGCAAGCTCGTCCGCCCGGTGCCCTTCACGCCGAAGCGTCCGGCCTCCGCCACCCACCTCTCCGACGACTCGACCCGCCTCCCGCGCTCCACCACCCCGAGCGTGCTCGGGTCTGCGAAGAAATACAAGGCTGCGCTCTCCACCGAGTCGCGCACCCGCCTTGGGAAGCCCGCTCTCGGCCTTACCTCAGTCCCCCCAACCCCGAGTCGGAGCAAGAGCAGGGATGGCTCGCGTCCGAAGACCCCAAGTTCGCCGCGGAAGGGCACGGAGAGCCCCCTATTGATGCCGCATGTGAGCGAGATGGATGTCAGCAGAATTGACCCGGAGGAGGTCCTCGTCGATGCTGAGACGGTCGAGCCGGGCGATATTTCGATGGAAATCGACGAAAGCCTGCTGAACGGCGACTACGGCAAGGAAGACAAAGTCCTTGTGTCCATCAGGTCAGTTTCTACGATCAATTGACTCCATAATTCACGCTGACTTGGTGCTTACTACGTTGACAGGATACGACCAACTGACAATGCCACGGCCTGGGACGTCGCATCTAATACTCACCCGAGAACGCTCAAACTCCAGCAACAATATTCGAAATCCGCCGCCGCGACTTCCCAAGACTTCCATTTTGACGAAATCCTGACCGGTTCCGAGAACAAGCCTGTGTATAACGCCGTTGCGCGCAGCCATGTATGCGCCGCGATGGACGGCTACAACGCCGTCATCTTCGCATACGGTCAGACGGCCAGTGGCAAGACCTTCACGCTCGTGAGTTTACGCACCCGCGGTAAATCCCCCGCTGCCGTGCTCACACAACCATGTAGTCCGGAGACGAAGATCAGCCAGGTATCATCCCCCGCGCGATGAAGGATGTCTTCGCATACATCCGGCGCACCACCAACCGCGAATATCTGCTGCGCTGCTCCTACCTCGAAATTTACAACGAGGCCATCCACGACCTGCTCGCCCCTCCCTCGTCCTCTGTCTCTCAACCCGTTCAAATACAGGGCACCGGCCCGAACATCGTGCTCACCCCCCTCCGTGAGGAGGTCGTGACAAGTTTGAAGGGTGTGCGCGAGGTCCTGCAACGAGGTGAAGGTAACAGGCGGACGGCGTCAACGGACTGGAACGAGAGGAGTAGTCGAAGTCATAGCGTGTTCCGACTCGTTATTGAGAGTAGGGAGCGAGGAAGCGGGGAGGATGGTGTGCCGAGCGGGAGGACCACCCCTGGTTTCAGGCCACCTACTCCCGGTGGACCTCGTTTGCAAGCGCGAGGCGGACGCAGCGTGCAAACTTCAGTTCTGGTTTGTACTTTCAATTCTAGTTGTAGCGTCCACCTCATTAATGTTTGTCTCTACAGAGTCTCATCGATCTGGCTGGGTCCGAAAAGGCTACCTCCGACAAGGAACGAACAAGAGAAGGCAAGTACATCAACACCAGGTTAGTGGATTGTCCAAAATGTCTCCGGCCTATGTCACTCATTTCCCTCGACCTCAGTCTGCTCACCCTGGGATCGGTCATCTCGACCCTCGCGGAGAACACCGCGAAGGGCAAGAGGTTCGTCTGTCGCTTAATTCGCTCCTCCCATATCTAACATGGAACTGGAACATAGCGACCACGTCCCCTTCCGAAACTCCAAGCTAACCCGCATGCTTCAACCCTCCCTCTCCGGAAACGCCAGGATCTCCGTCATCTGCACCATCAACCCCGAAACGTCCGCAATCGCCGAGTCCACGAGCACCCTCCTCTTCGCGCAGCGCATCAAGAAGGTGCAGCTGCACGCGCAGAAGAAGGAGGTCGTCGACACCGACGCCCTCCTCGAGCGCTACCGCAAGGAGATCGAGGACCTCAAGAAGCGGCTCTCGGAGCGCGAGGCGGACGCGCCCGTGCGCTCGCGCCGCCTCTCCGCGCGCGAGCAGCTCGACGAGAGCCGCGCGATGCACGACCTGAACACGCGCATCAAGCAGCTTACGAAACTCATTTTGACCAGCCAGACCGTCGACGAGAACAAGGGCGACGAGTCGCGCCCGGCGAGCCCGGCAAAGGTAGACTTCGACATGTCCCCCTACCAGCTCCAGCAGGAGCTGCTTGCGGCGCGGCGCGAGATGGAGACGCAGTCGACGCAGATTCTGTCGCTCGAGGCGGCGCTGTTGGCGCGGCCGCAGCTGCCCCCGGATGCCCCGGACAGCGAGAAGGACAAGCTGCTTGCGGAGCAGGCGAAGACTATCCGCGAGCTCGAGATCGTCGTGAAGGGGTACGAGGAGAACCTCGGCGAGCCGTTGCGGGCTGTGCGCGAAGACGTCGAGAAGGAGTGGGCGGACCGCTTCGAGAAGGAGGTGCGCGCGCGCCAGGAGAAAGAGGTCTGGGCGGACGAACTCGTCAAGCAGCTCGAGAAGGAGCGCAAGGTATGTATGCTCAATGTCCGGCGTGAGAAAGCATCGCTGACGATATTCTGTTTGTAGACGCGTATGAAGCTCGAGGAGGAGCGTCAGGCTCTGGCCGCCTTCGTCAAGAAGTTCGACCAGCTCGGACTGGGTGGACTCGTGGCGCCCCCGCTTCCACCTACGAAGTTCAACCCTCCTATGCCCACTCCTGGCGGCGCCGCTGCGGTCTTCGCGCAACGACAGCTTAGCCGTATTTCGATGCTCAAGTCTGAACCCCCTTTGGCACCCTTAGCGGAGACCGAGTCCCCGATTCGCCTGGGCGGTGTTGGGGTGGCCGAACCCAGTCTGATGGAGGAGCAATGGGAGGACATCATCGCGGACGTGAGCATCGAGTTGGAGAAGACGGGTATGTCCCCGACGAAGAGCGGGTTCATGTCGCGGAAGCTGAGCCAGAGCCCCGTAAGGGAAGTCCTGAGCCAGAAGGAGAACGTGCCCGTGTAGGCTTGTGATCTAGGAGGACGGCGGAGGGTCGTTTTGCTGCTTATTGCTTCGGTGCGCGCCTCCTTCGCTCTGGGAAACTCGGATGGAGTTGTTAACGACTGGCGTTGTACAGATTATCATGTTTTGCTTTGCACCACTCTACGCGCAGTGCGCACCATGTACTCTTATACCCTCACGACTCACGACTCGATACGTACTGTACACACGACTGTCTTGACCAATGCGAGCCCGGACAATTTCTTGCTCTCTCTCTCATTCCGCGATCGCCATACAACACTCTTGCGCGGCGCGGTTACTAACCTGCAATACGATCATGAAGACGGTTTCCAGTTCATCAGACTCGCTGTCTCGTCCCGCGGCTCCTTCAGCTCCAGCGGCCATTCCACCTCCCCTCCCGGCACCAGTCGAAAGCCGAATCGCTCGTAGAACCGGATCGCGCGCGCGTTCTTCTTGAACACATGCAACTGCAGCCCCCCGCGCCCGACCCAGTCCTTCTGGACCGCCTCCAGCAGCATTCCGCCGTACCCGCGCCCGCCCATATCCACTTTAACGAAGAACATGTCCAGCTCGTCCTGCTGCTCGTCCGCGCTAAGCGTGAACCCGCTCGTGTACACCTGCGCCTCCGCGGGCGCGGGCTTGACGTTCGCGTACGCGACGACCTCGCCCGTGGAGGGGAGCGCGAGGACGTACAGCTTGAGCGTGCGCGGGGGGAAGAGGCGCGGGCGCATGCGCGACTCGACGATACCGGGCGTGTACACGGGCGCGTCGGAGAAGGTTGTGCCGGGGATGCTGGTGTCGAGCGAGGGCATGAGGAGATCGACGATCTGTGGGAGGTCGGCGAGGGTGCCTTCGAGGACGATGGGTGTTTCTGACATTTCTGCGGTCTGTCTGCAGCTGGTCAGTAGGTCAGTCAGAAGCGCGTATGACGGGGGTTCACGACCTTGAGTGAGGGACTGACGGTTACTCACTGGCGATATCTTGAGGGGGGTTGTGTAGCACGGCCTGCCCAGAAACGGCAATTCTTATACGATCGCCGTGCACAAATGTTTCGCAAGGAAGCGTTCGGGGCCGCACAAGGCCCCAAAGCTTGCGCTGTGCATATGACGCGCGTAGTGACTCGTCTGGACGGTACGCATGGGTCGCATGTATGCACTTGACTATGCACAATCCACATGAGCATTGACGGAAGCCTGCGCACTGCGCAACAGGCTCTCAAAGCCCCCGAAGACGCGTTCTATGATGTAACTGCGCCGCACCGCAGCCTGCCATGGTGTCTCCCGCGCCCCGAACTCATCGTGGATATTTGACCAGAGGCAGAGTTCTTCCTGTGGCTGCGTGGGCAGAAGCAGTCATGGTAGGAGGTGTTTCGCACCGCCGTCTTCTGCTCGCGACTGGCAAGTGCAGCGGGCTGGTAGGCGTTCATCGTGATGGCTCCGGAGAGGGACGACAGTGGACGACATACTATCTAAGTAAGTAGCTTCTAAGTAGTAATCCTAACATGTGTATAAGCCCCACAGTGAAACATAGAGTAACCCTAATGACCACGCATCCCAATTTGGAACCCTAAGAGACGTACACTCGTCAACGACGTCTCGCGGCTCACCACAACCTGCAGCTTAGGTTACTCTCGCCCGCCATGTCTGTCTGTCCACCATATGCGCCCTTCTTTGGCTTTGCTGGCGTTGCCTCCGCCGTACGTCGAGAATGTCTGCACTGTTGCCGCTTGCTGACCCTGTGTCGGATTAATGCAGATGATATTCAGCAGTGCGTAGTCTCGTTTCTCCTACAGTATGCAGATAGCTGAGCGTGTTGCGAAACTAGCGGTGGGGGCCGCCTTCGGCACGTCAAAATCTGGGATTGGTATTGCGGGTCTTGGGACGTTCAAGCCTGAACTCATCATGAAGGTGCGTGAATGCCTTCGACTCCCCCTCTCTCCCATTATTCATGCGCGTCCGCGTTCGATGGCTGTAGTCCCTCATTCCCGTGGTCATGTCCGGTATCATTGCCGTGTACGGGCTGGTGGTCTCCGTGCTTATTGCCGGCGGACGTGAGTGCTCCCTTCCTGCACCGGCTTCTCCATAACTGAGCCAAACCTCCGCTGCGCATCTCGCCACCTTCCCGGTCATCATCTACTTGCCGCATGTAGTGAAGCCCACGGACTACTCGCTATACGCTGGGTTCATCCACCTCGGTGCTGGTCTTGCCTGCGGGTTTACAGGTCTCGCTGCGGGGTACGCGATCGGTTACGTCGGCGACTCGGTACGTCAAGTTTATACGGCCTCTGGCACGTCCGTTTCTAATGGGTCGATTACCGTCATATTTAGTGTGTACGCGCATACGTATTCGAGTCGAAGGTGTTCGTGACTATGGTCCTCATCCTCATCTTCGGCGAAGTTCTAGGCTTGTACGGGTACGTCAAACCATCACTTCGTTCGTGCATACCCTCGCTCACATAGCACACAGGTTGATCGTAGCTCTCATCATGAACTCGCGAGCATCGGAAGCGGCGCGTTGTCCATGAGACCTCCAACGGACCCTTTCCTGTCATGGCATCTACCTTACAGCTTTTGCTTCGCTAGTGCCGATGGACTGTGCATAACAACACCACATTCATAGCATACATACCCTGACCGCACAGTCGACAACGCACAAACAATACATGCAGCATACTGCCGCGGTATACACAGCTCCAAGACTGAGAGACCTCGAGGCTCTACCGCCTGGGACTCCTGCTCCTGCTGCGGCTCTCGCTCCGGTAGCGTCGCTTCCTCGCGGGACTCTTGCTACGGCTCCTGCGTGAGTCGTCGGAATCTGAACCAGACGAACTTGAGTCTGAGTCGCTTGAGCTGTCCGAGTCCGAGTCTGAGTCACTATCCGAGGAGGACGAGGACGCCGACCCAGAGCTGTAACAGCAACCGTCAGGACCCGAGAAGCGTAAGGAAGTAGCACAGGAATACGCACCGTCGTCTCTTCTTAGATGAGCCCTCGCCCTTGTCCGCGGACGACTGGCTCTTCGCGCGCTCGCGCTCCTGCTCCTTCCCCTCCAGAATGCGATTTGCCGTCCCAGGTCTAGAGCACAGATACGATGAGCAGGCGTCCACCACCGAAAGTCGAGTAGAGCACTCACTTGGACTTGAACTCCTCCGGGACCTCCACGGACGGCTTGCCCTCCGCCTTCAGCTTCGCGAGCAGCTTCGGGTTCTCGAGCATCTTCGTGCGCGACGGGCGTGTGATGTACGGGCGTGTCGACTTGCAGTCGTAGATGAAGTGACCTGCGCGTGTATGTCAATCTCACGCCTCGTACAAGGCGACTGCGCTGGGGCTGGAAGGGAGGACAACGCACCTGTGCCGAGGCATTTCTGGCAGATGGTGGACGAGGTGGCGCGGGGCTGGCTGGCGGACTTGCGGTGGGGCGCGTACTTCGACATATTGTAGAGGTTATCGGCGTATTCGTTGATCAGAGAGAACACTAGGGGAGGTTCGCAGCAGCAGGGGACTGTGCTAGTAAGCGGTGGTCACCAAGGTCGAGTTCAAGTGCGCTTGGAGCTGCTTGGAGAAGGCGGGGGCGCCTGTGAGTTACATTTGTCAATATCGAGTATGTAAGTCCAGCGCTAAAAGGACTTATGACCCTTGTACAAAACAACAAGATATCCGGATATCCATGTCCCTCATGTCCCTTGTCACTTGTCTTCGTCCTGTCGAGCCGTGGCAGACTGTAGCTACCACAGCCCCGCCAGTGTCATGTCGAAAGTCAGTGAGTCATCGCTGCAGCATGACTACAGGAGACCACAGCAATGCACCAGTACAAGCGTGGTATAAAACAAGAAGTTGTCGCGGGTTCATCTCCACCTTGACCTGTGCCCTTACCTCGAACCCTCAAGAGCCATACCGTTGAGCCACCATGGGCGGAAACGCATTCAAAGCCATCGTGCCCCATGGACACTTCCCGCGCATGCCGCCACCGGTCTACAACGCTCTCAAAACAGCGCTCATCCCTCCTCTAAAGTCCGTATACTCGCGCGTCGTCGTAGCCCGCGAGGCTCCGGAGAAGGCGGACTACGGCGACCTCGACATTGTTGTCTCCGGGCCACGCGACGGCCTCACGCACGCCGCGGTGAAGGACGCGCTCCGCGCCGCACATAGCGTCCCGATGCCAGGTCCCCGCATCAGCAACTTCGCGATCGCGATGGACGCGTTCGAGGACGTTGCGAACGCGTGCAAGACCTGCGCTGCTGCTGGCAAGGGCCCTGCCGAGTTTGCGGGCGACGCGGAAGGAGGCGTGTTCTTCCAAGTGGACGTGAACGTCTGCGCGGACGATGTGCAGCTCGAGCGCACAATGTTCTACAGCTCGTATGGCGACCTGGGGCTCATGCTCGGTTTACTGGTGCAGACCGCAGGCCTCTCGCTCGGTATCTACGGCCTGAAGGTGCGTGCCGCAGCGCTCTGCGAGAGGCCGGAATTGACGTCAGAACCATACAGCTCGCAGACCCGATCGGCTCTCCACTGCAGACGTTCTACCTCTCGGATGATATTGCGAAGATCCTCACTTTCCTTGGGCTTTCCATGGAGCGGTGGGAGCAAGGCTTCGAGACGCAGGACGAAGTCGTGCGCTGGGCCGCGTCTTCGCCGTTCGCCCGCGCGCTTGCGGCGCGCCTGCAGTCCGGAGAATCCAAACTGTCGTTGAAGGAGCGCGGCGAGGGCCGTCCCATGCGCCAGAAGTTCATCGACTATTTGCAGGCGGAAGAGGTGCCCGATGCTGAGTCCGAGCCTAATCTCCCGGTCTTCGCGACATCTTGCGACAGGGTGGACAAGATCGACGCGGCGCTGCGGTACTTTGGGAAGCATGACGAGTACACGGCAATCCTAGATGCAGCACGGGCAAACACCCGCGCGAAGGCGATATTGAATGGGAACAACGTCCGCGAGTGGACGGGCGTTACTGGCACGCCGACGCGATTCATCCTCGATGAAGTGAAGGAGCGTCTGACCGCGCGGGCGGGAAGCGCGACCGTGTCCGTCGCAATGGCCGAAGCTATCCCCGCATGGCAGCACACGCTGCTGGGGATGTCGGACGACGAAGTACGGGCACTCACCATGAGCGTGAAAGAGGACCTGGAGGCCGCAGGGAAACTCGAGTTCGACTGGCGCGCCGCGAAGGCTGCGAAGCTTGAGCGGAAGAAACAGCAAGCGGCCGCGGCGCAGGTGGAGGCGAAGGCCCTTAATGACGAGACGTAGTGCGAGGTGCAGGTCTAAGAGTAGTTGGCGCATTGTATACCAGATCCTTCCAAGATATCCTATCCCTATCTACACGTATAGGACTATAGCATCGACGTCCGCCCTCGGAAGCTCTTGCCGAGCTCAGCGTCTGGTGCGTGGCGGGTAAGTCGATTTGACACTAAGCTCAGGTCTATAACAACTTGCCCTTTATGCCTGTATGCCACACCCCTGTCTTGAGCTCCTTGCGATCTTGCTGCTGGATCCACTCCAGCACCGTGTCTACTACCTCTTCCGGGACCTGCCATGACCTGGGCGTGAGTGGCATTTGATGACAGTAAGCTGCAGATACGTACGCCGGTGAAATTGTGGTCGGCTTCTTCCACGATGCGAAGTGTGTGGGTGCCCGGGCTGCGCGCACCGTATATGCGTGCGTATATGACGGCATCAAACGGAGGCACGACCGCGTCCTTCAGGCCGTGCAGAGTGAGTACATCTACGTGCGTGGGGAACTGGTCCCAGACGACGGAAGTGTCGACGTTCGCGAACTCCTCATAGTCTTCACGGGTGACCCTAAACCGCTATCAGCTTACGGCGACTGTTTCGATCGTAAGTAGGGCATTACTTTGAAACGAACGGCTTGCGCGCGACCGTGGCTGTGCGAAGCACGAAACCTGTAGACTCTAGCTCGGCTTTATGAAGCTCTAAGTCATCTGCGTGAAGGCTCGGATGTTATTCGAATAACTAGTCTTCACGGTTCTATACACTCACCGTATATTTTCTGCGATATATCCCGAGTAAGCGCGTGTTTAGTACGAGAAAAGGCCGCCCTACCTCCATACGATACCGCCCAGAAACATTCACATATCGGGTGGCATCCTTTGCGGCGCCATCGCGGTGTTTGCAAAGCCAGAGCATGCCGACAACGCTTCCTCGCGAGTGCCCGACGACCATGTCGACAACGTAGCCGAACTCCCTGGCGAGGTAGTCGACGACCACTTCGAGGTCTAGCACGTCGTTGGTGAACCTGCCGAAAGCCCATGTTCCGGGAGTTTCGTGGTTGCCGCTATACTCCAAGACGAGCAGTAGCGGACGTTCAATGGGGGAGCAATGAAAGTAAGAAGGAATAACGGACCGGAAGTCAAAGCGGAAGGAATCTTGAGAAAGACGATAGGCTAGCTTCTTCTGAAACAGATAGTCCTTATGTCTGTACGGATAGGCCGTCAGGGGGATGTCGGAGGTAAGACGGTTTCATGTACTTGCCCGAGGGCGCCGTGTAGGATCTATGAACCTCATGAGTGTGAGTGGTGGGTGCATGATTATGTAGGTTTTTAAGTACTTACCAAAGCTATCTTGCGACCTTGTGTAGGCTGGTCCGGAGCAACCTGCTCTAGTACGCCCGTTATAGCACAGTCCTTCTCATATGGATGGGGTATTGCGAACTTCGTCGTCTTCTGGGACGTGCTTCCTGGGGGTGTTGTCATTTCAGCACTGCCTTTGCGTTCGCCGTCGGACTGGGGAGGACGACGATGAGAGTGCAGAGTAAAGAGGGAACCCCGCTGGACTCCCTGCTTGAATGCATGACCGAGTCCGGGGAAAGCTACCAAACCGTACCCGAGCTGCTCGGGCAACGGAATCACACCGTTCCGGCCCGGCGCGTCCGCACTAATGCCCTGTCCCAAAAGGGATGCGTGGGAAAGCTGCAGTTACACCGAGGTACTGACGAGCGTCTATAGCTGCTCTACGCAGCTCATACCGTTTGCTCAACATGGAGGCCCTCTTGTTCAACGTACGCGTCTCGCTTCTCTCTCGGCCTCGATAAATGCTTAAATATCTCGCAAAACTCAGGTATCTGGAGGATTTCTGGAAGGCATCGTGCGGGGGTACAAGGCTGGTCTCCTTACCCAGAACCAGTACAACAACCTGACGCAATGCGAGACCATTGAAGGTGAGTGCTGCTTTACGTGTTTTGGCTTCCGAGAGGAGCGAACAGGGAGCTGAGTTACCTGCAAGACTTCCGGACACAACTGTCGGCGACGGACTATGGAAACTTCCTCGCGAATGAACCCCTGCCCATCTCCACCTCCACCATCTCGGACAAAGCGACGCAGTTGCTCGTCGACCAATTCAACTACCTCCGGAGTAATGCTGTCGAGCCCTTGAGCAAGTTCCTGGAGTACATGACGTGGGTTGCACACCTCGGTAAGAGCTTGGCACAACGTTGACCTCTGCGGTACAGATACGCGTACATGATTGACAACGTCATACTCATCATCACGGGCACGCTGCACGGGAGGAACACGAGCGAGCTGCTTCAACGGTGTCACCCGCTCGGCATATTCGACACTATGCCTGCTCTGTGCGTCGCAACAAACGTGGAGGAGCTGTACCACACCGTCTTGGTCGAGACACCACTCGGTACGTGCTCCCCTCCTCTCTGCTCGCCAAGTCACTGTAACCCACACGCGTCCCCGTGTCGTAGCACCATACTTCCGCGACGCCGTAAGTGCGGCAGACTTGGACGACCTCAATATCGAGATCATCCGGAACACTCTCTATAAGGCGTACCTCGAGGACTTCGACGCGTTCTGCCAGTCGCTCGGGGGGCCCACCGCAGACGTCATGCACCGCATCCTCGCCTTCGAGGCAGACCGCCGCGCAATCAACATCACCATCAACTCGTTCGGCACGCAGCTCTCCAAGGAGCAGCGCGCGAAGCTCTTCCCGACCATCGGCCGCCTCTTCCCGGAGGGCAACAACACGCTCGCGCGCGCAGACGAGATCGACCAGGTGCGCCAGGCGTGCGAGGCCGTCTCCGAGTACCGCGCGTTCTTCGACTCCGGCGGACGCGCGCACGCGAACGGGAACGGCGGCGGCGCGAACGGGAGCTCGGAGAGCACGGCGAACCTGCTCGGGGACCTGGACAGCGAGCTCGGCGCGGCGGCGGACCTGGAGGACCGGTTCTTCGTGCACGAGGTGCACCTGAACAAGCTCGCGTTCCTGCAGCAGTTCCAGCACGCGGTGTTCTACAGCTACATCAAGCTCAAGGAGCAGGAGATCCGGAGCGTGACGTGGATCGCGGAGTGCATCGCGCAGAACGCGCGCGACAGGATACACGACTTCATCCCCACCTTCTGAGCGCGAGCCGGACTTTGTATGACATGGACTGGCGTAATCATATACCTTCGTACGCTGCGAATGGACCGTAAGTGTAAAACTGCAAGCATGGCCAGTGACGAGCATGTGCTACGAGTTTTCAACGACACGGTGCCTTCGAATGTCTAATTCACGCAGTTCCGGCATCTGCACGTACCACAATTCTGATGTCTTCAGGTCGCATGTAGTCCTCGCGATGGCGACGTGCTCCTGTGCATCCTTGCTCATCCTCTTGCCACCTCACCGTTTATTTCTGCTCAGCAGTCAACCAGTCCTGCGAGCTTCCGATGGACGCTGAAGCTTTCCAAGATGAGATTGGCAAGGCGGTAGATTGTATCCAAGATTCACGCACCAAGATGAGAATCAGTGGGCATGTACCGAGGTACGTCCGTTGCACTGATACTATGGACAATTTCACTAAAAACACGCTTTAATCTAGCATGGATGATGTATCCACCGTATGTGTCTACCAACAGCTTCTGTCTACATGGTAACATCATTCAACAGCGTTGCTACAGTTGCACTCCTTCGATCGTCTACTCACGGAAACCTTAGCCTTTGTGCAGTATCAACGGCCTCCCGGCTGAAGTGCTGTCGGTGATCTTCAGCATGGTGTCGTTCACGCCATTCCATCCGGACTTTCCTCGCTGTCCTGAGGTGTATCAATCTCCTCGAATATTGCACACACAAATCATGCAGGTATGTCAGCATTAGTGCACAGTCTACCGTGTCACTCTGGTCCGACATAGTTTTCCATCCCCGGAGAGAACCGTCTGTTTCCGCACAAATCCAGCAAGTTCGGACGACATCTACCAACGTATACAACGTAAACGACGTCACACATGTGCACCTACTCAAAGTAAATGGGGTTTTTATAATCATCAGGGACGCGGCGCGATTGTGAGGCTCGAGTGTCCGAGCCAAGACAGCCTCGTTTTATAGCGGAAATACAGGATACTCCTCACAAGTTTTGGTGATACATCGTGCGTTGGATTAAACGCAGCAGTCTGCGGCCGTCGCGTTTTGTTTGAAGCCCCATACGTATGTCTAAACTTCGCGGAATTCCTGCCATTGAGGCCACTGGTAGCGCGCCCGTGCCGAGTGACTGCGCCATTCTCCCTTCGGCTCGCCATTTCCCCGTTCCATCGCTTCGTACCCCGGCTCGTCGGTTACCGCGATGTCCAATTCGTCCACGAGTTCTCGAAGGGCGCCGACTTCAGTTTGTAGGCGTGCGCTGCAGTCGATGCCCAGTCGGGTGAGCGGCCGCCCAGCCTCCCTCCGGAACCGGAGGATGTTGCGCGCGTTCTTGAGCTCGGCGGCGTCGCAGCCTATGAGGTACAAGGTGTGCAGTGTGGGGCACACGACTGCGCCGCCCGACCCCGCCTGCGCGAGAACCGGGACCCGAGGTGCTTCCCGCCGTTCCCGCCGCGCGCGGCCACAGGGCTTGCGCGGCTTGGGGGCGGCGACTTTGAAGATGTGGTTGATCGTGGTGAGCGAGCGCAGGCTGTCGAGGAGTTCGGATTTGACCAGGCCGCGCTTATCGAAGATGGAGAGCTCCGTGACGTGAGCGTACAGAGGGCAGGCGGAGAATGCCCGGGAGAAGACTGCCTTGAAGGCACTGGCAGGCTGGCCGTGCAAGGAGATGCCAAACGTGAGGCCTGAGTCTGCGGCAGCGTTGCAGAGGGTGACGTATAGCACCTCGCGGTTCAATACGTACCCCATGCCAGAACCCTTGTTCCACGACAGCTTCGTGAGCTGCTCGGTGTCCAGGCGTCTTTCGAGCGCCTCGAGGCAGTATGGGACTTCGTGCAGCGCAATCTCTTGTAGGCGGACGAGACAGCCTTTGGCGGGCAGGACGAGGTCGGAAAGGAGGCAATGCGTGTTACGACTGAAGCACAGAACGATCGCCCGCAGATGTGGCAAGCATGCAACGCGGCTGCTCGGAGCCCCGCTGGGGGGTGGCTCTACGCGCGGCGCCGCGATGTGGATGTGCTCGAGCATCGGAGACCCCCGCAGCATATCCAGCAGCCGAGACTGCTCGACAGCGTTCTGCAAGACGATGTAGAGTTCCCGAAGGGCAGGTAAGTGATCCGTAGGAACGAACGCCAGCTGAAAGAGGGAGAGTACGCGTAGCCGGGGGGCGCAACCGGCGAAAACGGACGCGCTTGGCGGGCACCAGTGGATCTTCCAAGCGTGCAAGACAAGCTCCTCGATGTGGAGGGCGAGCCTAGGCAAGATCGCGAAGACGGCGTGGATACGCCGGTCCGTATCGATCCAGAAGCTGTCTATGGTACGAATGTGAAGGCGTCGTATCCGGTGCGCGTGTTCGGCGAGTATAGGCACAAGTGGGTTGACGTGGCCTTCGCTGTAAACATTGATGGAGGTCGTTCCAGCCCATTGAATCTGTGAAGAAAGAGGTATTCCTCTGTAGGGTAGGAGGATGATGTCAGACCACAAGGGCGTGGTCGATAGTGCAACGTCTCGCCATTGCCGGCATACCCGCATGATCTGTGTTTGCAAGATTCGGGAAGACTGATACCGCCCCTCGGGACGGAGAGGGTAACCCGGATGGAATGGCGCAAGCGATGCCAGGCTGAAGATGTCCGACAGTACTTCAGCTGGAAGGCAGTTGACAGGTGTGATAGAGTTCGCGTGAGAGCGCACGGAGGCTGAGGTTTCGAGGAGTAGATGGTCAAAGGAGTGCAGCTGTAGCAACGCTATTACACGATGTCCCACTGCAAACCGCGGAAGTCGTGTAGAGCACATACCCTAGATAAAACATCCGCACTGGGGAACGGATATGTTTAATAGTGTTCCGCTTCACCATTGTACCGACCAACGTACCTCGATAGATTGCCTGTAGTTCTCATATTGTTGAGAAGCACTTGAATGCAGTCCTCGGCCTTGCTGATCTGGTCCTGGATAGAAGATGTGGTATCCATATCCGCCTGAGCACGCGTGAGTTGCAATTAGCTTGAGACGTTAAAGTGGAAATTTCAAGGTGAGAGCAGGAGGATGAAGGCCGTTGTGGCGGTGTGGTGGTACGTACCGGGTTACGCGCGCGTCTCAGGTTCGAGGTCGGACATTCATCCTCGTTAACGTTCGGCTAAGGAGTACATACTCCGCGAGCATCGTAAACATACATAGACAATAACAAGTGACACACCACGCGGATAGTGTATGGCTTCATCGTACTGTACAGTATTAAGATATCATAGACTACAACATTGGGTGCTGATACACGTATAATCCCCCTATACAACCGGGATAAACACAACATCTATGGATCATCATGCCGTCAACACCGTCGCACCGCTGCGCAGGTCTCCCGTCTGTATGTCGCGCGTCTCGGGGTGTTCCTTGTACATGCGCTCGACCGACGCTTCTCTACTCTGCGTCGATGGGGTGGCGATGGAGGATGCTTCCGACGTGCTGCCGGACGCCTGTGATGGCAGCGAGGGTAGCGAAGACTCTGTGGCGTCCGCGGGAAGCTGCTCGCTCTCCGGTGCTTGTGCCTCTTGTTGACTGAGTTCTTCCGGCGTGGCCTCCTTCTCCTCGACCTTCTTCCCTATCCGGAGCTCACCCGTAAGCTCGCCCGGCAGGAGCGCCATGGTCTCGCGCTCGCCGTTCAACCACGCCTCGCGTCGGCGTGCGCGCTCGTGCATCCATGGGCCTGCGTTGCTCTTCATGCACCCGCCTGCGCCCTCACATGTGCACGTACCGCCGAGGCTCGTGGGCAGCGCCTCGGGGTCGATGAGCTCGAGCAGCGCCTTCTTGTAGTCGGAGCCGTAGATCGCGATCTTCGCGGCGGTCTCCTTCGCGAGCCACGGCTTCATGACGTTCCAGATTGTCGAGAAACCCATTGGCGCATTGACGATTGCGAGCTGCGCCATTCTGCAAAGAGCGACAAGTGTAAGTATATGTACGCGCTAAAGAGTGCAAGTATGGCACGCACGTTTCAGGGAAGTAGTCCTGGGACACCTGGAACGAACTCCGCGCGAAGTCCTTCATCTGCCAGAACTGGCTGATGCTGCAAAGGCGCGTGCGTTAGAGACGCCAATGACGCGCATGACGGCACCGCCGCTAGTGGGAGTGGACGTACCCGAACCCGGCGAGATCGACGACGACGAAGGTGCCCGAAATAGGCTTGCCCGCGGCTTCCGCCGAGGCGGGGAGCACCTCGCGCGTGAGCGCCTCGCAGTTCACAATGACGGTCTGCCAGAAGCGTTCGAGGGTCATCTTCTTCTGCAGCTTCGTGAGGTTGATGCCGCCGAAGCGGTGGAAGTTCAGCGGACGGCCTTTCTAAGGGTGGCAGGCGCGTTAGATGAGCAGTGTGGGACAGAAGGTGCTCAAATGCGGACCTTGTCGATCTAAAAGCGCGACGTGAGACATAATGCATTGGTGATGGGAAGAAAGAAGGAATACCTTGTGAAAATAGAGGGGCCAGCAGTCGAAGACATGGTCGCGCTCGGGGTACTGCACGGCGCGGGGAAGCGGACGGTCGGCTAAACGTCTAAATCGCGGAATGGACATGACGTACGTCGAACGGGTCAATTTGGCGGTAGAGCTCGTCGATCCCGACGCCCTCGACGGTGCTGCGCCAATGTTGGCAGTTCTTCCACATGAGCGTGGCCTGCTTCACGTTCCACTGCCGGGCGCGCAGAAAGCGGCTGCATCATGCAAGGTGAGACTCCCGCCACAGACCGGGGCGAGGAATGGAGGGGCGTACAGAAGGGTTTCATCGTCGGTGCCGATAGAGTCTCCGTCGTGGATGAGTTCTTGTTGAACCAGTCCTTCACGGAACTGTTTGAGGATGGCTTCAGAGTCTTTGGGGGGTGCCATGGTCGGTCAGAGGTTATGTGTGCGAGGGGTGCAGTGGTGGTGTGAGGAGGGACGTTGATGGGCAGGTGATGGGCAGCGGGCTAGATGAGCTGAAAGTGGGCGGAGCGGAAGAGGCATGGCAGACGTTCGTATCCGGGCAGGGCGTCGGCGTCATCCTGATGATGACCACGGCTTTTCGGATGAGAGAGCGGCAGTGTGAAGGAGGAGCCACTCCCGAGCCGCACCGCCGCGCTCCCCTCCCCGCCGGCTTACAAAGCCGCCCGGGCCCCTCCATATACGGCAACTCTCATCGTTCTCCTCCGGCCTGAGCGGACTCTGCGCGCTCTACCATGACTCACCGCCTCCAACCCGTGCCCCCTGCAGATCGCGGATGTCGGCAGATCGTGTTCAAGGGCCTCGGGCCTCTCTTCGTCAGAATGCGCCTCGCGGACAGAGTCGTCAGACGGCTGACCAGCGCTACGCCACACCAAATCCTATCGGCCCGCACTGCTGATGGAATTTCAATAACACCTGCACACACCTCCCGCGGGCCGTTGAAATTATCGGAGGTATGCACACGGCACACCCCGTAAGTTGTTCTTCAACGCTGAGTTTAACGGCAGGGGCCCGGCAACGTCACAGTGGCACATGGTGTCCTGTCAACTGGTGCGATCACATTGCGCACTCTGGCCCGCTTTTCCGTGGTCGTTTCCAACCGCGCGAACTCAACGCGATCCGTCCCACCTCTTAAGCAGTGGTACTAGGTACACATCCAGATTCCATATTCCCGGCTTGTGAACAATTCAAGGGTTGGACAGCTCCAATTTTCCCCGATAGTTGAACGCCGAAAGGTTCTAGGCCGCGGGACAGTTGCAATCTAGACCGACCGTATCGGATACGCATTCTGGTTTGTCCTGTACCAGAAGGTACACATATCTTAATCCAGTCCGTTCACGGGAAGCCGCATGTCGTACGTTTGAGGTGAATGAATTATTTGTTACTTATGAGACGGTAGACTGCTCTCATAAGGGCTCTGGCTGATCAGGGAGTCGCATCCCATAGTAAACGCACATTATTTTGACGAAATGGGTGGGTTTTGTATCGAGGGACCTGCGCGAGAGAAGTCTGAGAACTCCCCAAATCTTTTCGGCTACTGCCGGTGAACCTACTTGCCTTCCCAAAACGGATAGTATCGCAACATCGACGGCAGCAGTAATTATAGATAAGCGCTCTACAGCTCTCTCTCCTCTCCGCTACAGCCTACGCGCATTTCCGTGGACATGGAAACTACAGCTACTGTTGAAGACCAGTTGAAGGAGGCTACAAGATGCATTCAAATGATTTCCACTAACATGAGAACCAGTGGATGTGTATCGAGGTACGTCACTGCGGTTGGTTACTGCAACAGCAATGCCGGCATCACGCTCAACGTACTCGTCTCTTAGCACGTACATTGTACGTTTCCTTCACAGCTTTGTTATACAAAGGTACATTCTGTAACGCACTGCTACAGTTGCGTTCCTTCGATAGTGTACTCCTCGAAACCTCGGCCCTCGTGCGCTCCCACATCAACTCTCTCGCACCTATTAACCGTCTCCCACCTGAAGTGCTGTCGGTCATCTTCAGCATGGCGTCACTCACCCTATTCAGCCCGGGATATCCTCGCCGTCCCGAGGGGCAGTATCAGTCTTCCCGAGTCTTGCACACACAGATTATGTGTGTATGCCGGCATTGGAGAGGCGTTGCGCAATCGGCTACGTTACTGTGGTCGGATATCGTTCTCCGGCCCCAAAAAGGATCGTCTCTTTCTTCACAGATAAAGCGAGCTCGGACGACTTTCATCGGCGTGTACAGCGAAGGCGACGTCAAACCACTCATACCCGTGCTCTCCGAACACGCCCACCGGATACGACGACTCCACGTTCGGACCATGGACAACCACTGGATCGCGGCAAACCCGCGGATCAAGGCGGTCTTCGCGACACTACCTAAGATGGCCCTCCACATCGAGGAGCTCGTCTTGCATCCTTGGAGCGTTGACTGGACGTCGCCGACCGCTTCGCTGTTCTCCGGCTCCGCGCCTCGGCTCCGCGTGCTCTCCCTCCACGAGCTATCATTCGTCCCTACAGATCACTTTCCTAACCTGCAAAAACTCTTCATCACCTTGCAGCGCCCTCCCGAGCAGCCTGAGCTGCTGACTATGCTGCAAGGGTCACCGATGCTCGAGCACGTCCACATCTGGGCGCCGCGCGTCGTACCGCACCCTGGTGGGACTCCGAACGGCCGCGCTGCGAGGCTCCCACATCTGCGGGCAATGGTCCTGTGTCTCGGCCACGACACACCGTGCCTCCTTTCTGACCTCGTCTTGCCCCCCAGCTGTCTCGTCCGCCTACAGCTTGAAGACGCTCCGCTGGACGAAGTCCCGCTCTGCCTCGCAGCGCTCGAAAAACACTTGGACGCCCGACCCTTGACGAAGCTGTCGTGGAGCCAGGGTATCGGCATGGGCTTCATGGCTCGCCGCGCGGTGCTATACGTCACCCTCTGCAACGCTGCCGCAGACGCAGGCCTTCAAATCGGCGTCTCGTTGCGCGGTTACGTTCGTGCCCGCGAAGCCTCCGCGGACGTCTTCCGCCGTGCCTTCGATACCTGCCCTCTGTACGCGCACGTCACGAACCTCTCCGTCTCCGCCAAACGCAACCTCGTCGACTTCACCATCCTCGACAGCCTCCGCTCGCTTACCACGATCAACCACATCTTCGCCCCTACTCCGAGCCCGCGTCTTAGCCACATGGGCGCCCGTACGCGGCGGAGAAGGCGAGATACGACTCGCGTTCCGTCGCTTGCGCGCGCGGGGCCCGACGGCGCGCTCGCGTGCCCTGCGCTGCACACCCTGTACTTCATCGACTGCGGCGCCGCCGAGCTCCGAGACGCACGCACAATCCTCCAGGCCCGGAAGGCGGCTGGGCTGCCGCTCGCGCGACTCGGTGTCGACTGCAGCGCGCGCTTCCGGGAGGACGCCCGCGCCCTGAGAGAGCTCGTGGATGAGCTGGACGTCGCGATTACCGACGAGCCCGGGTACGAGGAGTTCAAATGGAGAGCGGGCGAGCCGGAGGGAGGGTGGCGCAGTCATTCGGCGCGGGCGCGCTATGAGTGGCCTCGTTGGTCTGAATTCCGCGAGTTTAACGATTTTTAGACTGGCGCATGCTTTGGACACAAGTTAGTCAGATCGTAGAGATTACTTACCAGTGAGTACATTGTGCAGCATAACCAGTATTATTTCGGCGACTGATTGCCTTGGCTCATTTTACCCGACTCGGATGTGCAGTGTAGCTTGTACGGTCCTCCGCAAGTTTACCACACATATCCAATCGCTACGGTCACGGACTTGCACTACGTCTATGGCATCATGGTAGCTTCAATTCTAACTCAGCATAGCACGCGCATGCCGGTCACATTGCTTCAAAACTGCGTAGGAATTCAATCCCCTCCTGCCACTTACCAACGTTGGTGGTGAGAACTTCCACATGGGCGATGCTCAACGTTCGGATGTTTCTTGCCTGCATCCAAAGCGCGGCATGTGTTTCTCAACAACATCTTGTTCAGACGGTCTTCGCAATCCCTAAATGGTTGAAGTTGACCTCGCCGGCGACCAATCATGAAGCCGCAGACTCACCCGCGCACTCTTCTTGGTCTCAACCCTCTCCACGCCGCTACCGGTGGGATGTGATACTAGTATACCTTGCAACGTCATGATACCCGGTACCGGTGGAGATATCAAACATACTCCGAACAACGAACAACACGGCGCTTCGTGCCTCCGAAACTCGAATTTAGGATTGTTGGTGTTGGTCATGACTCATAGCATCAAGCGACCTCGCGATTGTACCGGGCCTTCACCTTATATTCCCCCAGACGGCTACAAAGGCTATAGGTGCGCAGAGTGCGAAAGGAAGATAATGCGGGCTGATCTACCTAAGCCCCGCTCAGCTCTCCCTCAACGATCCAACTCGACTCAGTGTATAGCGTGGGAACATCCATGTCATACAAGCACTCAGCGGTCTCTCCTGGCTTTACTTACTCCAAACCAATCTTCCAAGGTCAAAACAAGAAATGAAACTGCGAGAGACTGTCATCCGATGGAATGCAACTATGATCATGATGACGCGGCATTAGATTCGCCCGGTGAAGGTATGCGAGAGCTCGTTGAAGCGACAGGTGTCCCCTACGGAGGTCCGTACCCATTACCGGTTCAAGATCTTTCAAACTCACTCTAACATGGGGCATTCCAGGCTACGATTGAAGAACGGCGGTCTCAACTTAGTGAGCAGGCTGCGGAGTACCAGTGAGCATCTCCTGTGCGATCTTTGTTGTTAACTCAAATTCACCTTCGAGCTCCGACCCAGGCCTCTCGATTCCTCATTCCTGGCGCCACCTCCACTCCTCCGCAAAACTCGTTGATGTACATGTGTGTACCTGACACAAAGTGAACTTCCACATGTTCCTGAAAAAGGTTCCTGTGTCTCCGCTGCATTTCTACGACCAAGTCCGGCCCGCCGTGCATAAGGCTACGCCGCGTCCTCGTGCATTCCTTGACAGGAGGAGAAAATGGAGAAACGCCCCATCCTCGTCGGCTCAAGACCTGACAGTCTTCTCGATGGCTACCGCGCGGGCACTGTGACGCGCGACGCTGTCCTCGAGCAGTATATATGCAGGCCCTCCCCCGCCGGACCACTGACAGACACCCAGCTCACCTCCCCTCGATGCGCTGCTCGCCCTACCCCATCTGGTCTATTGTCCTCGCTGCCGCTGCCATGGCGCGGACCGTGCCGCGTTCCTCCTCTGCTCCGAAGAGGGACACCGGCACGGCAAAGCTTGTCGTCGCGCACCACATTGTCGGCCTGACAGGCGGCGGGGGCGCCGGCGATTTTACGCTCGACACCTGGAAGCAAGACATCCGGCTCGCGTCCGCGAAGGGAATCGACGGTTTCGCGCTCAACGTCGGACCCGACGATTACACGGACGTCCAAGTGGGCCACGCGTACGTGCCGTTGTCTCAGGCGAGCGAGCGCTCCGTTATGCTGCCGACGACCGAACCGAGTTGCCCTTTGCAGATATCAGGCCGCGGAGGAGCTCGGAGGGTTCAAGTTGTTCCTGTCCCTTGACATGGAGTGAGTCACACTTGCATTTCGCGAGAAGAATATCACTGACCTGGGCAATCTTCTGGGTGCAGTGCGATAGGCGGCAGCAAGGACTGTAGCTCGGCGGACACCGCGGCTTACATCCGGCAACTCACGAACAGGTTCATCGGCAGGGCTGCCCAGCTGCTCGTAGACGGGAAGCCGCTTGTCAGCACGTTCGCCGGAGAATCATGCACGTTCGGCGAGACGGACGTGTTCACGGGTTGGAACAAGCAGTTCACGCAGCACCCGGAGCTCGCGGGCAAAATTCACTTCATGCCCTCGTTCTTCATCGACATCCAGCAGTTCCACAACTTCAAGAACGTCATGGACGGGGACTTCAATGTACGCGCTCTCCGATTTACGCCAGCTGCCTATGTCCGTACCTGACCGAATTGCGAGATAGTTCAACGGCGCGTGGAGGACGGACTTAACGACTGCGTCCGCCAATTCGATCATCGGCGGAAACTCCGGCACCGACAATATGACTGCCGCACAACAGCAAACCGTTGTGAACTACCTCGACTCCTTCATGATCGACCAGTGGCACACCGAGCAGCTCGCTCTCGTCGACAACAGCGCCCATACCTACATGACCTCGATCGCCCCCTGGTTCTTCACGCACTTCGGCGCAGACACCTATAACAAAAACGTGAGTCCCTCTTCCGGCCGTCCTCCAGGTGTTGTACATACTCATCAGCGGGGCGCAGTTCATATACGACTGCGACGACCAGTTGTACGCCCGGCGTTGGGAGACGGTCATTGCGAACCGCGACAAGGTCGACATAGTGCAGCTGCTCACCTGGAACGACTTTGGCGAGTCGCACTACCTTGGCCCCATCCACGGCAACGTCCCCCCAGGCGCTGACGCCTGGACAACCGGGTTCGACCACCGAGGTGTGTTCTGTCCACCGAGCTCGGGCACAGCGGATGCACTAACTCCGCCGCCCGCCTTGGCAGGTTTCCTCGAGATCACGAGTTACTTCGCGACGTGGTTCAAGACCGGCAAGCAGCCCACGGTCGTGCACGATCAACTGATCATGTGGGCGCGCCCGCACCCGAAGGACGCCCATGCGCCCGGCGACGCGCTTTCCCCGCCGACCAACTTCGAGCTGGTGCGTTCGGTATTCTCGCTGCAGCGGGGGCTGTCGTGATCACAGTGCGCTGACGCCACATTTGTTGCATGTGCGTGCGCGCAGGCGCAGGACCAGCTCTGGGCTGTCGTGCTCGCCTGTAGTCCCGGCACCGTCACACTCGCGACGTCGGACACGACGAGCGCGCAGTACCCCGTCCAGGCCGGGGTGAACTACGTCAACGTGACGCTCACCCCTGGGGGCTACATGCGCGGCACGCTCAAGCGCGGCAACGAGGTCATCGTCGACCTCAAGCCGGACGGATACACGTTCAACCCGAACCCTGACCAGTACAACTTCAATGTGTTCGTGGCGTACGGGAGCTCTGCGTGAGTTTCACAGTATATTGGGGCAGATGACGCTGCGCTTCTGTCACTTGGACAGATAGTTCGCAGTATGGCGCCGTAGTAAATAGTTCATGATATATCAGTATCGTCATTGCTGTCGTGTGTATCGCAATCCACGCATCACGCGTACGAGGCTCAAGGCGGTGTCATTACCTGCGTGCCATATGTTGTATATTGCGTGTTCCGCCGCTCTAGTAGTACTGCGTAAATGACGCTGCGAAAGGTGTTACTGAATTTGATCGTCAGTGGATAGACCGCAGCTGAAGGAACGAGTTCGACAAAAGATGTAATATGTGATCGTATATGTATGCTGCGTTTGCACCATTGCACTCTTTATCTCAGTGGTTGAAGCATAACTGCCCTTAGGCGTTGCACTGGACTTACGTACTACGGCGAGCGATATGATACTTGACATCGCGGATCCTGGAAGGGACGTAGACTATCATAGTAGCCGTTGATAACTGTGCATACATAGAGCTCAGCCATACAACGAACTCCCGTAGTTCTGTAAGTTCGGGCTATATCAGCGTCGAACATAGCAGATGATACAGCGGCCACAATGGCAGTGCGGGCGCTGTGGGAGGGTCAAGGTGGAGGCCGGGCTGGAGTGGCAAATGGACGTGATGGCGGAATAGCCCAACAATATTGTACCTTTCAAAAAAAAAGCAGTGTGTTGCTGGGTAAATTTGGGATGGTCGGCGACCTGACGCAGCCTCTTGATCGTGAGCCGTTGGGCGAGGGTTCGGTGGGCACTGAAGAGTTCCGATCGAGTCTCGGGGAGACCACAGGGAGGCCGACCTATCTCGATCAGTGTAGATTGTATCGCGTACCCCCTTGAAGTTATACGGTTAGAGTTCCTGGAGATGCAACCAAGTTCGTCGGCACCGGCGACGGCAGCTGCGGAGGGTGAAAAATAGGCATACGTTACGGTTTGATGCAGCAGCCCCAGCGGGGGTTACTAGGCTCGACCAGCGTCGTTGAGAGGTAGAAACGCTTTCTTTCGATAGTATATCTGCGGTAGCCACCACAATCGAGCCTGAATGTTTGGGAGAGAGTGAAGACCATTTGAAACTCCGCCCCCGGGAGTGGGTTTACCGCACCCGATTAGGAAGGTGTGTAGGTTCAGCAAATGACACGGGCGCTCCTGACGCCGAATTGTCCTTATGCCCGAACCATGATCACCGAGAAACCAGAAGATGTAACTCCCGCATTTACCCCTGCAGCTGCGGTCATACATTTCCATGCACATTGATTCACGTGTTACTGGCACTGATACACGCGCCGTGACCATTTTCAGCTCAACATGCTCCAACATCGTGGCCTCGCACACTGCCGCAGCAGTACCAGCTGGTATCCATCGTCACCGCCGAGAAGAACGCCCATTCTCTGCACCCGACTCACAGTATACCTATCGTTTCATCAAATTTAGATACGAGGGGTAGTTGCATATAAGAGTCCTAGACATGCGTGGTCTACTCAAGCTCATCGGTCTCAAAGCCCGTCCCCCACACTCACAGACTTCGACGTTGAACGTCAGATCTTTCTTTGCATTTTTGCTGCCCAGCTTCCTCGACGCCGGATCGTCTCTTCAATTCCCTAGCAGGAACTAGGAATACATTCGACCATGGCCTATTCTTATTCATTCAGAAGACTCGGAGCGATCGCGGCTCTCGCCACCGCCGTCGCGGCATATCCTCTGGCATTGAACAGGCGACAGGATTCGGGCGCCCAGAAGCTCGTAGTTGCCCATCACATCGTCGGGCTCACGGGAGGTGGTGCTCTAGGAGACTTCACCCTCGACACCTGGAAAAAGGATGTTACTCTCGCCGCCTCGAAGGGAATTGATGGGTTCGCCTTGAACATCGGGGCTGACCCATTCACATTTGACCAAGTCGGCCTGGCGTACGTTATGTCACCTGCCCATCATCCGTCTTGCCAGCTCACATATCCTTAGTTACCAGGCAGCCGCGGCTGTGAACCCCAATTTCAAGCTCTTCTTATCTTTGGATATGGGGTACGCCGCTGCCGCTCTGACCTTACCAACCGACTGCTGATATATATCGACCTTGTTAGGGCCATTAACGCTGCGGAAGGGTTCAGTTGCAACCTGACCTCAACTGCCGAGTTCCTCCGCAATGTCACTAGCACTTTCCTCGGCGAGCCTGCTCAGCTACAAATCGACGGAAAGGCAATGGTCTCCACCTTTGCGGGTGAATCGTGCTTCTTTGGCGAGCAGGACGTCTTCACTGGCTGGGAGAACCAGTTTACGCAGCACCCGGACCTTGCGGGCAAGATCCACTTTGTGCCGTCGTTCTTCATCGATATCCAGAAGTTCCAGAACTTCAGCAACGTTCTGGATGGCGACTTTAACGTATGTGGTACATTTCCCCCACATTGCTAGTGCCACGAGATTGAATCCGGCCTTTCAGTTCAATGGAGGTTGGCCCCTTGATTTGACCACCGCGGCGGCCCCCGGACTCCTCGGAGGAGGCACCCTCAACTTCGATCAATTCAGTTCAGCGCAGCAAGGGGCCATCGCCAACGATATCGGAAGCTTCACCGTCGACGACGAGCACATCACTCAGTTGGGCTTGGTCGCCAACAGCGCCCACACGTACATGACCGCCGTCGCACCTTGGTTCTTCACCCACTTTGACTCCAAGAACGTAAGAACTTGAGCAATATATTCGCGCTGTCTGATGCTGAGGTAGTGACGTTTATTTACAGTTCATCTTCGACTGCGACGACCACTTGTACGTGACCCGGTGGCAGAACGTGATCCAGAACCGCGACAAGGTCGACCTCGTCGAGCTGGTTACCTGGAACGACTTTGGCGAGTCGCACTACCTTGGCCCGATCGAGGGCAACCTTCCTGCGGGTTCCGAGGCGTGGACTACAGGATTCGACCACCAAGGTAAGCTCGTCCTATCCCGCTCTAAGGGATATGAATGCTGACACGTCCTAGGTTTCCTTGAGATCACCAACCACTTCGCGACATGGTACAAGACCGGCACAGAGCCCCCGATCACGGCGGACCAGCTCGTAATGTGGGCCCGCCCCCATCCCAAGGGCGCGAAGCCGGCAGACAGCCTCGGGCCTCCCCTCAACTTCGAGCTGGTCAGTGTCTGACGTCAACTTTTTATGGTCTCAACGATCTACGAAGTCCGCTGACACGCTTGCGCCGTAGACACAAGACCAGCTCTGGGCAGTCGTGCTCGCAACAGCCCCAGGCAGCCTCACGCTCGCAACAGGCGACACCGCGTCGCAGTCGTTCGACGTCCAGCCCGGAGTGAACAAGTTCAACATGACGCTCACGCCGAATGGGTTCATGCAAGGCACGCTCACGCGCGACAACACGACGGTCATCGATCTCAAGCCGGACGGATACACGTTCAACCCGACACCGACCGCGTTCAACCTCAACATCTTCGTCGCGGCCGCGGCCGCCACTGGCGGGGCTGCGCCCCCAGCGACGTCTGCTGCCCCTGCCCCTACGGATACTGCACCCACGGAGACTGCCGCCCCCGCCCCTACAGACACCGCCGCTCCCGCCCCCACTGATACTGCGGTCCCTGCCCCCACTGATACCGCTGCTCCTGTGCCGACGGAGACCACTGCTCCTGTGTCGACGGACACCGCTGCCCCGGTACCAACAGACACTGGCGTTGCCCCAGCGCCAACGAACACCACAGTACCTCCCGCATCCACGGATGTCGCTGCGCCTCCCGCGTCGACCGACCCGGCTGCAGCACCGCCTGCATCTACAGCTGCTGCTGTACCTCCCGCATCCACCGCTCCTACCGGTGCCGCTGCAGCTGCGCCCCCCGCTGCGGCAGTGCCCACAGCGTAGATGTCCCATATATCAGCCGCAGACATGCGACGGCGCCGATCGCAGTACTCGGCCATGGTAACTTGTTGATATGTTCCTGTTCTTGATGAAGAGGAAGCTGGGCAATTGTGTGTATCACTAGTTGTATAACATCATGATCGCAAGCGAGGACTAGGGGACCAAAGGCCAGACTTTGAACACAACCAACGAAGACAAAAGGCAAAAGAGTACAGTCGGGGGAGTAGCGAATATCGGAGTCGTTGAACGTGATGTGATACGTGAGGGTCCCGTAATGGTCCGTGAAGAAGAGTGCGTGGGGGCACAGGGAAAGTTCAAAGAGCCAAGAGGTATGCGGATATGGCACTGTGAGGAGCGATTCACTCGCGTGAAAGATCATACGGGGGTGCTGGTCCCTGCAGTGACGGAGTCCATAAATCGGCCCGGATCAGCCAAAACTTGCCTAGTACTAGCCAGGAGCAATGAAAGCCAGACATACCTTCCACAGCGGTAGTCGACCGCGCGTGCACGCTCGGGCCCCGCGAGAGCGCCGAGACAGAAGTAGTTGCCGATGCAGGAGCACGGACGGTACCGAGGTCGCTGCCAGAGATGGTCGTCATGCCTGCGGTGGACTTCGCGTCGTCGGTGTCGCACTCGGAGCTCTTCGGGGCGTTGTGCGTGTGCGCGTTTGCGAACCACGAACTTTGGCTGCGCAGCTGGTGTATGCTCTGCACGACATTAGTGAACAGAAAGACATAAGTTACTGTCAAGCTATAGAGTAGAAAGAGCGGGGACGTACAGGAATCATCGGCGGGCGCTCGGGGAGGTTGCACTAAGATAACGGGGTTCGTCGGAATATTGAGCATACCACAACGGGTAAGGATAGAACGCGGGGGCGTACAGCTTTCAACTCAAGCTCAATCCGGTACCTGAGTTGGGCGTCTGCAACCTCAACATCACGCGCCAGACCGTCTACGATGTCGCGGCTGTTCAGGCTGAAAATGATTTATTAGCACGCCAGGGTTCATCGAATGAGGTTTGGACAGCATACGTGGACAGCATGGACATAGCATGTACTGTGATCCGTCAAGATGATAATGAGTGGTTGAGTCTCGGAACGAAGTAGTGCAACTCGCCTTTGCTGCTCGCCATGTGGAAAGATACCCAGACCATTTTGGGACGCGAGGCAAAGTACTGTGCGGGATCAGTTTTTGCCTTGCACAGCCCAGTGAACCAGTTCTAACTGACCGTGATTGTGGTGAGAAACTGTAGCAGACTACCGGGGTACCGGTAAGTGTTTGTTAGGTTAACGAGTGCCGGCACGTACGTGGATAACACCCCTCTGTTAATAAGGTTCACACATGCATCGCGAATGGTACCCCTGCTACTAAACCCACGGGCGAATAGAATGTTAGTTCGGTGGCGGAAAGTAAAATCAACCGGACTGGCGGAAAGCAACGAACATTGGCTCATGCTTGCATTTCGAGCAAAGCCAATAGAGAGCGGCGTTGATCATAACATCTGTGACTATTTGGAGACTCGCAGCGGCTGCAAACAGTCCCTATAGCAGTATGATAATCAACGGGTTTGAATGTCACAGGGTAGGAGGATTGTAGTCTTACATCGATGGAAGCCGGATGTAAGGGGTTCGCGACCCCGAAGGCCGAGCTGTATAACATATACGGGTTGATTTTCGGATTTTTTGGAAGTCGAGCTGAGACTTACGCTTGTGCTGCCGCGGCTGATAAGATAGAATTGACAGGTCAGTAACCACCAGTTGAAGCGGTGAGTGCTGTACCGCTTACCAAGGCCGGTGACTGGATACAGACAACATGGTTAGCCATGAGAATCTATGCCCTGGTGACCTTTCAAACCTACCGAGAGCAATGACCGCAATAACTCCCTACAAATGCATCAGTCGGTTACACGATAGTGTCGGGTTACCACTAGGCATGACTCACAATGGACACCGGGAGGTACCAGTATTGTCTTCCCACTGAACATTGACCGTTAGGAGTAACCCGTCGTTACAGGCAGATCAACAACTCACGACACCATATTCGAGCAACAAAGAATCTGAGATGTCCTTCAAGTCAGAACTGGTATGACAACGAACGGAAGATGGAGACCGACATCTGAACGATGAACACCACTGCGTACTAACATATACACCATTAGAAATTCAGCTCTCCGGTGGGGGTGGATGGACTGTCTACTTACGGAGAACGCAGTTTCTGCCTGACGTCGGCGAACATGTATCAGAATTAGACCAGACCGTTCTGCAATCCATGATTACGACGAACCTCAACGCTCCTGCAGGTTGTCATGCGTCAATGGATACCAGACTACGGATCCTTCACTACGACTCACCCTGGGACCTCGATTGCCGCGAACGGGAGGTTGCGGCGCGCGACAGCAAACATGTACACCGCTTGCATCGAAAGGGCCATCGTGGTCGTGTCGAAGAGCCATAGCACCACGATCTACAACAGTCATGCCCTCGTTGCATACCTGTGAAGTCCAACACAAAGCAGAAGAAAGGCGTACGAGGAGCTTCATTGCCATGCTGTCCCGACGGAAGCGATCGAAGTATTGCAGATTCTGCATAAACGTGAGGCCGTAGAACCTTCCCGGGGGAGACCAGCGTATGACAGGAAGAAAGACACGTGAAGAAATGAGATATGAGGCACGCGGGCATGACTGGGGACATACATGGCTGCGAAGACCGTACTGAGGACCCATACGCCGACAGTGTTGTCCTGGGATACATTGTCTGAGGCGGTCGGCCACCACATCGTGAACGGGCGGGCGGATGGGCGGGGAGGGCTGGAGGAGGGGGGCGGGAAGGAGAGATGGGCGGGGCCTCCCACATGGTCGAACAGTCTTGTCGTTATATGCACACAGAGAGGACTGGAAGACCAGGTGGTCGGCGGCGGTAGTCTGAGTACGGTACTTCCAAGCAATCAGGAGGCATTGAGCCGACTTCTGTGGACCGTGCGGGTGAATCGTTCATACGCTATGAGCACGAAGCGTACTCTTCTCACAGGGTCACGGTGGTGCCTCTAACGTCGTTTCACGCGAACGTTCGCGTGCTATACATTACACGCTTGTAGGTAAGCACATGTCGGCTGTGAGTACGTGAAGATGCAAAGTGTTCGTACCTCGGGTGCGTGTCGTTTGAGCGGGCCGCCGCGAGATAGGCAAAGATTCTTCGGTCTTTATGCGAAACATGGAAGGTTCATATCGCAGGAAGTCAAAACACCTACCGCATATCAGCGTTGTCCGCTAGCGTAATATGCTTGATTCCCGCGCGACGGCTTGCTGCACAAGGTCATGACAGACGCGAGCGAGAACCCGTTTCCCCGTATTATGGACGATATATGATAGCGGACGGACGACGACAGGACTACTTCTTTTTCACAGTCTTCATCCTGATTCTCTCGTTGCCCACAATGATACCCTGTTCATGTCATGAGTCGACAAGTCTGCTGTAGTCGAATGACAACACATACCTTGCCCTTGTACGGCTCTGGCGGCCTCCACCTCCGTATTTGCGCAGCAAAGAGCCCAAGCTGGTGCTTGTCGGTGCAGCTGAGCACAATCTTCGTCGGCTGCGGCACCTCAATCTTGATGTGGTCCGGGACGGACACGAAGACCGAGTGCGAGAAGCCCAGCTTCATGTTGAGTCGCTGGCCGCTGCGGCCCTCGCCCTTGCCCCGCGGGTCTTCTTCCAATGCGGCACGGTAACCGACACCGACGAGGTAGACGGGTGTCGTGAAGCCCTCGGTCATACCGACGATGGCGTTCTGGATGAGCGTCCGCGTGAGGCCCCACATGGACCGTTGCTTGCGCTCCTTCGGGTTCTCCACCGCGACGGAAAGAGTGTTGGGAGCAATTTCGGATATGCGCATGTAAGGCATGAGGGGAACGGAAGTTACGCCGAGAGGGCCCTTCACCGCGACAGCGGTGGACGTGGGCTCGAGGGAGACGATGGTGGGGTAGACGATGGGCTTCTTGCCAATGTTGGAGATGATGCCGGCGCGTGCCGGCGCCGAGGAGTGGAATGAGCGCAGGGCATGGCGGGCCTCAGCCTGCCACCGGACGATCATCCTCGCTGCTGGTCGTCGGAGTTGACGGTGTGGACGACGAGCAGCGCGCGCTTGCCCAAATTCTTGCCAGGCGCGCTGTGACGGTGACGCGCTGGCGGCGTGACGGAGCGGTCACACGACGCGGTATACGACGCGTGCACGTGAAGCCTCCTTATTCCGGAAAATGGCATTATTCCTGACTCGGGGCCTGGCAAGGGAGCTCCGTCCAGCCTCGAGATTCGCCTCTGCTGCCAATCGATTCCATCTTACGCTCTCCAGGAACATGTCCGCCGCCGCTGCTCTCGCAAAACTCCCCTCGCCGCTCCGGGATCTCGTCGCTGGCGCCGCTCAGGACGGCAGCGAGGATTTCGGCAAGTCCGAGAAGGACAAGGCCGAGGTCGCGGAGTGGATCGACAAGGTTGCTCAAGGCGATGTTGCAAAGCCCGAGAGCCTCAAGGTGAGCATCGCGACCCTCGCGCAACGACCTCGCTTGACGGCAGCAGGACCTCGAAGCGTCCCTCGTTCCCCGCACCTATCTCGTGAGCAATTACTTCACCGCCGCGGACGCCGCACTCTATGGCGCACTGCACCCAGTACTCGTGAGCATCTTTACCAAAAGTGACATCTGTGCATCCGCTAACGCATGTCATGTAGTCCCAACTCCAACCCGCACAATACTACTCGCAACCCGCCATCACGCGGTACTTTGACCACGTCCAGCATCGCGCTTCAATTCGCAAAGCTGCCGAGCCTCTAGCGCCTGCCTTCTCCATTGTAGCGTTCAATCTCGAGAACGCGCCGCATCAGGAGCGCAAGGCTGAGGCTCCCAAAAAGAAGGAAAAGGCGAAGGCGGCCCCCGCCACCGAGGCAGAGACCCCCGCCGCACCGGTGAAGGCCGAGAAGGCAGCGGCGAAGGCGGAGAAGAAGGCGAAGACCGAGCAGGGCGAGAAGGCGGCTGAGCAGCCTCAAGAGGGTGCCAAGGAGCTCAAGACGCAGAAGAAAGAGAAAAAGGTCAAGGAGCCCAAGGCTGCCGAGAAGAAGCCTGCGGAGGATGCGGGCGAGCCCTCGCCATCCATGATTGACCTCCGCGTAGGGCACATCGTCGACAGTAAGTACTTCGCACACACTGCCTGGCCTGTGATCTGAAAGCGAGACCTCAGTTAAGAAGCACCCTGATGCCGACGGTCTCTACGTTGAGGTGCGTCCATTCCATGTCTCTCTAATCTCACAGGTAGCTCACATGCAGCCACAGCAAATCGACTTTGGCGAGGAGACTGGCCCGCGAACAGTCGTCTCTGGTCTCGTGAACTACATCCCAATAGAGGACATGCGCGACAAGTACCTCGTCGGTGTCGTAAGTCCACCATCATCTCGAAATCCTGCACTGTCTCACCCACCGTGCGCAGTGCAACCTGAAGCCTGCCAACATGCGCGGCGTCAAGTCCTTCGCCATGGTTCTCTGCGTATGCCCCCGTTTCTTCCTCACTCTCTTCCCCCCACCAATTTATCCACAATTAGGCAACACACAAAGATGGCAAAGACGCAGGCATCGAGCTCGTACAGCCGCCCGCCGGCTCCAAAGTCGGCGAGCGCATCTTCTTCGAGGGCTTCGAGGGCGGCGAGCCGCTCTCCCAGCTCAACCCGAAGAAGAAGATTTTCGAGACGGTGCAGCCCGGGTTCACGACGCTCGACACGCGCGAGGCGGCGTGGGTCGACCCCGCGACGAAGTCTGTGCACCGTATCCGCACGAAGGACGGCGTGTGCGTCGCGCCGCGCTTCGTTGGCGCGTCGTTGTCGTGAGTGGGGGAACGAATGTGGATAGGTAGTGATCGGCCCGTGGGCTTGTATTTTTGTGCTATAGAAAGCTTTGCTGCTCCTACAGGATGTGCTAAGGTGTGCTTGGTGACGTTGTGCCCGCTCTTTACCAGGACGCATAGAGGGTAATATAACGGTGTGAGTATACTTCATATCGTGCACATTTGCCAACAGTACATGGCAGCATATATGCTAAATCCAAAAGGCCTCCTGCCTGGCTAGCATGGTATACGCCTATCAATTCAGTCGCCAGTCCTTTCTGCTCAATCGTTTCCGCCACCTCGTCCGACTAGTTCTCATCGTACCGCCCCTTGCCAGTGACAAAGTTGCTGCCGACCTTGCGGAGCAGGAAGTCGCCGTATACTACCGGCTGGTACGTCTTGCGCGGGGCGCCACCGTGGACGCCTCGCACCGCCCGGTCTTCTTCTCGCAAACGGAGCGCGGCAGGCAGCGGCGAGATGAGCGCGTCGAAGTTGGGCTCAAAGAAGAATGGAATACTGCGGAGTCGCCAGGCTCAGCAGTATTTACGGTAAGGTGAGCAGCGTAGACTCACGAGACACTGCACGTTGGACGGTCAGCATGTTTGAGTATATCATGTGAAGATGAACGTACCGGTAGCTGGAGCCTCTGTGGACGACACGGTGCAGCGTGCTCTGGTACAGGCCATTGGTCCAAACCTCCCACACTGTCGATGAACATTAGTGTGTTTGCGCCGTTTGATATTGCAGAGTCTATGCGGCTCACTTTCACCGATGTTGCAGACGACACAACCCGGGATGGGGTCGGCGTTAATCCACTGGCCGCCCTCCTCAACTTCTTGTTCAGGGACCGACTTGAAGCCTCCCTTCTTCTCCACGAGGAACCCAGGTTGGGCGAGGAAGACTTGCAGTGCGCCTGGCGTCGGGTCCGCGTACAGGAACCTAGATGCGCAATTTTATAGGTGATGCGGCGAGGGAAAATGTGGGCGTACTCACGTTAGGCACCCGTAATCTCTTACGAGTGAGAATGGTGGTCAGCCGCCGCATATCTGCTAATATCTGAGATGATTGCACCTGTGTGCTCCGCACGAGATTCCATCGTGATCACCAGGTAGCGGAGGGTATCCTAAGCAGCAGATGTCAGGTACAGTAGAGGTTGAGAGCATTTATGACGCACCAATTGCCCGCATTACCCAGAAGCTGTCGTCGACCTTGGTGCGAAGCTCGGCCCACTCTTCCGGTGTCATACCTAGTCCAGTGGCCATCCTGCTCCGGACAATCCGCGGTAAGAGGCGGTCACGGTGATCGTGCTGCCACATACGCTTCCATGACAATCAACCCCAAGTTCTTCATCTTCTCGACCCAGCGCTCGTACTTCTCCTTGAAGCCGGGAATGTCGGGCCATTGGTTCTCGCCCCAGAGCGGCTTGCTCTTGTCGGGGTTTTCCACTGGGCGGTACCAATCTATGCCCTCATGATTGTCTGCTTTGCCGTTCGTGACGTTCTCGTTCAACTTCTGGTAGCCTGTGATCATTCGACCGTTCAGTGCCATCCTGGATTGAGCGATGTATAGTAGACGCACCTCGCGCGTTATCCTCCTTCGTTATGGATATCTGATCTTTCTCTTCCTGAGGTCGCGAAAAGAACTCGCGGGCGAGTTCCGCAAGCTCCTCCGGCTCCGATGGGTTCACATAGGAGGATATGTCGAGGTAGAAGAACCCGTACTCCGAACATGCCGCATGGATCGCAGCGGTGGTGGAGAGCCGTCCGTGGCCGTTGGGGAGCAGAAGCGGCTCTACGCTGATGATTGGTAGGGAAGCAAGCTTCGGAGCATCTAGAGTACTAGATCCCATGGTGAGTGTAGGTCTGAACGCCATCGCGAACAACTGCGTACCAGCCGGGATGTCCCAATTAGCTCATGCTGGGACAAGATAAGAATGCGGCATGCCGGGTCAGGGTCTAGATGGACGGGACTGTGGGGAAGAGATAAGATTAGATTCGGAGGCGCCCATTACTCTCAGCGCGGGGACTCGCATCTTGACGCGTGCGGGCTTCTTTCGTACTGCACACGTTTCTCCCGCCCAATTGTGCCTTTCCAGTTCTCCTGGATACGTCCTCAGGACTCTCCTTTCGCTCTGCACTCACTCACCCAAGATGGCTCAATCATTCACGAGCATCTCGGCAGACGGCCGCCATTCACTAGCGGGCACCGCGGACGGCTTCGACTCGGAAGGCGAGGAGGAAGAGATCGACCAGCTGGACTCTGGCCTGGATGATGAAGAAGAGGTAGAGGAAGAAGACGAGGGAGAGGAGATGGAACCCGAGGTGGAGGAGTACGAGAGCGCGTCCGCCATGAAAGGCCGGAGGAAACTTGGCGTTCGCGTTCCCGGACACACGCTCCTACCACAAGACAAACTGGACAACATACTGCAGGCAGAAGGCATGTGCACCTGTGTCGTCACCGCTATAATTTGCCGCTAATGCGAACTGATATCAGGCGCTGGCCAGCATATGTCTAAGGAAGCCGTGTTCATGCTGTCCATCGCAACCGTGAGTATTATTGCGGATAACTTCATGCATACTCACATACATACGCGCTCGCAGGAAGAGTTTGTCAAAAAGCTAGCAGAAGCAGGCTACCAGAAAACCATCACCGAAACTCGCCAACACGTACAATATCGAGACATGGGTCAGTATGCACATTAGTGATCCGTTTCACAAATGCTCACCCGAATGCAGCGAACATCACGCAAGAACAATCCAAGTTCAAGTTCCTGGAAGGTGCCTATCTCTCCTCATGTTCTGACATGCCAGTTCGCTGACGCCCTTCGAGACACAATCCCCAAGCCCATCTCCATTGTTCAAGCAATGGCGCTGCGCGCTGCAAAAGAGCGCGAACTGCTAGAAGACGACCCCGCAATTTCCGCCGCCGCGCCCTCCTCTCCTCCCTTCATGCCCAATGTCCCCAGTACCTCCAACAGTCTCAGCATGACGAAACCAAAACCGAAGGTGCGGCAGTCTCTCCCGGCGGAGACAAACGGAGGAGCGAAACCAAAGATGAACGGCAGCGCTAGCGCTGCGGGGCCCTCGGCTAACACAAGCACAAGCGCCGCGGGCGCGTCTGGACGGCAGAGGTATCGCGACAGCAACGGCCGGTGGCGCAGGGTTAATGGTGGGCACTCGGAGGGGACTCCCACGAGCACCACGAGCACCAGGGCGAGCAGCGCGCGAATCAGGAACCTGTCGGCACGGGCACGGGAAGCAGAGGAGGCGAGTGGTCACGTAGCACATCCCAACGGGGCCTCCCCAGTCGCGAATGGGCACAGTGCGAGTAGCGCTGGCTTGCACCAGGGTAAGTGATATTCAGTTACTCTTGCGACTAAGTATGGCGGCTGAAGTTCACCCCTAGATGCGAACATCTCGCCTGGATCGACGGTGCTACTTGACCGGTTGTCTCCAGCACAGTTCACTGGACCTGCGAGTGGCTACCTGGAAGATACTGGGCGTCTCTCGTTTAACGGAAGGACGAGCATGGCGGACAACCCTGGGCGAACGATCTACTCCCAACGCCCTCCACCGCCTCAGCCTCGATGATCTTCCTTGTCGTCTGTCTGCTGCTTTATATCCACCTGCTTGTCCTAGTTGGATCTCCATTTCGTTCACAGAGTATAGTATTTGTACCAGGTTCGTCGCCTCTTCGCTCACATATTGAATCGAACTGAATAGACTTCATGATTACAAACTCCTGCAGATAATGTACAATGATGTTGCACCCGTATCATACACAGACATCGCCCCCAGTTTCCTTTTGAGTGCTCGTTTACTTGACGTTCACTTGTACGCTGCCCACGTCTTCCGCCTTTGGGACGGTCACAGTGAGCACGCCGTCCGAAAGTTTTGCTGTCACCTTGCTGCTGTCTACAGGCCGAGGCAGCACCACGGTGCGCGTGAAGGTCGAGGTCCCGGAGAACACCCGTTCTGTCGAGAGTGCATTCGACTCGGGCCCCTTCGTCGTCAGTGCTTGAGTGCCTACAATCGACGCGTTAGCATGCAAGACCCCACTTGACACGTAAGGCATCCTGCACTTACCTTCTGAAGCGCCCTCAGTTACACCTGAAGTCCCAGCCGCGGACGAAGATGACGCGTCGGCAGGCTGCTGCTCCGGCTCACCCGATCGGCTGAATACCTTGCCCTCGATGGTGAGCGTCCGCCCGCCATCCCCAATGCGCACGTTCACGTTCTCCTTCTTGACCCCAGGCAGCTCCGCCTCGACGATGTAGTTGTTGCCCTGCTCAGAGACGTCGACCGCCGGCCGCAGGCTCGCGGGCGAGTGGAAGAAGGGGTCGTCGAAGAGCGCGCGGGGCCCGGGGAACCCGCTCATGTACGCGGGCGGCCGCCCGAGGGGCTCCTCGAGCATGCGGAAGAGGGGGCGCATCTCGCGGAAGAATTGGCGTGCGAGAGACATGGTAGGTTGTGTTATGCTGAGTTGAGGGAGGAGTGTGATGCAGCGAGAGGTGTTAGTTTGGAGGGATTTGACGTTGTTGATGATGGCCGCGGGGCATGCACGGCGCGGTATATATACGCGATGGGTTTGGGGGGCTCAAGCTGTCTAGAATTTTCCTGAGCTCCCGTGTGTGCTCCGGTTTGAGCTCATGGGTTGTGTCATGCATGATCCAGACAGAGCGAGATGTCGAACCTAGTAGAAGCGCTGGCCACGTGTAGCGCTTTCCATTTCCGGGCTGTCTACCAGCCGTCTCGGATTTTGACGCAGGTCCCGCAATCGCAGGCTGTCATTAGAACTGTTCATAAAGCTTGTGTAAATAGGGCGGCGACAGCTAGAATATGTGGAGGCGTACACTAATACTACAGACATAGATACATACGCGGACAGAAACACAGCGACGATCCGGGGAGAGAACCCCGGCGCACCGAATCCAAAACTCAAATGTCCATATCAGCATATCAGTCCCGTCCCGGCCACTCGACCACGGAGTGCGCCTGCACCATGTGCTCCTGGTCGTCGTCGTCCTCGAACTTGAGCTTGTAGAACGGGACGGCCTGTTTCGCCACCCCGCCCTGGACATCATGAGCGCGAGGATCTGGGTGGGAGATGGCGCGCGGACACTCACCCGTCCCTGCGCATTGAGGTCCCGCGGGCTCCCTATCACCTCCGCCCGATAGAAGCAGCTCGTATCTGGATAGAGCGCCATGACGGTGGAGCCTGCGGGGAACTCGGGGTACGCGTTTAGATGCATCGCGCTGTCTGGTGGTGCGTTCGCGTCTGGAAGAGGAATGATTGCGCGCAACGTCGTGTTGTACCGCCTGGGTGCTCCACGTTAGATGGGAAGGAGACGTGATATGGCACGAATACTGACTGTCCGGGGGTGCCGTCCTCGAGAGGCTCAGGATCCTGCACCTCATACCTGCGATGGCGCAGGTCAGCCGTGAATACATCCCTTCTCACGGACGTGAGACGCTTACCGGTTCTTGTCCTGGTTGATGCACTTTGTGACGACCGCGAGTATCCACTCCTCGTCCTTGCCGCTCGCGGTGCTGTCCGCTTTGCTCGTATTTGTCGGCGGGTGGAAAGCGACTTTCCGCCCCTCCTGCAATGGAAGCTGTTTCGCCAGCGCCTCTCTTCGCGCTTTGGGCTCGCGCGAGAACGGTATTGTCGACTGCGGCCCAACAGAGCCGCGCGGCGGGAGGGTGATCGACATGGACCGCGCTGGCGGATTAGGAGGCGGCGGAGGAGGCACTGTGGGGGCAGATGGCGACGGCCCTCTAGGTCGTTTGTTGCGCTTTTCTGTACTCGGGAGGTCAATACGCCGCTCGAGCACGAGTGGCTACGCAAATTACCGGGCGGTATCGCTTCCGACGCCTTGCGCAGCGCAATCAGGACCGAGAGCCGTTCGAGGACATCGTCTACCGCCCTATGCGAGTATTAGCTACCGGCTAAAGGCCGAGGAGAAATGCCGCCCACTCTGCGTCCTTCTCGGCGGTGACTTTGACCTCGTTGAGGCTCGAGTTCAGTTTTTTGTACAGACTCCTGACGTGTTCGATGCCCTCCGAGGGCAGCGTGTCATCCGTGGGCCAGCCGGAGAGCAGCCGGTGCACCCGGTTGATGGTGTCGTCGCGCTCGTGCTCGGAGAGCATCTCGGACAGCTTGTCGAGCGAGGCGGACGCCTGCTGCCAGCACTCGAGCTCTGCAACGCAACGTCGTCAGCACGCTATTTCGTCACGGGCCGCGCAGACACCGTTTCCGCAGTCGCGGTGCGAGCCAGGCACGGGGAGGCACGGTCACCTTCGGAGGACGCGGGGCGCTTGGAGACGCCACGTCTGCTGGCCGTGTCTGGTCGCAGCGGAATATTGGGTGTGGTCTGGGAGTAGAGGGGGCGGCGACAATGTATGCCCGTTGTGGTGAAGCACGATTGTGGCATTCGATCCGACACGCCGGTTCCGCGACTACGATCTGCAGCCTGAGCGCCAAGAGTGACGTCACTCCTGGCCGTCTGCTGCTCGACTGTGTTCACTGCTCGCCTGTGTTGACTGCAGCTCTGTCCCTGCTGCACTCCCTCGATCGCTCCTCGCCCACTCCTCTCGACCGTCTTTGCAGGCCGCGCCACGCTCCTCCTCTCCTTGTTCACCCACCCTGCCGCCCGCCCGCGCATCTGCCCTCCTCGCGTCTACCTGCCGTCGTCGACGCCGCCCAGCACAGCAGTGGCGATCGCGTTCGTCTGCGGCCCCCATCACATCTCGTATGTGCTTCCTCTCCTCCGAACGTGCGCAGAAATCCCCGTCCCTCATCATCCGCAGATCACGCGAATACGGCTCAACGTCATCTCACATATCGTCTAGCCTACTGGTACATCGCTAGTCCCTACGCAGTCTCCCTCCCGGCCCGTACTACGCATCTGGATTCCCCGCCAGCACTGCGAAACTATCTCGTTAGCGGCAAACTCCATCGCCATGCACCACAGACGTACCCAGTACGGCCCCACCACCAGCGCCCTGTCCGCGAGCTGCGAATTCAAACGTCAGCACCGTCATAGACGGTAAGTGCGCCCTCATGCTTACCTGCTGTGCACATACTCACCCTACTGCCTCGTCATCAGGCCGAGCCGACATCCAGCGTCGACGGCGGGCGGCGAATGCGAAGGCGAATACGTAGGAGACAGGGAGAGGATAAGGAGGGGACAGGGAGCGAGCACGGGCGAGCACATTGCTCGTCTCTGTCCTCTCTTCTCCATCTCCCTGCCCCTTCTTATACGCCCTCGCTTTCGGGCAGGTCCCCGTCTCAGCACACCCGGCACCTCCTCTTCGCGGCCCCAGCGGGTCTCCAACACTACCGCCCGAGCCTCTGCACGCCCACGCGCGCCCAGAGCGTGCGCCATCACACGGAAACAAGTACGTACACCCTCCCCCGTTTCGGCCCTCCCCTCCCTGGCAACCCCGCCCACTGGCGAATTCGAATTCGAAATCGCATTCGTCATTTCCTGTTCGCGGACGGGCCCTGTGCACGATCGTGCCTGTACCGCACACAGAGCACCGCCGCAGCACGATCTCCGATCTGTGTACCCGCCTGCTATTAGCGCGCCCACACAACCGCGTCGCTTACCGTTGCGCCCCACACGTCCGCCCGGTGCGACGGAGTGCAACGGGCGCGGACCACGGTGTGTCCGCCGCCCGCGGCCTGCCCGCGTCAGCGACTGTTGACGGTCCTGTGGGTGCGCTCTCAGGCCCAGGGCCGCGGGAGCGTGTGCCCAGACCCGGGCCAAGTGTCCGTCTCCATGCTCGCACGGCGTTGGCATGACCGGACGTGGGGCGCATCACCGCATCGAGCGCGGGGTGCGGTCCGTCGAGGACAACGCGGGGGCGGTCCAGCTCGGCAGGGAACTCCACGGTCGTCGACGTCAGACTCACGCCCTGCGTCCGCCTCCTCCACCCGTCCGACTCGTCTCGAGTGTCATAGTCGAGGGCTGCAGCGCTCCTGGTCGTCGCTCCCGCGAGCCCGAGCTCGGATCGTCGGGCCACGACGTCCGCCGCCCGTGAGCACGACGAGGACGGGTTCTGTACTGATGGGTAGCACCGTACGCCGACGCAATATACTCGATTTCGCCGTCCCTCGTGTGCGGGCTGCATCCTCTGCCATCCGCCGTGCATCGAATGCTGACCGCGACGTATCCTGCCTTGTGTAGGACGCGTGGACGGCGGTATACGTCCCGCGTCCACCTCGACTCGGAGCTCTACTCGCCGAGGAGCACCACGGAAGTGCCGACGCCACTCGCCGCGCCCGCCGCCCGCCACCCGCCGCCCGCCTTCGGGAACGATGTCCGCCTTGTGCGCATGCCCGAGGACGGCCCCGGGACGTGTGCACGCAGACGGCGTGGCACCGACACCACACGGCAGCACCCGCTGAGCCACGCGTGCGCCCCGTCGACCGCGCCCGGGACGCCCCCTCGCTCCGCTGCGCACACGGACTAGGACCACGGCCGGCGGCGCGAGGATGCCTGCTCGGCGTGCACTTGGTCGCCCAGGGGCGGGTGCGTGCGCGATGCAGCACGCAGCCCGCAGCCCGAACGGCGCCGCGGAGCGAGGTGCGTCTGCGAACGAGGTGCGTGCGTGCGTGCGGCTGGTGCGCCCGAGCGGCGGTCCTGACGTGTCCCTGCGTCGCAGCTGTGGGCCTGCGTGGCCCGTCCACATGCCCGTGGACGCTGCCCCACGAGTGGAGGCGTAGGATCGCGAGCACGCCGCCACGACGCTCGGGGACGAGAGTGCGTCCGAGTGGGTGTCCCGCCCTCGGCCATTTGACCAGGCCCCGCCCGCGCTGTCCCTGTGCTGGCTGTCGCAGCTGCGAGCGTGACGCGTCTCGAGCGCGCCGGCGCACACCGCGCTGCACTACGCAGGGTATCCGGCCGCGCCCATGGGTTTCGCGGTCTGGGCGCGGATTCGGCGTGTGCACACCGCGTGTGCAGACGTGCGTGGCCCGCGACGCTCAGGATGCAGATACCGGCGTGTCGCGGGGGACTGGGCGCGCACGTCCGAGTCCCAGAGGGGCCCGCTGCCGTCCAGCTCGCGAGGTGCGTACTAACCCGCTCCGCCCATGCTCCCGTGCCCGGGTACCATGTCTGGGACCACACAGGGCACACTCCCCACGCGCGCCGAACCATCTCGCTGCAGCCCGAGACGTGGCTTCGAGTTGGGGCGCGGCCACGGTGCGTTCGCATCGTCGTCGCCTCGTTCTGGCTGTGTTTCTGACGCGTCCAAAGTGCCGTTTCACGCCCGCCGCCTCCCGCCGCCTGGCCATGAACTCTGTATCGCGCCGTGCAGGCTGGGAATCGGATCCCCCCGTTCTCTGTGGGCTCTGCGCGCGCACGTCGTGCACGCCGTCGTTGAATGTGCAATAGACAGGCATCTCTGGTGGAGACGGGCGACGGACCGCGGCCGACATGTCCGCGCGGTGAGGCGAACCCCGCGGATCCGACGAAACATCGCACCCCTCCCCTCGTACCCCTCCTCTGGGGACTCGTCCCGGAGTGCGAGGACCTGCGTGCAGGCTCGTACACAGCGTCCTGGCCGTCGTCTGTGCCATTGGGGTGCTGTACGTCTGCGCAAGCAGGGAATGCAAGGTGCATTTGTGTATTCTCCATCGATGCTCCCGTGTTCGGGCACGGTCTCATGGCGCACACATCACAGACGTCGCATTCTACGTGCTCGTACCAACCCCAAATGTCGCGTCCTGCTCGTAAAGTACTCGCTCCACGCCTCGCTTTGCTACCGCGATGCACGGCCATCCCCAACAGAGGCGAGGGTGCCAGGACGCCCTCTGACTCGTCCATCCTCCGCCGACCCTCCTTCCCAGCACCCCGGAGAGACGTCGCATCGCCGCCCGCGTATGCGCTCAATGGCTGGACCGAGGCCCACTGCGCGCATGCACGACGGTGCGACAAACGTGATGAAACCAGGCCTCTCCCAAGGTTGCGACGCACCCCACATGCCGTGCATGACTGACACGGAAGGCTCGCACGCATCGCCGTAATGCCGGTCCACCTGCTCGTGAAACGAACGCCAATGGGCCTGCCATGTGCGGTGTTGGTACGTCCCCCTCCCGCGCGACTCTCTTGCGCCTACGCTCACTCGTCCTCCTGGAGCCCTTTGGTGAGCTCTTTGCAACCCGAATGCTCGATGCGCCCTCCGTGAACGTAACATGCGCCCGCACGGCACGACCCTCGTCCTCTTCCACTGCCGTTCCAACTCCGCGGGTCCAGGACGCCTCTGGGCTTGAGGCGTGTGACCCTGCAGCGCAGGGCACTGTTGGCAAGTTACGATCACGATGCCCCGACGGCGCGGGTCCGCCTTCGTTCGGGGGGAGACGGGATGTGCGTAGAGCCCGCTGCCGCGGCGCCCGTCCTCCGAGTCCCATCATGCTCATCTCCTCTGTAGCAGGCATAGGGAGTTAGGCGAGACGTCTGTCGGGACGTACAGCGCCATCGCGTGTGTGCGTGTGGTTCGCCCTTCTCTCGCCGCGCGCTCGCCCAGTGTGTCTCGTTTTGCGAAGGCTCTGTGCTGGTCGGGGACATCGGGGAGACTGCGGTGTTCGCCTCGAGTGTGTGCGTATCGCTTCGCGCCACGCCTGCCTGTAGGAATGTACTGCATCCCTGTCCACAACGCCCTGTTTCCGTATCCTTTGCAATATATCTCATGCCCGATCTGCTTTGTGTGCGAGCGACTGCGAACCAACGGCAGAAACGAGTGTATACAGACCATTCCGAGCGGATTGCCGGTTACCACAGCGAGGGTCTGGTCCCTTGCGCTGCGTACGTACGTCTTGATGATCTGGGCTGCGAGATTCTGGCGTTTTGCGAGCATTTCAGAGAGAATGCGACGTCCTGGACGTCCGATACACCCGCATAGCCCATGCTCGCCTCTCGGAGTGCTGCAGCGGAACGAGGCGACTCCGTGTGTGCGAGAGCCTGAGAGCGAGATATGTTGAAATGCGAAGTAGCTACATACGAAACAGGACAATAACTGAGGCCTGCTCGGTCCCTAACCGTCTCTGTAGTGTCCTCGTAGTAGCCAGGCTGCTAGCGTCAACTCCTTTGCACATTCAAGTGCACCCACGGTCTAGAAGAACGATTAGAAGGGAGCTTCGGGAGTACCAGAATGCGATCACTCGCCGAGTCCGTGTGAGCTGCTTGAGTCCGCTTGTTTCTGGACGGATTCGCCGTCTCTGCGGCGGCCTGGTCGCAATCAGGTAGTAGGATCGGCTGTCCCTTGCTTCGCACATTCGAGGTGCCGCGCTTATGATTGAAACGAAGTGATCAGAACGAGCCCTCGGGTCAGAATGAAGCAACTTACCGGAGGATTAGCAAAAGCGAGCGCTGCGACGTTTTGTGAGGTGGTCCGTATCGCCCGTTTCGTGTGGCATCGTCCACGGTCCGACGGGTGTTCTGAGTCCGTCCACGCGGAGCCGTCGTTCTGAGCGAACGGCGCTGGCGCAACGTCAGCCCGTACGTAGTGACCCCACTGCGCCGCGAGAGCGGTCTGTACCTGTGCATTAGTCAAAAGCGCTGCCGTATGCAAGGACATACGGCATAGGGTCCGACCGGTCGAACGCGAACTTTCCGGGGGCTAGAACCTGCCCGATGAGACCGTCAGTGCATTTCAACATACCGTCTGTTGGGAGAGACGTACCTCAGGCTTCCTGTATTGGCTCGCATGCGACGCATCTGACAAAACGTGAGACACACGAGAGAGCCTGGGACTCACATATCGCGGACTGGATCGCTGCGGCGAGTGGTGGCTGTGGCACTTTAGCATCAGTCTTGTTTTGCGAGAACAACGGCGGTGCACGTAGCTCACCGATAGAAGGGCACTGATTCGATCGCGCACCCACTCCCGGTCGCATGCAACCGCCATGCGTGGGACATCCTCTTGCAGCCGCTCGAAGATCCCACGGCACAGCGTACACGGTACATCCGTTCAGCCTAGGGCGGGCAAAGGCAGCCCCACGAACTTGGGCCCGGGCTCGTCAATAGATCGGGTGCGGTGATGTCAATGTCCCTACTTCCGGTGTCCAGCGTAACCTGCCCAGCGCCCATATCTCGCAGCAATGCGCGGCATCGGGGCGAGGTCGACTGTGGCGCGTGGGGCGCGCTGGAGTGCGTCACCGGTCTTCCGACGTAGGCGAGGGACAGGGAGTGTGCGGGGGCAAACAGTGAGTGCTCGTAGGGTCGGCAGATTTGAGCGTGGAGGCGGTAGTCATATGAACACGACTATGGTCGTGGAGCTGCGGTGCTCGTACACACATTTGCTCAGCAGACTGAATCCGAATTTGCGGGGTGCTTGCGATTAGGCCGCGCTGTTTGCGAACGAATGAACGAACACGTACTTGCCTACAAGCGTCCCTTGGCGGCCCCAGCGGAGGATATCATGTAAGAGCAGCGCCGACGGGCTCAAGCCCGCTGTCCGAGTCGGCCCAGCGAGACGGGACAGAGGTCAGTTCCATGCAAGCGACGACGCACTAAATCGAATGCATCACCTTGAACCCGACAGGCACTGACGTCGTGGGAGGGACGGGAACTAGAGCGCATCTGGAGTCCATTGGTTTGTTCTGAGGCAGTTCCGAAAGGTGTTAAAGATAGCGTGGGCAGGGCAAACGAGCGGTCGTCAAACGTACCGAAGGACATCAGACCAGAGTGTGGCCGATCATACCGCACGGTCAGGCGACATTTCGGGTTGCCAGATGCTGAACAATGCGACTAAGCGGGTGAGGAACGAGACAGCGGAGTCTTGGAGGCCCGAGGTTTGATTCTCATATACGTGACGCACCCCAATAAGACGTGACCACGGCTGGGTACAGCCATAATCTCGTCAGAGACGTCGGGCGGTACATGCCTACGGGCAGTACATCAGACTGGGCGTAACACGGCATGTATGGATGCTTACTACAACAGTACACGGCAGGCTGTTGCGCAGGCCGCGGCCCGTCACGCGTTTCTGGTGCTTGCTTCGAGCTGCGGGCAGGACGGGGCGGTTTGCGGCAAATGTAGTAAGATGGCGGCCCCAATTCCGCGTGGCAATCGTCGTCCGGCTACACTTGCATCCGGGCAATACTTATACCTACATCTCGACTGCCGGTCGAGTCTCCTCCCTTCTCCTCACCGGTCAGTTCTATTCTGTTCGCGCGCGTGTTACAGAGAGTACGTACGACACCCTCCTCCGACTATCCGCCTGGCCTCATAGTACCCGCGAAGTCGCACATCGTCCTCGCTCGGGATGGCTGTCTTTCGCGCTCTAGGCGACACTCTATGCACGTCCTGAGATCGGAATGCGGGGGGAGCTCAGGGGTCTGTTGGACGGTGGTATCTGTGAGTAACGCGCACTTCTCTCCGACTGCAGCAGAGCTTACGATATACGCTTGCAGCGGACGTATCTGGCATTCCACACGCGCAGATGGTGTACAGCATCAAGCGGTACAGCACCCGCGTCGTCTTGCAGTGTCACGCCAAACTCATCGGCTGGCCCGACGACATCGTCTTCGACAACTTAAGTCGCATCACGGGCAAGGAGCGCATCTTGCGCCTCCTCGAGCTCTGGAAGAGCGGTGCCATGTGCTTCGTGCCGATCACGGACCCAGCGGAGCTCGACGCGGCGAGGAAGGATCCTCTGTCGGTCGCGCCGGCTCTCCTCCATCGTGGCATCCCGCCAAAGCGTCACCGCTGGGACTTGGGTAAGCGTCGCCGACGTCCGAAGTCGAACCCGGACGACTTACCATCGAGGCACTCCCGGGACGGACCGAAGTCGGCGGAGAGGGTGACGGATGAGGCGGAGGCGATGGCGGAGCTGGAGGGAGGTGTCACCGAGCTGACTGACATGCAGCTTGTGCTGCTCAGGCTCTCTCGCCTGCCGCTGGTGTGGCCGGAGCTTGGGATGTAGACGTCTGGGAAGCTTAGACTGTGTTGTGCACGCATATACGGCCCGAAACGGTTGTTTTCATTACTCGAGGAAGCTGCCGCAGCCAGGGAAGTGGGCGGACGACGGGGATGGTGGTGGTAGCCGAGAGCAGACGAACGCGCAGGAGCTGCTAAACCGAGAATTCGTCTCGCACTCGTTTGGGCGCTTCATTTCTCGATTTCGCGATTCTGGTCTCTGGCGCTCCTTTGGCTTTCACCACGATCTGCGCACAGAATAATCCGCTCACTTACTCGCTTGCTCTGCTGTGACTGGGCGACCTCGTGTATATTCTGGCACTCGCTTACGGACGGCATTGAGGGTAGTGTTGTCCATTTCGGACTTGTCTCAGCAGGCGGTCCCGGCGGCCACCACCGGCACGGCGGCACTGGCGGTCCGGACGAGCCTGCGGGGAAACGGGCTTGGCCTGCATGGGCGCCAAATGGTGGAATCCTCGTTTCGCGTTCTCAGCGCGGCTTGCGCTCATCTGCCTTCCGCCACGACCCCGACCACGCGCAAAATATTCAGCGCGCCCGCTCGCTCTTCCGCAGCGACACGCTTTTTTGATATATATTCTAGCTTACGCACACGGGTTGCATTGAGGGTACAATTGTACCATTTGGACTGATCTCGCAAAACGGCATCGAAGGCGGGCGGGCTGCGCGGGCGGCAGGGCGACTTGGAGCTTCGACTTTCCAAGTTCAAACGGCGAATCCGCCGACTCGGAGCTTCGGACTGTATCGTACGCGGCATTACGGACCTGTGATATCCAAACGGCGGGTCCTCGACGCCGCAGCAAAACGCGCCGCCTCGGCTTGAGCGAGAGCTGTGGTGGGCTGCCCAGCTCAGATCGTCGAAATCGGCGCCTAAATCGTGGAATCTCGTTTCGCGTTCCCGGTGCGCTCTGCCTCCCACCACTACCACGACCGCGCGCAAAATAATCCGCTCGCCCGCTTGCTCCGCCGTATCGAGGCACCAATGTGATGGATATCTTAGTATACACCCGCGGGTTGCATTCAGGGTGAATTTGTTCATATCGGATGCTTTCTGCCGGAGAGGTCGATTGCAGGCGGCGCCAATGACTCCGGACATGGCCCGAAAACTTGTATGACACGATAGAGTAATTCTATATGAACCTTGTTGCGCACCAGATACATTGTTATGAGCTGAAATGGACTGGGGGGATGGAGGTACCAGTCTGAGGAGCAGGGGTGCTGCTGCTTACACCGTTACCTCCCTTACCCACACTCCATTGGAAAGGCCACTGAGTGATCGGGCACCGGAGACGTTCCTGGTGAACCTGAGCAGATTGATGCCTAAGTCGAGACTGGATGGGCCAAAAACATCGGAAGTGTCAGATATCCATGGCAATCCGTGAGGCCTTCTAAGTGGTGTGAAAATTCAGCGTACGCGAGTCTAAGCCACTGGATGTCAACAGAAATGGGCGGCGGGCATCAGGACACTTGCCGGCACCAATTGATTTCAAGTTCTGAGCTTAGCACACCCTCACGAACCCAGTCTATTCCACGGGGCCATGATTATATTCTGAAATACATGCAGGATACAGTAGCACTACCATAGCTCGAGAGTACGGGCTGGGAACAAGGGGGACATGAGGGACAGGAGACAGGACTCACCTCCAGGCAGGGCACCGCCTGAGTCCCGGGTCGCCCACGGCAACTCTGTGCGCCCTCACGACGGATCTGACTGCGTCGCGTAATAGTGCCGGACTAGATTGTGCGGTGGTCTGTAGACAGGCCGCGAGGGGCCGAGGGCGCTTCGCAGGCCCTGCGGATCTGCACCTGGCAGGATTGACTTCGGATGATACGGCGGTGTGCGGAACAGCGGCGTGCACGGGCTCCATCCCCCACTTCGCATTCAACATGAAGACGCTCGAGCACCGCGAAGGGCACCACAGGATGCTACTCGCGGTGGATGGTGTAGGAACGCGAGAAACAACGGTACGTACAGCGGCGGACGCAGTCGCACACTGGCGAGCAACTGTGCGGCGCAATGGCACCAACAGATGTTCGCGAGCTGACCAGTTTCACAGAATCTCGCGCACACGGCCGCGGTACAAGAATTTGTGGCGCCAGGAGATAGTGCAAGGCACAGCGTGCGGTACGTCGGTCGATGAGCTCTAGGGCTCGCCAACACTCGTGATGATTTTGCAGCAGATCGCGATATCGACTCCGCGGTGCTGCACAAAACACGCACGTTGACGCGTGACGTCGCACGCATCCGGGATGTTCACAAGAGCGGCACACCGATTCTTATTGGGCACCCGAGAGCTACACTACTTAATGTACGTGCCATGTCTCCCATCGGCGAGCCACGAGCGCGCTGACCAGCCTCACACGCGCACCTGCCGTCCTCGAGGCTCGCGATATATCGAGCGGGAATGCGGATGGGACGGCTGTGAGAACGAGCCGGGTGTCAGACGAGGCTATGCACGGGTGAGTCGCCGCCCAATCACGTCTGGCACGGACCGTTCTCACTGGTCGACAGCTTACGGTACTCGCGGGAGGACTCTGACCGGGGAGCAACATCCGCGCCAGGCGGCGAGCTCCAAGAGTTCCGAAGGACCTACACGCGCGGCCGATGAGCTTCCTCGAGCACCGACGTCGATGGGTCGCGGCACAGGAGTGTGAGCGTATGTGCTCGGGCGACCTCGCACGCTCATACAAGGAAGCGGTACGTACTCACCTTCCGGCTCCGTTGCAGCGCTGATGACCGTGAGTCAGGAAGCATGCAACAGTGTCCCGGAGCACCGAGACCGCGGGTCGCGCAGTGTGATGGCAGGTGCCTGCGCAAAGGCTCGTCCCATGCATTCGTACACTCTGTGCGTCTGGAGACGAGAAATGTTTGCGTTCCGGTACCGCGCACATCGCTGACCACAAAATTAGCCAGGAAGCGAAGGGTCATCGATTCGACCTGGTTCGTGTGCTCGCCCGCACGTCTGACACGCTCGCGCAGGGGAGGACGCGCAAGGCGCACGCGGAGATCAGGGCGATCGCAGGGAGGGTCTGGAGATCTGGGTGAGATGGACGAGATGGTTCGGCAGAAGAGCATTTCCGCATAAGTACCTTGTACAGTGTGCCTCACACCGCGACTGGGAGCGGTCTGAAAGCGCTGGGCGGGTAGAGCGCCGTAGCCGTAGAACTTGAAGGACGCCCAAAGCGTGCCAGTGCGCGAGAGCAGCACCACGCGGACCTGTAGTTGGCGTAGCCGTCGCGGGTCGTATCTTACACCGCGCGCAGCACAGGCTGCAGAGAGAACGAACGGCCGGTGGCGGGATGGCGGCAGGAAGCAAGCGCAAGACGCCCACGAACTCCGAGCCGCGCGCAAAGTCCGCACAATAGGCGCCCGCTCTCTGTGCCCGTACTACGATCGCGATGTGGGCGCGGGCTCGGCGCGTGGTGCGACTCGTTGCGAGGTCAGGGCTGTGATGACTGTGTGCTGGCGTCGGTTGATTGAGTGTTTTAGGACGCCGTAGTGGGGCATATACTCGGCTATCGTCCGGCCAGGCTCTCCCTGCACCGCTGCCCAGGCTCTACCCGCACGGCTGCCCAGCGTACCCTCGCACCACCGCTGTCCAGGATACACCCGCACCACCACTCGCCCGTCTCAAAAATTATGCACGGTACTCTCGCAACCCGCACCGCCCGCCCGCCCGCGGCGCCTCCTCTGCCGGCCACGCACCCTCCCCGCCGACTTCTCCTTCGACTCCTCACGCGCGTGCATCGCGTTCTCCCCAGCGACGCCCACTGAGAAGCGCTGGCCACGTGTAGCGCTTTCCATTTCCGGGCTGTCTACCAGCCGTCTCGGATTTTGACACAGGTTCCACAATCGCAGGCTGTCATTAGAACTGTTCATAAAGCTTGCGTAAATAGGGCGGCGACAGCTAGAATATGTGGAGGCGTACACTAATACTACAGACATAGATACATACGCGGACAGAAACACAGCGACGATCCGGGCAGAGAACCCCGGCGCACCGAACCCAAAACTCAAATGTCCATATCAGCACATCAGTCCCGGCCAGGCCACTCGACCACGGAATGCGCCTGCACCATGTGCTCCTGGTCGTCGTCGTCCTCGAACTTGAGCTTGTAAAACGGGACGGCCTGTTTCGCCACCCCGCCCTGGACATCATGAGCGCGCAGATCTGGCTGGGAGATGGCGCGCGGACACTCACCCGCCCCTGCGCATTGAGGTCCCGTGGACTCCCTATCACCTCCGCCCGGTAGAAGCAGCTCGTATCTGGATAGAGCGCCATGACGGTGGAGCCGGCCGGGAACTCGGGGTACGCGTTTAGATGCATCGCGCTGTCTGGTGGTGCATTCAAGTCTGGAAGAGGAATGATTGCGCGCAACGTCGTGTTGTACCGCCTACGTGCGTAATGTTAACCCAGGAGGAAACGCAACAAAAGCGGAAGACTGACTGTCCCGGGGTACCGTCCTCGAGAGGCTCAGGATCCTGCACCTCATACCTGCGATGGCGCAAGTCAGCCGTGAATACACCACTTCTCACGTCCGTGAGACGCTTACCGGTTCTTGTCCTGGTTGATGCACTTTGTGACGACCGCGAGTATCCACTCCTCGTCCTTGCCGCTCGCGGTGCTGTCCGCTTTGCTGGTATTTGTCGGCGGGTGGAAAGCGACTTTCCGCCCCTCCTGCAATGGCAGCTGTTTCGCCAACGCCTCTCTTCGCGCTTTGGGCTCGCGCGAGAAGGGTATTGTCGACTGCGGCCCAACAGAGCCGCGCGGCGGGAGGGTGATCGACATGGACCGCGCTGGCGGATTAGGAGGCGGCGGAGGAGGCACGGTGGGCGCAGATGGCGACGGCCCTCTAGGTCGTTTGTTGCGCTTCTCTGTACTCGGGAGGTAGGTCAATACGCCGCTTGAGTACGAGTGGCTACGCAAATTACCGGGCGGTATCGCTTCCGACGCCTTGCGCAGCGCGATCAGGACCGAGAGCCGTTCGAGGACATCGTCTACCGCCCTATGCGGGTGTTAGCTACCGGCTAAAGGCCGAGGAGAAATGTCGCCCACTCTGCGTCCTTCTCGGCGGTCATCTTGACCTCGTTGAGGCTCGAGTTCAGTTTCTTGTACAGACTCCTGACGTGTTCGATGCCCTCCGAGGGCAGCGTATCATCCGTGGGCCAGCCGGAGAGCAGCCGGTGCACCCGGTTGATGGTGTCGTCGCGCTCGTGCTCGGAGAGCATCTCGGACAGCTTGTTGAGCGAGGCGGACGCCTGCTGCCAGCACTCGAGCTCTGCAACGCAACGTCGTCAGCACGCTATTTCGTCACGGGCATACACCGCTTCCGCAGTCGCGGTGCGAGCCAGGCACGGGGAGGCACGGTCACCTTCGGAGGACGCGGGGCGCTTGGAGACGCCACGTCTGCTGGCCATGTCTGGTCGCAGCGGAATATTGGGTGGTGGTTTGGGAGAGGAGGGGGCGGTGACAATGTATGCCCGTTGTGGTGAAGCACGATTGTGGTATTCCATCCGACACGCCGGTTCCGCGACTACGAACTCGCAGAAAGTCCGCGATGCTGTTCCGGATCTCGATCCCCGGCGGCCAAACAGCCAGCACGTGACTGCCTAAACAAACAACTGCTAAGCGCTTAGCGTCCAAGCGTGCGGGCGCTTGGTCGTGGAGACTTGACCGTGACCGCCGCAGCGAGTCGCACAAATGCGTACGAGTCTACATGACGTTCCCCCTGGGTGACATATATCAGAACTGGATGGATGGTTTCGCGTGGTGTCTATATCATTGATGCAAGAATCATGTAGAGTTGGATGGGCCCAACATTGAACAGACACCAAATACGACAAGCAAGGTCAGGATGGTAATGTTACACTATGCGTAGACTTTCTAGTACAGCAAACAAAAACAGCTCAACTATCTTGCTTCGCAGAGGGAGCAAGCTTCCGCAGAGAGACGTCGTACACGACTGAATATCTCGTCAATAATCGAATCATGAGGAAAGGGACGATCATGATGCAAACCTTCTTCAATCTTTTTGATGTCGTACTTGAGACTATCGTATCGGCGCCGAAGGAGGTCGTTTTTGAGGTTCAGCTATAATTTGTGTTAGATAAACGACATCGCACGCTGCTAGCTATAAACAACCATTGAGAAGCCGGTGAACACGTCCTTGACGAACAAGGAGATTTTGATCGGTTGGTCGAAGTCTCCTAGCGTAACCGCATTGACTGCCAGTCGAGACTAAAGGCTGCATCAGTTACGCGGCAGGCTGCTAAGTTATGGACACATACCAACTCATTGACCAGGTTGATGACACCGTGCAAGTAGTCCTCAACCGGAAGCGCGAGTCTGTCTTGCCATTCAGGTTTGACTTGATTGGGGTCAATCGTAGTTGCGGGGGACTATGCGGCGCCAAAGACTTACTGCCAAGTATCTCGGCGGCCTGTTGTATAGACAGGAGTGCACCGTCCTGCAGGTACTCGGCAAGTGTAGCAGCAAATACTGCAGTGCGCAGAGAGTTCGTCCACATGTCCTTCCACTTCCAGAACTGGTGTGGAGGAATGATGTCCGCTAGGGCCGCGGTCGTTTCTCGACAACTTGCTAAAACTGGCCGGGCGGTGGCTAGCAACGCGGGCACTGGTACAGACAATCAGTACCAAGTACAGAGTTGTATCCATCTTGAGTTTACATTTTTCTGACCGCGTTGAGTGTATCCTGTTAAGGATGCCTGAAAGCGTCCTGGTTTTCTTGTCAAACTCCGTGACTTGTTCCTTGATTTTCTGGCCGTCTACAATAAGCGATAAATTCATTTCTGCTGTGAGTCGTCTCACTTCTCTTATGTCCACATCGGCATCGAGTATGGTGTTGATTTTCTCGAGATTGTCACTGTCCATGGCGAAGTGTGGTACCGCAGCAAGAGATGCACGAGCGCCTACGAACTTGAATGCAGAGACATGACGGCATGCGCGCTGACTAAGACAGAGCAAGCAGCAGCAAATAACGCGCTCTGGTCGACGCGTCTAATTACGCTGCGGCCGCGGAACCAAGTGGCTCAATTCACCTTGCTCTCTCCTCCTCCGTCCTCCTCCTTCTCTCTTCTGCTTCCTCATTGCTGGCTGCGGACATTACTGGGGTCTCCTGAAGGACCGTTTACATGGCCCCGCAGCCGCACAACAGGGATGTGGCGAAGAAAAAGCTTGTCGAACTTCGCGACTCCCCCAAAACCCTCGTCGGGGATGAGGATCTCCGAATCACCTCAATCTACCTTCTCGGATCACTCAAACCGGCGGATAACACATCAGAGACACCTCTTGCTCATGACCACTGGTTCTGCTCTCAGGCGGACGAAGTCACGAGGGAAGCCGCCATTTTCCTCATACGTCTACATGCATACAACAGTGCCTCGGTGGATATCTGGAGGCTACAGCTCAAACGTGTCATTACGCGATGCTGCTACTGCGTAAGGGGTCTCCATGAGGCGGAGACAATGTCTAGGCATACGTGAGTCTCATCGTGTATGGCTCCCAGCCGGCACAGTATCTGACGCCTACTTACTTACAGGTACTTTGGTGCTTTCGGGGAACAGATCCTCCAGAACTTCTACGTCAGCTTTCACAAGTTCCTCACTGACACTGCGGTTGAAGCTCTGGCAGAGAAGGGTTTCGTTGCCTCTGACACTGGCGATCCTAGTCGGACTTTAGCTGAAGCACCCCCCGCCGTCACGTTTCTGGTCTTGACATACCTACACATGCTGCAAGACTCTCGGATTGTCGCCCTCCTTCATTCGTTCTGTCCTCGTGCTCCAATCAAATCTTGGCCTTCCGACATACCGCCGCCGGTACTGCTTGCTCTCTTGTTTGACGGGACTGCAGAAGTCCGTTCATGGGCCCAGAAGCAGTCCACGCTATGCGAGGTTGCTCCAATTCCAACGGATAACTTTCTTCCAGCACATGCGACCGTCCTGAAGGCTGCTGCTGATTCCATTGCGTCCTCTCGTCCTCTGAGCGACTCTTTTGGATCAGACTACAAGCTTTCCTTCGTAACCGACATCCCTTCGCGATGGTCCAGTCTTACGACCCTCTTGCGATTCATCCCTGTGGAACATTTTCGGTCGAGCAAATCGTTTGATTTGGACGTCCGCCGCATCGTCATAGGTCATTTGCATGACATCGGAGAACGTCAGCTATTTCTTCTTAACTTTATTTCGACCCGCTGACCCTCTCCGCTATCTCTATACCCATATCTTCACTACACTATCAATAGATTTCATAGATATCCTGAAGTGCTTCGTGATCGTCCTGCGGCGTATGGGACCCGACGTATGGCAGGACGAAGGTCCTGAGTACGCGCATGTGGTATTCAACTCCATCAAAGACAACACGCGTTTCGCGGACGTCCTGTGCAACCTCTCTGTGCCGGTGCCGAAAGACGACTGGCAGCTCAAGTGGATAGAGGTCTACGCCAACACTGTGGGCAAGCTCCCTGTGTTCAAGGACATCCTTCCATCTGTCTTGCAGTTCCTCTGCGAAGAACTTCAGCACGAACGTTTCAAGGCCGTTCGCCCGAATGCTATGAGCATCGCATCTAGGGTGGGTGGTCTCGTGTCATCTACACAGTCAATATTTGACGGAGGCTGCGGTAGCTGCTGGTCGCGGTCCTCGCGCAGCAAGGCAAGGACGGAAACTCCAAGCAAGATCTCGCCCTCGACCTCTTGACAGTCCACTCTAGCGCGTTCGTCAACGTGGCATTCGGACGGTCGTACACGGACGAGATTTGGGCAGACGCAAGGAAGCAGACATGCAGGCTGATCAAGCAAGCGCTTTTGACGGACGTCCGGAGGCTCGTCTCTGCGATCACCAGGCTCTGCTCCTCAAACGAATCGACCGCCGCAACTCCCCCGTCCTTGATCCACGAGCAAGTGTGGAAGAACGTCTACGAAGGGATCGCTGGGGGCGATTCCGACGCGGCTGCCCTCCTGCTTGCGGTTCTCTCTCAGATATCTCATGTAGACGATCTGAAGCCGGTCGCGTTCGAGGAGGCATTCAAGAAGTCCAAGTCCCCTAGCACGTCACAAGCCTCCCTTGTCGCGGTGAATAGCGCACTCGCTGTCCTACGCAACGGCTTCCGAGACGTCCTCAATCGCTACACCGACCTGAGCCCAGGGTCTGCCGCGATAGAGCTCCTCGGTCGGGACGACGTTGTCAAGCACGTCGTTTCCCTCATGTTCTCCCCGGTAGAGACCCTCCAGGAGGCCGCGCAGGGTATTGTTGCCTTAGCGTACGACGTAGATGGCCGTCTCGACTGCTTCCGTGCGCTATTGGAACATTTCCCGGATGCCGCGCTCAGCGGAATCAACGACGTCCTGGGCGCATATATCCAGTACGCGAAGGTCGTACCAGAAGCGTGCTATCTGTCTCAAGCCCTCGCGCGCTGTCTCACCGACATCATCGAGGCGCTGTGTTCCAGCCCCTCTGGCCTCCTCCTCCAGTCCTCATACGTCAAGACGGCGGCGTCTACGCTCGAGGACAAGATACCGAAGTGGTGGCACGCGATGACGGAGGCGCTCTGCGTCATCTTCGCGTACACGCCCCGCTGGGCGCGTTTCTTCGAGAACGAAGAGATGGTACTCTGGATGCGGGACGCGCTCATCTTCGGGCGCGACCTGCTGGCACAGCGCAGGATACTGGAGACGGGCACGCTCGCGCGCTCGCAGAAGGGGGCCGGCTCGAGCGCAAAGCTGACGAACGTGGGGAAGAAGATGGTCGACGACCTCCAGCAAGTGCTCTTCGAGCTCACGAAGTGGCTGCGCCTCACGGACGAGGAACTGCTGCACCAGTCCTTCGCGCTCCTGGAGACACTGCTCGAGTGCTTCCGCCAGACCGAGACGCGCCCGCGTGCAGAGACGTTCCAGCGCATACAGCGGCACATCGACGACGCGCGAAAGAACGACCCGAACCGCATGAAGTCGCGCCTGGACTCGACGCGCTTGGTGCGGCTCGAAGAGGCTGTCAGCGCGTTCGACGAGGCCGATGAGGAAATCCAGATAATCTCCCACATCAAGCCGACGAAGCCGAAGAAGACTGCCAAAGTCAAGGAGGACCAGAAGGCGGCGCCTAGGCATATCCTGAAGGCGGGCCCGTCGAAGGATATCCAGCTAAAGGACATCAATCGCAAGGGCAAGGCGGGCATCTCTAGCTATTTCTCGCTCAACGATGAGAAGAAACCTGTCGCAGCCTCCTCGGTTTCCCGCTACGGAGTCCCGTCTGTTAGCGGTCGCTCTCTTCCTTCCGCGGGTCCTTCGAGGGTGTCCAAGCCTCTCATCAAGGACGAGAGATCATCGGCAAAGGCGAATTCCACCTCCTCACGTGCCACGTCTCCAAGTAGTAGCGAGAACGAACAGAGCGAGGACGAAGAAGACGAGGGCCCGAAGGGTTTGGCGGCTTTATCGAAGTTGCAGCGGACCCCCGCAATCAAGCAACCCACAGAGCGACGGCAGGTCAAGATGCTTGACATGCCTTTGGAAGGCCGCGGCATCAAGTTCGACCGACTGCAGAAGCGCGACGACGCACGTCGTACCCACATGCGCCTGAAGCCGGACGTCTCTGGGTTACATCGCACGCTGCTCTCGTGGAACTATGAGCATTTGGGACCCGAGCCCCCTTGGGACAGGCCGAAGCTACTGCCAGTCCCGGATCGTTTCAGAGACTACGCACACTTCCGCAGCGTTTTCGAGCCCATCCTACTCCTCGAGTGCTGGAATCAACTTCAAGAATCCAAGGAGACTACGCAAGAGTCCAACGATGTCAGAATCAACAATCGCCAGTACACCGACCAGTATATGGACGTCGACATCTCGTTCGAAGGCAGCGTCTCGAAGGACTGGAACCTCTCGGATATGGATATCGTACTGTTCACGCATCCTGGTTCCAAACGTCGGGTCATGGGGAAGACGCAAAACTACCGTTCCTCGTATATGGGCATCCAAGCTACCGTACGTTTCCTTGTTCAGGGTGCCGACCCAGGGTTGCAAGTAGGTACTGTGTGGTCTTTGAGCAAGGTCTTGAGGTTAGTCCGTCTTAAGATCCGCACGAAAAGGCGTCTCCGCCTCACCAGCTCTCAGTTTGTCGACACTCATCCGCGAGTACGCCTCCCTCATGGCCCTTCCGCACTACGACCTCCTCGACAGCGTCCTTCACGCACAACTGTCGCAACCTTCAAGAACCGACTCCGGGGAGGTACAGAAGGTCATGACCACGTACAAAGTGAACGAACCTCAAGCCAACGCCATCATCAAGTCGCTTGCCACCGAGGGATTCGCACTGATTCAGGGGTGAGTGATTTCTGCTATTCACCGTATACCATTCCTCAACTCGCGGCAGACCTCCGGGTACCGGTAAGACGTCGACGATTTGTGGACTGGTTCAACTGTACCTCGCGCGACGTCCAAAGACGTCCTCGGTCATCCATCCTGGCCGCCCCGCCGAGCGCGAGCTTCCCAAAAAGATCCTGCTTTGCGCGCCCAGTAACGCTGCCATCGACGAGATTGCGTTTCGTCTGAAGGAAGGAGTATCAGGTGCGGGACACAGGGCGGAGCATCCGAAGGTGGTGCGGATTGGTGCGCTCAAGAGCATGAACCTGAGCGTCCGGGACGTGTCCATGGAGTATCTCATCGACCAGAAGCTCAATTCTGATCCGGGGTTGAAGAACACCAAGGAGGCTGGTACCGAGCTGTCCCGGGTGCGGTCTGAGCTCGAGGCCGTCAAGCGGCAACGGCAGGAGAAGATAGAGGAGCTTGCTACGATCCAAGACAACGCTTCGAAAACGCTCGCACTGGAGGAAGATGTCAAACGGTTGAACAGGCAGAAGGCGATGCTGACCCACCAGCTCGATAAGGTGAAGGACAAGCAGAAGTCCGACTACCGCACGCTCGACGCTACTCGACGACGGTTCCGGAATGAGGTTCTTCAGGAGGCGGACGTGATTTGCAGCACGCTCTCTGCTTCCGCATACGAGTACTTGGAGTCCTTCGACTTCGAGCTCGTGATTATCGATGAAGCCGCCCAGGCCATTGAGCTGAGCTCTCTCATTCCGATGAAATACAGATGTCGGACGTGCATCATGGTTGGAGGTCAGTCTCATTAGTTTGCTGGATTTGTTGCTATATGCTGATGGAATGCGTTCCTAGATCCTCAGCAGCTGCCCCCGACGGTGAAGTCTCAGGAGGTAGGTATATTTCTGCGCTTCACCCATTTCAAGCCACCAAACCCCTCTGTCAGGCGTGCAAGCTCGGATACGACCAGTCGCTCTTCGTCAGGCTGCAGAGGAGTCAGCCGGAAGCAGTACATCTACTGAGGTGCGTTCACTGCCCTTCGTCGCATCGGAGCGCGTTTTTATGCGTGATGGTGCAGTATACAATACCGTATGCACCCCGATATCAGCCAACTGCCCAGCAACTTATTCTACGGCGGACGCCTGCTGGACGGGCCTGATATGGCGGAGAAGACCAAACGAGCATGGCAAACGCACCCGAAATTCGGCACCTATCGCTTCTTCAACGTGCAAGCTGGCGTGGAGGAAAGCGGCGCGGGACACTCGCTGGTCAATCGCGCCGAGGCTCAGGTCGCAGTAGCGCTCTACAATCGGCTGTGCAAGGAGTTCTCGTCCGCCAACATGGACTTCAAAGTTGGCGTCATTTCCATGTATCGCGGTCAGATCCTGGAGCTGCGGCGAGCGTTCCAACAGCGATTTGGGGAGGAAGTCTTGAGCATGGTCGACTTCAACACGGTCGATGGCTTCCAGGGACAAGAGAAGGACATCATTATCTTGTCTTGTGTCCGTGCTGGACCGGGCGTACAGACTGTCGGTTTCTTGCGAGGTTGGCTTTCCCTTCGAATCTTATCCGTGCATTGGATTCGTGTCTGACCTGATTTTAGATGTGCGTCGTATGAACGTTGCCCTGACCCGAGCGAAAGCATCTCTGTTCGTTCTTGGTAACGCCCCTACGCTCGAGCGCAGTGACGAGACTTGGCGAAAGATTGTGGAGAACGCGCGCTCAAGGTCTAGCCTCGTCAACGTATGTTTTCTTCACGATGACACTCCGTGCTGCGCTGATTTGGATGGTCGACAAGGTCGATGCTGCATACTTTACGGCGCCCGTAACCGCAGCACAAAGCAAGCCGCCTTCGCAGATCAAACAGGCCAAGCCCGCGTCGAAGCCTCCGTCAAATATCACACCTGCCGTCCCAGATGATCTCGTTACTCCCCGCGAGCTCAAGGCGCTTGCGAACCGTCCCAACGGCAATGCCTCGTCTCCGACTGGCGCTCCCACGTCGCGCAAGGCGTCCGTCGCGGGACCATCAACCGCAGTGTCTACAGAAGATGCACAAGTGGGACAGAAGCGAAAGGCGGAGGAGACACCAAAGGAAGAAGCAGCGCGTCCAAACGGTGCCCCCGGGCCAGGACCGAAACCGCGACCAAAACCTCCCTTGGTCAAGCGTCCAAAACAGGGCCCGAGTCTGTTCATACCGAAAAAGGTACGTCGTTGTGGGATACCGGAAGACGTAGCCAATCGCTCATGCGTCGTCTGGTAGCGCCCTGCTCCATGACACGATCCATCCGTCTGTCAGTTTCGTAGATACACCATCACGCCTCTCGGTCTCCGCTGGCCACGCTGGGACACGCTCACGCTCTTGCATCATCCTCACGCACGCATTCGCTGTAACTTATTCTGCACACTCCATCGCTTGGATATCCCTAGATTCCCATATAATACATACAGTACATACAGAGACACCCCTTCATTATACACCGCATCATACAACCCTTGTAGGTCCTTGTGGTGACCCGCGCGCCAACACCTGACGTTGGGCGCAGACCTCAAACTCCGCCACAAGTGCAAGAGCTCCTGGCGGGTGGTCCCCCAACGTGCACAATCACTACTTCGCAGAACTGTGCCGTCGCTGACAGCGAGATGATACCACCTCCCCTCCCTTTCCCATTATCGCGAACGCCAAGCCGGGGACGTCGGCGCGAGACTCGCACATATCACGGTGCTAATATATGTAGGGTAGGCAACTAGACATCTAACCCCATGCATTGCGCATTGTGATTGAGTAGATCAACGCCTATGATGTAGAGGCAAACACGAGTGCATCGGCATAATATACCTCCTGCGGAAGTCGAGATGCGATCTGCCACAATAATCATCATTCAATCTGGACTAGAAGCTGATTTACACATTGTACGCCCATCGCACCCCGCTGAGGGCGCGTCAGTATGCGTCAGTATGATTTCATGAAGACGTCGCGCCGAACGCATCATGCATCGCGGCTTGAGGTGAATAAGCCTGCCTACCAACCATGCCCGGGCTCTGGGGCTCACAATACGCCCAGAAAATGAACGACTGCAAGGGCACACAAAGAGTTGAGGCTTCTTCTTTCCAATTTCTTCTGCCAAATGCGAAGTGCTAGTTACATGCAGGGGTACGGCGCTCGTGCGTATGTTACGTGCACGTGTATCCTCATGTCGAGCCCCGTCCAGCGGAGCATCCGAGCATGCCCCAACTATCTACGGCGGCGGCGACTCGAGGAGAGCGCCCACTGCTCAAGCCTACAACCCAAACCCAGTGAAAAAGAGAGTGCAGTGCCGCGACGTCACAGTTACTGGGACGACGCGGACGCGGTGAACGCGTTGTAGTTGAACGCGGACGGGTTCGGGTTGAACGTGTAGTCCGCGGGCTTGAGGTCGATGACCGTCGCGCCGTTGCGCACGAGCGTGCCGTGCATGAACCCGCCCGGGGTGAGGTCGAGCGAGAGCTTGTTCACGCCCGCGGTGACGGGGAACGTCTGCGTCGTCGTGTCCGACGTCGCGAGCGTCAGCTCCCCGTCTGCTGTCGCGAGAACGACCGCCCACAGCTTGTCCTGGAACTGCAAGCGCAAGCACGGGTTAATTCCTTGGGGTGAGGAGGGGAAGGGAGGGGAAGAGGCGTACCAGCTGGAAGTCCTTGGGCGCGCCGACGGGGTCGTTGGGCGTCGCGTTCTTCGGGTGCGGGCGTGCCCACATGACGAGCTGGTCCTTGGTGATCGGCGGCGCCTGGCCCGTCTTGAACTGCGTCGCGAAGTAGTTGGTGAGGTCGAGGAAGCCTACCGGGGCAAACATTGATGATGGTCAGCGTGCCTGTCTGATCGACAGATCGCGAAGCATGAACGCACCCTGGTGGTCGAAGCCGTTCACCCACGCGTCCGACCCGGGCGGCAGCTGCCCGTGGTTGTTCGGGCCGATGTAGTGCGACTCGCCGAAGTCGTTCCAGGTGACGATCTCGACGAGGGACACCTTGTCGCGGTTCGCGATCACGTTCTCCCAGCGCGAGACCCAGAGGTGCTCGTCGCCGTCGAAGACGAAGTTCTTGTTGAACGTGTCCGCGCCAAAGTGCGTGAAGAACCAGGGCGCGACGGCCGCCATGTACGTCTGCGCGCTGCCCTGCACGGTTGCGAGCTGCGTGATGTGCTGGTCGTCGGTGTCGAACGAGCCGATGAACTTCTGCAGCTGCGTTGCGCCGGACGCGTCGACCGCGTTCAGGTTCACCCCGGGGAGGAGCTGGGGGGCTTGGGCCGCGGAGAGGGTCAGGGGCCATCCTGAGTTGAACTGTTCGCGACTCGTCAGCAGAAGACTTTCCAACGTAACCAAAGAGACGCACGTTGAAGTCACCATCCATGACACCGGTGAAGGTGTTGAATGTGGCGGGGTCGATGAAGAACGACGGCACGAAGTGGACCTTGCCAGTCGTCTCCGGGTGCTGGGTGAACTGCGTCCGCCAGCCGCTGGGGGGGTCGGCTTGCCCGAACGTGCAAGCCTCGCCGGCGAAAGTAGAGACGAACGCCTTGCCGTCAACCTGGAGCTGGGACGGGCTGGTGGCGAACTGCATGGTGAGGTCGCGAAGCTTCGTCGCGTCATCCGCTGTAGTGCAAGGGAAGGAGCTGAATGAACTGGTTAGCATCTACAGCGCCAGCGCTAGTAATGACTGCCGTACCTCATGTCAAGCGAGAAGAACAACTTGAAGTCCAGCGCCTCTGCAGCTTGGTAGCTATTTCATGTGTTAGTAACCAATAGAATGAGAAGAAGGGAATGAACCTACGCGTTCTGTGCCTGGGTGGTGGTGAAGGGGTCATTGCCGACGTTAAGTGCGAAACCATCAATGCCGTTGGCCTTGGCCAGTGTCATGTCGGACGTCCAGTCGTCGACAGTGAACGCAGCAGTGAGGCCGACAATGTGGTGTGCCACGACGACCTTAGGGACGCCGGACTGGCGGGCGACCTTGAGGGGTGCGGCATTAACAAATGCGGCAGCGGCGAGGAGGCCGAGGGAGGAGATGGCGGATCTGAAATGCATGTGTGCGGCGGGGGTTCGTCGTAATGAGCGTGAGGAGAGTGTGAGGCGGAAGACGGCTAGCGTCGGAAGAAAGGAAATAAGCTTAGAAAGAAAGAGAAGACGTGCAGGAGAACGTTAGCAGCGCAGCTACCACGGACGGGGTTCGTCGGTGCGCGCCGTCCAGGCTTTATAGGGCGCGGACAATACGGCGGGTGCAACAATGATACCGAGGCGCAGACGCTGGGCCCGAGCCGGCAGGCGCACATCATGGGGATCATCGGGCGGACGTATATCGCCACAGCATTTGTGCTGATTCGCCCTGAGACGGTGTCGTATTGTTCTGCGTTCTTGTCCGCTTTCGGCTGTTTGCACTCCTTCCTGATCGCAAACACGCACAACTGCCTTATTTGGAACGGGCGCTCCCCGCTTGACGACCTGCACGGGCGCCTTCCACGCTCGCCTGCGAGAGGCTGCGCGAGGTTTTGATACGCCTCCTCACGGTCCGCAAAACATGAGTGATGTCTGCGGGCGTTGCTGTTGCGCGCCATCTCTCCTGGAAACTGCATTGCGGTTAACATCGGTCAGAGGCTGTACGTTCGGCGGTTGGCAACTCACAGCAGGCAGTCTAGACTCCAGAGCAGACTCGACCCGAGCCCCGTCCGTAAATCCCATGGCTCGAACGAGACGAACAACAAGGAGCTCGCGTCGGTGTTGGGACCATGTGGCGAGCTCATGGAGCGGAGGGGACTTGCTCTTGTTCTATCGGGACGTGTCTTCCCCTAGTCCGGACGTTGTTCTTGCATGACGTTTCGGTCATACCGTCTCGTAATTATCTGGCAGCGATAGACACCCGTGCGTAACCAGCGAGTCGAAGATGAACAATCTGAGGCCATGGTGGACGTTACAGTCAGAGACGCTTGAACTTTCAGAGTCGTTCCGTCCAAACACGTGTCTCCCGTCCCTCCGTTCCGGCGCCCGATTCGGATCGCAGTGGTACTGACGCGTCCCGTGTATCCGCGCGTCCCTCGGAACGGGGACGCGTCCTTCTCTTGACCATTACACATACAACGTAGTCTCCTCCCTCTTCAACATATAGACACAACATGGCAGCAGAACCTCGCCCACGGCGACGCAGCATGACCGATGCATTCTCCATCATCCGCGACCCCGACGCTGCAGCCGCCGCGCGGGGCGATCTGATGAGCATGCTCGAGCGGAACCGGTAAGGACCGCGAATTGCACCAGCCACCGCCTGTCGCCTGCGCTGACCACCCATGTGAAACGCACGCTGGTAGGGAGCGCGAGGCACGTCTCGACGCGTTCGCCGCCTCGTTGCCCAAACTCACCGAGCGCGATCTCGCAGCGCTCGGTCAGTCCGGTACGTCCTTATGCTCCTCGCACCGCTTGCTCCGGGTATGTCCTCACGCTGACACTCCCGCACCCTTGCAGACGGGAATTGCCCAATCTGCCTGACCTCGCTCCTCGCGCTCCTATCCGAGGAGGAGATGGCGCTCGCTATGGATTCACCTGCGCACCCCGTCGAGGAGCTGGGCGTAACAAAGCTTCCGCCACCATGCGGACATGTATTCTGCCGCAAAGAGTTGAGCACCGGCCGCGTCGCCTCGCGCACCGTCCCTCGTGCATAGCACACCACTAACTTAACTTTTTTTCCACGCTCCCCGTAGTATCCGCGGCTGGCTCTATCAGGGGGTGAGTACGGCATACCGGGTGTTATGAGGACGCCCAGGTCCACCTTATATCACATACTGACGGATCTTGTTGTCGCAACAGAATACGACCTGTCCGACCTGCCGCCGCCCCTTCATCGCCCCGGGAAGCGATGAGGACACGAGCGTCTCTCGGGAGGCAGCGCTGCTGGACGACCTCCTCAGCGGCGCGCTCGCACGGCCCATCCAGTTCGACGACCACTTCCCTTTCGACATCTTTCCGGGTATGCAGGGGCGGCCGCGGGATCCATCACAACAAGCGGCGGACGACGCATCGCACGGACCCGACGAACCGCGCGAGGCGCACTTCGATTACGACGACGACAGGAGCGCGTACTCCGGGATGTACTCTTAATTTCGTCTCTGCGGCGAGGCGGCGTCCTCTTCGTTCTCATCTTTGGATTCGGGTTGGGGGCTGTGGTGCGGCGTGCCTAGAGACGCTGCGGTATGCAGCAGTTTGAGTTCGATGTACATTATATCTATCTGTCATGTGCGTGACACGGGGGCTGGATGCCAAGAGCAGCAGCAAAGCTCTACAGGATAGTTTGCGTTCCTGGGGGGTTACAACACACTATGCAAAACCACTAACTCCCCCTCGCAGAGGCACAGAACAACCACCTTACCCTGCATCTTCATCAACCCAACGCCCAAGAGCGCCCCCGCAACTCCACCGCCAACTTTGAGCACCGTCTGCTTCGCCCAGTTCTCCCGCGGACCTACACCGCGGTAGATATACACGTTCCCACCGAGGTCCTGCGTGCCGCTCTCGAACGCGAACACCGCGTCGTGCGCGACGTGGTGCACGAAGCGCGTGTCCCGCTTCGACGCGAGCACGAACGCCAGCGCAGAATACGTCCCGGTGTGCGTCCACGCAGGCGAGTCCTCCAGACTGCCACCTTCTCCGTCACGCAGTGTGTACACAACCCCGTCGAGCCCGTTCTTAGCGACGAGGGAGGGAGGGAAGACGCCCGTGGCGCCGGGGAACGGCGTCGCAAGCACCGGCAGCGCCGCGTCGTCCGTGCGGTGTTTGCCATCCACACCCACCCATGTCGTACACGCGCCCTTGCCTATGGTCAGGTCGACCTCGTCGTCGCGCTCGCCCTGGCCCAAGCTTGGCACACCTACCCCGAGCCCACTCGCGTCCGGTCCCTCGCGCAGCGCAGCAGTATACTTTTCGAGCGACTCACGGATCGCATACAGCTCGCTCGGGTCCAACGTCTCCGACACCTCCTCCACCCCGGCGCTGGCGGAGTCAGAGAACACCTGCGGCCAGCGCGTGCCCTCGTGCGCCTTGTCGAGGTGGAGCGCGAGCACGCCATACGTGCCCGTCGCGGCACGGTCGAGCGTCCACACGCTTGTGCCGGGCTGGATGCCGTCCCACAGCTGCGCGAGGGAGAAGCGCGGTACGGGGATGGGCGCGTCGGCGGAGTCGTCGACGAGCACGGTGAGCGTGCGCGGGGAGAAGGCGACTTTGATGCGCTCTTTGGGTGTGTCGGAGGGGAGCGGGATCGCGAGCGTTACGGTGTCCTCGGTCTGTGTCCAGGAGTAGGGCGGGGGCTTGGGGATGTCGGCGGGTGCGGGCGTGGGCGTGCCGTCGAGGTTCTCGCCTGCGCGCGGGATCGGCGCGAGTTCGTCCGCAGAAGGCTCATATGCGGGCGCCGGAGCGACAGTGAGTGGAAGATATGGCGAGCTCCCAACGAAGAGGAAGGCCTGTCGGGTCGCGTCGTATGCAGTGTAGAGCGGGACGTCGTCACCACGCGTGTGCCATGCGATTTGGAGAGGTTGTGCGTCAGGCGACGAGGCGATAGGGAGCGCGATCTGGACGCCCCAGATATCGAATGTAACTGGGGGTGCTTTGTGGGTGTTCTTGGGTGGTTCGGGCGCGTTCGTAGGGTAGTGCTTGGAGGAGAGCACGGTGAGAATGCTCTGGCCGTCGGGGGATATTGCTTGGTGTAACCGGAAAGGCACAGAGGGGTGCGCAGATTCGTACGCGGGTGGAATAGCGAGCTCGTACGAGGCGAGGAGCTCGGCCGCGCCGGAGTCTCCGAGTCGGAAGGCGTAGAGTGCCCCATAACCGTCTGCCACAAGGAGGGAGGTCGCGTCCACAAATGCGGCGGACGGGTACTCGCGTTGTAGCGTCTCCGCGGCGGCGGACAGGATCGGCCTCGGCAGCTCGCACACGACTCTGAACGTGGGCGCGAGCGTGGTCTACTTGCGCGACGAACACCACGGAGTCAGCGTGTGTCCTGCGCTCTATGGTCTGAGGGGGCGTCAACAATTCCGGTACTCACCTCGTCCAGATCGACAACTACCACACTAAGCTCCGCGTCCACATACGCCGCGCGTCGCGATCCGCTACAAAGTGCAAGGTGGTTGTGCAGCACGCGGCTCTGCACCTCCTGGAAAGACAGCGGCGCGCGGCCGGAGACGTTCGTCTGCGAGAGCCTGTTCACCAGCGGGTGGTGTGTGGTGACCTCATCGTAGTCCAGCGGCGAGAACTTGTATCCGTCGAATTTCGGGTTCAAGAGGGATCGGTTGGGCGTGAATGTCGCCATGTCTTTCGCCGTGGTTCGGGGAGAACGGAGGACTTGAAGGTTGCGAGCCCATGCTTGCGGGAAGAGGAGCCGCTCTGTCTCGTAACGGTACATTCTCGGCGGGCCGAAGGTAGAGTAAGCGCCCGTTTCCGCGAATATAGTATTCGCAGCGTGGTACGCGCAGACGGTCCATCTTGCAAGCCATCACTCTCAATATTCTTCGATAAATGTGTTTGTTATGAAATGCGAGTCTCGGAGAAATTTGGGCGGCCAGGAGCTGACGCAGTCAATTAACTGCGTCCAGCTTGACCAAGTTGTGGTAGACGCAGAGCCTGCCCGCGCGGGCCCGTGTGTTCGTACGTACATACGATGGGTCCCGCCCATCGCGTCGTTCGTACTATACTGTAGCCAAGAGATTTGAGTGTAGCATTCAGATGTAAAAGCAGGAGTCTATGATACAAGACGTATAGCATAACAAAAGTTTAACAACACAGTCACAACATTCCAGGAAATACAACAGCAGGAGCGTAGCGGTCCAGCCGACGGGTATGTCAATGTATCCCAATCCAATCTTCACTAAATCCAACCCCGGTCTGGACTTCACATGGCCTTATGCGGGGACAGCAACACGAGGGGCCGACGTTGAACAGCTGCCTTCTGCGCCTGGGTAGCAGAGGAGTGCTTCAGCGCTTCAGCGCCGACCCCGTCCACTCCGCAAGCAGCGCGTGCACGTCGAGCTGCGGGGCGGCCGCGGGCTTAGCTGCTTGCACCGCTGCTGCCGAGAGCCTACGCTCAGCCAGTGCGACGTTCGTCGTGGGCGGGATGACGGCAGCCACAGGCGGCTTCTCTGGCAGGAGCTTCCGCATGGGCGGACTCTTCGAGCGTGTCGGCGGGCTCGCTGCGTTGTCCAACCACGCGTACTCGTCGTCGTCATCTTCGTCCTCACTGTCGGAGTCCTTCGGCCGCCGAATGAGGGGCCAGCCGTTTTGCATGAGCGGGACCGCCTTCGCTGTGCCCTTGCTTGTGCGTTTCGTGCGGGCAGGCGAAGAGTCGTCATCGCTGCTGCTGTAGCCTTCGCTGTCCTTGCCGAAGTGCTTGGGGCGCTCCCATTGGGACAGGTCGAGGTTCAGGGTACCCTGTCGGCGGGGGATGGGAGGTTGGTCTGGCAGGCGCTAGTCGACGACGCATATGAGAATTGGTCGCTTTTGGAGTGGGGAAGGGAGGGATACACATACCTTCAGCAAGTACTTGCATACTTGAAAGCCACTCTTGCCCACATCCATCCAAGCCTAGCGCAGTCCGAGTTAGCACACGCATCAGTTCATGTCATGGGATGAAAGGTGCATACGCTTTCAACGGTGTAGAGCCCGTCGTAACGGTACCCCTCCACTGGAGCAAAGTCGGAGCTGGACTTGTACCCGCGCACTACGCGCACGGGCTTCTTCGTCTGCGCGGACACCTATTGACATCTTAGCACTGTTAGGCACTAACAAAAGGCTTAGTACTTACCCGGAGGGACATATTGCGCGAGTTGTTCCAGCTTTGGTCGCATGTCTGTGGCCCTTCACGCGGCTATACAGAAAAACAGCGGTCAGTAGGGACATTCGTGTACGCACCCCGATATCCTATGGACCTACTTTCTCGCCATCCTTGGTGTCTCGGCCTCCACATCCGGTGTATGTGCTGTGAGAGATGCGCTGTCAGCTTCTGCGTGGAGTCATGGCGCACGGCAGGCCGAGTACGTAATAAGAAATTATCGCAAGTTGAGAAAGTGAGATAACGCGCCGGCGCGCCGGTCCCCAAAGGGCATTATATATTGGCTTGCATGGCGGTAGACATGGTCACAACAAAGGTAGGGAGGGGGAGGTAGGTTGGGAGCGGGTGGTGCCACAACTTTCGACGCATACAAGCTGAGGCACTGCGACCATTCTCTCGTTTGCAGAGGATGGCGCACATGAGCAGCGCTACCGCCGCCAAAAACGCGGGGAGAGGGGGAAACTTTTGTACTCACAATCTATATCCTTCATCTTTATCGTCCTCATACTGTCCAGAGAGGACTACGCTATAGCATCCTTCGTGCTTGTTTCCGTAGATGCCCGCGAGAATCCCGGAGTGCACAGAAGCGTGGTGCAGGAACAGCCTGATTGATTCGCATAAGACGCGTCGTTGTGTCCAAGAAACGCGTCGATGGCGGCAGAGGGCGCGTTGGTCGCGATGAAGTGATCGGGGAACTCTAGTTAAGTGCATGGTACTTCCCCGCGGGCTGAAATTAGGACGCACCTATTCTCGAACGTAGAGTTCACGGGGACGCCTGGGATGTCCCCGAAGACGTTCCTGCGGTAGGCACGGCGTACAGCAGCAAGGTTCGCACATGAGCGTCAGATGTGGTCGCCGTCCATTAAGGTATGTAGCGGTGTCAATTAGCGCAGTTGGACAACAGAAAATGGCTGGTGCAACTTACGCAGGCTGGGTGCGCTTGATGGATGGCTTGTTGTTGAAGCCCATCTCGGTGGGGTGTTTGAGGTCGAAGTTCAAGAGCAAGAGATGTGGAATTCCGCTACGATCGAGCGGGAGAGGTGATTATGAACAATGAGTAATGTCCACAGACGCCCACTGTCGATCGCCGCTGTTCCGTAGGCGCTTGTTGTGGCGTCAGCGCTCGACCCAAGATATCGGAAGCGCTCAAATCTGGATGCGCAGAAATCCATATTGGGGATTCTACTGAACGCCGGATGCAGGCCACCGCGCCCAGCGTGAACTCCTACTCAGAATCCTGCACGAGATCACACGGCACATAGCTGCAGCAGTAGACCGATACAGTTGAACGCTACATTCTATCCAGCTCGTCATGCATGTACAAACAGAGAGGAGGGGCACGGGGTAACCGGGGAGATACGTACAAGCCACATCAACTATGGACTATGAAGACACCAATGATTGCTTGGGGATGAGGACACGACGACACGAACGCGGGGAGCCGTAAAACGAGAACGGATGTGGGCTAGTCCGATCTGTGATAGATATCGACATGATGAAGGAGGCGTGAAGAAGGGGGCCCGGGACGAAAAAGAGACTACTAGCAGGGGATGTCGCGACATGATACAAACACCGGTGGATTAATACACTGCACATACACTACCCTACACCTTGAGCGGGCTCTCGCTCGCGTCCAACAGGCCCTCCGCCTTCACCGCCGCGCTCGGTGCGTCGCCGTCCGGGAGCGGCTTGAGCTGCTTCGGCGTTGCGTCCCCATTGACTGGCGGCGTCGGCGGCGGTGGAGGTGCCTCGCCATCTGTTGAGGATCCGTTGGCGGCGGTGTAGGTCGGAGACTCCGGGTCACTCGGGTGCTCGCCGTCGGCGTGCTCCTCGTGTTCGTGCTCCTCCGACTCGATCTCGTCCTCCTCCATGTCGCCCATCTCGACGTCGGCGTCGCTGAAAGCGCCCATGGCGTCCAGCTCTTGCAGCTGCTCCCGGAGGCTCTTCGTCATGTCGAGCTGGATCGTCCGCCCGCCAAAGCCGAAGCCAGCATTGCTGATGAGCGATCGCGCATTGCCGCCGTGACTCTCCGCGTCGTCATCGTCGCTGTCGTCATCATCGTCATCGTCTGGTGCCGTAGGAAGTGTGAGCGAACTGTCGCCCCCGAGGATGCTGGCAAGCCCGCCAAAAAGAGAATTCGAACCCTCGTTTGTGTTGCCCACTCGATCGCGCTCCTCCCGCTCCTGCCGTTCCCGCCGGCGCTGTTCGTAGGCCTCGCGCTTCACCTTGAACGACATGAGTCGGCTTGTTGAGTAGAGTTGCGGGATCGTCTCCGGGGTTGGGTATCCGTATTTGCTCTTCACGCGTTCCGTTACCCACTGGTACCACTCTTCCTCTGTCCGGCCATGGAGCAAGGCCACGACCATGATCGTCATGTTGTCGCAACCAATACCTGCGCCGGTGGTGGTATCGGGCGCTAGGCACAGCTCGCAGATCATTTCGCACAGTTCCGGCAGCTTACGCCCTTGAGCAATAAGGAGTCGCACGACGTTCACGGCCTGTTGTGATGTCAAGCAGTCCCAGATGCCTGATGATGGCGTCAGTCGGGGAAGCACGTGTTAAGAAGCAGGAGCATACCGTCGCAGGCGATGATGATAAACTCGTCCTCCTCAGTGATCTGGTGTTCCATGATTTCAGGATCGCTGGTGATGATCTGAGCCTCGGGTCGCAGAGACGCATTCTTCTTGTAGTCGAAGTCGCCCAACGCCCTGGCCAGCGCGAGATTACCTGTTATGAGAGCTTCAGTCTGGGGAACGCGCATAGAGCGAGCCACTAACCGTTTACACGGCCGTATTCGATGTATCCGCCAGCTGCCACAATGCGGTTCTTCTCCACTAAAAGCGATATTTGAGTGGACCGGAGGAACGGATAGAAATAGTGCACACCCTCATTTTGCGGCTTGTGGTCAATACTGAGAGCCTCCGCCTCGCCCTTGACGCTGATCACCGACCGCGAGTCACCTGCATTCGCCTGATACACTTGGTCAGGAATTGGGGTTTGTGTCGAGACACGGCACGACACGCACGACGTAGACCCTGCCCTCCTTTGTAACAAGCGCTGCGACCGCGGTGCAACCAGAGGCGTCCCGGGCGAAGTCAGGGTCTAGGGTAGGGGTGAGAAGCTGAATCAGACATTGGCTACACGTCGCAGGACGTTTGGGACGGCTCACTAGATCGAATGTCTTCATCGGTCCCAAGGAACGCGTTCTTCAGCGCGAGCCGGTAATCGTGTTGCTTATATGCCTCGTCCCGGACAAGACGGTGGTGCACGTTCTGCCCTGCGTACTTTGCGACCGCCGCGCCTGAATCACGCCGGATGTGAGGAGTGACCCCCAGGGGAACGTAGGGTCTGAAACATACCGCCATGGCCGTCGTATACTGCGAAGAACGTGTTCGTCTCGTCCTCCGATGGTGCGCCGTCCAGGTTTAGTTCGGCGGTATGCGCGTCTTCCATAGCTGCGCGCAACATCAGCACCCCATCCGGCGAGCGTAGTCCGCCCGGGAGACGGAGAGGAGAAAACGTCGTGCTTACTTATCCTCCATCCTTGCATCTCCGACACGCCGTACAGGAACTTGCCATTTCCGCCCTGCTGCGTCGTCTTGTCCGTGGCTGCAAGCACAGTCAGACATGCACGCCCCCCAGCACCACCCGCCCAAGCACCCATGCGCACCAGGTATAGAGAGGGTTTGACCCTGGAGACGAGGACCGGCGTAATTGGTTAGCACATGCCCCACACCCCGCGCGCGCCGAGAAAAATCGCCAATCACGCACCATCTTTCACGTCCTTGAGGGGGAGAAAAAACACGAGGGTCGTGGGGAGGAGAACGCGGCGGTCGGCGGGGGCAGCGGGGGTGAAAGCTGGAGTCTGGAGAAGGGCGGGGAGAGGTCGTGTGGTGTCTCGAGTCAAGCCGTGCGAGGATCTGTTGACGGCTGTTTGCGGAGCAAAATCTCTAGTAGCAGTTCGCAAGTGGTGAGTCCCGAAAAGGCAATTTTCCCCATCCACGCCGTAAGCGCGGCACCGGCTGCTCCAGAACGCGAGTACCGCCGGCACGCGCCATGTACAGTTGTCATTGCAATCACGCATCGGTTTATAGCACGCCCACCGCAATGGTATACAGAGAGCAAACGAACGCATAGCAATACAGGATGCAGGCAGAGCGCAACAGATTCGTACAGACACCACCGCCGGAGATAAGTAATATAAGATTACGGACCGGTACAACATTGTCGTCACCGCGCGCCGTCGTACATGTGCGTAAACAGGTACAGCAGCCCGTGCCATATGTCGATCACTTCTTCTTTGCAGACGTCGTTTTCCCCTTGCTCGTGGCAGAGCCGGCGCGCGGCACGCTCTGCTCGCGTCGCCCGGGGGGGCCTGGTGTTCGCGCTCGTGGTGGTGGCGGCGGCCCCGCTCTCCCGGTGTCCTCCTGCCCATCTTCGTCCGCCTCGCCCTCGTCGCTTGCAGGCACGGCCCGAGCCTTGCCTTTGCCTTTGCCCTTGCCTTTGCTCGGGTTCGCGGGAGTCTGACTCCTGCGGCGATGGGTATGCGCCGGAGCGTCATCGTCGGACGCCCGATCGCCACCGATCGAGTCGCCGTCGGAGAGCGGTCGGTCCTTCCCATCGAGTTTGAAAGAGACGCGCCGGCCTCTGGCCTTGCTGCGCTGACCAGGGGGTACCGAAGCGGGGCGCAATATTGGAGAGGAGTCCATGGGAGAGGACGGTATCGGCGAGGAAGGCGGGAGCGTGCCGCTAGAGTAAGCAGGATCGAACCAGTACGGGTAGGAGTGTGGATAGTGTGTGGGGGTAGAGTACGTCGACGACCGAGATGGCCCCGCTTCCGAAGACGGCATATCGAAGCCTTGAGAGTGTCGGGGATGGTGTCCTCGGTGGCTCGGCGTTTGAGGCATCCCGTAGAACGGTGGTGGAGGGCCCGGATGATATGCGGGACCGGATGGGGGCGACATATGTGGAAACAGCCCGCCTGAAGCCATGAAATACGAAAACATCGCCATAGCTTGTGACTGCTGCAACGACATTGGAGGGAAAGCCGGATGCGGAGGATGAGGAGGATGAGGACCATGGGCGACGCTATTCGCACGCGTGTGATCGGGTCGCTGGGCGTGTGGTGGGTACACGGAAGGATATAGGGATAACGCGGGTATAGGTGCCTCTGATCTGGCACGGTGATGGCTGCGACCTGCTGGCACCAATGGACGGTCTGTTCGTCTTGACTCAATATCATGCAGGATACAATAACGCAGCACGACGTACCGTCTTCGTAGTCGGTTTGTACAGGTGATGATGTTGGGGGTGCCGTGGCGGAAGAGTACCCGGAAGGTCGTCCCGAGGCGCGATGTGGCGGCTTCCGAGCTGCAGGTCCGGGAAGCGATGGTTTCTCGGGCGAACCGCCGGAAGAGGATGAGGAAGCCACTCTCCGGCGCTTACGTCCTTTCGGCGGGACAGGTTGCGGCGAGCAAGACTCTTCAGAGACGCTCCGCGTTTGCAATGGAGTACGCCGCGAACCTGAAGGGACCGGCGGGGGTTCCGAAGTGACGGCACCAGAAGCGACTTCCTTGCCTTTCCTCTGGGTCAGGTTCGAAGGCCCTGCCTCCTCATTCTGCCTTGCTTGCCGCAAGGCTCGGGATCGTACGGACAGTGGCACCTCAGGTGAGTCTGGACGAACCGGCGTCTTGCCTCGGTGGGACCCCGTGCGAGGAACCATGATGACCACTTCGGGCTTCATGCTGGCTCGCGATACCTTTGTGGACATCTTCCGTGCAGACGAAGCGACGTTTGGAACGGGAGAGCTTAGCGGGGAGTTGTCATGCTCGCTTGTTTTCTCTGAGTCGCCGGCCTTGCGAGGTGTCGGGACATAGCGTGGACGGGGCCGTGGCATTTTCGGGCTAGGTGTCTCATTTCGGACAGCGACTATAGCCATGTCAGGAGGGTTACTAGGCGCAGAGCACGAAGAGCGAGGGGGGGTCAACAGCTGTAGAGCCTGCGGTGATGCCGAACGTGGTCGCAAAGAGACTTGTAGCTGTGATTTTGACTTTGCCCTGGCCCTCGGTTGCGACTGGGAGCGTGGAAGAGAAGGCGCCACGCTCTGTATGCGCGCACCCGACTGTGGTCGCCCCCGTGGTGGGGACGCGGGAGATGGTGAACGCGAGAGTGTCAAGTCAATCAGATCGTCAGGAGGGGGGACGGAACGTCGTGGGGGTATGGGTGTGTCGTCGATAACCCATTCAGCAAGCTCATCGTCAGAAGAGTCATCCTCAGCAGGTCGGGGTGGGGGTCGTGATTTGGGACGTTGGGGCGTAGGTCTTGTGGGAGATAGAGAGCGCATGGCCTCGCTTGCTGAGTCGCATTGGGTAGACGGAGGTAACTCCTCCTCGGAAGGAATAGATTCCTCCTCGTCTGTCGGTCCGTCTGTGTTGGCGAAGCCATCCTCCTCCGGACCCTCATCCCCCTCATCTTCATCGTCTCCATAGAGCTCTTTCCTCTGCTTTTCCGCCTCCTCGAATTCCCGGAAAGCTTCGGCGTCTTCTGGGTTCTGCTCATCCGCGGGTGGCACATACCAGTTTTTGTAGTATTGCAGCTTCTCCTGGACGGCAGACTCGACCGGCGGAGGCGAGATGAGATCGAGCTCGTCCGCTGACTCCTCGTCCTCCGGAGCGTTCTCCTCCCCCGCGCTGATCTCGGTTTCGTCCTCCGCGCCCTGGCTGCTGGCGTCGTCCACACCTGAAGACGCAAATGAGCCGATTTCATATGATTGGACGGCGGCGCGCGTGACGCCACGGTCCTTGATAAAAGCGAGGTCGCGGAGGTCCACAATATCGTCCTCATCGAGCGGCTTGTTATATCGCGTAGCAAGATCATCCCAGAATGCAAAGAGACGACTACTAGACTCTAGACGAAAGTCACGAGGCTGTGGCGGTGGTGGACGAGAGGAAGCAGAGCTAGAAGGCGTAGACGAGAGTCTTGGTCGTTTGAAAGGTGCAGGTCGGTCAGGAATGCGCGGAAACACGCGCGAGCCAGGCGGCGACGCAGATGGGGTGATGAGCGGAGGCCGCAGCGGTGGTGGTGGGACCTTGTCGACTGGCTGGGTCGGACGGCCGTCCATAGATGATAGCGTCGACGGCGAACTCGCGTTCAGCCACACCGACACGCTCACCCAAGCCAAATCGGCAATCGCCTTTCAACCAGCACGTGACCGCATTGTCCTCCTGCGCGTCGCGTCAGTGGCGGTGCTCGCGCTCTCTCTCTCTCTCTTGTCGCTCTCTCTCTCTTGCTCTCAGAGATCTCTCAGTGAGTGACGACTAAAACAGTCAAAAATTCCCCCACTCAGACAAACAACTCCCAGTCAGAACAATGCTTTCGGCATACTCTGAACGGACAGCTCTCGACCCACCAAGTTGGCGCGTCCTTAAACGACAACGCACTCTCATTCACGGTCAGGAAACTGTTGATCGAGGGTGTGCACTCACCCGCACCAAGAGTTCGAATCATCCTGGCAAATTTCTACCACCGCTGTCAGCGCGTGTATTCAAGGAGTAGGTGCCAGCGGTCTTGCAACACCGCGCACTCCAGACCGTTCGTAGGCTCGTGCGCGAAGAACCGCTGCCGAAACGATCCCAGCAGCGCGGAAGAACCGCTCCATAGTCGATTTTAAGTGTCCGTGAGGTGATTCGGCGGGTCAGACGCCCTTGAGCTTCAAGAAGTTGTGGCCGGTGTATGTCCCTGAGCCCTGGTCTTCGTCTCGCCGGTCCGTCTTGAGCTGGACCGCGAAAAGGTACTCTGCATTTGCTAACGAGCACTCGTCGTTGTGTATCATTGGTAAGGCTGTGGCTTACTTCGAGTTCTCGTCCACTAACTCTGGTTCCATCTCAAGCTCTCGTGGGACCGGCACCAATGGAGCACGATGTGCCAACTAATCCCGCGCGTTCCGGCCCCATGCCACAACCGACGACAGCTGTTGACCGTGCATGCTCGGGTCGAGCATCATCTTCAGCGTCGGTTCGACAGCTATATATCGCAGACGCTCTCGTGTTTGGCTCATCCTCCGGTACGTGTCCTGCAGTCGGGCCCGTATGGACTTGATAGAAGCCAGTGAAGATGCTCACCATCCAGAAACGGTCGCCCGAGGTCCAACAGGCATGCCAGGTCAGCTGGGATCGGCTCCTGGCGGCGGGGAAGATGTGGTCAACGCGCTCAATGCCGCGCATCACATGTGCTAAAAGTCGCACGCGCTAACCAGAAGTACGTGCGCAAGCACACGCGGAGGGGGGGGTACCCGGTCTCGGTACTTGATGAGTGTCATCACGTCAAAACAATGCGGGGCGCGACCTGACTACATGGTTTTTCGGCACAACGACTCTCACTAGTGCGACTCAGTTCCAGTGGGAGTCGTTGGCCTCCGTGAGGGTCGCTCTCACCAATCTGGCGTACATGGCCATGACCGCCACACACTTTCCCAGTCTCGTAAAGTTGACGTTCGACATCGGAACTACACACCTTGCATGAACGCTGCGTGCACTCGGCACACGACCAGTTGCGCTTTGGTTACGGCAGTGGCACCTCCTGTACAGGGACGCAGTTGACGGCGTTGACACAAGCACAGTAATCCAGGGAAGAGACGCCCCAGAAGACCGATCGATACGACAGCACCCAACCACAGCCCGTGCAGAGGTCTTGTGCCACCACCCGCGGCGTGCTTCTGGGCTCAGGGCTCGTCGCAGCGAATCCATCGAGCGCGCTGCGATCATGGCCACAGCGTGCCCTACACGAGGATTGGAAGCCCCGCCCGGCTTCGTGCGCCCCCCACTGCCCAAATCCTGCACCTCCCCATCCGTCAGCGGGCCTACGACAGGAGGCTCTCTCTCACACGCCCGCGTCCGCTCGTTGACAAATCGAGCCATCAGCGCGACTTTTGCCTGGACAGACAAGAAATGAACGCTGCTCCCATCGATCCATGGCCTGCTTTTCGGCATCTATCCTCCCTGTCCGCCCAGGCGCCTTAATGTTCGTCGGGGACGAGCATGATGTCTCGCGACCACTCTTTCAAGATCACATCCGCGCTGAGCAGAACGGTCGGACGTGTGAAGCGTCACTGTTAATCGCCGTCGAGCGTTCCACACCAACGCCGATGACACACACAGACTGATGCCTCCCCTCCGGCATTCATGACTATCTGCACCCATCTAGTCGGATTGCCATCCTGGTCCTTGGTGCGCTTCGCAATCGCCGTCGCCATTTGGAGGGCATACAAGGCTTATATGCCAGCCGCTGCTTTCTGGAAAACCGGTCGCCAAAAAAGCCCCCACTTCGACGCGCGACTTCGCAGCCTCGGAAATGAACACAAGAAGCGCACGGGACTCGAGGGCGTCATGACGTCGGCGAGGCACGCGCAGCCTCGGCCGGCCGTGGCAAATACGCAACAGGCGCGTTCATCGTAAGCGACGCAGGCGCGAAGGCGGAGCAAGAAAGGACGTCTCAGCCTCTAGAAGCTGGAGCTCAGGAGACAACACGCTACGGGAGCTGAGGCTGCTCTGTAAGGCCGTGCATACGAAGGTGAAGAGCCACAAAGACACGCACGATACGAGTCCGGGCATGAGACGGCTACACGGCGATCCAGGCGTTGCTGGGAGCATAGGTGAGTTCTGGGACGTTCTCTGTGCACGATGAGAGGATGCAATGTTGCGGCTTGCCGAAGAGGGAGAGCAGCGGGGGCGCACGTTCGTAGACCCTTCGACAATGCAGCTGGCCACCGTTGCAAGTTCTCTGCTTTCTGTGGCGCTGCTGGGAAAGCACCGAAGCGCATCGCGCAGCGTGCAAGCCGAGCAGCGTCGCATCGCATTCAACGACGTTCATTGTTCCCCGCCACGAGAGGGGGTTAGCGCACCGCCGAAGGATCTGCGATGACGGTGCCGCCCAGGCCCCGTCGCAGTGAAACAGAGCAGGCGGCCAACGGGAGAATGCCCGGAGATGTTGCCCAGGGAGATACCCGTGCTCCCCCACAATCTAATCCGGGCACTGAATGCAGCGATAGCGGGGCATCAGCACAGATACTAGATGCCCAGATAGCGTGCGTACACCCAGCTATCCGCTATACATGTCGCAGTCCAGCTCCCAGGCACAGCGGCTGGCCACGCCCGGGAACGCAAGTCGGGCGGGATTTGTCAGGCGGGGACGCGCCGCAACCGTACTGCGACGATCCCAAAAACGTTCGTGGTGCGGCTGCGGCCCACCCGTTCCGTGGCGTGAGGACGTGCACATGGGGGCTACAGGAAAATGCGAGGGGCCCGAGCGGGGCCTATGAGCTTGCGCTCGAGCGTCGAGCATCGTCGTCTACCGCGGTGCGTTAGAATCGTGAATCCGGCCTGCGGTGGGTGGCGTCCCTGGAAGTAATGATCCATGGGTACGCAGGTGGACGTTCTGCACACTAGACCTCACCCGCAGGCGGAAGAAGTTCATGATTTGCGCTGCGAACATGAGCCAAAGGTTGTGCGGCCAAGCTTGCGTCGCGCTCGTCGGAGAGCACAAGACCAGGATGGTTCCGAGGTAGAGCGCGGCCGAGTATCGGCGCGCGCTTTATGGATGGCGCAATTGAGGAGCGCATCGGGTTCTCGTCCTTTCACGCATTTCAAAGCTGTATGCCGTTTCCTTCTGCATCGTCACTTGAAGCACGATTGTCATGTGCTTGGAAGTCACACGAGCGGCACGCACACGCACATAACGTTAGAGTTACGGTTTGTGCGGCGTTTCCGTACGTAAAGAGGTCTCTTTAGACTGGGCCTAGATGAGTCCAAGGCGTTGAGAAGACGTTTAGGACGTACCATTTGCGCCACAGCGACTAGCGCATGAGAACAGAACGCAGAAAATTTTGCAAAAGGTTCCTCATCAGCTA